GGTCGGGGCAGCTGCTCGTCGGGGACGACCCGTGTCGGTGACGGGGGCAGGTTCCTCCTCGCCTTCATAGTCGGGCTTGACGACGCCGAGATCCTTCATGAGGGCGTTGGACTTGGGGCGTGCCGACTTCTTGGCTCGGCCGCGGCGACTCCAGCGCTTGTTGAGTTTGGCCTTGTACTTGATCTCTTCCTTTGTCAGATAGTAATGGACAATGCACTGCTGGAAGGTCCGGCCCGGCAGAGCCTCTGCGATTTTCCCCCATTTCTTCGGATAGGTCATGAAGGCTTCGGTGAACGTCTCATGCTCCTCGCGGCTGAAGTCGTTAGGCGGGGGCAGGAACTGAAACACGTCCATTGCCACCGCAGGGTCGATGATGTTGTTGACGTCTTGGTAGATACCCGCTTTGATGTCCCGGGGTTCCATCATGTCTGGGATGATTGCTTCGCGGCCCAGATCCGGTTGAGCGGTCACCTGCTGGTCGCGACGCCGCTGCAGTTCCTCCTGTGCCGAGATTTCCGAGGCCCGGAGAGCCATCTGGAAGTCCAGCTCGCTGTTGCCCTTGTATCGTCGCCCCTCGGCAGCGGGTGCAGGCGTCGGGGTGGCCGTCGCCGTGCTGCCCGGGGGACTGCTCGGACCGGGGGTGCCGGCCTTCTTCTCCTTCTCACGGTCCAGGTCCAGCACCACCAGCCGCCAGGGTTTGTAGTACTCCAAGAACTCCTCCCGCAGGACGGAATTCTTCTTGACGACTTCCTTGCGGCGTCGCATCAGCTCGGATCGCAAAACCTCCTTGATCTGTTCGTGACTCCGCGCGTTTTCCTGGTACAGGTCCAGTTCAGAGAGTGGCGTGGGTGGTCCTCGGTTCAAGAAGGGTAGGCTGTCGACCGAAATGTCGTCAGCAGCAGCAGAAGGTACGGAATCCAGAACCGACTTCGGCTCGTCCTCGGTTTTCCACTCTTCTGCTGCTGGAATCTTGCTGGGTGTGGGGGCGGCGAGCGAGACGGTCTTCTGCGGAACCGGTTCCTCGTTGGCAAGAATACCAAGGAGCTGAATTCTCGATAGGAGTGACAGGACGTTTGAATCTTCCAGAGGCGGCTGTGGCAGTTCCGTGCGCAGGGTGTTCATATCCTTTTCGAAGATCTGCCTCCTTTCCTCGAGATAGTCCTGAGTGAAGACAATGTTCTCATCTTCCTCATCGCTGGGTGACGCAAAGTCCGGGATAGCCGGAGACTCTTGTTTCTTTCCCCGCATGGATTTGGGGGCGGATGGGGATGGGGGACGGTGTTCGGAATCCACTTCCATTGCGTCCGCTACCGCCGGCACAGAGTCTTCTCTCTCCCCTGGTTCAAGACCGTGATCCATGGATTGTTGTTGTTGTTGTTGTTGTTGCTGCGGTTGCTGCGGCTTCTTGCCTTCGTCCACGGGTCTAGTCATCTCCACACCGCCCATGCGATCAACGGAGGGAGACCGCGGTTCTCGCAAGGGCTCGTCACTGTATGACCAGCGGCGCTCCGGTGCATCAGAGACATCTCGTTTCGCCGACGGGGTCGCATGGGATAGGGACGGGTTGCGGGTGTATCCCGGACGCACCCACTGTTTGCTTGCCTTGGGAGCGCCCCGGGCTGGCTGTCGAGTTTGGAATGCGCGAGGAGCCGTCGGGATGCTCGACAAAGATGTGCGTGGCGATGTCATAGGAATGGGTGATGGGGCACGGCCTGTTGATGGTGGACCTCGGGGCCCGCCATAGCCCGGAGACACCGCACCGACGCCAGACTTCACGGTCAGCGGAGCAGCGTCGACATGCAGAGGCGGCACATCCCGAGCTACCATTGCTGCAGGCGCAGTAGGTGGTGACAATTCCGCTGCCAATTTCGGCATCATTGTTGAGGAGGAGGAGGAGGAGGAGGCGGTGCTGGTGGTGGCGGTGCTTATAGATGGCTTTCGGGGAGTCAACTCGGTCTTGCTCTCTCGACGTAGACGGGGGTCCGCTTGCGATGTCGTCTGTGGTGGAGGAGGAGGAGGAGGAGGCAGCTCGCTACGTCCCAGGACGGGTGTCGTCGCGGCCTTGGGGCCCGTGGGCGGCTGCATTGCAGCATCAGTGCGATCCTTGTCATTTCTGGCGACAAGGTCTTGGGGATTAGGAGCGGCGATCAGGGTCGGGATAGAGCCAAAAGCCGGGACCTGAGGCGCCGGCGGGGGCGGCGAGTGTCTCACGACTGGCAGCGGCGGGGGCAGCGGCGGCGGCGGCGGCGGCGGCGGAGTCTCCTTGACATATTCCGGGCGTGGAGGGGGCCCCAAGGGATGATCGGGACGGTCGGGGTCCCAACGAGAATCTCCCCCGACAGGGCCTGACAGCGAGGGTTTGCGGATGAGGTGCGGGTCTATGATACTGGGATGGTCGGCCGGGCGGTCTGCTCCTGGCGCAGAGCCAATTGACACGGTTGGGGTGACTGCGGCGGGGGAGACGTGAACGGAGGAGGCGTTACTGGGCAGGCGACTGTCGGCTTGACTGGGCGGGCGGTCTTTCTTCCAATACTCTGGGGGCCGATCGTCACGATCCGGGGGGGGGCGACGGTCGAGCTCCTCGCGACGGTCCATGAAGCGATCCCGACGATCCATCAGATCTCGACGGTCGCGCTCTCGGTCTCGGTCGCGGTCCCGGTCTTGCCAGTCGCGATCACGGTCGATGACACGGTCGCGCTCTCGGTCTCGCTCGCGATCCCACCAGCCGTCTCGAGAGCGGCTACGGCGACGAAAGGGCTCTCGATCATCAATGTAGGAGCCTCGGCCTCGCCCACGACCACCCTCCCAATCACCACGGCCGCCGCGGCCACGGATGGGACCCGCACGGGGGTGATGGCCGATGCCGATGCCTAGAGGCGGCGGAGGACCCTCCGGGGCGGCGGAGGCGGTCGAGACAAGACTCTCCCTTGAGTTGCGGCGGAGGCGAATTGGATCGATATCTCGCCCACCGCCGTCCCGAAGGTCGCGAAAGTCTCGCAGCGGGGGTGGCGAGCGCGAGCGGCCACGGCCAAAGCCCCCACGGCCCTCTCGTGGTTCAAAATCGCGATCCCGACGCGGCCAGTCTCGGAAGGGGGGGGGGCCATCTCTCAGGTCTCGAAAGTCACGGTCGCGGTCTCTCTCTCGGTCTCTTTCCCGGTCACGATCTCTCTCTCGGTCTCTGTCTCTGTCACGATCCCGGTCCCGGTCTCGAAAGTCGGGGCGACCAGGGTATCCGCGGCCACGACCGCCAAAGCCACCACCACCGCCGCCACCACCACCACCACCACCACCACGCGGGGCATCGATCAAAGCCTTTGGGGCGCGCGGCGGCTCGCGTCCTAGCGAGACGGGGCTGCCATCGTCCAGGCCTCGCGGGCCAACGGGGGGTCGACGGTCGGCGAATCGCTGGGGGGACCGGTCGCGGGCGTGGAACCCAGACGAGGGGGGGAAGCGAGAAGACATCACCACCTCATGCTAGGGGCGGCCTTTGCTCACTGACAAAACTAGCGGAGAGAGGGAATGATTTCTGTCCTCAGATTAGCGGCGTTGTGCGTGGTCAGTGCCAGTGGACGCAATCTCCTTCTCGAGTCTTTCCGGCCTGCAACGAACGAGACACGAGCGGAAATCGAATCGAGACCAGCGGGAAACCACGTGACCGTGCCGATCGGACGCCGGAAGCCTGCGCTAGTCCTGTTTGGGGCGAGATTGAAGGAGGGTGGATGCCTGAGGCGCACGTACCGAGAGCGTTTCAGTGGCACACTGGCGGAAGAAGCGGTCTAGGGACGGCAAAAAAGGGGAGAGATTAATAGAGAGTCGTGCGAGGATGCTGTGAGAATCGTGTCGTAGAATAGATTGGAATAAGAGCGCCTTGACGCGGGGAAAAGTGATGGAAGACCAGAGACAGCGTACAGGTCTGGCTCGGCAGTGATGTCGGCCTGAAGGGAAATTCTCCGGGGGGGGGAACACAGCTCGGGAGAACAGACAGACGCAGAAAACAGCTGGCAGAGCGTCCCAGGCGGCTGGAAAGAGCCTCCACGCTGATGAACACGGCCTGATGGGCTCCAAAGCGATGAACAGGATGGAGGCGACAAGGAGTGGGAAGCTGAAGCACAACAAGAGTTGGTGGACTGAGGTAGGGATCGCGGGATGGCCTGCGACTAGTTCGTAGGCAGTTAGTCAGTGGTCTAAGCCCAGCAGGGGTGCCTGGGGCGCTAACTGGTGCCTTGTTGCCTGGGTTATTGCCTTAGGCACTACATGCCTCAGAAAGTTGATGCCTCAGGCATCTTGCCCCTCCAAAAAGCATCCTCAGTCCCGCTTGAACTTTTGACTCTTTACTCTGTTTACTCTGTCTACTCTGTTCACTCTGTTTGCTCCCCCCTACAGTCGCCTGTCTGATCATTGCCATGTCCTCTGAGAACGCCCCCCCCCCCTCGGCCACCAATGCCGTCCTGGTCGCCTCCCAGCCGGTGCCTGAGGGCACGCACGAGGTGCGCGGGGTTGATTTCGAACGCTTCCACGGGCGCGACATCACCGTGGCCGAGATGGTGGAGGATATGCGGTACATGGGCTTCCAGGGGAGTGCAGTGTCTGAGGCAGCACAAATCATCAATGAAATGGTTGTTCCTATCCTGGTGGAGCGTAACGGGCTACAGACAGACGACTGACGGATTTTTCTTTTTTTTTTTTTTTTTTCTAGCGAGCATACCGACACCCCGAAACCGGAGACAAAACAACGATCTTCCTGGGTTACACGTCGAATTTGATCTCGTCTGGTCTGCGTGATACGCTGCGGTATCTGGTCCGGCATAAACATGTCTCGGCGATTGTGACGACTGCCGGGGGCGTCGAGGAGGACCTGATCAAGTGCCTGGCGCCGACGTACATGGGGTCGTTCAGCACTCCGGGGGCTGGGCTGCGGCAACAGGGGCTCAACCGGATCGGCAACCTGGTGGTGCCGAACAGCAACTACTGTGCGTTTGAGGACTGGCTGGTCCCGATCCTGGACCAGATGCTGGAGGAACAGGAGGCGGCGCAGGCCAAGGCGCGCGAGACGGGCGACGAGGAGGACGAGTTGCACTGGACCCCCAGCCGGATCATCGAACGCCTGGGCCGCGAGATCAACCACGAAGACTCGGTGCTGTACTGGGCCGCGCGCAACGGGATCCCTATCTTCTGCCCCGCGCTGACCGACGGCTCGCTGGGAGACATGCTGTATTTCCACACCTACAAGTCGTCTCCGCGGCGCCTGCGCGTCGACATTGTCGACGACGTGCGCCGCATCAACACCATGGCGGTGCGCGCCGCGCGCGCCGGCATGATCATTCTCGGCGGCGGGGTCATCAAGCACCATATCGCCAACGCCTGTCTGATGCGCAACGGCGCCGAGAGCGCAGTCTACATCAACACCGCCCAGGAATTCGACGGCAGCGACGCGGGCGCCCGGCCCGATGAAGCTGTCAGCTGGGGGAAGATCAAACCCGACGCCAAATCTGTCAAGGTATCTTTCCTTTCTTTCCCCCTCCATCTTGTCGATTGCACCTCTCATTTCTCTTCTTTTCTAGGTCTACGCGGAAGCTACCGTGGTTTTCCCCCTCATCGTGGCCGCCACCTTTGCACGAGCCGAGACTCCAGAGCAGCACTGACCTGATCCAACAAACACATCCTACATGACTATGCGGTCCACTCACCGTTGGCGTACTCTACAAAGCGCTGACCCACCGGCCAATCCACTGCACTACCTGCAGGATGGCCAGACTGCATCTCGGAAGGAGAATGGGGCCGTCTACCCCTCAGCACTAGGAGGACAGAATTGATGGTCTGGGGATAGATTAGTCTCAGGAGGACCAAATTCCTTCGATCACATCCACGGTGGCGACCGAACCTCTTTACTCGAATGCCGGATGATCGGCTCGGGAGGCGACAGAGCGTGTGAAACCTTGACGCTGCTGAAGATCGCAGGCCATACCAGTGCTTACTGGTTGTTTCCTCATCTGCGGCTCCTCTCTCCCTCTCCTCTCCTCCTCTCCAGGTATCCCCGTTGCCACTCGGGATAAAATTTAGGACAATAGAAACTTGAAAGACTCTTTTAGAATTCTAGCCAAACTCTATCTCTCCCGTCCCTGAGTCGTCTCTGGTTCCGACCGTCTCCCCAAGTCTGGTTCCGACACATTCCTGCTCTCCATGCTTTGCCACAGCCTCCTCTCTGATAAGCGATAGACGCTCCACCAGAGACGATCGTCTCGTACTGAGGCCTCCGTGCTGCAGACTCCCAGGCCGCCACGCGTAAAACACAAGGAGTCAGGCCAGTGATCGGCCAGTCCCTCCTTCTCGCAGTCTCTTGCAACGCTGCGGATCTCGACAACGCTGCTGCTGCCAGCTGGAGAACACTGATTGGCGCTGCGTCGTGCACTGCTGCCTCAGGCTGCGCAACGGCGGTGAAGGGCCTCGCCTCACTTTGCTTTGCTGCCTTCGCCTCGTCTCTCTCTCTCTCTCTCTCTCTCTCTCTCTCTCTGCCTTGTCTGCCTGTTGGCTGTGTCTGCCTGGTCTCTCACTATTTCCATCGCTTCATCCCTTCTTCAGAGTCTGCATCGACTTGTCTCTTTCTTTTTCATTCCCTCCCCCATCTTTCCTTACAGCTCAGTCGAGTCAGATAAGGCTCGCTTCCCCACACTTCTTATCGCAGTCGGTGCCTGTCCAGGAGACAAGCTTGGTGCATTTCGAAGCTTTGCCTGGAATCATAAACAGTTTATTTGCTTTTGCTTTTTCTTCAGTTTGCGTTGTCTGCATTATTGCCTGTTGTGTTTGGTCTTTGTTGCAGCTGCGTGGTTGTGAGCATTCTATCGAGTGATCGCCTCAAGAGCAGACAGACCATTCATTTGAATCTATCGATCAGCCGCAGAATCATGGATACCACCGAGACCGTCGCCATCTCCGTGCCTCCGCCCATCACCCTCAGCGGTGACACCGAGGCTGCTCCGCCTCCCATCGTGGCTGTGACTCCGGCGGAGTCTACTCCCGCAGAAGTGAGTCCTCCGGACGCTGAGACGTCTCAAGAGGTTCCGTCTTCAACCGAACCAGAGACCGAAATAGCGACGGGAATAGAGACGGAAATAGAGACGGAAATAGAGACGGAAATAGAGACACCGGTGGCAGAGACACCGGTGGCAGAGACACCGGAAACGGAGCCGGTGACTGAAGCACCTACACAGCCAGTGACAGAGTCGGTCACTGAAGCACCTACGCAGCCGGTGACTGAGTCGGTCACTGAAGCACCTACACAGCCAGTGACAGAGTCGGTCACTGAAGCACCTACACAGCCGGTGACAGAGACACCAGAAGGTGTGACTGAGGCACCCATAGAGGAATCCACCCCCCCGGCATTGCCAGAGACGTCGGACACCACGGCAGCTGAGACTAATGAGGCCAGCGAGAACGCCGACCGTCAAGATACCCAGGATGAAGAACAGGCTGAGGGCGAGGAAGCAGAGCCTGCTCCATGGGCAGAATTCGAGGAGGACACCTCCGTCCCCGACGAGGCGGAGCTGAAGGAGATTGAGTCGACCGATGGAGACTACAGCGCCCTCGAATGTACGTTCCCCTGGGCTGTCTGACGAAGCGGGGACAGTTGGCTGACTGCTGCAGATAAATACTGGGAAAAGTCCTTCTTCCGCGACCTCGATGACCCAGAGTACACGCCCATCGTGAAGTCACGCATGACCTGGAAATTGTCCGGCGTACGCGGCACCAAGGAGCAACCCAACCGGGCCAAAATCATGCGCTCGCCGCCCGCCTACATCGGTGGCTACTGGTGGACAATCAAGTTCTTCCCGCGCGGCAACAATGTCACCTCCTTGAGCATCTACATCGAGTGCTCGCCTACCATGCCCGTGGTGGATAAGGAACTGCCCGAGGGCAAGTTCAGCGTTCACTGCGGCGCTGCGGACACCGTACTCAGTGAGTCTCCGGCAGACATCGACATCCAGATCCCCCGCACCAAGGATTCGGCGCCCTGGGTTGAGGAGTTCAAGTCTCAGTACACCACCGCACAGGCTACTCTGGCTGCCGATGCTCCGCAGCCCCCGCGGAGCTGGCGTGTCTCTGCCCAGATCGGCGTCATCCTCTACAACCCCGAAGAGCCCCGGACCGGCTGCATGCAATCCTCCTGTCACCAGTTCAATCCTCATAACCTTGACTGGGGGTGGACCAACTTCCACGGGCCCTGGGAACAGGTCCACGAGCGCCAGCGCGGTCAGCGCCAGGCCCTCTTACGTAACGACACCCTCGCCTTCGATGCCTATATCCGCATCTTCGATGACCCCACCCAGTCGCTCTGGTGGCACCCCAGCGACTCCGAGCCCACCTGGGATAGTCTGGGCCTGACGGGCTACCGCCCGCTCGGTGACTCGGTGATCAACCACAGCGCCGAGGTCGCCGGTCTCGCCTCGTGGCTGCACCTTGCCCCCGTCGCCAAGCTCATCCAAGGCGTCGATGTCCTCGAGCATCTGTCAAACTGCGACGTCAAACCCAAGCCCCTGTGCGATGCCCTGCAAAAGTTCCTCTGGCTGCTGCGCTGCCGCAGTGACTCGCTGCAGTTCGTCGACACCGATGGCATCACCTCCACCCTGCGTAACATGCACGAGTACTCGAGCGACGTCACCGAGTTCTGGGAACGCCTCCGCCGCTCCCTCGAGCTTGAGCTCGCCGGCACCGCAGCTGCGGACACCTTGGCCAGTTTATTCGACAGCCCCGCTCCTCTACCGGCCAAGGTCGACGCCGACAGTGGTGAAGAAGCTCCTTCTCTCGTGCGGGCCCTCCCTACCGACTTCAATTCCCGCATCACCCTGGACACCGACAAGGTCAAATCAGTCTCCGCCGGTCTCGAGTCCTATCTGCAGGGCGGTGACAGCCCTTCTGGCGGTCGCTGGTCCCTGCCGCCCATCTTGAATGTCGAACTGTCTCGTCAGAAGCTAGACAAGACGGCTCGCCAGTGGCGCTTGATCTTTGACCGTGTCGAAATCGAAGAGTCCCTGGACCTGACCACCCACGTTGTCGACGGCCAGTGCGGGCACTATATCCTCTACGGTTACGTCGTGCACCGCGGCCGCCGGACCTCGGGGAAGTTCTTCAGCATCCTCCGGCCCGGCGGGCCGGGGTCCAAGTGGCTCGCCTTTGACGACGGCAGCGACAACCGGGTCGAGTGTCTGACGCGGGCGACGGCGTTCAACGCCCACCTGGGCCTCAACGCCGAGCAGCTCAAGACCGTCAACGAGAAGACGGGCCACGACGTCCCCGTCGCCGCCATCTACATCCGCCGCGATCGTGTCGAGGAATACCTACCCGGACCCCAGGGTCCCTGGGATGCCCCCACCGCCATGAAGACCTACTACGAGACGGGCTCGTATCCCTTCCTCGAGTCCTCCTCCGCGGCCAAGGAACAACAGGTCCAGGTCGAGGTGTACTCGCTGCCCACGTGCGACCAGGTTCCCAGCCTGTTCGACACGTACGACCTCATGGCGCAGGCCAAGGCCACCAACCACGTCATGTACCTCAGTCTGCCGGCAACCACCACCCTGGTTGAACTGCGGCGGAAAATCTCCCAGTGGCCGCCGCAACCGTCTTCTGCTGTCCCGGATGAGAGTCATAATCATAAACCCACGCCGTCGACTCCGCCGGAGCACATCCGTCTGTGGCAGATCGGCCACAGTCGCGATCGGTTCGGCCCCACGCTCGCCTTCACCCGCATGACCAACCTGGACGACTCCCTTGACTTCAACCTGTCGACCATCCGCTTCTGGATGCAGGTCGTCTCCGAGTCCGAAGCCAAGTATTTTGCCATGACCGATCCCCCGCAGGCCGCGGTTGCCGCCGATCACTCCAAGACCGAGGAGGCCGTCATGGAGCGCGAAGGCTCCCAGACCCCTCCCCCGGTCGTGGACGAGACGATCAGCACCCCTCTGAATCCTGCTGATGCCAGTTCCTCCGATGCGGCGCCGACACCTGCCGCCGTTGAGATCATCGCGGAGGAATCTCAGCCTGAGCAGACTCTGCAACCCGAGCAAGTTTCTGAGCAGGCGTCTGAACATCCTTCTGAGGTTCCTGAGACTCTTGAGCAGACTCCTGAAACTCTCGAGCAAGCTCCTGAGACTTCTGAAGAACCCTCTGAGCAGGCTTCTGAGATTCTTGAACAGCCTTCTGAGCAGGCGCCCGAGCAAACTCTCGAGACTCCTGAGACTCCTGAGCAGCCTGAGCAACCTGAGCAACCTGAGCAACCTTCCTCTGAAGAAGTCGCTCAGGAAACCCCCGCACCGGTAACAGACGAGGATACCGCAGCGACAGAGGCAGTCATCGCAGCGATCATCGCCAATGATGTGGAACAGCTGGACGCCGGATCTGATCCTGTCGATGAACCGACACCTGAGCAGCCACCTGCTGAATCTCCAGTCGAGGCTACTCAGACTGAATCAGCCGAAGCCGAGGCTACCGAGGCTCCTGAAGTAACTCAAGCCACCGAAGAGACTGACAACAACGAGGTCATGGAGACCGTTGAGGCCCCCGAGGGCACAACGGCCGAACCGGAGGTTCAGCTGCCGGTGCGGCACGTATACTACTTCATCCAGGTCTTCGACGTGGAGCAGCAGGTGCTGCGGACAGTAGGCTCGTTCTTCTCGCGGATGGAGGAGAACATCAAGACCGCCCTGCGAACCCACCTTGGCTGGGCTGAAGACAAAGACTTCTTGATCTGGCAGCGTGTGGACGGGATCACGGTCACTAGCATGTCTCCAGGAGAGACCTTTGAGGTGTTTGTTCCAGATGGAGCGTGCTTTATTGTCGGGGACAAACTGAACAGGAAACAGTAAGCAGATACTACCCTTGGCCTTTTTTTTCCTGCTTGTTGGGATTAATCATGCTAACGATTTGTGATAGACGTGCCGACCTCGGTGCTCGAGGACTGTTCGCAAACCCCGACCGTCTGGTGCAGTACCTGTGGGCGGAGGCCCGTCACCACCCGACCCAGGCATTCACCGGCACCAAGACGATAGAGGCGACGTTCGCGGGAGATTACTACCGCGGCGAGTTCAAAAAGGGGTACTTCCACGGGCGGGGCACGCACATCTCCGACACGGCGGTGCACTACGAGGGCGACTTCATCTTCGGACAGCGCCACGGCCAAGGGCGCATGGAGTACCCGTCCGGCGATACCTACGATGGCGACTGGGTCGAGGACCAGCGCCACGGCCAGGGAACCTTTGTCGAGCGCAAGACGGGCAACAAATACGTCGGCGGCTACAAGGACGGCAAACGCCACGGCAAGGGAATCAGCTACTGGGAGGTCGCCGATGAGGAGATGGACCTCTGCCAGATCTGCTACAGCGAGGAGCAGGACGCCCTCTTCTACGACTGCGGCCATGTCTGCGCGTGCGTCACCTGCGCGCGCCAGGTCGACATCTGCCCGATTTGCCGCAAGAACATCATCAGCGTGGTCAAGATTTACAGGACATAAAGTGATGAATCGATGCATTTATATCTTTTTTTACATTTTTAATGGCTCTTTCTCCGATGATTTGAATTTTAGCTAGTTCTATTTTAGATATCTAGTCTAGTCAAGACTTGTTCTCCTAGGAGTTTAGTTTCCTTCTCTGGCTACCTTGATACAAAGACGCTGTATACCAACCTCCCATGTGTCTGGAGGCACGAGCAGAATGGAAGGAACAAATGGAATAAACAATTAACAATTTACAATGTATGCAGTGGTATAAGTATACATGAAATGCTTTACTGCTTTTTAGAACCCGCCTTCTTGCTCTTCTTCACCTCCTTCACTTCTGTCTTCTCCTTCTTTTCTACCTTCTCCTTCTTCTCTGCCTTCTCCTTTTTCTCTGCCTTCTCCTTCTTCTCTGCCTTCTCCTTCTTCTCCACCTTCTTCTCTCTTTGTTCCTCCTTCTCCTTCTTATCCTCTGCCTTCTTCTCCTCCTTCTTCTCCTCCTTCTTCGGCTTGTTCAAGACTCCCTTCGGGTTGAGACCCTTGCGGCGCAGACGGTTCCGCTCCGCACGCTCGATCCGCTCGGCGTCCTCGTCGTCTTCGAACGGCCCAAAGGCACCGCCCTCCAACTCCATCATCTCGCCGTCCTCATCGACCAGCGGGGTCTTGTCGATCTCCATCTCGCCGTCCGTCGAGTCCGCGGAAGCGGCGTGTTTGTCGGCCTTCTTCTCGCCGCTAGTGGCAGTCTCGCCCGTGCTCTTCGCAACAGGGCTAGGGCCGAACTTCTTCAGTTTGCAGACGTAGAACCCGTCCACGTTCTCGCGGTGGGGGAAGTACCGCCGAGTCATCTTCATCTTCGGATCAAACTGTTTACCCATGTAGCTAGTCATACCTTCGCTACCAAAGTCGCCCAGGCCCGTGTCGACGATCTTCACATTCGGCCGCTTGCGCAGGATATACTGCACCACCGCCTCGTTCTCCTCCACCGTCACACTGCAGGTCGAGTAGACAATGTAGCCACCCGTCTTCGACGCGTGGTCGACCGAGTCGATCGCCGCCAGCAGCAGCTGGCGCTGCATGTGGGGGATGGCGAGGAAGTCGCGCTCGTTCTTGGAGGTCTTGACGCTGGGATCCTTGGAGATGACTCCGGTACCGGTGCAGGGGGCATCGAGCAGGACACGGTCAAACCCGCCCATGGCCTTGGGGAACGCCGTGCGGGCATCCATGTTGGTGACGATGGTGTTCTTGCATCCCAGACGGTGGATGTTACCGATCAGACCCTTGGCACGCGGCTTGCTGGCATCGTTGGCGATCAGGCATCCCGTGTTGCGCATCAGGGCGGAGATATATGTCGATTTACCACCGGGGGCGGCAGCCATGTCGAGAACACGCTCGTTCGGTTGAGGTGCCAGGGCCATGACGGGCAAGAACGAAGAAGCTGCCTGCAGGATGTAGTGGCCCGCAAGATACTCAGGCGTAGCACCCAGCGGCACGGGGGACTCGAAGACCTGCAGACCGACCTTGGACCATTTTCCAACCGGCTCAAGCACAACTCCTCGATTGATCAATGCCTGCGCCAGAGAGCGACGGTTCGTGCGTAGAGTGTTCGTTCGGATGACAACCGGACGCGGCGTCTCGTTGGCCTCGAAGAAAGCAAAAGCCTCCATGGGAGTGAACAGATTGAACAGTTTCTCGGCCAGGAAGGGGGTGTATCCGTAGTATGTGCAGATATCCTTCAGGAGAAGATCGACGTAATCCGTGCGAGACTTGCCCGGCTGTCCTAGGGACTTCAGATCGCCCAAGATACGGATGGTATCGGTGATACGCGTGCGCATCAGTTGCAGATCGGGGGCCAGGCCGGCCTGTGCAGCAGACTCTGCATCGGCGAACACGTCCGGACGGTCGCCGGCAATGTTGGTCTGCATGGCGGATTCCTTCAGCTCCATCTCGGCTTCCTCTTCTTCGGCCTCCCTGGCTTCGTCCAGCTTACGCGACAACCCTTCGATATTGGCTGCCGTCAGCTTCTCCTCGGCGTCCGAGAGATCCTCGTCCTCAGAGAACAACGTCTCGCGGGGGTGGTCTTCATCGTCCGAATCCAGAACCGAATCCTCATCCTCCTGGCTATCCATGGATCCATCGCTCACACCCTCCAAATCATCGAACTCATCATCCAGCATTTCATCATCGTCTGTTTCCCAGGTGCCTTCATCCGAACCTTCCTCCTCGTCCGAGTCCTGGAACACCTGCTTCTTCTTCTCGCTCTTCTTCTCAGCGGGCTTGGTATTGGTCTTCGCCTTCGCCTTCGTCACCGCAACCTTTTCAACTTTGCCATTGCTTGCTTTGTTCGCCTTCTTCTTCGGCACAGCCTTCACCTCGATCTCATCCTCATCAACCTCGGCTCTCCTGCGCTTCTTGCCTGACTCCGCCTTCGCGTTGTCTCCGTCGGCTGCCTTGCGATTCTTGTATATCGTAATCTTAGACTCATCCAGCGGGGCAGGAGGACCCTGCTTCTTCATCCGGCGACCACGACCCATTTTGCAAATCTGATTGTGCTGTAAGGCAATCGTTCCAGACAGTCGTCTAGACTAAAGCCCAGACAAAAATATCTCGACTTTTTTTTTTCCGCACTTCAGGCGGTCACTTCCGGCAGAAGAAAAGCTCTCTCGTAAAGGCGGTGTGGGGTTTCTGCCTGAGGCCTCGGCTTACCCGATACAGAACTACGCTTTGGTCAACGGAAGACGTGGTTCAGCACAATCAACGACAACCACCGGACGGACTTCCTCTTGCAAGACGCCTTACTCTAGCTCTCCATCACCATGACAAGCGAAGCTTCATTTACCAAATCTTTCCTCTCCGCGCTTGACATTCTCCCCGTCAAGCTGCGTTCGGACCATGTCTTTGATCCTCAGCAAGTGGGGTTGCGAGTTCCAGTACGTTTGGGTGTCAATTATCATATTCAGCATCTAGCTTTCCCCGGCTGGGTTGGGTATATGATTTAGGTGATGCTAATGAGTAAATAATAGTACATGCTTCCCCGCCTGCAACCCCCCCACCCCGAAATGCCGAAGAAGGTGAAGAGGACCGTCGCCCCGGGAGCTTCGAAATCCGTCACGATCCGACTGAAGTCGGCACGGAGCCCCGTCTTGGAATTCACGCTGCCAAATATGCCGCTGGCAACAACCTCGGTGCCGGACTTGCGCGACGCGGTGCAGGCGCGCGTAGTCAACATGCAGGATGAACGGGTGCCCCTGGACAAGATCAAGATCCTGTACAAACGCAAGCCGGTGACGGGGAAGACGGTCGCAGAGGTGTTGGCCGATGAGCCGGACGTGCTGGCTGGGGGGAAAGAGGTCGAGTTTGGCGTGATGATCATGGGTGGGGCGAAGGTCGTGGAAGTCGAGGAGGAGCCAGCACCAGCACCCGCACCCGCACCACCGGCAGCGGACGAAAAGCAGGCAATGGAGACAGATGAGATCCCGAAACCTGCCGTAGGGCCGAGCGGCGACGAAGTGGTTGAAACGGAGGCCTTCTGGACAGATCTGCAAGGGTTTATGGAGCAGCGACTGAAGGATGAGGCGGTGGCGAGGAGGCTGAGGACCCTCTTCGAAACGACCTGGAAGGCCAATCGGTAGAAGGTGCTTACAATGTACATGATATATTCCATACCCGGGTTTCCACATAACCCAGTACCACTACAAACTCGTTCAACTACCAGGAGAGCCAGGAAGCACGTCCTACTTATCCAGGCTAGCAGCCTGATGGTATCTCACGTCGCCTTCTGCGGTGCTAGACAGAAATGGTCTAGAGTAAATGTTATACATAAAATGTATTTGCACAGAATTCGAAGATGGTAGGGAATAGAAGGAAAGGGGGGTGGGGATTATGCAATAACAGAAGAGGTGTCGTCGTAAATAAATAGTCAACACATACATTGCCCATCAGCATCATGCAAAGAGCAAATAATCGGAACAGAGGGGGAATCAAATCAAGGGGGCGAAGGAGGAAACATGCATTGCAGATGGAAGGGGCAGATCTTAGCAAGCTGTCACAGCACGGTAAAGTGCCTTGCAAGCTCTATATTCATCTGCGTACATCTGGCGCCGTGAGAGGCCCAATGGGAGAAATAGAAGGGGGATGAAAAGAGAAAAATAAAATGAGAAGAAGGAGAAAAGGCGGCCGAAGCCGATCAATACGGGTTATAATATCAAAGGCCATACACGGTCTTGGACCACGTCTGCGAAAACGAGGTCTCCATCATTCCAATGGAGCAGTCGAAGGATCGGGAGCACAAATCGTACAAGGGGGGGAATCCATATGCAAGCCAGGAAAAGGAAGCATTATTGCGTATTCTTGAGAAAACTGGATCCGGTCCATGCAACCAAACGATGTCGCAGGTAAATAGAGCCAAAAGGAAAAGAGGAGAAGAAGAAAAAAAAAAATGGAACTACCGGCTTCACGGCGGAACAAACATCATACATCGGATGTAAAACCTCATCGTTATTGTCTCGAGAAGACTTTGACGACACCGTCGCCTCCACCGCTGACGACCCAACGGCCATCGCGGCTCCAAACAACCGCGCAGACCCCTTCGCCGCGCATCAGCCTGTGGCTAGTGATTTCTTGGGTACAGCTGCGTTTTTCAAGGTTCCAGAAGCGTAGGCTGGCATCGTGACCGGCAGAAACCAGCTCACGCCCATCGGGAGAGAGCGAAAGCGAGGCGATAGCGGACGGGTGGGCCAGCATCGTGTACGTGCATTGGCCTGGTCAGGTATCATTAAGATTAGCAAATCTTCAAAATAACGTAGTACTCAAGATACTTACCGCTGTTGGCGTCGAAGAAACGAATATATCTGTCCTCATAACCGCTGATGATGACTCCCTCCACATTACTGGAACCGGTAGCGCCGTGAACAACTTCTTCGTCTGCCAAGGTCCGGCTGGGATCCAGATTCGCGGTTCCATCGAATCCAATGGTGGTTGCAACGACAGAATTCACCCCAGTCGACGGTGTGCCATCGTATGTTTCAAGGCTTGCCATGCCAACAATTTCTTCGCCAGTCCTTGTATCATAGACAAGGATAGAGGCATCAGAGCAGGAGACGACAAAGTTCACACCGGCGAGAGACAAGGGGCTGATGCATGTCGGAGAGGGAGAAGCGGTGCGCACAATGTGATGGACGAGAGTGTGATGGAATGGAGTTGTCGTGGCCATGCTTGGCTGCGGGGAGGAAGGGAAATTCGATCCGGAGGAGATGGAGTTGGCTCTGCGACTGCCGCCCGCTCGGCGGTTTCCGGCCTGGGGTGAGGACAGCTGGGGAGGCGCGCTGACAGCCCAGATCAAGATTCGGCCGTCCGCTGCTCCAGATGCAAGAAGAATACGATCGGGTCCGCCATAGTGAGTACATGAGTCGCCAAAGACAGAGCCCGTAGTGCCAGGGAGAACGCAGAGGCCCCATACGGCGTCCGTGTGGCCATCCAAGGTGGCCTTGGGGTCAACTCTGCCTCGTTCCCAGACGCGCACGCTAGCATCCTGGCCGCCTGAAAAAACCCAGCCGTCTCCCAGAGTACGGCCACCATTAGAGAAATTCTGCGACGGTGAGCATGCGGCTAAGGCGGTAACCGCTCCCACATGGCCCCGGTGGGTAAAGTAGCTGGTGATGTCCAGATCATTGCTAGAGCTAGCCGTGTGGGAACCAAATACACCGTAGGTGGCGGGGATAATCCATCGCTTGATCGTGCCGTCGTCACTGCAAGTACAGATCTCGGGTTCGGAGGGGCTTCCTCCACCTGTGAAGATCACCGAGCGAACGACGTCCAGATGACCTCTAAGTGCGAATTTGACCTTGAAACTGGAGTCTTGTTTTGCGCTCATCGCTGCGGCATGATCTCTCGCATCCGCAGCCCCGTCACTCTTGCGTCTGGAGCCCGAACTCTTCCGTCGGTGAGAGAGAGATCCACCTCGAGCAGGAGATTTAGGACGCGTGAAGTTGGCATTGGGGAAGGCGTCGGTATCTGGCCGGTGATGCGGGGCCTGGTCTGCTTGCGCTTGTGACTCCGGAGTGGGCGGTTCATCGAAATTCCAGCCGTCCGTATCTTCCGACACATTTTCAACGTTTTGTGGTCTAGGGTCTTCCTTGACGGAGACCTGGGAGCCGTAGTTGTCATACGCAAGTTTGGCAGAGTCGACTCTGTTATCGAGTAGAGGCTGGTCAAAGGATCCTTTCCGTGTATCAACGGCGTTGACAGGAGCTTGTTGTTGTTGTTGTTGTTGTTGTTGTTGTTGCTGCTGTTGCAACTCCATCGTTCTGCGTTCCAGTGCTTCTCTCGAAGATGCCGGGTGACCAAACTGGTCGTGTGTGCGAAACATGCCCGTGCCTTCCGAGTAGGGAGAAGCCATCTGCTGGTGGTTCTGCAAGGCCGGCTCGCGGGTCATCAGACTGTTCGCCTGTTGCTGCTGTTTCTGCCTCTGCTGTTGGAGATAGGCCTCTTCCAGGCTCTGCTGTGAAAGCTGCTGGTTTGCGTACATATGGTTTGAGAGCTCGTGATCACTCAGGTCCGGAGGGGGGTGCGATGCGGGAATGACATGATAGGCGACTTCTTGGGAGCATTTCGACAGATACACACGGGACTTGTCGCGTTCCATATCTTGGCGGACATCATGCTGGTTCATCCTGTCAGAATCGAGCTCGGCGTCAAGCAGATTAGCATAGGGCTTAGGGCGCTGGGCTTCAAGGCAGAAAAAAAAGAGAGAGAAACAGTCAGCACAGAGGTTCATCGTAGAGAGCGTAGAGAGCAAGTCGCATACACTTCAGGGCATCCAGGCTTTCCCGAGCGATCTCCTTGGAGTCGCGATAATCATCCAGCTTCTCATTGTTGCTCAGCTTCTTCACTTTCTCCCGTTCCTTCTTCAGCGCGGCCTCCAGGAGCCGAACATGCTTGCCCAGCGACTCGTGCATCCGCTTGCTGGTCCGAACGTCTCCTTCTAACCTGCCAATGCGAGACTTCATCTCGGCACGCTCAATCTCCCACGCGTTGCGGTCCCGTTCGTGCCGATGCCATTCCGTCTGGAGGAAGCGCATGACCCCTGCCGTAGGCGAAAAACGGTCCCTGTTAGCTCTCGCTCGCAGGGCTAGAAACGTGTTGTTCATCCATGACATACCTTGCAATGTATACTCAGTCCCCTGCGGAAGACCACCATTCATACCGGCATCACCGACTCCTCCCCCTCCTGCTCCTCCTCCTCCTCCATACCCTCCTCCACCCCCAGCCATGGCAGAGGGAGACTGCCACGCCATACAAACCGATGACGCGACACCAGAGTAGGGGGATCAGGGACTCAACCGCGGAAGAAAATTAAAAGATAATGAGGTGAACAGGAATTGAAGCTTTGTCAGCTCGAAGCAGGCAGGCCACAACGTGGGTCTTGCGGGCGGGCGCAGCGGGTTTTTCCAATGCTCGTGGCCGCAGCTCCCTCCGTTTGTCACGATGGGCGGACGAGGGAAGCGATACTGGAGAACAAACAACCCGAAACAAATCCGACCGTAAGATTGAACAGCCTCCAGCTTCGACACGCCGCCAGATAAAAAGAAACCAAGCAGCACCTAGGACTTCAGATCTTTCAGCGACAGAAAGGCAAAAACCACAGCCAACGGTGCTAGGTGAGGCTCTCCGACTTCGTTACAGCAAGCGATCTCCTCGTTGAGGTTCGGGGAATTGGGGGTGTTGGGCGGCGCGCTGGGCGGTGTTATTGGCTGGCCAGCCGCATTGGAGCGACAGCCGCGTTTGGCGCGGGCTTCGCATGGACTCGTTGGCAACAAGCACGAGAGAAAGCTCGTTTAAATATTTTCTTTTCTTTTCTTTTTTTTTTTGATTGGGAACATAAAGGGAGTTTCTAAAATAATAGCGGTGGATTTTTTATGATGCGTGTATGTAGGGTATCGTGCATTATTATACGGTGGTTCCACGTAGACACTTGCAAGTCTCCGTCAAGACAGGCTAGAATTCCAATTCTTCGACTTCCATCCCACAGTCCACACACTTCTTCACTCCGATTCCTGTGTCTGGGTTTTCGACAGACCGTCCCCATTGGTGTACATGGCGGCCACGGCCTAGGTCATCGCCAAAGTTGCCGCCCGCCGCGCCGTGTCGGTTGCGACGGTATGCCTCGACTCGGGTTCGTTTCTTCAGGTCCTGCAGCTTGGTCTTGAACTTGGCCTCGCGACGACGCTTCTTGTCGCTCTCACGGCGCTCGAACTCGGCGTCCAGGGCCTCGGTGGATCCCCATTTCTTCGCCGAGAAGGCGTACTCTTCGACCTGGTACCGAAGAAACAGCATCATGTTATTCCATGTGGATTTGTGGGGGTTCGGGCGTTCGAGGTGAGGGAGGAGTTCTTCGTCTTTGAGCTCGGCTGGAATAAAAAAAAAAAAAAAAGCACATATTAGTGATATTCTGTAAGGGCACCCATCACAACAGCAGGAACTCACGGTCAGTAAGGAGGTAGTCCTCTTTTGCCTCCGTCTTGGTCAGCAGGCTGTATTTCTCTGGGTATTTTTCCTTGCACCCGTTGCATATGCAGCAGTGGAACACCTCTTCCCATTTCCAGTCGATCTCTAAAGTCCCACACTCTCTGCATGTTTTCTGCTGGCTTTTCTCCTCCAAAACACTGATCCCCGGCTCGAAAGGGCCCGCCCGATCTCGCCGCAATGATTTGAGTAGCTGTTGTTTCTCCCATTCCTTCTGTGTCATATTGGCCGGTTTCTGCTCCGCCCGTTCGTCTCGCACATGGAGAGCTCGATTGTGCGGATCATCTTCTTGTGTCAAGAAGCCTCCCTTCGTATCCGTCATCTTGCTAAAGTCGTATTCGACATATCTGGTGAAGTTCTTGGCTGGCTTGATCGCATCCAGCGGTCGATTCGCTGACGCCGCATCCCGCACATTCGCTGGTGTCTCCGAGGTCATCGTACCATAAGAGCGCTTCACGCCCTGTGCGAGGGAGGTAGAGGCTGCCGACGAGGCGTTTCGGGCTTCTTCCGCTTCACGTTGTTCACGAATAGCTTTGGCTTTCATCCGATTGATTTCCTAGATCAAGAGATGAATTAGATCCTAACTCTGTCAAGGACTATCTCCATATCTGCACATACGATTCTCCGCAGCTGCTCGGGAGTCAGAGGGCCTCGTGGAAGAACACCTGGCTGCGCGGCCTCCAGTGGAGGAGTCGAAGGTCGCCCATCAGCCATTTTTTTCAACCAACACACAATGTCAAGAAGAGCTCTATGAGAGAAAAACAACCCGCTTTGTCTGGGATAGTTGCAATCCAGGAAGCGTTTGCCTGTTATCGATGATGCTGCAGGCAACCAGAGAAGCCTAGCGTCGCGTCACGTGATGATAGCGATAGACCGAAGATCGTCGATTACGTGGGAAGGGGCACGACACCGCTTAGTGGAATAGGATCAATCCGTGTGAACCTAAAAGACTTCCATCTGGATCAAGGGCAAAAGTGATCGGGCAGAAGTACAGGCCTCTAGTCTGTCAAGTTGGCGGGCCGCTCGAATAAGTCTTCGTCGTCTCTTTCCTGCCCATAGAGCACTTCACATACTCCACCAACAGGTACGTCCAAAACTGCATCGGTGCCTTCACTCCAGATCTCCCTCCAGCTCACTTTTCGATTCTGGGGACCCATGATCTGGAAGGAAGTGGCCCCGGGCTTCATCTTGGAAGACCCGCCCGGTCGCCGCCGGCCTTTGCCGTCAATGACTGCGACGTTTGCGACCTCGTCCACGATGTTCTTGATACTGTTCATGGGGAGTGTCAGGTAGCCGGTATTGTAGGATGCCAGCGCGACGTAGGTGTAGATGATCGTCATGACGATCCAGGAGGGCATCGCAAGTGACCACCACCGATTAGGATAGTAGTATATTCCTAGCTGGTGAAGAAACGGAGATGGCAGGTAGGACCACAGGATGTACATCACTAAATAGAGGTAGCAGTTAGACTCCGCAGTCAATTTGTTATTGTCAGGGACACTGTCCAAAACCTACAAAACGCGAACGAGGAGGCAAGATATAAGACAAAACCGTAGTATTCATAGGTCGGTACTTTGGGGCTCGCTCTAGGCACCGTCGTGGCTCGGCGAGCCGATTTGGCGACGGCTGCCTCTGTGTCGTTGGGCGTTTCGACATCAGAACTATCCGGGGTGGTCGGGCGGGAGGTGGTAGTGGAAAAGGGAGGTCGGAGGAGCGATGTCAGCGAAGGAGAAGGAGGTAACGGAGTCGGGGGTCGATTGTAAAACGGAGGCGCAAAGGCTTTGAACCCATCGGTCGACTCATGGAAAGGGTGGTGGATGGCAATGCCATCCTCGGGAGACTCGTCGGAGTCGGAGTCGGACGAGACATCCGACAGCGATTGGGTGTCCAGCGAGTAGTGGGATTGGAAGTCTGCATCATCCTCGACCTCAACATCATCATACACCGGCGACATGAGACTCTGCTCGTCGTCATCCGGCGACTGTGGCTGCGAAACCCTCTCGAGCTCATCGACAGGGAATTGCGGAAACGGCTGGTTGGTCTCGAACGACGACATCGCACCAGCGCCCACCGTTGCAGGTGGCCTATACCTGAGACCCTAGTAGAATTCCTGGTAGTCGACTAGCGGATTCATGCCTCCCACACGCTGTGAGCCGTCACGTTTCGTTGTGTTGACATCGTGTGCCTTGTGGTAGCACCCATCGAGCATATATACTGCCGTCTGGCACCGCCTATCCACAAGCACACCGACAACTTACGGAGTGCTTCTTCTTGATACAATTCAGTGGACTGTCGTTGAGGATTTACCATAAATAATTGAGCTAGTGTGTGGGCAAGTTACGTGGTGATTGAGGAAGGTAAGAAGTTGAAAGTAGCCTCGTTCAACAGAGCTGACGTTTTCGAGGATGGCTCAAATATATATAATTAGTTGTTTACCACCAATCTATTGAAAATACAGAATGCCAACCTTTCATATCGACCTATTTCTATACACCGAGTCAATAGCCTGTTGGATTATACAGTCTAGAAAGGGGGTAGACTAGAATTTCTCATGTCTGAATGAAATAATATGGCACACAGCGTCACTAGCGTTGCTGGTACATCGTCCTGGCTCAACTCCAGTTTATTATCACACCAAACCACTGTTTCTTCCATATATTCTCGGAACCATGACTCGCTTGGTATGGAAGCATTCTCTGTGTTCTCAGATCTGATGAGCTAGCAAGACAAATGGACCGAGGAACGGATCCCCAAGGTTGTGTTATCAACCTGATGTAGATGGCAGAAGAGCACCTCTAGACGACGTCAGATAGCTGGGGACAGAAGTTCATAGCACAATTTGGCGTCTTAAACCCTCGCCCTCTCCTGTCCTCCTCCCTAGGGACTGGAGACTCCATATTTCTTTTTCAGTCGGGGGAGTATCATTACGTCTGGTATGACTTAAACACCGCGGATTTATGTATATTCGGGCAATAGACCTGGAGGATATCCTGTGAACAATAGACGAGAAAGGCTATCAGATCTTGAAGATGAAAGTGCTCGAGGCAGTCGAAGATGAGTAAAGGCTGCTCCATCCCCCTTACCCCCTAATTAGCTCTACCTACTACAAGGTAACCGGCATTGCAATGCTATGTATGGCAAGGGTAGAGGTTCTCAATCTGCAAGAACCATAAGACTTCTCGAACAAAAGTACGAGCTACTTGCCTATTCCCTCCACTGCATGTCGTACTCGGTACTTCGCTTCTCTTAACCGGTCTGTTGCGAGCCTGCAGCTCATGTTCGACCAGGCAGCCCAAATGGAAATCTCTGCGAGCCATGCTTTCTCGTGGCCGTCATCTGCGTGGTCATCATGGAGGAAGCGCGAACGCATCTTCACCGCTTGTTGTTTCCCAACTCGACCTCACACGCAAGGAAAGAATCGCGCTTTTGTTCAAAGGTATTCCGTACGGGCTCTTGACCTAGGGAAGCAAGAAGACGTCTGTCTATATTCCGTGACACACTCTAGGACGCAACTTGAAGGTGTGGACAGCCCCTCTTTTCGACTCCTCCTGAACCTCTTCTCCAGGGTTGCTTTTTCCTGCCTGTCCTGGTTATTCACTTGCAGAATCCAATCTTGTCCGATCTGTATGGCTAATTTTATTGATTTCTTGTTAGGCGCCAGGTGTGAAGCCACCGAAGTGCTCATTACGCAACGATCGTTCCCCTCTCGAGCAGGGATCTCCCTGCCCTGACCCTCTGGGTCTATTAAAACGCCAGAAAGGAATCCCCGCATTCCACGCCCTCAAAAGAATAGACAGTGTCAATGGGGGGTCCTTGTCTGTCATCAGATAGCCATCCCTTGCACCGAGTTTCTACGCCTGTTGACACGGGGTACGACGCGCTCGTTACGCGACATCCATACATACTCCGTACGCCGTACGCTGGCCTTTGCTGTGCGACATGGGTGTTGCCCAGTACCAGGAGTCACTCCGGGAGACGAGAACGCACATAAACGATCATATCAACACTAGGAACTACTAGTGGGATGCCCGGCGAGTGATCGGCGATGCGGGTGATCGTTTAGATTTACTCTGTCGAGACGAGCAGGAGGAAATATCAGAGTTGATGCTGTCTTCCAGTACTACATAGTGCGCCGGAGCCAAAGTTCCCCCCGGGGATCTTCCAGGGCGCCCCTGAGGCAGCTGAAGTTTGTTGCAGTTCGAACTGGAAGCGAGTGGAACGCGGTCCATCTGCCAACCGCGACTGGGTGGAGCGCGATAAACCAGTCTCTCATTCCAAATCAATCGATTACTGGTAGGATACTAGTTACTAGTTAATACTACTATCTCAGCTCGCCAATGGTGGCTCGAGTATGTGCACTAGCCTCGATCAATTCTTTAGACATGTCAAGCGCCATAATTCGGATTCCATGCAATGCATGGATAAAAAAAAAGCGCCACAGACAGATAATAAAAAGGATCTCTGGCCCTTCCTCGAGTCCTTATCCCGGACCGACAGGGGAAAACAAAGATAAATAGGCGATGTCAGATCTGTCAGACTTCTTGGCACCATGATGGACCTGAATCTGGTGAGCCTGTTGGGCAAGCGAGATGATATTCTTGTATGGAGAGACCTGAAAAAACCGAAAAAAATAAAAACTAGACACTGGCGAGTAACTGACGCCCTCTGGGGAACTGGCAGAACCCAAACAACGATCCCAACGTGGGCTCTTCTCGCGGCGATGCGTCCACCGATGCGAGCGACGTCATTTCCAGCCTGGGCGTGAGCAGCAGTTCGACGTCGCTGTCGGCACTGGTGACGACTCTGGTGCCCGCCCTGGTCATTGCTACCTTCTGGTTCACTTTGTTCTTGATCTGTCGTCGAACGCAGCAGCGCTGGTATGCGCCGCGAAGTCATCTTCCATGCTTACACCAGCAGTATGTGCCTCCCCCCCCCTCTCAGCTCCCAACAAGAACATTGCTCTGACCACAGTCTCGTCTAGCGAACGGAGTCCTGAGCTGCCATCTGGGTTTGTCAACTGGTTTGGCGCCTTCTTCAAGATCTCCGACTCCCACGTTCTTCATCACTCCTCACTGGACGGCTATCTCTTCCTTCGCTTCCTGAGGGTGCTCTGTGCAACGTGCTTCTTTGGTTGCCTATTGACGTGGCCGATTCTGCTGCCGATTAATATCACTGGAGGCAATGGCAACACGGAGCTGGACGCCCTGAGTTTCAGCAATGTCAAGAGTCCGAAGAGATACTACGCCCATGCAGTGGTGGGATGTGTCTTTTTCAGTGAGCATTCCACGCCCGACCACTCTTGCAGTGTTCTGATCGCTGACACCTCTCGCAACTAAGCCTTTGTCTTTTACGTCGTGACGCGGGAGAGTCTGTTTTATGCCAACCTTCGACAGGCGTATCTCAACTCACCGGCGTACGCTCACCGGGTCTCATCAAGGACGGTGTTGTTCATGTCTGTGCCCGAGGACTACAAGAGCGAAGAAAAGCTGCGGCAGGTGTTTGGCGAGTCATCTGTACGCCGGATCTGGATTACATCGGACTGCAAAAAGCTCATGGAAAAGGTGGACGAGAGAGACGATCTGGCCTACCGTCTCGAGAAGGCCGAGACTCGGCTGATTCGGCGCGCAAACTCGGCGCGGTTGAAGGCCCTGAAAAAGGGCCATCTCAGCGCAGATCCATGTGCGGACTGCGAATTCGGGGAGCATGCGTGGTCCCACAAGCTTCGTCGCCCGATGCATCGCCTAAAGTTCTTCGGAAAGAAAGTGGACACCATCAGTTGGCTCCGCTCAGAGCTGGCCAAGACCATCGAGGAGGTGAACAACCTTCAACAGAAACACCGCAACGGGGATGTCAAGCATCTGTCGGCTGTGTTCATCGAGTTCAAGTCCCAGGCCGACGCCCAGGTCGCTTTGCAGACGCTGTCTCACCATCAACCCATGCACATGACCCCTCGTTTCACCGGTATCGCTCCGAGGGAAGTGGTCTGGTCGGCTCTTAACCTCAGCTGGTGGCAGCGCATCATGCGCAAGTTCATGGTTCAGGGCGGCATTGCTGCCCTGGTGGTGTTTTGGTCGTTTCCCGCGGCCATTGTCGGAACTATATCCAACATCACCTACCTCTCGAGCATCATTCCCTTTTTGGGATGGATAGAAGACCTCCCAGAGATCATCAAGGGCACAATCGCCGGGCTGTTGCCTTCTGCCGCTTTAGTCTTGCTCATGTCCCTGGTTCCTGTCATTTGCCGAAGTAAGTCCATCAATGTACCGCAGGAAAGGAAGCAAAAAGCCTGCTGCTAACTGCTCATAGTTTGTGCTCGGCGTGCTGGTGTACCGTCCCTTGCTCGTGTAGAGCTATTCACGCAAAGTGCACACTTCTGCTTCCAGGTTGTCCAGGTCTTCCTCGTTACGACTTTAACGTCAGCAGCATCTGCTGCTACTGCTCAGATCATCAAGAATCCACTATCGGCCAAGGACCTCCTGGCCGAGAATCTGCCCAAGGCCACGAACTTTTACATCTCTTACTTTCTTCTGCAAGGATTAGCTATGAGTTCTATGGCAATTGTGCAGGTGATGGGTGCCCTCGTTTTCAAATTCATTGCTGCCTTTTTCGACCATTCGCCCCGAAACCTCTACCGAAGGTGGACTGCGCTCAGCGGGCTCGGCTGGGGGAATGTCTTTCCCGTTTTCACCAACATGGGCGTGATAGGTGAGGACTTGAACCTATTCGAGTTGTTGGTAGAGAAACTGACATCCTGCAGCTTTGACCTATTCATGCATTGCTCCCCTTATTCTCGGCTTTGCCTTTGTTGGCCTCTACCTGGTCTACCAAGCGTACCGCTATAATTTTTTCTTCGTCTACGACATCAACATCGATACCAAGGGCCTCGTATACCCACGCGCTCTACAACATCTCCTGACGGGCCTGTATCTTGCGGATATCTGCATGATTGGTCTCTTTGCAATCAAGGGCGCCATCGGTCCGCTCATCATCATGGCTCTCTTCCTCATCCTCACCACCCTCGCCCACATCTCCCTCAACGAGGCCCTCGCCCCCCTGAATTCATTCCTCCCACGCACCCTGGATGCCGAGGAAGAACTCATCCAGGCGAAAGAGGAAGCCCAGCTTCTGGCCCAGCCGCCACGCTCCCGCTGGTCTTCCGTCTTCAAATGGTTCCACCCGGATCTGTACCGTGACTATGCCGCCCTGCGGCGCAAAGTCAACCGACATAATGTCGAAATCCGGTACTCGGAGGAAGAACTTCGCAACGCATACTTTGAGCCGTGCATCAACTCCCCGACGCCCAAGCTGTGGATCCCTCGGGATAAATGGGGGTTCAGTGCCCAGGAGATCATGGAGACGGACCCGACCATCCCCATCACGGACGATGGCGCCCATCTGGATGAAAAGAATAAGATTGTCTGGGACAAATACGATTCGAAAGTACCTTTGTGGGAGTTGAAGGTTCTGTATTGATCGGGACACTTTTGTATATAATTTGTAACGGTAATGATAAATGAGGAAAAGATAAGTAGTGCATATGTTGAAACTTTCAATCAATGTACAGACAGAGCGTCAGTATGTAATAAAACTAATTAGTGCTCCTCCTGAGCACGATATTTGATAAAGTTCCGCGGCGACACCCCCTTCTCGTACAGAGCGTCGATATCATCGACGCTGAGACCCGTCGTCTCAGGAACAACGAAGAAAGCAACAACGAGACAGATAGCTGATAACCCTGCAAACACGAAGCCCGTTTTGGCGCCCAGATCGCCGGATCCGGTGTTATAAAGGTACGGGACGATGAACTGGAAGAACCACGACGAGATGGCTTGTACGAGGTAACTTATCGACTGGGTCTGCTGGCGCAGACGATACGAGGAGATCTCCGGGGCGAGAGTCCAGGAGATGCTGACGATCGAATATACCTGCCAGGAGATGAGGAGGTTCCTAGATAACATTGTTAGAGATAAAAAAGGTAAGTATATATAGAATGGTTTAAGAAGGCTTACATGATGATTGCGATGGCCCAGAGACTGCCCTTGCTTGTGGCAAACCCTAGCCCTCCAACGACCACCATCATCAAGGCGTTACCCGCAACACCGATCAGGAACAGCCGGCGGCGACCGATCGCATCATTGTATACCCAGCCCAGGGCAATCGCGATACATCCGAGGAAGAAGCCACCAATGCCGATGTCGAAGGAGTCGACTGCCGACAGGCCGACCGTCAGCAGGAAGTAGACGTTCTGGGATAGAAACCCGGACCCGACGGCATTACTTGTCATCATCAGGAAAGACGCGGTCAGGGTGCGTTTGAGGTTGGGGCCTTGGAAGCATTCCATGTAGGAGCCTTGATCCCCAGACCGGGCAGCCTTCTCTTCTGCCAGGGTGTGAACCAGAGCTCGGTAGCGGATATCGCAGTCCTTGTTCGGGCCGTAGAGCTGGCGGAGGGATTTGCGCGCATCTTCATCTCTGCCCTTGGAGAGAAGCCAAACTGGTGATCTAGAAGGGTTGTTTGCCTACGAGTTAGCCGGGGTTGACCTTTTTGAATCTTGAAATCGAAGCAGGGGAAAGGTTAAAAAGGAACTAACTCGGGAACAAAAATGGCCAACAGAGGGAGCCCGCCGACCGCCCATTGAATAGCGAAGACGGTCTTCCATGCACTCGGTTGCAGACTGGGCACAAAAGCTCGAATGATGCCCATGCTGGTACCTTGCATCGCGACGGAGAAGAACACCAGGCCCTGAAGGATCAAGCCTCGGAGACGGGTCGGGGCAATCTTAACCCATCACCAATTAGCCATGGTCTCAACCTGTGAATTCTCAGGAGTAGCTAGCACTTACGTCGGAGGCATAGGTGGTTCCCACAGCCAACAGCGCACCGATCGTGAGACCATTGATGATCTTGCCGCCCAGGAGCTGTGCACGACTTGTCGCAGTGAACTGAAGGGCGACTCCAGCAAACGAGATGATGGAGAACACGACAATCGCATATTTACGACCGATCCGTTCGGCCAAGGGGCCGACCAAAAACGCGCCAACTGCCTGGCCCAAATTTGACATAGATGTCCACAATGAGGTCCACACCGACGGGGCGTACCAGGATTCGGTTTCTGCGTCGTAGGCCCCAAAGCTCAGCAAGAAACTGGGCATCGCAACTGTGGTTCCATTGGCGATCGTATCGTATCCGTAGGTCATACCGCAGAGGAAGGAGACCAGCGCTAAAAACGGTCAATCGAAGGTGAAGAACGACCGCGCGGGCTTGATGACACTAACAGATAAGGAGAATTCTCTTATGGTTCTTGACGGCTTCCCATAGTGGCATTTCCTTTTCTGCCCGCAGAAACTCCTCGATCTCATCGAGATTCATCTTCTCATCTTTGGCTGACACACCGGCCCCGTCGAGAGCCTCGACGTGTTGCCGCTCGACTTTTTCCAGATCCATTTAAAAATTGAGCTGACCTTTCGCTGGCTCCAAATGAGTAGGATGGCCGATGAGAATAACACAACAAGCAGGAAACCAGGGCCAGTCTTCTACCCCATATTATAGCTTGCATATATCCTCCCCACAGTAGTGGACGCAAAAACTGATCCCGGTTCTGCCCATGGGGAATTCCGAGCCTTTTTCCGGGGAAGATGCCTGTCAAAACCCGCCAAAATCTTAAATCTTTGTTCCACGTTGTGGAGTGTGGACGTTCCGAGAATTACTGGACGGTCCGTCCACTTTGTCTTTTCTCCGTTTATCCAACTACAGAGTCAGCTCAAACCAACAAAGTCAAGACCACCCACACGGCTCAAAACAGCCAAGGGATAGATGAAGTCAAGGAAGTCATCGTATGTCTCCAAAAGTAGTGTGAATGTGTTCGATGGTGGTGTTAACACGAAGAACTTGCATCAAGCCGAGTCCGGAACAGGGGAATGCGCGTCCACAGTGGACCCAAAGCCTCGGATGTTCCGAAGACGAAGTGTCATGGGACAAAGAAACTTCATTTTTGGGGTTATCGTTGATTGGAGCTCGAAACGACTCTTGAGACGACCTGCGCCCCCATAGACAGGGATACCATATGGAAGCGAGGTCGTTGATTACAGAGAAAGACTCGGGTTACCTCAGGCCGAGAAAAGATCCCATTTCACGCGATAAACCGTCTTAGGATACGTGCGAAGTTGGTGCAGATCCCCCACGAGCCGAACTGCTCAAGGGACTGGCTTGCCTTTTGCAACTGTTCTCGAGGAATAGTAGCCATGATCAGCCTCTGTTCTTACTCGGAGCTCGTCTATTGTAGCCAAAGATAAAGACATACCTGGGCGTCTGCGGTCCCTCTCTCACCCAAGCGATGGTATACCCACAAAAGCAAGCCACCTGTCAGCAGACATACTGCGATCTCGAATCCACATTCGCTCGCATGGCCTTGTTCAATGATATTATAGGCGGCGGCCAGCATTGCGTTCACCCGTTCGATAGTATGTTCAGACCGAGTCCCATCACACCACCGCCGAAGAGACTCTTCTGCGAGGTGGATGTCTTCCTCTAGTCCTGATCGACCAGCAACAAGATGGACATCGGATATATTGGTGTCCACACATATCTCTGCTAGGTAATTTAGAAGCAGCCCCGAAGAGGATGGCTCAGTCCCCATGCTACCCATCTTCCTCCATGTTGGGTCCCCATAATGATAATATCTTCGCCAACAGGCAAGAGCATTGTATAACCAACCTTGTCGCTCTTTGAGGCCATCTCCTGGCTCAAAGAGACCAACCTCTGGAGCACGAGTGAAGCCCTTGTAGACCACAATGCTGACTGTCTGCCGCCATTCGTAGATATGGGCAAAAATAGCATACATCAAAATAGTCTTGCCAAAGGCATCAAGCGGGGCGTACGGCGGCTCTTTTCTGATTGCAGGATAAAGGAGACACGTGTCCATGGAGACCATGAAATACATAGAGGACGGTAGTTCCGCGGGACCAAGCAATACTTTCCAAGCCTCTGGTGAGGCTGCCTCCCAAAACGTAGACGCACAAGGCAGGACCAAATTGATTATTTCGGCCTTTCCAATATAAGGCTGGTTGTTGAACAGTGCAGGGAACTGAAGATCGAATATCTGCCCACGTTAGCGTATTTTGAATGCTGGTAGATATGGATCGGCTGCTGTACATATATCGAAAGGCCGAGTCTTTTACGCTGCTCTAGGTCAATCCAGCTCTTCCAAGTTTCACGTAACCTTGTCCGCTTGGAGCGCGAAGACTGTGGGTCAGAGGGTTGAGTCTTGGGTCGACAGTCTAGCAACCGGCAGCGACGACAGGCTGTAACCAGAATTCCACGAGCTCCTTCTGCAAGTTCAAAGGCTGCCTTCTGACCAGACCATGTACCGGAAACACACAGAAGAAGTAATGTGAAGATATTATCATTGGATCGCAACTGATGAGGCGTCAGACTTTCGAGTCACGTAACGAGCTTGAAAACCATTTGGAAGGACTTACAAATTGGATATCCAAAGACTGCAAACGAAGGAACATTACCATAACAGTATGTAGATACACTACTGAGAACTTGCCACGGTTGGATTTGGTATAGTTGGAACCGGCTAATATCATGGAAAGAAGTAGGAAAGACGGAGAATTGGCAGGAGTGAATGTTGCAGGATGAACAACCGGAAAACGAGGATGTACATGAAATATATAAAGTTGAATAAAGTATTCCAAGGTCTCTGCGGTGGGAAAAGAATTCCCATCAGCGGCAGCTAGACCCTGATCAGCAGCGGAGTTGTCCGACAGGGTTTGGAGGATGCGGTCCCTAACTCCGGCGTCAACCTTGCAGGACCAGTGTTGAGTCTTTTCCCACAAATCGTTGAAGTCTTTGATTTCTTGAGAATCTACCCAAGATCTAGGGTCTGTTATCGTAGTCCAGAGTGGGCCTGAACTTTCGAGGTGAACTTCTTCATCCGGCCAGTTGGTTTGACGTGGATCGGAGAAGGTACAGTTATCTTCATTCTCGTGATCTGATCTGAGATGTGGTAAGTCCTGCGATGTAGCTCCCTGTAAAACTTCTTCTAATGACATGCGCTGCCGCTGTGGGTGGATGAACGGCTCTTCTGCAACCCCGGTGAATGTGCTATCAAAACCCTGATAGTTGATGTCGTTGACTGGAGTGTTATCCAGGATCCAGGCCAGGTCAGTATGGAATGATCCTTCCCCATATATCCCTAGATAGAGGTCTGCAGAGGCAGGCCGGAGACCCAAGTTCGACGCGGTAGTATGCTGTATCATGGAAATCGATGGAATCTCATCGGATAGCCCATCACGGTGAAAAGTATGGCCTGTTTCGAGACCCATGGCGCTGCCTGTACCTACCTCAAGCACGGACTGGGGATCATAATCCTCATTATTAAGGATCTGTGTATGGTTCAAGTTTACCGGCTGAGGGGCAGCCACGACTTGCACGGAGGGGACTGTTGGATTATTGTCTGTCTCTAGCGGAGATATTTGAACCCCAGGTGACCCAGCTTGGCTATGATCATTGTGGGCATCTTCTGAGTCACCCGTTCGTCGACTGTTGGCAGTGTTGCTGCTGCGTTCAGAATCACCATGGATCTTAACATGGCGTTTCAATAGGTCACTAGAAACAGATTAGCGGACCCCATTAGATCAACAACCCTTCGAGAAGACTATGTAGTACCTTCTTGTAAAGCCTCGGCTGCAGATACTGCAGGAGAACCTTGTAGTTTCACGGTCTAGCAGCCCAGTACGCGTTAGTACATACACCTCAATGCATGATATGGCTGTCGATCTTACGGTTTTCGGCGTGCCTGGTGAGATTCTCAATCCTCGAGAAGCTCTTGTGGCACTGACGACACTGAAAGGGCCCCAGCGAATGTCTCGCCTGGGACCTCAGCCGTCTTCTTCCTACGCCAATCGACGATTCGTCCATCAGGAACAGCAAGATGTATTAGCATGCCCCACAGTCAATTGGGATAGGTAGAACAACGTTGACGTGGAGTGAGGAGTGTGAGGAGTGGTTGAGATCCAGGATGGACGTTGAGGTGGACGGCCCAAAGCCTGGCCAATCATCACATGACGAGGATCGTCCACTTTGGAGAGTGGACGGTGGAACGAGGCACCCCCAGCTTTCAATTAGTCGTTTTCCTTTTTAAAAAACCTGGAGTTCCTTCTGTGGAGAGCCGGTGGTTTCTTTCTTTTGTATTTTTAATGAACTTATCGAGGGGCTGCTTGTTTAACAGACTACAACGATGCAGCTTCACGACTTGTCAGAGACCCCCGAAGTCACACCTTCGAAAGATGGTATCTCACACGCAGTGAAAGAGATCACAGCGGAGAACCAGAGCTTCCTCTCGCGGCTACCGAGATTGACATTGGAAGAGAAAGCAGAACTATTATCTGGCTCTACCTTTATCAACTCGTCGGCGATTCCTAGGTTGGATATTCCTGCGATCAAGGTATGCGATCGCTCGCTACTGTTAGATATAAATTCATGCTGACATACGGCCTCTATCTCAATAGCTCGTTGATTCTGTGAATTCTGTCAAAGGCTCCGAAGTTCACCATGGAGTCCCTACGGCGATCTTTCCTAGCTCGACATGCTATGGCGCAACCTGGAACCGGGAGCTGATGGAAGAACTGGGCAAGTCGCTTGCCAACCAAGCAAAGCTCAAGTCGGCACAGGTCATTCTTGGGCCGACCATCAACCTCCATCGCGACCCTCGTGCTGGACGCAACTTTGAGTGCTTTAGCGAAGACCCGCTGCTGTCGGGTCAGCTAGCCGCCGCCATTGTCAACGGTATCCAATCTTGCTCAGTGGCAGCATGCCCAAAACACTTTGCGTGCAACGACAGCGAGTTCAAAAGACGACAGTACGATGTCACCGAGTCACCGAATAGTCGAACGTTGCGCGAATTGTACTTGGCGGCATTCCAGGAGCTGCTTCGAGGGTCGGAACCCATGGCTTTGATGGCTAGGTATGTTTTGTCGGACGGTAATTTGGTGCTCGGAACCATATCTAACGTTCAATTCAAAGTTATAACAAAGTGGACGGGGTATATGCCTCAGAGAACGACTTCCTTAAAGATATCCTCCGAGACGAATGGGCGTATAATGGTTGTTTGGTTTCCGACTGGTTCGCGACAAAGTCCACCGCAAATGCCATCAATGCCGGCCTGGATCTGGAAATGCCAGGTCCATCGGTGTTCCGGGGACAGAGACTTGTGGACCAAGTCAGAAGTGGCCAGATTGAGGAGAGTGCTGTTGATAAGTGTGTCAGTCGGGTTCTGACTCTGCTGGACGATACTCGCGAATGCCATGGAAACCGACCGGAGAGATCCGATATCGATGAGAATACAAACAATCTGGCGAGAAGGATTGCCTCCGAGGGCATTGTCCTTCTGAAGAATGAGAACAAGGCACTCCCTCTTGACATGAGACAGGTTCCCAAAATTGCTGTCATTGGTGTGCCAGCAATGAATCCAACAATATGCGGCGGCGGAAGCGCATCGGCGCCTCCTCAATACATCCAGAGACCACTTGAGTGTTTGCAAAACAGTCATCCTGCCCCTTCGCGCGTCCGCTATGCTCATGGCGTCAACACAAACCGACTTGTTCCGGTTCTATCTTCAAAGCAAACGCAAGCTGAAAATGGGCAACAGGGCTTCGACATTAAATACTTTGACTCAGACAGCCAAGAGCTCGTTCTTAGCGAGTTCCAGAAAGTCCCAGTAGTCGCCATGGTAAGGGACCTCAAGCCCGGCCTTCAGGAAGGACGGTTCCGGTACGAATTGACAACCACATTGACGCCCGAAACTACGGGACACCATACACTGGCAACTCGATCAACGGGGGCATTCGAGCTCTACGTGGACGGCAATCTGGTAAGTTGCATCTTCCGAAGGTCAAGCCTTAGACGTTACTAATTCCTCGCAAAGGTGATGTCTTCTGCCCAGCGGGAACTTTCCATGGAAGATTTCCTTTTCGAGCCTGCTCGCCTTGAGCAAAGAGTCGAAGTTTTCATGGCCGCATCGAGGCCGTATTCAATCCGCCTCGTCACCCAGGCACGGGTGCCCAGGGAAGGAGATTACGAGCCTAACCCGCACGGAACAACGCTCTGCTTCGAGGAGTACGTGGACGAGCGGGCTCAGATATTCGACGCCGTCTCCATCGCTGCAGCCTCAGACGTCAGCATCATCTTTGCTGGCCGAAACAGCGAATACGAATCAGAGGGATTCGACCTGCAGGAGATCTCGATGCCCACGCCGCAAGCCCGGCTCATCAAGGCCGTGGCAGCGGTGTCTAAGAAGACAGTCCTCGTCCTCCACTGCGGCAATCCGATCGACGTTTCCGGCTTTGTTGACGACGTCGACGCCGTGCTCAACGCGCATTTCCCCGGCCAGGAAGGTGGCCAGGCGATCACAGATATTATCACGGGTAAAACCAGCCCCAGCGGCAAGTTAGCAACAACCTGGCCCAAGACGCTGGATGCCGACCACGTCCCCACTGCTGCCCATTTCCCGGCCCGGTGGACTGAAGAGACGGGATACACCATCCAGTACGCTGAGGGTTTGAACATGGGCTACCGCTGGCCAGAATTTGATTCCAGAGCCCGGTGGTCGTTTGGATTTGGTCTCTCGTACACTACCTTTGACTATTCCGCCTTGCATGTCGACGACGGCCTAGCTGTTCCCTTCTCCAATGAAATCAATATCAGCCTGGCAGTCACAAACACTGGCTCATTCCCCGGCCATGAAGTCATCCAGGTATACATCACTCCCTCGGATAGCACTTCCGTGTACCGTCCCGCTCGTGAATTGAAGGGATTCACCAAGGTCTGGATTCTCCCCGGCGAGTCGGAGAGAGTCACAATCACTCTTGATCGGAACCATGCCTGTAGTTTCTGGGACGAAAGCGTCAACAAATGGCGGCTGGAGCCAGGAACGTATGGTGTGCGCGTGGGCAGCCTGGCGGCCACTTTTGAGGTCAAGGAGGGATTGACTTGGAGTGGACGGTAGGCCGCTAAATAATATAGATAGAATAGGATTGTGTGAATTCATTGTATATACGTTGAGTAACTCATATATTGAGCAACCCGCATGGTATCTCTATATACATTGCAGCGTAGCATCATTGAAGTCATAATAAACCCGCAAAGTAAAAAAAGAAAAAGCCAAAAGAATAAGAATAGGGCATCCCGCAAAAAAGTCCAACTACCTATACTCAATGTCCAACTGCTTTTTGAAATACTCCCCAATCCAGAAAGCAGTAGCTGGAAAGGGGTAAGGGGTAATTTATGTAATGCCATCCCTCACATCACTATGCAATCCTTATTTCGGTCATTTGCTTGTTGGGTAATTCCAGGCGCGACCGTCGCTCCCGGTGGTCGCCTTCCGTATTGTTGTTGCCTTGAGTATCGAGTTTCTTGGGCTTGGTATGGACTCGCAGAACTAGTAGAACTCTGCGGTGGAACATAGGGTCTGCTGCTTGCAGCCTGCTCATATGATGGGAGATCTTCATCGTGAGGATCATCCGATTGGGACTGTCTCGAGTATTGTTGGTCTTGCCTTGACGGTCGACGACGATCTGTAGATGGCTGGCTCCAGTTATTATTACCGCTACCTATATCCACTGCGCTAGAAGAACGTGTATGAGTGCTCTGTCGTGACTGACTGCTTGCCGTCAAGGTGTTCATTGGCGTCGAAGCTCTTCTGTTCCGGCTATGAGATTCTCTGTTGTTTTCTCGCTCTTCCTCCTGAAACTGAAGGGATAGAGCATACGCATAATCCGCGTCGCTTTGTTCCTGGGCAGAAAGAGAAGAGCTCGAATGGTCTCTTGGGGCGGAGGTGCGATTTGCACCATTGCTTGAACTTCTGGGACCCACAATATGATGCTGAGCAGGCCCAGGGTCTGCTGATGCTGCGGTTGTATTTCCGACAAGACGAAAATCGCCAGCGAAAAACTCTGCGTTGAACCCACTCACATCAGCCAGACACTCCCAGACAACTTCTGCATGACTGGAGTAGCCCGCATCGGTGACGAGAGTGAAAAGCCGATGGGTCTGAGGGTGTTTGTATAGCGTCGAGAAATGATCATTGCGGAAGAGTATGGATACAGATCCCGGAGAAAGTGTCTGAGCGAGTTGGTCAAGACCGAAGCTACTCAGTTGGGTGGCGTTTTCGACGTCAACAAACTCTTGTATCGTGTGGATATCTCTTATAAGCTTTTGTTCTTCCGGGGTAAGTGCGCCTCCTCGAAACACCCTTTCTTCGAGCTCATCTTTGCGGAATTGCAACAACTGGATGTCTTCATGGTACTGCGCCACCCGCACCAGTGCATGATGAGACTCTGAGGATGGGGATGCTATCCAACCATGTACCAAAGGCACACCAAACGTACCATAAAGGCGAGTATCGTTCGTTTGGAGGAAAGAACCAACAGTTCCTGGGGGTTCCTAGTACTGGATTAGAATTTCAAGCAAAAACCCGCTAATAAAACTTACCAGAGTAAGCCGAGGATTGACGTTCATCCCGGTATGCAGCATGGTGAGGAATCGGCTGAGAGCTTCAATATCTGGTAGCTGATCGTCGGGTCCGAGACAACTGGTCAGCTCATCGAATAGAGCTTGGATCAAAAGCCCAAGGGATATCTGCTCTCTCGTCTTCAAAGCCTTGACGATCGGCGGTTGTGTGTTTTCGGCAGAGCACAAAATGAGAGCATTAACCAGAGCCAGCAGAGGACACGGGCCGTTCTTGTTCTGCACGAGAATCGGGGAGTGGCGTAATCTTCCGGTAACATCCGTCCAGTCAACTTGTCTGATAAAATATGTCTCAGATCTCTGCTCCTGTTGTCGCTTCTCTTCAGCTTCAGATAATTTAGGTAGTGGCGCTATGGCCGGTTGTTCCGGATGAGAACTACCACTAGGTCCCAAATCATTCAGCGTCCGCGACACTGGTAGAATAGAATCTGGTTGGGTCTGTTGAGCGCTGCCCAGGGCAGATGTGTCGTAAGCTGTAGTTAGATATGCAGGTGATGGAGCTCGAGACGATTCAGCGTGAGAGCTCGACTTTTCGGGAAAATCCAACTCCAGGAGATCCGAAGAAGAACTGGGGGTCGCACTGGATAAGGTGACTGAAGGGGTACGAATTCCATTTTCGAGATGAGACTGTCCAGTTGCAGATTGTTGGCTTGGAAAACTAAAGGATTCTTCCGAGGCAGATCTGGGATGTTGTAATACTATAGCTGGAGGTAGCTGCGCCTGTGTATCCGCTTGAGGCTCACTGATTTGCCCGTTGTCAATGTAGATCGACAATGGGATGTTTTCAAAGTTCGAGGAACCGGCGACTTGTTGGCTCGCCGGTTGCTGCTGGGCTTGCGAAGTAGTGATCGAGTGTTCGTCAGCCCAGGGCGATTCGGGAACTGGGTCATCGAGAAGAGATAGCCGTGCGGTCATGGGAATATAGCCCTCGTCTATGAATACTAGTTAGTGATACCCTTAGAAATCGATCTTTCTCATCTGAGCATACTTTGACTCAGCTGCTCGCTAGCATCGTCTCTTAAAAATGAAGACGCAGCTCGTGTGCCATCTTGATGTGGACCTGAAACCTGGTCATTGTCCCATGGGTTGGAATCTGACAGACGGGCCTTCAGAAACGGATTGTTGGACTGCAGCTGCACAGCCGGTATCTCCGGCTGCTCCCATACAGCACCGCCATCTGCCGCATGTGCTGTTTTCCACTCGTTTGCAGCCATCCTCCGTTGTGTGCCTGCCACCAAAATGGACGGCACCCTTGGCACTGATCGAGCCTCGGAATATATCTCCGCTTGTGTATGTTTAGGAGGGACTGGAGGTGGGATGGACGAATCTGACAGCCTCGAAGGTTCGGATCTCTCATCGTTATCATCCGTCCACGGATTCTGAGTATCATTAAACGAGGACGCCACCGGAGATCTTTGCGCTTCTTGCAGAGACATCAAGTCGAAGGCTGGAGATTTGTTAAGATCTGGGGAGAAGACAGGATCCTGCGTTGGAAAGCGAGGGGATTTGGGGGAACTCAGAGCTCGCGTAGGGCGAGTAAGACGAGACGGACTGGGCGTAGCAGCGGTGGGCGAGCGAAGGTCCGAACGACCGTCGCCTTTATCGCAGTTCTCGAGATGTGGCGGAGGTTGCTTTCTCAGAACCATTAAGACCGCTGTATCCAAGAATTATCTATGGAAGAAACAGGCTGCACTGTCCAATAATGGGAAAAATGTACAGGGTGGACTGGGGCGTGCAACCCTCGCGGAGGCGTAGGATAGGTAACAGGTATGTATCAGGTAGTAGAATTACCGATCGGAAGCGTAGAATAAGAAAACCAAGACAAGATAACGCGAGATAAATCAGTGTTCCTTCTTAGGTGGCTGAAATTTCATGGCAGGGACAACCGTGTAATCTGGCCAAGCAAGGCGTTGTACGTGACTAGGTGTTGACAAGGCTCTCTCTCCCACGCTGCAAACGGGATAACGACACTCTCAATGGTGAAACCACTGGTGGATTTGAAAACAAGAACATGCAAAAAGCTGTGGTGAGACAAGTACTATAATGCTATAATGCAGGGCAAAATGCCATCGTAAGGATATTTCCAGGTGAGCATCAAATGAGCAGATGGCAGGAAGAAGACCGACAGACTGCAGGCTGCCAGATTCCCGGGGGCCTCCAGCAGGAAACCAAATACGGCGCAGAGGCAGTGGCAGTGCGGCGGCTGAGTGCAGATCATGTGCAATACAATACCAAAACACAGCTACTCTCAAAATATGCGTATTATACTACCATTTCACGTATTCAAATTACCAAATACCAGCCGTCATCACATGCATCCCCGCCCAGCCACACTCCGCATCTGCTGCCAATCAAGCGATGACGTAGTCGCGGAGCTCTATGTAGTAAGAGTCGGAGATACTGTTGTTCCGTTCCCGGTCATTGGGAGGAGCTTTGTGGTCCGTGCCCTGCCAGAAAAAGGCAGGAGCGATAAAAGATAAAAAAAAAAAAAAAAAAAGAAGAAAATTGGGCTCGATTGAACACCTCAGAGCAATTATTTTGCTGCCTGCCTTGTCTTTGCTGCCATCTGAGAGTGGCGAACTAAGCTGCAGCCTGTTCCAGTCCATTATGCACTCCTATATTCGCCCAAACGATTATGTCGGTGTTCGGTTGCCTTCGGAGGGTACCAGGATCATCCGACCTGTGCCAAATACGTGAGTTGGTTGAGTGCCTGGCAATGCTAGGGAGCCTGTGGTATTCTGGTGGCGCTAATGTCTTCCTCGCAGTACGGTTTCGCTAGGAAAATACGGCAGCTTCCCTGCGAATCAGATTATCGGGCGACCGTACCACCTCACCTTCGAGATCACCGAGACCCCCGACGAAGATGGGAACATCTTGCGCGTTGTGTCTGCTGCTGAGCTCCATGCAGAATCCTTGATTAGTGATGGCTCCGGAGAGGCAGATGGAGAGGGGGAAGAGCTGGAGATGTATGGTGATGGCGATGCTCCCATGCGCACGAACCGCGAAATCGTTGACGACTCGTCCACGCAGAAGATGACGCTGGAGGAGATTGAGGCGTTGAAGAAGGAGGCAGGTGGTGCAGGGCGGGAGATCATCGCAAAGTTGCTTGAATCACACACAGCCCTGGATCAGAAGACCGCGTTCTCCCTCGCCAAGTACACTTTGCGCAAGCGGAAGAAGTACATGAGGCGATTTACCCCGATTCCTCTGGATGTCGGTTTCCTTACCAACTACATGCTCGGTGAAAAGGATGCGGCAAAAATCATGGAGCTGAGAGATGAGGCAATCGGGCTGATTGGGTGTTGGGGGAATGTTCATCATGGTGGAAATACGCCCATTGAGGATGCCATGGGGTCAAGGCCCAACAGTCGTTATTTCGTTGTCGACGAAACTGGTGGTCTCATCGTTGCCGCGATGGCTGAGCGAATGGGCATTTTATTCTCTGAAGATGGCGATGATGAAGCAACCTCTACAGTACCTGAACCATCGCAGCATCCGGCCAACGAAGATGGCCAGACTGAAGCAGACCAGACAGAGCCCGGTGCGGAAGATTCCGTACCGTCCCGCTCACCACATCAGCAGCCCATGTCTGCTTCTGGAAATACAATCACCCTCCTTCATGCCCATACACGACCCAATCTTTCTCTCCTGAAGTACTTTGGCTTCGACTATGATAATCCAGACGAGTCTCACCCGCTTTTCAAGCATTTGAAAACGGTGTCCTGGCTGCAACTCGTTGACCCTAGCACAGATCCTATATACTCAAATGAGCCAGAGGAACCGTCGCAGGAGACACTGTCAACGATGAAGGCCAGCAAACGCAATGCATTTTATCGCAAGCGGAATCGCTGGGCGCGGACTCGAAATGTTGTGGATGAGGCCCGAGCGGGGGGCTTTGATGGTCTTATCGTCGCCAGTTTGATGGAACCTGCCACGATCATGAAATACGCTGTGCCATTACTTACCGGCTCTGCCTCTGTAGTGGCATTTTCACCCACCGTTGAACCGCTGTCCGAACTCGTCGATCTGTATTCCACACATCGCAAAACAGCCTTCATCACCCAAAAACGGCAAATTAGAGAGCAGGATGAAGAAGACCAGGTACAGGGCTTGGCTGAACTCGAGGCCGAATTCATAGTCGACCCCTCGCTTCTCGTCGCGGCGTCAGTCCAGACCTCCCGAGTGCGCTCATGGCAGGTTCTCCCCGGTCGTACACATCCATTAATGTCCAGCCGTGGCGGGCCCGAGGGTTACATATTTCATGCCATCCGTGTTCTGCCGGCGCAAGACCATATCCAGGCAGCTGGCAATCAAAGCCGAAAGAGAAGGAAAGTCTCGCAGAAGGAAACCACAGCTCCTGCAACTACTGCTACCGACAGTGGTGACGCCAATACCGATATCCAAATGAGATTATAGTCAGTTACATGGGGAAATATAGAGAACAGCCTACCGCAGATTTTTGTATGGTTATTTTGGCATCAACATCAGGTCCTTACGAGTGCCTTAAAGGTTTATATAAATGTAATTACAGGGCCTCGGAACAAGTCACTATAGATGGAAATCTGCCGCTAGTTGCCAAGATGCGAAAATACTTTCGCTTCCATGTGACGATGGAAATCATTATACAAAATTTTGTGCTCGGAATATATCTTTACTTAATATTCATTACTTCACATCCATCCCGTACAACACCCACTAACCCGCCGGTTTGGACAGCTTCCGACCCGCCTCCAGAGAGACGCCACTCGATTTCCGCCAGACCTTCCAGCCATGTGATTCTCGTCTGCGCGGGAACTTCTATCCTCTGCAACTGCTCTCCCAGCGCGGTGAGAATGTCTGCTAGGGCGAGACCTCGATTGGCCTTGAGAGTGTTGAGAGTTGACAGGCAGGAAGTGACATCGCTCGTGGAAAGTAAAGTATTCATGATTTCGTGGATATCAGAGGGATGAGGAGCAGCAATACAATCATAAATTGTCTCGTTGGTGATAACTTCTGGTTCGGGGAGAGGTTGATCTTTCGGGGCATTCCTTAGGGGTAACGGTTTGCCTGCAAGAGAAAGATTAACGAGTAGACCAAAAGGAGCCTACTAAGAAAGGATATTCTTACTGCTTGCACGGCATGCTTGTAGCACATTCAATGCTCGGCGCATATCGCCCTTGCTCAACTTAACCAGACTCTGGATTGCCTCAGGCCGAATCTGCACCTTCTCCTTCTCAATGACTTGATCAACTAGGACCTTGATATCTGCCTCTTTCAGAGGACTAAAGCGGAAACGAGTACACCTAGAAAGAAGTGCTGGCGACAGTTTATGCGTGTAGTTTGCTATAATGCAGAATCGGGTGTTAGCGGTGTATTTCTCCATGATTCGGCGGAGAGCCATCTGTGCTGTTGATGTCATAGCGTCCGCTTCGTCAAGGATGATCAACTTGAAGGCGCCAAGAGAGGAGCTATTGGCGGTTGTTGAGGGAGCCATAGAAAAGATTTGCTTGGTGCCTAGTGGCTCTTAGTTCCCATTATATAGTTCCGCCATGAATGGTAAGACTGACTAGCAAATGTCTTGATCTGCTCTCGTACGACATCAATGCCTCGATCGTCACTGGCATTGAGCTCCAACACCATCTGTCGCATATTTTTGCCGCCGTATATCCGTCTGGCAAGCGCGAGAATCGTAGATGTTTTTCCTGTTCCGGGGGGCCCGTATAGGAGGAGATGCGGTAAACGCTGCCAAAAGAGCTTAGCTATAGCCTCAAAGGTAGGAATGGGATTGGAGCCTATACATTTGCGTCAATAAATTTATTGATTGTAGCGAGGATATCCTGATGCCCGGAGACATCATCGAGTGTGTTGGGTCGATATTTTTCTACCCTTTTTAATATCAGAATGTGTCATACGTCTAGAAAGATTTATAATAACAGTCACTTACCATGGTAAATTATCTTGGGCCTCAACCGGCAGGTCTGCTGCTGGTCTCTTAGCTTTTGAGTTCGTGTTGTCAGAGCTGAACTGGACAGTCCCTTTGGAGGGCACGTCCACGTCCATTTCGTCCTCAAAATCCGACATGATAGAGGCAGGATTGAGAAAAGCCGGGTCTGGAAAAACCGATCAAGCAGCTCAATGAATAATTCACAGTTTCACTGGAGACAATACTTGCTGGTCTCAAGCCGACGCGTGAAGCTTCTCGAGGCGCGTAAAGAGGTTCGGGACCGGAAAAATAACCTGCAACAGCCGCGCGGGCGGTGAGCGATGACATGCGGACCTCCCGCTGCAACCCAAACGAACAACCATCACATCGCAACCCTCATTAGACAGGCTCTAGGAGGCGTTGACTATTCTTCCGACTTGCAAGATGCCTGTATGTGACATTATGCTTCATATGAGTGTTATAAATCAGCCATTCCTCATTGACGATGTTTTAGGCCTACCACTCCATCTTCCTCGAGGACCGGGATGTCCCCGTAATTGGTATGCCTACATGCACAACCCCCCCCCTCCGCCTCAATGCATCACGGGCAAATTGACCAAGGTCAAGCCTTTGACGCCAGGAGAATGCATTCCAGAGATGGCTAACTCTGCTTCTTACGATCAATGTAGGAAACTTCCCCATTCTCCCCCTCCGCACTCGCACGCGCGGCCCCGCATACACGCTTCCCCCGCTACCGCCTAATACCGCCGATATCGACGTACCCGCGGACAGCGAATCGTACGACTGCATCGACGAGGTCTTGTCTCTGTTTCGAGCCAATGTCTTATTCCGGAACTTTGAGATCAATGGACCGGCGGATCGGATGCTTATCTACGGCATCCTCTTCATCAGCGAGTGTCTGGGCAAGGTCAAGCCGACGATGACAGCTCGGGAGGCCGAGAAGGTATATACCCTGCTTCAGAGTCAATGTCTCGCCATATGATTGTGATTGTATATCTAACCGCATCTTCTTCCTTTGGCCAGGCTCTTATTAACGCCTCCCTCGAGAACTTCGCCATTCCCGGTGACGTGTCGTTCCCTCTCAATCAGGCGTTCGAGGCACCTCACGATCGCCAAGATGCAGAGACCCTCAGAGCGTACGTTGTGAAAAGGAAGGATCGGGGAATCGATAGTGTTACAATGGCTAACAATTTAAACTTAGATATATCTCCCAAGTGAGACAGGAGATTGCGCTTCGTCTTCATGCGAGGTTATACGCTGACGGTCCTAGTCCATCCAAGGCAAGTTCCCTATCTCTGTTTGCCACGTACACGCCGCGTCTAACATGGAATTAAAACAGTGGTGGCTCAGTTTCGCGAAGAGGAAGTTCATGGGCAAGAGCCTGTAGATGGAATGAAGCGGAGGATTGAGCAGCTGTTTTCTTTTCTTAGTATTATATTGATCTCTCCAGCGTACAAAGAGCACCTGTAGCCTCTTTTTCATTTCAAGGAGCAGCCATTGCCGTGGTTATATGTACAGTATTGTAGGAAGTGACCCAGTTGCAATGCATCTGGTTCTGGTAGGGATGGACTTATCAATCTAAGAAACCAATATCATTTCTGATCCTGCTTGTATATAATAATGGTACTGAATGCGCCACACTATGACTAACCCTGCGCAATTGGCCAACTCTTACCGACTACTAGAATATTCTGTCCGAGGGAAACATCAAAGTATGAAAGCCATAGTTGCTGCCTTCATAATCTTCTTTCACCTAATGAGAAGTGTAGGACCGGTCCATCATCCAGTGCTGCCAATGACTCTCAATGGTATCATCTATGCAAACTGCTGGAGAAAGAAAAGACACCCGAGCGCTCGACAGACGAAGCATTTGAGGTAGTTCTTCTGAATGCGATGTCTTCAAACCTCTTTCCTGGAGGACTGTTACTGATAGGCAGCAATACGGAGTTTAAGGCATTCGACCTACCAAGTACGTTGATGCTGATCGACGTGGATCTCGTTCCGGTCTCCGAACGGATTGTTCTCATCGTCATCCTCTTCTTCTGATTCGGATTCTGAATCGCTGGGGTAAACTCTGTGGCGGGATGCCAACGAAGAAATGGAAAGGTTTGCAGGCCGTGGCGGTCTCGGTGGCTTGGGGGGATTGACGGCAAGGCCAGAAAAGCTTTCTCTGATGTCTTGCTCTCGATATGGCCACTTGCCCTCGAGAACATCCTGGTCACTGTCGCTATCGTAGTCGACACTCTTGTCAAGGACCTCAAATGCCGTGAGAGCCGTGACAAGCTCTTCATTTGCATGGATAAGACTTCCAAGAAACTCCTCGCTCTCGATGTGCTGGATGTATCGAAGAATCTGGTGCCGGAGCTTCTTGCATGTCTCGAATCTATTGATCACTTCTGCATCCTCGCTCACACGTTTAGTCTCTCGGTTGACAAGCTTAAGGGCGTTGAGGAGATTGGTGCTTGCCACCGAGCAGGAGGCCAGACTCTGTAGAATTTCTGGGCGTTCTTTATCCAGACTAAACTTCCTTTCGTGGGTCTTCTTCTCTTTCTTCTTCGATTTGCTAGAAGAATATTTGTGTTTAGGACTACTGAGAACCGTGGCTGGTCCATCTCCAGCAGATATAGAGACCGAATGCCCCAGTGGCAGTTCACTCGACTCCCCCGCATCGCGCAAAACCTTTGCTTTGGCCAAGTTTGCGGGTTGTTTTCTCTTAGGCAGTTGCTTGTAGAGGGCGGCGATCTGTTCCATTCCATGTGTATTCTTGTAACTCACCGCCCATTGGCCGAAAAGTTCCTTGCATTTTTGTTTGACCAGGGGATCCGAAATAGGATCAGTCGCAGCAATTCGTAATCTCTCTAGAAGGGTCTCGTCGGCGAATTCCCTCAGAAATCGATCTCCGGCGTTTTGAATGAGAAAGTCGAGAATGGTGAGTGCTCTTAACTGCCGGTGGAGGTTACCATATTTGCTATGTAATTGTTAGAAAATTAAAAGTACGCTCTCGACGTGGCGGATGTCTACTCACAGCTTCTTGCGTAACGCACGGCTTGCTTCTTTCGGGCCACTAGCTTGGATGCGAATGACTTCGATGAGATCAATAATTCCACTCGAGTCCTCGATCTCGTACTGTTCACTCGTGAGGACCTCGATCTGCACTGTCACTGCAGAGTACGGCTTCTTCAAGCCGCATATTTTTTCAGCGACCAGACATTCGTTTTAGGTTGTGGTGGTGCAGAATAATAAACATACCGAGCTGTGAAACATGGTGGAGGAAGGCTTGCTTTGGAGACCTGCTGTCAGCAATTCTAGACGTCGAACTCAGCTAAAAGCCGAATGAATGCTTCTAACCTATTTTCTCCCTTGTATTCCAATCTCAATTCATCCAAATCTTCAATAGCCAGCCCTGGGGCGTTGAAAATCGTGGTAGGATGCGCGACTCGACACCGATGACGTCTGGAGGGGCCGTGCGTCAATCTAAGCCCTCGTAGGGATTATTCGAGCGCCGTTTCAGGTATATCTCGGCCTCGGTATTATGCGAGAGGCGTTTCCAGGATGTTGGAAGAGAGAGGAACTTGTCAGTTGCCAAGAATCGCAGATACTATCGTCGTCAAAACTCCCGTGCTATCCGGTGGGCTGATTAACCAAGTGATAACGACTCGGGCGTCGTTGAAGAAGTTGATAGGGATATGTTGCAAAAATAAGGATACCAGGCTGGTCTGATCTCAAGTGAGATGTCTGTCAAACCCCCAAACTGGTGAAGAAGGGGTGTTGTACAGACTTTCAAGGCAAACTTTTGTGACAAAACATCTCACATGCTGGTCTGGCTCGTGACTGCCCCTCGCCTGTCGTCCGGGGTGGCCCAAAGAGGACTAGGGCGGGACCAGGTTGAGGGAGCAACGTGAAAGCGCTGCCGGGAATCGGTTGACTGGCATTATTATTGTTACAATTGCATTCTGGTCCATCAACCATTGTTTGTGTGTTGTTGAGGCTCTGCTACCTGCCAGAGCAGATCTGTCATTTCTGATTCTATGCCAGTGCCCTGGAAAACCCACTCGACAATCAATCCGAAGCGCTTCCTCCTACAGCTGATCGTCTGCTCCACTTTCGTCCTGGCCCTGAGCGTCGTCATCCATTTCCGATCCCGCCTCACCCATCTTATCGCCGACATTACCCCTCCTCCACGAATTTTTTCTACCACCTCCCTGTCATCAAATATGTCTTACCAGCAGGAGCGGCTCATTGCCGAACTCGCCGTTCAGCGCGCCAGCCTTTTGACCCAGAAGGTCTTCTTCGAGAAGGCCAAGGGCACCGTTTCGAAAGATGACAAGTCTCCTGTTACCATTGGCGATTTTGGGGCACAAGCTCTGATTATTCAGGCCATCCGCAAGAACTTCCCCAACGATGAAATTGTTGCTGAGGAAGAAGCCAGCTCTCTAAGAGAGGATAAGGCTCTGAGCTCTGAGATCTGGCGCTTGGTCAAGGATATCAAACTGGAGGATGAGGAGAGCAACAATTTGCTGGGCGGTCAATTGCCAAGTGAGGAGGCCATGCTGGACATTATTGATCAGGGAAAGAGCGCCGGTGGTGCTCAGGGACGTATCTGGGCGCTGGACCCCATTGACGGCACCAAGGGCTTCCTTCGGGGTGGGCAATACGCCGTTTGTCTCGGTTTGATCGTGGACGGCGATGTCCAAGTCGGGGCAATTGGATGCCCCAATCTGCCCGTCGACGACTCTGTGACTATCTCCTCCCAGACCGGTGCCCAGCAGACCAGTGATGCCGGTAAGGGCGTCCTCTTCTCCGCAGTCAAGGGCACCGGAGCCACCAGTCGCCCTCTTTCCAACGGCACTCTCGCTGCCAGCAAGCCGATTTCCATGCGTCCCGTTCCCGATCTTTCGCAGGCCGTCTTCTGCGAGGGTGTTGAGGCAGGTCACTCCGCCCAGGGCGACAACGCCGCTGTCGCCGAACTCCTGGGTATCACTAAGCCCAGCGTGCGTTTGGACTCCCAGGCCAAATACTGCTCCATTGCCCGTGGAGCCGGTGACATTTACCTGCGTCTGCCGGTCAAGAAGGACTACCAGGAGAAGATCTGGGATCACGCTGCTGGGGATCTCATCGTGCGGGAGGCTGGCGGCCAGGTGACTGATATCTACGGCAACCGACTGGATTTCAGCAAAGGCAGGACCCTGGCTGCCAACAAGGGCGTGGTCGCGGCTCCCAAGGCCATTCAGGATCAGGTCATTAATGCGGTTAAAACTGTGTTGAAGCTATAGAAGAACAATGTTGTACATAAAGTGTGGAGGCAGAAATGTGTATCTAGAATACAATTGGTAGGTACTGAGGATATAGAAAGCAACAGCGCCTAAATATACACAAGCCCAAACAGAATGAGACCGACCCCCTGAACAAATAATTGCCATCCTTTATTTGATCTTCTTTGCCTTGAGCTTGATGGTCTCCCCGTTGACGAAGATACCCTTGCCCTTGTACGGCTCCGGCTGCCTCCACGCTCTGATTCTAGCAGCAAACTGCGTCACGGCCACCTTGTCAACGCTCTCCAGTAGGATACGCGTAGGCTGGGGAGTGCTAGCTTTGACCCCCTTGGGAATTCCCAATTCGATGGGGTGCGAGAATCCGAGCTTGAGAGACACGAACTGCTGGCCAGGGAACTCGGGTTTGATAGTGGTCGCGGTGGACTCGATCATGGCTCGGTAACCCACACCAACCAGACTGAGAATACAGATGTGTCCTTCCGAGACTCCAAGGATATGGTTCTGCAGTTGTGCGCGGGCCGTTCCTACAAGGTGATGAATCATCGGTTAGAACAAAACTCTTCTGTCTTCATCTTCGTAGCAAATCCATACCCCACATGGCACGCTGGTGCGGAATCAACGGATCCAAAATCGAGACAGAAGCCTTGTGCGTGGCCTCGTCGTGGGCGACATCAACAAAGGGAGGAAGTTTCATGGTTATTTCGCCTAAGGGTAGAAATTGTGAGTTAGCCCGAGGGGATCAACATGGCAGTGGGAAAAAAAGGGCAATGATGAGTCCTGTCTCTCTTACCCAATGGCCCCTTGATTTCAATAGCAGTATTTGGGATCTCTTTTCCCCGGCCTCGCACTTTAGGATTCCGGATATTGATGAATTGAAGAGACACTTCCGGTGGTACTGAGACCGGAGCGCCGCCAATACGGGACTGGGCCGGCGACGTCGACGAGAAGCATTGCGCTCGAAGAGGGCGGGAGAAAGCCGGTGCCAGGAACACAGGGAGCGAGCTCCCTCTCAGAGGGTCCCGTGTCAGCTGCTTCAAGCAGCTTCGCGATATAGAGCACGACATGGCGATGTTGGGTGGTTGGCTGCTTTATTGACTTGGCAGCTCCGATCTCAGATGGAATTTGTCCGCAGGCCGTGGTTTCTGAAATAGGTTTAGCGTGTGCTATACCACGTGACTACTATATACTAAACGATTTATTAAGGCAATATTATTTCTCTTTTCTTTCTTTTAACTTAAAAGAAATTCCCAGGCAAATTCTGTGAGGAAGAAAGTTGCTTCTGGCATGCGTACAGAGTCATGTGAGAGTCCGTCTGAGCTCTTGAAATGCTTCAATTCCTCATTCCCGTCTCTTCCACGCTTTCCTTCTCCCATCAGATCATGACTTGTTGCCCACTCTTTGCCAGATGACCCTGTCTTATAATTATTTCCTTGATTAGGGGATCGATATTTTGCGCGTTTAGCTATACGGATCCCCAGCACTGTCATTTCTTTTCTTTGCTTTACAGACCAATCGGGCTGTACGCCCTGAAGACCGTGAAGATGGGTTTCATTCATTTCCTTTCCTCATTCTTACTTCTATTTGTCTTTTCTCCCCTGGCCTTCGGAAAATCGGATATAATACAGCATGGTGAGTTTCCGATAGGGGAAATGAAGACCGCGTGTCCTACTGATGGCAGCGCCAGACCTTTCTACTCAGATTGAGAGCTCGTTCGAGAACGTGGACCTCGCTTCATTCCTCAACACTAGGTCTCGACAGCATGATACCATTATGACCGAGGCTCTAGACCTCCTGGAATCGATGAAGGCGTCTCCTTCCTGTAACCGGATTGCAGCAACAAAACTAGTTACCTCGTGTCAATCTATCGGGGAGGCTGCAGAGAAGGCCACTCCAGATGTACACCTAGCCTTGGATTATGTCAAGTCTTTGTACGCTGCGAGACTTGCCCTCTGCGAACTGAAAGGGGCGGGGGCCTCGATTCCAACTTCGTGTATTCCGATCACAGTCAATAAAAAACAACGGAAGGGGCTTTTTGGTCTCTCTACAAAGTCAAATTTTCAAATTGACTTCTCGGAATCCACAACACCTGTGGCGCTCGAGTCGTGTCTCAAAGCAATGGAATCTCGACCACAATGGTGGACTTCTTACAGTAATAGCAGGCAGAATGCTATGATCATTTGCCAGGCAGCTAGAATCGAGACTGAGAAGGATGAACTGCTGGAACTACATAGATCGATCGTGGACAGTACAATCAAGTTGAATCAGGGGCTTCAGGATGCCCTACAGAGAGCAGCTGCCGAGTCTGCTCAACATGACGCCTTTGCCAAAGCTGTCGCATCAATGCGATCGAACCTGAGTCGTGAAATGGGTGAGACGGAGTCTCAATTGCAACGTGCGATGAGTTCTTTCATCCATGATTTGGAATCTACTGTGGGTTCTCTGGTTTCAAGCGTGGCTGCAGTGCTGAGGGTAGTGGATCTGGAGGCTGTCGTTCTACAGAATGTAGGTCAGGAACTGTATAGGGCTTGGAAGATTAGTTCTAACGTTACCTAGGACATCCGAAATGCAACTTACGAGCTGGCATTTCTCTCAGATACACTGAGAGATATTAACAAAGCTGAATTGGAAAGAAATGAGGCCCTGATGTCTGTGCATCAGGAAGGCTTCGAGGCGAACAACCAACTCACTACAGCATTACGGTCTTCTATACAATCTATATTGGAGAGAGACGTCACTCGACTTACCCAGGAATTGGGAAGTTTTGATACAGCATTGGTAAGCGATTTTGCTGAGACAAATGTCTCTGAAACGTTATCCACTGACTGCACCCAGGACTGGCTCGGTGGAAAACTGAATCTCGTTATACAACAGGAAGTTATGATATCTCAGGTTTGATTGTCTGCCCCTGAAGATACAAGAGAAAGGCTCTAATTCTTTCCAGCGTCTTCAAAATGTGCAGACAGCTCTGGAAGAATCGGAGACAAAAGCCGGAAGCCTCCTGAAAGCACAGTCACTTCAGTCGGAGGCTATAGCTGCACAATCTCACGCGCAAGATACCCTTCGACTGAACACACAGATTATACAGTCACTCCTTGACAAAGCCATGGCCACGGCGGCGAATATGCAGGCCATCGTAGAGGAATCTACCTCGAAGTTCCACAACGCGCCAGGTCTACAAGGCCTGGTAGGCAAATTCTCCGTTTGGACTCTCTGTGCTCTTCTTTCCGGCCTTGTTGGGGCACAGAATCCACGCTCCAGCATGCTCGTACTCCTTATTAGCTCTAGTGAGTATGATTCCGATGCAGTTTACTATCTACTGACATTTATAGTACATTTCGTACTCATGAATATATTATGATCAACGACTGACGACCTGACGACTTTTTTCCTTGATCCCATGCTATTTATTTTCATCGCCAATATTTAATCTCATTTCGCTTCCCTACCTGCTCTTCGCTTTCTCGGTGCATTGATGACTGTGTGCGACACATGTTGTCGCGCTCACTTGCATTTTTCGTCTTCGTTTACTCGGCGTTTTGATTTTCATCCGTCTGTGCTTTCAGTTACAGGTCCATCAAGGAGAAAGATATCAAGATGGATAGCTTTAGGTAGATATGCCTGAGCATTTGAGTTTAACTTAAAAGTCAACTTGTTTGTTTCAACTGCCAATGATACCCTAGCAAAAGCCTACTACTACTAAGCAATGCCCAGAGTAGGCGTGAAGCTCTAGTCATCCTTGATATTCGGGTCCTTACGGGCTCTCGGCACGAACCGGCCTCTGCTTCTGGATTCACTAGAGCAGGAATGCAGTCACTACAGCTTGCTCCAGTCGTTTCAGTCAGTAGCAGGTTCATTCACTGGCGTGTTGAGACTTGACACATTGCCTCGAACAGGCAGATAGCCAGTATTCATTCCCTTGTACCTTTGTCACTCAGACCCGGTTGATGACATACCAAATGCCCTGGAATCAAAGAATAGCCGCCCCCACCAGGCTAGATATGTTCCTTGAACATACTCTGTAATATCCAGGTGAGGTCGGCTTTTGAAAACGGGCTGAAGGACTTTGGGGGTCGATACCATTACCCAGTGCCTAGTGCCCACTCTCACACACCCATGGTGTTGGGCACACATTCCCACTCCACTCGTGTGGAGTACCCCATCTTTATCCCTGATTATCAGGATGCTAAGTGACGAAGTCGCCCTGGTTCTTGTGGAGAAATTACTAGCAGTTCCAGCATTGTCAGCATGGGAACCCAACCGCGTCATACGGCGTATACCTCCCCGAGAGTTACCTTTAATGTTGATCTTCCATCCTGTAGTTTTGATATCAGAATAGTACACAACGAAGATATTCCTCAGAAGTACTCCGAAGACTGCCACTGGATACTACCTATTGGTAATTGAGGCTTCCAAAAGGCCCAGTCTGAGACTCTTGGACTCTTCACACAGTGTTGACCGCCTCCAGCCGAGGGACAGCGAATACCGAGCGTATGATTGGTGCAGCCCCTGGACTAGGCCCAAAAAAGAAACTACCGGTGGACCTTTCGGGAACCGTGTTCCGACTCTTTCTTGGTGCCTCTCCGAACAGTTCCTTTGCTACTCGTCAACTTCTGTTGTGTATCAACCACGACTGGGGATGAAACGAGCGGCTGTTCCACAATGGATTGACTGGCTGGTTATTCGCTTCCCTCTGGGGACCGTACTCGACGGCCAGGACTCTATATGAGAGGCTTGAACCCTGTCTAGAGCGCCGAGATCTGCTCTACAGCAAAAGCACGGCCAGCACCGCGGATTCTGGTTCCCGAACAACTCGCCGCTCGTCCATCGGCCTCTCGAATTAAGGTTACTGACCATGGCTATAGAGGCCAACCAGATGATGCGAATTACGTCGTGTCCGCTGGCCCGGTCTGGGGTACTCCATGGGGCATTGGGGTTGAGCGGAGAAGCTCCTAGACCAGATACGGGCTCTGAGAAACAATACGAAGTCCCCCATCACACCGAGTATAAATGGGGCCCCGGTACTCGATGAATTTGATCAGCGGATAGGGATCATTCCTTTTTTTTAATTTTCCTTATTGCTTATCTGATCTGACCATGGCGGCGGGCAAGAATGAGCGCGATATGTTGGAGGTCCAGGAAGCCGGACTGGGGACATCCACAGACTTCGCCTCCTCCAAGGACGCCATGATCCTGCTCGAAAGTGCGAGAAAGGCCACCGAGGCTGAGCACAACATGACCCTCTGGCAGGGGCTGAAGCTGTACCCGAAGGCCGTCTTCTGGAGTGTGATCATCTCGACGTGTATCGTCATGGAAGGCTACGACGTGTGTCTGCTCTCGACCTTCTACACGCTTCCGGCCTTCAATCGGAAGTATGGCGTCCGCCTCGCGGACGGTGATTACCAGGTTTCGGCCCCGTGGCAGTCTGGACTCAGCAACGGGGTCAACGTGGGCGAGGTCATCGGCCTGTTGCTGAATGGCTGGCTCTCGGAGCGGATCGGGTACAAGAAGACCGTGCTGGGGTGTCTGCTCAGCTTGGCGGGGCTCATCGCCATCTTCTTCACGGCCCCGAACGTCGAGGCGCTCCTCGTGGGTGAGATCCTCTGCGGAATCCCGTGGGGGGTCTTTCAAACTCTCTGTGTGACATATGCAAGCGAGGTTAGTTATGGATGACAGTGTTGTTGTCTTTCTCTCTTTTCTTCCTCAGAATTCTAATACCTTTTGTTATCTTTCTAGGTCTGCCCTATTGCTCTTCGCGGATACTTGACTACCTATGTCAACTTTTGTTGGGGATTTGGTCAAGCCCTCGGACTCGGGGTGATCAAGGCCTTGCTGAACCGCGATGATCAGTGGTCATACCGCATCCCGTACGCTCTGCAGTGGATGTGGCCTGTGCCCCTTATGGTGTGTCTCCTTTTCGCTCCCGAGTCGCCTTGGTGGCTGGTACGGAAAGAAAGGCTCGAAGACGCGAAGAAAGCGCTGCTGCGGTTGACCAGCTTGAACCGTGAAACGAACTTCAACGTCGACGAGACGATCGCCATGATGGTGCACACCAACCATCTGGAGGAATCCATCTCCCATGGCGCCTCATATCTGGATTGCTTCAAGGGAACCGACCTCCGTCGCACCGAGATCGTCTGCATGGTCTGGGCCATCCAGAACCTCAGCGGGAATTCCTTCTCTAGCTATTCTAGTTATTTCCTGCAGCAGGCTGGCTTGCCGACTAGCACCGCCTATTCCTTTGCCATCGGACAATACGGCATCAACATGCTGGGCGTGGTTGGGTCTTGGTTCCTCATGACGCTGGGCGTTGGGCGCCGGGCGCTGTACCTATACGGCCTATGTGCGTTGTTCATCATGCTGCTCGGCATGGGGCTTTTAGGTCTTGCGCCCGCGTCGGCCAAAAACGCAAGTTCAATGGCCACAGGATCCATGATGCTGGGCTGGGCCCTCTGCTACCAGCTCACCGTGGGCACGGTCTGCTTCTCGCTGGTGTCCGAGATCTCCACCCGCCGCCTACAGATCAAGACCGTCGTGCTGGGCCGCGCGCTCTACATCGTCGCCAACATCCTCTGCAGCGTCGTCACCCCCTACATGCTGAACCCTTCCGCCTGGAACTGGGGCAACTACGCCGGTCTGTTCTGGGCCGGCCTGTGCGCCTGCAGTATCGTGTACGTGTACTTCCGGGTCCCTGAACCGGCTGGCCGCACCTTTGCCGAGCTCGACATGCTCTTCGAACGCCGCATCAGCGCCAGGAAGTTCAAGTCCGCCAAGATCGACGTCTTCACCGACAACGGCCGGCCGGAACCCGATGAAGAGAAGCCAGACGTCGTTCATGTTGAATGAATACCATCAATCTCTAATTATATTCTATGTATATCTTTATTGGTCAATGCGAATAGCATATAATACCTAGAGTCAACCGTAAGGATCTTCATATACGAGCTTTTCCCATTTGGACACGGAGTCTCCGTATCTAAACAATCAACCGGATAAATAACTTAGGCGATCTTACAATCCTGCTAATGATAGCCGATCTATTTATTAACTACAACCCATCGATAAATACCCAAAACGAGAGAAATTCAAGCTTAAGCTCAGCATGTCTTATCCCCAAGAAACCTTCCACCGCACCCATTTCACCCCCGGCTCGTTCTGGGCCAAACGCCGCGCTGTAGCATGGCAGACCACCCTGCCCGCCCAGCTGGCCATCCTCAAGTCGACAGGCCGATACGACGCCTTCAGGATGAAATGGCATCCTGTCTATGCAGAGGGCCATCGCGCGCTCTTCTGGGACTCCGACGTCGGGAAATGGTTGGAGAGTGCGTGCTACTTCCTCGCTGAGCGGGCGCAGGACCCAGATTACAGTCGAATGGATAAAGAGGGGGATGGGCTTATCGATGAGGCTGTCAGGGAACTCACGGCGATGATCGGCACCGCGCAGTGTAGAGATGGGTATTTGAATATTCGCTTCACGGTCGTCGAGCCGGGGAAGCGGTTCACGAATATCCGCGATTTACACGAGTTGTAAGTTCAATTTCTCACCAAGAAATAGTGGTCCAAGTGTTAATGCTTATAGGTACAATGCTGGCCATCTGCTCGAGGCAGCGCTCATTCACCACCAGCATTACCAGAACGACCTTCTGCTGAGCCCGATGCTCAAGTACGTGGACCTCTTGTGTGAGACGTTCGGCCCCGGTCCAGATCAGATCCATGGGTATCCGGGTCATCCAGAGATCGAGCTGGCTTTGCTTCGGCTATACGAACGTACGGGGCACAAGAATGCCTTGAAACTAGCCCAGTTCTTCATCACCGAACGGGGGAACCCCAACGGGCCTCAGGGCCAGCATTTCTACCTCACCGAGGCAGAGCAACGCGGCGAACATCCTGCCGAGCGCCCGTGGAAGGATGCCTCGGAGTTGAGGCTTCCGTACTGGTACCAGCAGGCACACCAGCCGATTCTGGAACAGCAGACCATCGAAGGCCATTCGGTGCGAGCCATGTACCTTCTGACGGCCGTGGCAGACCTGGTTCGGATTTCGCGCAGCAGCACAGACGTAAGGGATTGTGAAGGTTACAAGACGGCCTGTGAGCGTCTCTGGAACAACATGGTCGATAAAAAGATGTACCTCACCGGAGGCATCGGCTCCAGATCGGAGTGGGAGGGGTTCGGTGTCGATTACCTCCTTCCCCAGGGTTGGGACGAAGGAGGGTGCTACGCCGAAACCTGCGCCAGTATCGGGGTCATGATGATGGCCGAGCGGATGCTGCAGCTGGATCTTGACGGGAAATACGCCGATATCATGGAGCTAGCGCTGTACAATACCGTTCTGGGCAACATGAGCCAGGATGGCAAGGAGTTCCTCTATGAGAACCATCTGGCTAGCTGCCCGCGGCGCCCGATGAAGCGAGAATCCTGGTTCGACTGTGCCTGTTGTCCACCGAACGTTGCTCGAACCATGGGGATGCTGGGTGGGTATATGTGGTCAACGGAGGTGAAGGGAAAGGACGTGACTATTAACGTGCATCTGTTCAACCCGGCAACATTGAAGTTCCAGGTGGGCGAGCATACAGTCACACTGCAGCAAAGAACCAACTGGCCCTGGAACGGCACCGTTGTCTTTGTTCTCGACGCTCCATCTTCCCTCAATATCACCATTCGCCTGCGAGTTCCGGCTTGGACTGTTCCGTTCGAAGATGGAAGTCGTGTCCAGGTATATTTGACTGTGTATGGTTTGTGCTATAGATTGGCTAACCTTGCTAGATCCGCCCTGAGTTGCCAGCACAATCTATTTCAAAGTCTTATCTCATGCTGCCGCCCGAATACACCTCCCAGCATGTCAAGAAAGAGATCGAAGTCTCATTCAGCAAGCAAAGCATGGCTCCTCGCCTTGTACGTCCACATCCGTACACCAGTCTCGACACGGTAGCCGTCGCTCGAGGACCCCTGATCTATTGTGCCGAGGATGTGGATAACGACTGGGTGAACGACCACTTCAAGTCCACTGCCATCTCGAGGAATGCCCATCTGCAAGAAATCGTTCAACATAATGATTTCCTTGACGAAGACTTCCTCATGATCAAGACCACAGGCGTGAAGTTGAACGAGGAACAGTATTCCAATCGGTCGAACGGAGTGTTTCCTGGATTTGCCGTGACCCAGCCAGTAGAGCCGCAGGGAGAGCAGGTCCCTCTTATTCTTGTCCCGTATTACTACCGGGGCAACAGAGGAGGACGAGGCCATATGAGAGTAGGATTCAAGAGATCTGATTAGTTTAGAAAATAAGTAGCTAGTAGCTAGTGACTAGTTCGCGAGTCGCTATCTTCAATGAATCAACTCATGCCTGCTATAACCCTGGTCAAGGAGTCATATCATGCTCGTTCGAGAGAGAGGATAAAGGTCAAGAGGTTCAGGGGAGGAGGATTGCTGTAGAGCACTACCTAGATAACCACCATGGAGAAAACCCAGGAATGGGTTCTTTCTACATTAAACCCGTTGACGGATTTCCCTCAGCATCGCATCAGCTTCTGACGCCCCAGCCTGGGTGTCGATCCTGACAGGCTCTCCATGCATATTTAGCAGACTCACCCCCCCTGCCTGCATCGTCACAAATCGAGCCAGGTTCCCGATGGCGATAATCCCAAATAACTCGCCTTCTCCGAGCTCCCCTGCCTCACCCCTCCATCTCTCCATCGCTCCTTTGAGCCGATTCCTCGTGTCAACCCAGAAATTCTCGTCAAGCTCACAGTTGCTGGGTAGTGGCTGTTTGCATTCGACGAAGAGGAACTTTCTCAGGGCATTCCCGCAGAGGACCAAGACAACAGTATTTGGTCGAGTGGCCAGTTCTAGATCATCAGACACCTCATACTCAAGGCAGAAGTTGTCTTCCAGTAGGAAATAGCCTCGAAGAATCTGGTACCACAGGTTGTTGACGTCTCTTCCCTCAGCATCATCACTCCCCGCCTGGTCAATATAGCGCCGAATAATAGGAAGATCAAGATACTATTCAGTTAGTAGATAGGTCAGTGAGCAGTCTTGCTAATGATAGTCTGGTGGGCTTACTGTTGCCATTGTGGAGGATTGTTGGAGGGGAGGTAGAGAAGAGTAGGAAGTGGAAGGGATTACAGCCATGGCCTTGATTATATAGGACCTGCATTTACGTAAGTTTATATCAATGATTTCAGAGTTACTGCTGCACTATAGTCACAATAGTCATTATAGTCACTGCTATACTATTCACTGCTATACTATTCACTAATACTGTAGTGACTAGTATAGCAGTGACTAGTATAGTGTACCTTACATAGAAAGCTTCGTTTTTTATGGAGGGTTCAAGGATCCTTAGTAGTTATAATTGAACCATAAGTATATGAAGTAATTAGCTACACTAAGAGAAGCCCCTTTTTTTCCATTTTATTTTCAAGCCATTGACCTCACTTGCCAACCTTCCAGCGACGCCGATTTCCAGACAAATCATTTTGCAATACTGACTATTGTTAAGACCTTTACTGTATGGAGTTATTCCGGGGGGTATCAGGTACTCACATCGAAAGTTCCTGCAATAACCTTGATTCGAGTTGAGAGGAGTTCCACGTTTCCCGTATCTTCCAGACGCCCTACCCAATCTAGCTTTTTGTTAGTAACCGGACGTAGGGCATGGATGCCTCGAGGGCCCGTGTTGACGATAAATCCTCGCAATTGGTGAGCCTGAAGGTCGATTGTCTCTTGTCGAGACGTTTGATATCCAATAGCAACAGGTGTTGTACTGTCTTTCTGGATGAGTTCTAACCCTGTAATAAAAGTCTTCTCTGCCTCATGGAGTATCGAGACTATAATCTTGACAACAGAGGAGATGCGGATGCTCTGGGTGAACTCATTAATGCTGAACAAGTGACGACAGAAATTACAATCGCCACAACACTTTCCGTTGCTGCGACATTGATGCCTCTGCGCTGTCTCCCAATGTAGTCTTTTTTTAGAACGCATTTGATGACTGATATCTGGTGCCCTGGCCATCGAATATCTGTCCTGAAACCAGGTGTTGGTCTTCCATTGCCTTCGCATTGCTTTCCAGGCAGGATTATATCGATTTACGCGGTTTGTGCGGTGATATATCAATCTCCAACCTGTAGATGACAGACCATTTGGTTGATTATCTGCAAGATAGGCGAAAAAGCCACGCTCTCGATGGACTAGAAATCGTGTCTTCCAGAATGCCTCATTGTTGAAAACAGCTGCCATCGCCCGTGAACAATAGCGAAGACCAAGGTAATCCATTGTTGAGAGATGAGCTGCAATTTCCACTCTTAGCTCCAGGGGTAAGAGGGCAAAGCAGTCATATGGCGATATTATATTCATTGAGTCACAAATTGCTTGGCTGGGTGTTGGAAATTCCTCCTTTACTTCTCGGCATGTTGTAACACTGGGCAGCTGGTCGGGATTTACGTATCGAAGGGTCTCCAATCTTTCTAATCATGCTTAGCCTCGGTATATGCATTTTAATGGAAAGCTTGGGTAAAGCAAACTAACCTGTATACATTGCAGAAGGCATATACTTGAACACTTCAAAGAGTCTGTCGAGCGAGATTTGATCGAAATGTGCCAAAAGACGGCTCCAGCAGAGTTCATGAATAAGGTATTTGTCCCTCGCAAGCTCCATGGTGCCTCCTTCTTCATAATGATAAGAATAGTCTTTGTGCCTTTCATCACTATACGTGACGACATCAGATAGATGAGCACCTCTAGAAGTCTTATAGACTACTCGGTATTTAGCAAGCCAAGGCTTCCGAGTAATAATTTTGAATCCACACGAGATACAACTCATCTTGTGATAGCTTCATGAAGTGTATCATGGAGTGTAGAATTGCAGGGAGGAGAGAATGATTTCAACAGTCGTGTCAAAATTACGACTTGAGCTTTTGCTAGGCCGTTCCATGTCACGGTTTTTCGCTTCCATATCTCGAACCATGTCCTAGGTTCTTGTGAACCATGGACCTGCTGACGAAGGGAGGAATTTTATCAAGAGACAGTATTTCAATCGTCCTTCTTTTCCCGCAGAAGGAGATGTCGGCTTCCGATCGTCTTGTGAATGTCGTTCTGTAGCGAGGAATAGGAGTCAGTAGGAGTCTCTTGGGATATGGGGATAAATTCAACTCACCAGACTGCTATAGACAACAGAGAGCAGTTCAATCAGAGTGGGATAGCAGAAAAAAAAGAACTTTTTGGAAATGAGATGAGAAGGGTGTTCCCAGTTGGGCTTAGTGTCGCCTTCACAGAACATCCATATAACGTCTACTCATCAATTGTTTATTATCATTATCTCCCTTGACTGGATTGAAAACCGCTCGCAGTACCTCTGGCTTTGCAGTTTGGTATGATCAAATCAAGCTCTCTGCCTCTGAGCGCCATTCCTAGCGCTTCTTCGGCTTCGGCTTCGGCTTCGACCCCAATTAGGACCCCTCTACGCAGACCTCCGCCATGAGAGCCTACTACGTAAGTCAGTACTTGCCCGTTGAACGCTTCTGTGCGACCAATCTCGGCGGTAGGGACTGAGAGCCGGCTCATCCGCAACGCCATCCGTCCCCTCAACACCCACAAGACACTCTAGCCCTTGTCCTAGACATCCTGGAGGAACAGATCTCACTGGCAGTGTGCAGGATGTCTGCACCGAGCCTGACAATGAGGCTGACTATTCTGCATGACCCGTGGACTTTGCTCCTTGAAGTGTCGACCGGAGTGATTGGAAGGTAATGTCTTTTAATAACACCTTCAACCATATGATATATATAATATATCTGATACTCATATCTCATCTTAATCATCTAGCCCTCGCATGAAATCAACACCCGGCTGGGAAGTCATACTTATGTGTCCTATTCATGCAAGAAGAGAAATTGTACTTGACGGTATACTACAATTCCAAGGTCTGAGTCAGTCTTTACCTTGGTAGCAGAATCTTTCTCTTTGTATTTTGCAATATTTTCGAGATAGGGATGGTCCAAAGTTGTCACATGCCGATACACCAATCAACATCAACAACTGAAGGTTGATATACATCTGTCGATGCCTAGAATTCTAATCTCTGAAGCAGTCTCGCCGTCGCGGGTGAAGAAAGAAGCAACTACCTGGTTGAGAAAGACCAGATCAGAAGATAGGATCAAGGAGTCTGTATACTGCAGATCGGAAGATATATTGCCGGTCCTGATAAAGCAAATGTATTTGTTATATGTATGTGCTTTGCTTTAGCTATTTACATGCTAATTCGACCATACAAACTTGCTATAGACTTGATTTTATCAGTTGGTGTACTTAAAACACTCCAATATAACCCTTGAATTGCCTACTGCCACCGCCCTGGATATACTACATAGAGTCTGCGCTATCCATATAAGGACTAGTCATATGCCAAGATTCCCATGTCACGTGGACTACTCCGCACGACTCACGACTGTCCCTGGGGAGACAACAATTCACCAGATTTCATGGACATTATCTAGCTATTATTGCAAGCGTAGTATCAATTCATTGAGGCAAGGTGCCTCTAATCTGATATGAGGCCTATGCTAAGCATTCTCATGTTTTGAACTGCTCGACGTCATCGGGAACTGCACCGCAACATTTGCTGTTGGCGACTATAAAAGACAGGCGGTGAGAATTCTGGCAGAAGCAAGCGGTATGAACGTGCAGAAAACAAGTCGCAGTTTTGAGAATCGACAGCAACAAGAGTCCTGAAGTATTCATGCTCTATTATCTAGCTGCCTACAGTCAGTCTTGAGAATAGCTCTATGCGACAGCATAAGTCTGAGGCTTTATCCAAAAAGAATAGAAAGAAAACGCAGTCGGAATGGCTTCTCGTCGACCCCTCCATAAAACCCCTTGAGCACAGACCGCCATGTGGAGACACGGTTCGTCCAAGGCTGCGCGCCACTGCCTTTTACTGCGCCCACCTTCTTTCTCCCTTGAATGCTTCCTATTTGGAAAGAGGCCGTGTGTTATTGAGATTTGGATTTCGAACGCGGTTTGAGAGTGCGACGCTGTTGGACTCTGGACGTCTCCGAAATTCTGTTCATCTGGATCCGTGGTGGACGCAGGGAGTCAAAGCGAAGGGACGCCTTGATTTGAGCTGAGAGTTGCCAGATTGTACTGTGGGCTTCCATCGAGGGCTACGAGAAATATCTGGATCTAGAGAAGGAATAGCTAGTCGCATTGGATTCGACATCAAGGGGCACTTCTCGCCTCAATATCTGGATCAGAGAGGTCTCAAAACACGATGGACCCCGCAATGGACGAATTTGCGCAGACAAGAGGCGCCGACGACTTGTTCGATGATGAGATTGTCCCTGTCGCTACAGAGGCGCAAGCACCCCCCGAACCGGAGCCGGTCGAGGTGGTGGCAGTTGAGGTAAAGCCTGAACCCGAGGTCCAAGTGCCGACACCGCGAGCAAGCACCCCGCAGCGTCCGCGTGGAGGTGAGAGAGGGAGAGGCCGCGGTAGAGGCCGAGGCGGCCGTGGCTCACATGCTGGAGGACAACGACGGGGCGACACGGTACCGAAACCGACTCCGGAGGCAGAACCCAAGGGCGCAGAAGAGCCGACACAAGAGAAGCCGGCAGAAGATATCAAGTCTTCAAACGGCGATGAGACGTCTGCGGAAGCAGCCCGCGTCCCAGCAGTACGTGGGGACCGTAGCGCCACAGGAGGATTAAAGAAGGTATGGTTCGTACCTGGATGGTGAAAATCAAGACTGAGGCTAACCAGCTCAGCCAAAACTGACAGAAGAAGAGCTTGCGCAGCGGATAGCAGCCGCGAAAGAGAACGCTGCCCGCAAGGCGGCTGCCCACGCTCGTGCAGAGGCCGACCAAGCGTCTTTCATGGAGCGCGAGAAGGTAGCCGCAGAGAAAAGGCGCCAGGAGGTTCAGAATCGCCGTGCAATGGACTCGGAGCGCGAGCGCAACCGACTACGGAAACTGAATGCGTTGGGTGGACGCGAGTGGGATGCCACCAAGCGCGAAGAGGACTACAACCCGCGCGGAGGTGGGAGCCAGTTTCGCCGTGGCATGCATGGAGGTGTTTCGGGCTATACACGACGAGACCATGATGAAGGTCGCCCTGGCGAAGAGACGGCCGGTCGTGGACGTGGTGGACGCGGCGGACGAGGTCGTGGTGCCCACCGTGGCCGCCGTGGAGAGGCCAGTGGCTCTCACGAACCAGCTACCTCACCCGCACCCAGTGCTGAGCCCAAAGCCCCTGCCCTCGTCGTTACGAACGAGGCCGAGTTCCCTGCTCTCCCTGCAGGCACCAACGCAAAGCTTGTCGCTCTGCCAGACTTGGACAGCCCGTCGCATTCCATTTCGCCCGGTGCCACATGGGCCGACCAAGTCGAGTCCAGCCGAGAATAACAGCATACTTGCAATGTTTTATTGATACCTTGCTTATTGTTGCGCCTAATTTTGTGATACGCCTATTGTAACGAGTCATACGAGGATATAGCTAGAACTGACATCATATCTAAAGTCAAGCAGAATTACTCCACACTCCATGTAGGACATCCCCAGAGCTGACTCAGCGCCGATCCTGAATCACCATGAGGTCATTCCAGAGTATGCCTCGAGCGAACCTACAAGTAGTCTGCTGTCCATCATCTTATCTGAATTCAACTTTCCATTGTAAATCTGTGCTTAATACTGAACACTCAACTTCGAATTATCAAGATGGCCACCCCCTCTACACCAAGCCACCGAGCAGACAGCCGTCAACCGTCGTCCACGCAAGGCGGTGCCTCGTCGCAACCAACGCCTGCGAACAATTCCGGCGGGGGATCCGGATGGGGAGACCCTGGGTTTTTCAAGGGGGGAAGTAACGGGCATGAAGGGGCAGGTCATGCTCCGGTGAGCATATAAACAGTCATTTCTATACCTGTACCTATACCTATACTTATACTTATACTAGGCCCTCAATGCCCGGTCCACGATCGGCGGATTCCTAGGTCTTACAGATCAAAAAACGGAAGCAGAGAAACACTACCAGGGCCGGTTCGACCAGGCGACTGGCGTCAGGGAGAAGACGAAGAGCGGGGCCCCAACCTGCGAGAGCGAGGATCACAGCTTCATGGAGCATCGGCCTGGGTGTTCTGCTACCTTGCCGGGATGGGATGCTGCCAAGTCGGTTGTTAATACGTAAGTTGCCAAAGGTCTTGGGACTTCATTTTTGCTAATTGTGATTGTATAGATTGCATGGACAGGGTAGATAGTGTATTAGGATGGTAGTGGTGAAGTTAGTGTATTATTTATTCAGTCTTAGTCTTCCGTTTAACTCTATCCCGTAAAGACAATAATCCCTTGCCGATTCTCCCCTTTAGTGTCTGCGATCCTAATGCCTCGGCTTGCTCGGCAGCCACGAAGCGACGAGTAAGCAGGTTGAAGATGCTGCCAAAGGCAAGGGCGATCACCGTGCTGGTCAGGATGATCACGTTGTAGGGCATGCTGAAATCGGGCGTGGGGAGCGGCAGCAGCAGGCTCGTCGTGCGCAGGTAGGCGTGGTTGTTCGAGGCGGCGAGCTTGATCACCGCGGGGGCGACGTTGAACCCGCGGTTCGCGTCCGGCGGGTACTCTGTGTATCGGAGGATGGCCTTTTCAAAGTCGTAGGTCAGCGTGACCCGGGACGCGGGGGGCACCGACAGTGCGAGCTCGAGTTGGGTGCCGCGCTGGCGGTCAATCGCGGGTCGGTAGAAGGATTCCTTGATGATCTGCGCCGTGGGGATAGACCGGGGGATGCGGTCGTTGTGGCCCGTCACGGTGGCCTGCAGGGTGTGCAGGTACGGCCGCAGGAACCAGGGCAGGGCCTCGAAGTAGATGAAATCCACCGAGTCAGTGGCAGACGGGTTGTCGAAGATGATTCGCATCCCGCCGCGTTCCTGGCCGTGGCCGATCATGGTGCGTTCCGCGCTCAACACGGGCGTCTCGAGGGCTGAGTGGCGGTGGTGGTTCTCGTCTTGCTCGGAGAGGACGAGATCAAATGTACCGGAAGGCTGAAGAGTAAAGCAGCGGGATGTTTCCTCAAGGTTTTTCTTCTCTACCGCACCGGGGGAAATAAATACGTCCCGTTCATGGGGCACATGCAGACACACCGACCCTTCCTCCTCCTCGTCGCTAGAATCCGCGTCGTGCGCAGGAGAACAGACGCCATTCAGACTGCGGCCAAACACTTCGGTCAGGCTCCAGCTCTTGTCCGTGGTTTTGTCAAGCGGGTAGCAGGTATCGTGAGAATGGTAGGGCTTCGAAGTGTCGCACAGCAGTTGATCGTCAGGGACGGGTCTAGGAATAGGGTTGTCTGTGATGTTAGCAGAGAGTTGTTGCTGTTGCAGATGGTAATACATACCCCTAGGCCGCTTCGAGCGATCTATATCCAACACCATGTCTACTGCCTGCTCGATCTGCACGACACACTCGCTCCCGTCATCCGGGCAGAGGGGCCGGATATCCACCGACATGCTCTGCCACGACGCATCAAACAGCTTGTGTCCATCAAACAGGCTAGAAATGCCTGCCTTCCCCTTACACGGAAGTAGCTTAAGGAACGGCGTCAGATTCTCCGTACAGACCACCTCACCAGGCAAAGTGCCGTGTAGGAGATGGAGGGGTAGGCTGCCATCCGCATCGGAGGCGTGATGATCCCCCTCCGGTTCAAAGGTGGCCACGGGGCGCGTAGTGCGCGTCGAGTCGATGAAGTTCAACGAGGCACAGAAGAGACCCGAGAGGGACTGCGTCAAGGTGATCCAGTGGGCGAAGGCGTCTTCAGCGTTCGCCGCATCGATCCACGCCCACAGCTCGACACCCGTGCCCCCCTCCCTGGTCCCGTTCCATGGCCGTGTGCCCCAGCTTTCAGCGTCCCATCTGCCGGTGGTAAAACGGAGGTGCAGCTCCTTGGTATGCGCGTGTTGCAGGATCTGACCGAGGGAGCGGGGGAAGTAGCGGAAGTGCTGCTGGTCGAAGGACTGCTGGGACGCGTTGCTGCGGAAGTTGAACGATGCGAGCAGCGAGCCGGCCGGCAGCGGTTGCAGCTCGAGGCGTTCGTGGTAGTCGGAGGCCGCGACGAGGCAGATGAGCGACAGGAAGAGCGTGAAAAGGAGCGTCATACCGGCATGCTGGCAGCCCTCAGGTCTGTTCCAAGTCTGTGTAGCGGATGGCAGATAAGGACACGGGTACCATGCAGTATGTTGTAATGCTTAACTTACTATATAAACCTCTGATCATATACTACTAGCACATACGACCACAGGGTGTGGAAAACAGGGCTTCCCGTCCGCTCAGCCGTACTTAAGCCACACGCCGGTAGGTTAGTAGTTGGGTGGGTGACCACCAGCGAATCCCTACTGTTGTATGTTTTTTTTCATACTTGGCCGTTGATTGAGTCTATTTATTATACTTGCTCGTTGAAAGTAGTCGTTGACCTGCTATTTTTCTATTGGTAAAATAATATTCCACACTTCTAGAGTTGTATTTGATCTTTATTCGTATTTCTCTTCCATTGTTGGCGAATCTAGGCGAGACTGACTGACAACATGGCTACGCGCAAGGCATGAAAGAGTATTCAAATCTCCGCTCCCAAGGTACGGACTATGATTCCAAAATAACAGTTCATAAAGAAAGATATCACTATTAGGTACATTAAAAGTCTTCCAGCTTGACATGAATGGGTATGAAGTATGTCTCAACCAGAATAATCACGGCAACTCCCGCGCTGGAACAGTAGGAGGCAGTTCAACCGGCGGCATCTCATGTTTCGTCGAGTTTGGCGACAAGAGCTCCGACATCTGCTTGGATCGGTAATATGGATCGTAGTAGGGTGGTGCCTGTTCCATCTGCTGCTGCTGCTGCTGCTGCTGGTACCCTTGTGTCCCAGGGGCTTCTGCTGGTGTTTTTCGGTTCCGCCGACGAAGATACCACCATGCTCCGAGGGCCAGTAGGGCGACACCACACACACTACCAATGACAGGACCGGCAATCCATGCTTTGGATGACGAGGATGAAGAGGAGGTGGTAGAGCTAGTTGTTGTAGCGGCTGCTGTAGCTGTAGCTGTTGCTGTGGCGGTTGACGTAGCGGTTGCGGACGCCGAGGCAGGAAGTTTGGAGAGACCGGCAGTGAGTGTCAAGATATCATAGGCAAACTCATTCGCGCTGAGGGAAAAGAGATAGGCTGTATTGATGGGAACCGTCGCGGGCGCGGTGGGTGAAATGCCAGTGTAGGAGCCTTGGTCGGAGACCGGCCACTCCGAGTAGAGACAGATGGCGCTGAGGGCGGAGGAGGTGATCTCGCAGGTTTGCGATAAGGAGTACCATTCCGTCAAGTCATCGTCGACGATGCTGTCCAGGTGATTGAATGCGATGGTTGAGGGGCCCTGCGTGATGGTCAACGTGCCGTTGTAGACCGGGTTATTTCCGCCGATTGCGATGGTCGTCAGGTCGTTGGCGGTGTCGACAGCGACCACGCTGCCGTAGATAGCGCTCGGGTCTAATACGATCTGCTCGACGACATCCAGGACCTTGACCAGCGTCGTATCCGCAGTCGCGCTCGCGCTCGTGGTCGTGCTCATCGTTGTGGGCGTGGTTCTCGTCGCGGACATGGTGGTGGGTGGTGCATCGACAGACAGAGGAGATCCGGAATCCAGACAGGCAGAGGAGGAGGAAATCGGCAGCTTAAAACGCCGTCTCTAGGCGAGTCTGCTAATAAAGTTAGTCCCTGTGCTAATAGTCTTGGTAAATTGGACGTGTTTCGAGAGTTCTACTACATACCATATTCTCTGTGCTTTCCCTGCGGCATTGTAGATTCCGTTCTGTGTGCATCTCTATAATCTAAATGATTCTATCCCTCTCTCCCCAATAGATATTCTCCTCTTCAAAGCGCCAGACTAAGAGTATTCAGTTCTTAGAACAAGGCACCAGATCATCGCCAGATCTCAGATCCTGCTACAACTCAGCTACTACTTTGGGTCTAGCGTGGTTGGACGTTTACTGCAAGGATCTGCTTATTCTAAGGGTTTAATAAAGTACATATGAAAGGTGATATTTACATAATCTATTGTAAGTGGCAGATGGTAGTCATATATACTACTGATTCCTTCAATACTCTATAGAATAGATTGTAGACAGAATGTTGTGTATCCACTAGGTTTTAGGTAGTATGTGTATTGATTATTGAGACTAGGGACATCCTTGATATATAGATCTGATCTTCTTTCTAGACGCATATCTAGAGTGACCTAGCGTAATTGTGCTAGTTGAGGTAACCTGCGAGAATTTTCACCTTAGAAATGACTGAATATGGAATGGTTGTTAAGTAAGATGCATATTCAGATGTTTATATGTTTTTTAGCGGAACAATACTTTGAAAACAGGACCACAGAATGATATATCACCAAGACAGAAGCCACTAGATCATGCCTTGAATAAAAGTTCCTCTTGAGCCAATAGCTCAAGCATTCTTATCCGAACGGCGGCGTGTATCGTCGATTGCTGACGAGGGAGAGGAGGGAGTTGTAGAACTAATCAAGAACGAGGTAAGCAGCGCTTTTTCTCTAGGTATGTTTCATTAGGACAAAGTGGTATTTGGCTTGATACCCAGGTAATCCACTGCCCATGTGCTGCCTGGGCCATGGTCACCTCGCCATCTTCATACACCGCGGCTTCTGTTTGCGGTCCTGAAAGAGTATCATCTCGCTGTCCAGCTGGCTGATCTGGTCTTCTGACGAGCATCGAGGATATCATCAGCCAAGAGGCTTCAGAAATCGGGTGGTAGATACTTGAAATATGCAGTAGCAGCCGGTGAGTCACAGAGGGAGTGGGATAGACTTGCAAGTAATCTGTGGTTTGAGAGCAGTAGACAAGAGATTTTCTTCTCAGACATCTACTTTATACCCGAGATAATAGAGTGAATAGAATAAACCATAGGGTTGAGTGACTGGGATGATGAAATTGTCGGAGACAAGAATCTTTGGTTAACAGTACTGTTGGTTGGCTATTTTGTTGTTGCTGCTCTCGGCGAGCTGCCAATTTCCCTCTCACCATGAAACCCAGTTCGCGATTGAGGTCAATTCAACTCTCAGACAGAGCCATTCATAAGGGATTATATCTATTTTTCGAAAGAGTTTAACTAATATCTGATTTCTTTGCTAGATGCATGTCCCTGCGGAATTTGATCGAAGTATGGTGTAGCGTTTTGATGGGGGCAACAAGCAGGGTGGATCGATCTGTCAGACGTCTCGCTCCGGATATGAAACGGTAAGCAGATGCTTATTTATCACTTCCTACGGATGGACAGTCAACTGTATCGCTGCAGATCATCAGATTAGGGATGTGGTGGATTATCGTCAGGAGGGAGCCGTATTGATGCTCCCCATTCGCGCGAAATCATTCCGCGAGAAGTCGAAGAATAATGCCAGAATTTGGACAAGGTCTATCAACGATTCCCCGAACGGTACAGCTTCATGGCCAATCTCTTGGCTGCCGTGTCGACTACAGAAAGCTGCAGCGTCATTCAGGGAAAAGGAGCCCCGGTCAAGGACACTCAAAAGCTGGTAGAAGTATGGGTCTTTTTCGGACAGGAGATTGTGCGCACTCCTCAGCTTTATATTACAGATGATGGATGCCTACCTGATCATTCAGACCGGGAAAGATGGTCTCTACAACAGTATTTATACAGTGGTTTAACGGTATCTTCCTATTCTTGCTGCTCTGAACAGCACGCTGACGGGGGGAAGGATGAAGGATTGTCCCCGCGCAGAGCAGCGCAAGCAAGACTGGCCACAGCTCAAGCCACGATGGAAAAGCCCTCAACCTTTAAGATTATACTTTCCAAGCTTTGTCTCGAAACCCAATCTGGTAAGACAAGTAGCCTCGCATCTATCCACGAACATATCTCTCTGCCGTTGTAGATACCGCCTCGGTGTGGGTGAACAATTCGACTCATTATACCTGGGGTGTCTCTGAAGAATTCAGCGCCCAGTGCATGGACTCAGATGCCGGAGAGAAAGCAAAGACAATGTACACCAATCTTGGCGAGAGGTGTCAGAAAGCGCAGGATAACGTACAAAGAACTACCAGCGATATAAGAATCCCTCATCTATCAAAATAAGTTCTGACTTGGAGAAAAAACAAATGGCAGGACCCTATCTGGCATGTAATCCCGACTTGAACGTTTGAAGGTAGCAACTAGGCATCTTCCACTATTTGCTTCACGCGAGACCAGCGGGGCAGCTGTTAAAATGATGGAAGCGGGAAAAGAGTGATAGCACGAGCATATCTTGACAATCAGATAGTATGAAATCAGTAGGGTAAGAAGCCAGAAACACTAAAACTTGGGAGATTGAAGATGGATATGGAAATTAGCCATGAAACTCAGTCAATATAGTAAAAAACCCATTGTCTATGGGGGAAAGACATGTAATGAAACGTTGAAATATGGTGCTGTTTGTATATCTCATCTTATCACCATCAAAGAGAATAAGGTATACCAAGTCCAAACCGAGAAGGCTGTTAGATTCTAGAATTATAGCGATATATAGATGAAAACGCAATGCTAAAGATGAGATAAATAGACCACATGTATATACTACCAAATCAAAGTCGTCATAACTTAGCACGAGTAAAAACCTGAAGAGGTCGCCAGAGGTTGGCAGGCTTACCTGTACCAATTAGAATGAACCATGCTTCGTCTAAGGTGGGAGAGATATAAACGTACTCATTTGTTCGCGCCAGTGGGCGAGAATACCATTTATCCTAGCGGCGAGCAACAAGGCGGTGATGATCTCCGGCTTGAACCCCATGGCGGAGAACACAAAGCAGCCGTACAGATCAGCGTTGACGTTCAAGTTCCTCGAGCGGAAATACTCGTCCTGCGAAGCCAGACGCTCGATCTCCATGGCGACCGAGACGTGCGGATCCGCCTCGACGTTGTGGGAGAGTTCGGCGAGAGAGCGTTTGAGGTGCTTGACGCGCGGGTCGACGGTTTTGTAGATCCGGTGGCCGTAGCCGAAGAGGCGGAACTTGCCCTGCTTCACCTCCTCGATGGCCTGGCCCACGTTCTCTTTGCACCCGATGCGCTCAAACATCTTGTATGCCAGGTCGATGGCTCCGCCATGCAGCGGGCCCGAGAGGGCACACGCCGCGGCGCTGACGCAGGTCATAGGGTCGGCCAGCCCGGAGCCGACATGCAGGCTGGCAGCGGTGGAATTGGTCATCTCGTGGTCTGCATAGACGATCCAGAGCCGGTTGAGGATGCGCAGCATGGTGGGATCTGGCCGGGAGGTCTTGAGGTCGACAACCCCCATCATCAGCAGGATGTTCTCAGCCATCGAGGCGGTTGGATCCGGGGCCGTGAAGGGCACGCCGCGGTAGTGGCAGAAAATCAGCGCAATGACCGTCATGGATGCGGCGATGGTCCGCTTCACTCCCTCATCGACGGCGTCCATTTTCCCCAGGTAAATCTCTTGTCCGGTGTAGATGGGGACGGTGGTCGGGTCTGTGGCTGCCCACGCACTCAGGCCAGCGGTAAAGATGAGATGGTATGGAGTGTCGCGGCTAAAATTATCAGTCAGTACTCCTTCAATTTGTTGGTTCACTTGACACTCTTTAAGGTGTATTACGGAAAGCATTTGACGGTGTCGATAACGGCTTGGGGCGGGTTTGCCCTGGCGGCGAGGCTGCGTCGGTAGTTGAGTTTCTCTTGCTGCGACGGCAGATGGTTCCAGATCAAGAGAAAGGAGACATCTTCAAAGTCGTGTTTTTCGATCAACTCGTCCATCGGATAGTCTCGATACTGGATGGTTCCTTTGATCCCGTCTCTTCTCCGTCAGCAGAGTTCTAGCTCACAGTCTTCTATCGACGTCTTTGGAATATCTCACATGTAGGTAATCTCTGACTCGGCCACGGCAGTATTCTGGAAGCCAGGATCCATGATCTTCAGCCCTGACGATATTCGCTTGAACTCGGTTGCCTTGACGGAATTGTGAACGATAGGGATCTCGTAGGACTTGGCCGTTCGATTATCCGTCACCGTGAGGGTGTCTTTCGTAGTTTCCATGTCGATAGAAGATAAAGCAGAGAACAGATAGAACAAAGAGCAGATATAACAGAGAACAGAGAACAGAATAGAAAAGAGAGACGAGCGTCCAGCCTCTTAATAGAGGTCTCAGGGACTGGGCTTAGTCTCGCCTCGCAGGACCTCCACCTCCATAGCCGAAGAAGTAATAGTAGCTTCGGCAGTTAGTTAGCACCTAGCAGCTAACCAGCTAACCAGATAAGCAGATAACCAGCCAACCAGTTAGCCAGATAACTAGGCCAGGGAATTGCCTGATCCCCATCTCTTCTGTCTTGCTGTGGGAGAAGTGACAGCTTCTAGTTCGGGCTAACCGAAAAGGTCCATCCCAGCTAGCAGTTTCCCTTACCAGATACGGACTAACGCGGTCATGTGGCTTGGACCAGCCCAAACTCTCGGGAATCGCTTCAAACCGACAATTGGACAGGGATTGGAATCTTCGTAACGCTTCAGCCAGCCCCCGCCATCGTCAGGGAAACAATACCCGACTGCCAACAAGCCGGGATCCACAGTTCAGCTGCAAGGTGAGGAAATGGGGAGACACAGGGCAGACAGACGACGCTGTGGTCGTTATTATGACGGGTCTCTCTCCCTGGGTTGTGCCGTGTCTTTCCCACGCAACGATCCTTCCGGACAGCAGCGGAAAGAGGATGGCTGAATACGATCCCATCATCCGAGACATCGTCGAGTACGTCTACCATGGACAAATCACCGAGGAGCACGTCTATCAAAGGGCGCGAGTGGCCTTGCTAGACGCTCTAGGCTGCGCGATTGAGACCCTCCACCTCAGCCCAGACTGTCGAGCTCTCGTCGGGCCTGTTGTGTCTGGGACAGTGGTTCCGGGCGGGGTGCGCGTGACTGGGACAGACCACGTTGTTGATCCGCTCAAGGGAGCCTTTGATCTCGGGGCGTTGATCAGGTATCTCGATCATAACGATGCGTATGCCGGGGCTGAATGGGGGCATCCATCTGATAATCTGGGGGCGATCCTGAGTGTGGCGGACTGGTTAAGCCAGCAGGATACAAAGTAAGCAGTGACCCGACTCTCTTTTTTATATTGATTTGAAATCCTTCTGAACAATAAGAATCCCCCTCCGGACGATCCTCACGGCGCAAATCAAAGCGTATGAGATCCAAGGCATCCTCCAGCAGACGAATGCCTTCAACGCCCATGGCCTCGACCATGTTATCCTCGTCAAAGTGGCCTCGACCGCCGTGGCGGCCTGGTTACTCGGTCTGTCCGAGTCTGCGGCTCTGGCTGCTGTCTCCCACGCCTGGGTTGATGGCCACCCGCTGCGTACCTACCGCCAGGCCCCGAATGCCGGGCCCCGGAAGGGATGGGCGGCGGGCGATGCGTGCATGCGGGCTGTCCATCTCGCATTGCTCACGCAACGCAGCCAGAAGGCAAACGAACCCTTCTGCTCCTCGTTTTCTGGAGGCGCCACGGTAGGAATCCGCACCGCCATTTCGGCACCCAGATGGGGATTCAGCGATGCGCTGTATGCCGGACAGGAGGTCACACGGGCGTTCCCCTACGGTAGTCGGGTGATGGAGACGGTGCTCTTCAAACTCATCACCGCCGAGGGCCATGGGATCTCTGCCGTGGAAGCCGCCGTGCAGGCGGGAGAAGTCCTGAGACAGCGCGGCGTGGCGCAGGAGAACATCGCGGACAGCATCCGGGCCATTCGCATCCGGACGCAACAGTCCGCGGTGACGATCATCGACAAGACGGGTCCCCTGCGCAACGCCGCCGACCGCGACCATTCCCTGCAATACATGGTTGCCGTCGCCCTGCTCAAGGGGTCCGTGGTAGAAACAGCAGACTATCTCGACGACTCGCCCTGGGCGACAGATGCGCGGGTCGACGCCTTGCGGGAGAAGATCACAGTCACCGAAGACCTCGGCTTCACTGCCGACTACTACGACCCACAGATCCGGAGCGTGGCCAATGCAATCACACTCGAACTGGCAGACGGCGAGGTGCTAGAAGAGGTAGTCGTCGAGTTCCCCGTCGGGCATCACAAGCGACCCGAGACTCTCGACGGGGTGATGCATAAGTTTCGCCGCAACATGAGCGTCATGTTTGGCTCGGAGGAGGTCGAGAGCATCATCCAGGCAGCTCATAACGATGAGACGCCAGTTGACGAGTTTATGGCTTTTTTCGTTCGCCGTTCGTAGTTCCTAGATCTATATACAAGAGTGAATAACGACTTATTATGATTGGAGATCAATTCGGCTATTCATGCCAATCTAGAATTTAACTATTTAATTATTTGCTTCTACTTTATTTTGATTATTGTTATCATTCCAGTATATAATGTCATTCCCCTCACTTCACTTGCATTTACCTCAACCATCTACTTGACAACATCTACTCCGTGCTAAATATCATTAATACCCTCTGCCAATTCTCGTTAAATTCTGTTCACAATGGAATCGGCCACTGAAGAACTATGCCACTGGATCTCCAACCTCAAGCTGGCCGACATCCCCCCCGAGCAAGTGACGCGAGCGAAATACCTGGTTCTCGATGGGCTGGCCTGCGCCCTCATCGGCGCCCAACTGCCCTGGTCGCAAGACGCCGTTCACGGCGTTCTCTCCATGGAAGCAGGGGGGGCGTGTGAGATTATCGGATGGGAGAGGGTATTATCCATTCACCTCGTACATTATTCATATATATTCTAAATGTTCTGTACAGAGAATTGGCCCGCTTTCCGCCGCTCTGCTGAATAGCACCTTCATCCAAGGCTTCGAGCTGGACGATTACCACCGCGACGCCCCTATCCATTCCAACGCCATCGTGCTTCCGATCCTACTGGCAGTACTGGAACATAATGGATCAGCAGCAGAGGAAACACCATATCAGTCACCGACAGGAGCAGAGTTCCTCTTGGCAGCGATAGCAGGGTACGAGACCGGCCCCCGCGTCGGACTAGGCGTGTACGGGGTCGAAGTGCTGTCTCGCGGGTGGCATTCGGGGGCGATCTTCGGCCCCGCGGCGGCGGCAGCAGCGGCGACGAAGCTGCTGGGCCTGTCGGCGACGCAGACGGAGGAGGCGATGGGGATGGCATGCACGCAGGCGGGCGGGCTGATGGCTGCGCAGTACGAGAGCAACGTGAAGCGGATGCAGCATGGTTTTGCGGCGCGGAATGGCTTGTTTGCTGCCCTGATGGCGCGCAGCGGGTACACGGGGATCAAGCGGGTGCTGGAACGGCCGTACGGCGGCTTTCTCAGCACGTTCAGTCTGGGGAACGGGCGGGAGCCGCGCTATCGTCCTGAACGGGTGGTCGAGGCGTTGGGATCGAGCTGGGAGATGGATCGGATCGTGGTGAAGCCGTATGCGTCCATGGCGGCCACGCACAGCACCATCGACGGGCTGATTGCCCTGCAGGTCCGTCACCCGGGTGAAATGAAAGACGTGAATCGCATCCGTCGCATCACAATCGAGATGTCGGAGCCGGCGTTCAAGAAGGGCGGCTGGAAGCCCGAGAAACCGCTCACCCCGACGGGCGCCCAGATGACTGCCGTCTACGCGGCGGCCATGCAGTTGCTGGACGGCCAAGTGCAGCCGGCGCAGTTTGCTCCGGCTCAGCTGGAACGAGTGGAGGTGTGGGAGCTGATGGAGAGGATCGTCTGTGTGCACAACCCGGCCCTGGACACATACCAGCAGCGGATCCATGTCGAGATCGGGCTGGATGATGAGACCGTTGCATTGACGACTCTGACGCAGTTTGTCGACGCCCCGCGCGGAAACAAAATCCCTCTTTCCAACGAGGAGATCCTCGACAAATGGAGGGTCGTCACCGCCGGGGTCATCACCGCACACCGACGGGCTGCCATTGAGGAGATAGTGTTGAATCTAGACACGGAGCAGGACGTGCGTCCACTGGCTGAATTGCTCTATGGACGGACGGAGGATATATTCAGTTAGACAGACCACAAACCTAGATAACCAAGGGATACTACTATCGTTAAACTTTCTATATTCCACTACTGAATCGGCCACTCCTTGTCCTCTCCCTGACCCTCCAACCAAGGCAAACAAGCCGTATACAGGGCCCTGAACTCCCCCTCGCCAAGAGACAGAAACTTCTCCAGCAGCTCGTCATCGAACCGCCCAATAAACGCCAGCTGGCACGCGACCAGCAGATCCGCATACCCGGCCGTTTCGCCCTCGAAGAAGGGCCCCTTTTTGATCCCCTCCCTCCCCTTGAGCATACCAAGCAGCACTGCCGACTCTGTCTCGGCGAGCTTCCACAGTTCGTCTATTTCCCGCTGCTCCGTCGGTCGTAGCTGGTCCAACGGCTTCCCAAGCGCTGCAGACCGCGTCTCGTGGAAATACCTCCGTCCACGCGGGTCGAGATGCTCAGCTACCCGCGGGAGAATCATGGTTCGAAACGCCGGCGCCAGGACAGTCACGAGTTTATTCACTGCTAGAAAGAGCGCGTAGCTGGCGTCTCCGGACGGGAAGAGCGGCGGGGAGGGAAACACGCGGTCGAGATGGAGGGCGATGGGCAGCGAATCCATCAGCGCGCCGTTCGGGTTCGAATCGGGTGAGGCCAGGGAGGTCTTGTGGATGATCGTGGGGAGCGTGTACGGTCTGCCCTCTTTATTGGGGGGGATGCCCAGGCTGGAAACCAGCGGTTTGACGTCTGGGTAGGAGGTGAAGCTCTGCGTGTAGGGGATTCCCTTGAAGTTGAGCACTGCTCGGGTTTTCAGCGTGTTGGGGGACCATGATTTGAGGGGTCCTATATTTTCAATTAATTGTTTATTAATCAATCTTCTGTTGGCTAACCTGGGAAATCGGAGTAGAGGTCGAAGAAATGAACGGGTTCTGAGGCCATTGTATATCACGTATAGCAGTATTCCTAGTATTTAAGACGGTATACTCAAGATACTTATTGTGGGAGAGTGAAGAACTGAGAATTAAGTTCATAAGATGACTCTATACGCGAAAGAGGGGTTGTTGACCGAGGGAATCGTCCAGTAGGGCGCGATTGGTGGCTGCAATATAAATACATCAGCAAGCTTATAACCTCATCAATCCTTGTAAAATCTATGATATGAATACTATCCTTCTATAATGATAATCTTTTCTTGTAAACCATGTTTTATAGACAGTCCTCAAGATACGCATGAATGTACTTGAAGCACTATGCAGCCTCAATAATGAGGCATCAACCTTAGTCCAGAAATGGTTAGATAGCATTCAAGTTATGACAGCATAAATGAGGTCTTTTATTGGCCAGGCATGTGGGGCACTTTGCCTTCCAAAATGGGATCTCACCTGATCCATGCCTTAATTGTCAGGCATCAAATGACAGGCAGATATAATGCTGCTTACACTGACATAAAAAAGTCTTTATTCACTCTACTGGCCATTCACTTAATAAAAGACAAGACAATCTCTAGACTACACTATATAGCTGAAAAAGTACTTAATTGCACCTTCCTAATCTCTATTCTTAAATATTTCCATCCTTCATCCACAAGTTTGGAGTTGTCGATGTCTATAGTTCTTCTTCATGCTGATAATATTTATGTCATAATAAACCATCGACGAATCTCTTTACGCAGTGCAAGCGGATGACTTGAGTGGCGGCAGCCTAGCCTGTATACCAAAGACTAGCATCAACTAATCTGTCGATCCATGGGGAAATAAAAGACCAGCAGAAAAATCCCAGGATGCCAGCAGGGTAGCATTGTCGAACAGTACCTCTAGCCCATCTGGTCCAATATTGGAACCCATGTGGAACTGCCAAAGCTTCTCACTATTCATAGTGTCAACCTTGATTCGTCCACTTGCCTGCTATATGGTTTCTTCACTCTTCTTCTTGGCATTGTATTCCTTTCCTAGCCTCCCAAACTGTTTCTTCTTCTATCATAGTTAGTTCGTAGACGGAAAATGCATGAATCCAATGATAATACCTAAGAAAGCTTTGTAGTGTCTGAATGAGTAGACATCATTGTTATCCTTAGTAGGTGCAGAGAAACTTCCTTCCTGTTTGGGATAGATTTGCACATGATCGTAAGGTTTTTTACTGCCTCAGGCAGCAATAATCTACATACTAACTAACCCATCCAGGCCTAGTCACTCCTCGAACTGCCGTGTTGTTATCCGAACTTCGACTTGGGAGAATCACCAAAGCTCCAACTGGGTCTGTCAACAGGCTGACTGCGGGGTTCAATTGTACTAAATTATTGGAGAAAGTCTGGAGAAAGGATCTCGAGTATCCACTATATATAAAGCCACACTCAATTGTCCCGATCTGTTCCCCAAATCGCCATGGCTGTCCCTTCACAATACCCTGACATTCCGATCCCACCGACAGATATATGGAGCTTTCTGTTCCAGCGCCCCGACCGGCCGTTTCTCAACTCCCAGGGTGAGTGGATCGTTTTCTGGTATAATTAAGCTATAGTTAGTATACTGACTGCCTCAGTGATCCTCGCAGACGTGTATTCCGGTCGCTCGTTCACGTTCCATGACTTGCAGAGAAGATCTCTCCATGTCGGACACATTCTCCGCCGCAGGTTCGGGTGGCACAAGGGCGACGTGCTCTCACTGGTCTGCGGCAATTCCATCGACACGCCCGCCATCATCTGGGGCGTCTTGGCCATTGGAGGCATCGCCAGCCCGTTAAACCCAAATCTGCCGGCAGACCAGCTCGCCTTCTACCTGCAAGACTCGGGCGCCAAAGCCGTCGTCACCCAGAAGGCACAATACCCGGCCGTTCTCCAGGCTTGCCAGAAGGTCGGGCTGGCGACCGACAGGATCATTGTGATCGACGATCCGACGCAAGCGTCTCTGTTTCAGTGTGCTGCAAGTGCTCTTCCAGATGCTGCAGCAGTAGCAGCACATCGACCGCCGGTGGAAGATCCCCAGAAAGAAGTCGCCGTCTTGGTGTACTCGTCAGGGACGACAGGTCTGCCCAAAGGCGTGATGCTCTCCCACACCAACATCGTGATCAACCTGCTCCAGCTGGCGGCCGTCGACGATGGATATCTGACACACCGGGACAGCGCCCTGGCCTTCCTGCCCTTCTTCCACATCTACGGCGTCACTTGCCTGATCAATTCGGGCCTGTACCTCGGTCTGACCACCTACGTGATGCCCCGGTTCGAGCTCGAGACCGCCTGCCGGGCAATCCAAGATCACCGCATCACATACGTCTACACCGTCCCGCCGGTGATCCTGCAGTTCGTGCAGAACCCGCTCGTCGAGCAATTCGATCTGTCTTCCCTCCGGCTGTTCAACTCTGCCGCCGCCCCGCTCTCCGTCGAGCTAATCCAGGCGCTGTGGGAGAAGCGCCGTATCATTGTTCGCCAGCAGTATGGTATGAGCGAGTGTTCTCCATGTCTTCATTCTCAGGTATTCCATCTTTCACCACTTCCCATATATTTCACACTTCCCTATGACTCTGACCATCAGACATGGCAAGAAGGAAGAGACCACCCAGGCAGCGTAGGCCGCCTCGTCGCCAACATGCAAGCCAAGTACGTGCCCATCCCAGGCGAGGAAGTGCGATCCGACGGGAAGAAAGAAGGCGAGCTGTGGGTGAAAGGACCGAACGTGTTCCTGGGCTACCTGAATAATCCGCAAGCCACGCACGACTCCTTCTCAGAAGACGGGTACTACAAAACAGGCGACGTCGGGTACGAAGACCACCGAGGCAGCTTCGTGGTCACAGACCGCATCAAGGAACTGATCAAATATAATGGGTTCCAGGTTGCCCCTGCCGAACTCGAAAACATCCTCCTGGGTCACCCTGCCGTTGCCGATGTCGCTGTCGTGGGTATCCCGAGCGGACAGGCTGGCTCGGAGCTGCCGCGCGCATACGTCCAGGTCGCTGGTCCCGGGCTGGATACCCCGACCACAGCTGCTGGGCTTGTCGCGTTCGTGAAACGCAGGGCTGGCGCCTCGTATAAAGAATTGAGGGGGGGGGTCCTGTTCGTGGATGCCATTCCGCGCAATCCGGCGGGGAAGATCTTACGTAGGGAGTTGAAGAAGAAGTACGCTGTTAGCAAGATGTAATATATATACACTCTATACATATAGAATCAGAGCAGAAGGGGTTGGAGAGTATATACTAGTCTTCATATGACTGGGTATGAATGATATTAACAGTTCTTGCAAATACTAACACTTCATTATGCTCATACTCTATACTTATACATTACATGAATCATAATACTCTATTCTAGGATACAATAAAGAAATGCATCATGGGATCGATTTCGCAGGAATGGGTTCCGGGCTCGGCGATAGAAACAGGCTCGGCGTGCGGCAAAAGGCCGCGTCGACGAAATCCTCCTCGTCGACCAGCGTGAGCGGGATCTCGTCTGGTCCGGTATCGTTGCTGGCTGCGCCTGCTGCCCCGGAGCCTGCCCGACAGTGGCGGGAGGGATACGAAGAGCCGGGCTGGCGGGAGCGAGGTTGTCGCGGAAACATGAGCTGCAGGATGGGGCGGAGCATGGGGAGACACGAGTTGGAGACGGCGACGACGGGCTCGGTGACGCTCCAGAAGACGGCCCAAGTCATTGACTCGGAGAGATTGTTGACGTTGATGTTGGTGATGACGTCGATGCGGATGGCGGAGATGGCAGAGACACTATGACTAGTTTTAGAGAGAGGGTTGGTTGGAAGAGTTTTCTGTATTACTTACAAGAACCCGACACCGAAGATAGCGTAGATGCCAAGCTTGGCCGCCTTGCTCATGTGTAATCGATAGACGAAATTGAGGGGCAGCGCGAGGATCATCACGTCGGTGACCAGATTGCACACGCCGATCGCGGTGAATGCGACTTCGATGCTGGCGCAGTGGCCATTCGGGATGGAGCGGTCCCAGATGAAGGAGAAGGGCTTGCAGAGCAGGAAGACCTGCAGCATGCTGCCGAGCCAGTAACAGATGGCGCAGCCCACGCACACCCACGAGGCGATGCGGAACGCGCGGGTGACGAAGATGCGGATGTATAGCAGGAGGTAGGCGAGCTTGGCGAGCAGCGTGGCGCCGTAGTAGAGGATTTCATAGAGGACCATAAGCTACTTTTGTCAGCCTCGGCTCACCAATTCTTTCTTTCCTTTCCTTTCTCTCTCTCTCCATTGAGTAGTACCTTGAAGATGAGAGAGATGTTTTGCACCGGAATATCAAGCACATCACGGTCCATTCCGATGCGGGCATACACGAATTCCAGAGCCAGCAAGCCGTACGTGTGGATCTGGATCAAGCATTACCATTGTGTGAGCGTATGGGCTGCAGGAGATGGGTTTCTCGTACACATCACTCACCAGACAGGCAATGGCACAGACGTCGTCCCACCAGATGGCACTGTGCTGCATTCGGCGCGAGACACAACGCAACCCGACCATGATGGTGGCCATGGCCACCAGCACAGTATTGGCAATCAGCTGATTGCGTAGGGTGGGCGTGGCAAAGACGCCGAACACCTCGATGGCCATGCTGGGCAACCCGAACAGACAGGAAGAACAAGAAGACTCGGCGCCATGTGTCTCTGTTCGGCGAACAAAAAAAGAAAAAATCAACTGACAGCTACACAGGCCATGCTAGATAAGGAGAAAGCGGGAGTGGAATTGTTTTTCCTCCATTTGTTTCCATCTTTTCCCCTTCATGGCTCGTGGGAAAGAGAGCTAGGATAAATTGCAGTGGAGAGCGTCGAACGCGAATGCGAACCGTGGCTCCATCTGCCCTCGTCTGAATGGCAGGAGAGCGCCCAGGGCCTCGAACGCTCAATTTTGAGATTCTCTCGATTCTCTCCACTGAGATATTATCGTGCTGCCAGCAACGGCCTGCAGTGGAGACTGACAGCTATCGGAGCAGTCTGAATCTCGTCTCGTCTCGGTGGTGGAAAGCGTGGAAAGCGAGTACCTCCTGTTGCCGTTAGCGAGTTAGCATGCGGTTATTATCTTGTCTTCTTTCTCTTTCTTCTCTTCTTTCAATAGTAAATCAAGGAAAGAAGAGAAAACCGTTGGTTAAGTCGAGACAGGAGATAAGGTGAGACAAAGATCTGCACGGCGAAATGCGAGGAAGTCAGCACGTGCTGCCCCTTATCTGGACACGCAGTTTTCCTACCAGAATATCGATTGATCTGGATGTCTTTTAGCTTGATTTAAGCTTGATTTAAGCTTGATTGATTCTTCTACTTATTTATTGACATGTTCTCAAGTCGGAATTGCCGTTGTTCCAGGGAGCAGAGCAGCAACTCTCATATTCCTCACCTAATCCTCGCCGATTTCCTCCTCGCGATGAATAACGATCGATCTGTTCGTTATCCTGTTCCGGCAAAGTGGAAGACGATGGTGACGTCTCGAGGCGAAACTGGTCTGTGCCATCCTGGACACTTGCATGGAATGGGGTATCTTCGCCATCGCAGCATCGAATTCGCATGAATAGGGGAGGCCGGAAGTTCCTATCCTGGAGAGATGTATCGATTAGTTGGTTCCAAGACGGTATCTACAATAATTACATAACTAGATAAATAACTGGCAAGGAGGAATTGAATCCACTGATCTGCACTGGCATTGTCTCAGGATTATTGGCCTATGAAACACTGTTAATTATCTTGACTTGAGTGCCGAGTCGTCAAGCGCCCTATAATTCTGAGATATATTAATACTATTAATAAGAAACTGACTCATGAGGATAGTTTATTATACTGTCACTGATTTATAGCATGCAAAAGCAATAGTTTTAGTTATAGTGATTAATAGATAATATAAAATATCGCTCTTACTACTACTGTTGCTATACGTATGTCTACTCTAGAGTCTAATAACCCGGAGGCCTCTAGAAGAGAAATCGAAAGATGACAAGAATACAAATATAAGATAAACAGTATTCTTCTTGAATTCCTTCTTAAATTAGGCGTCCTTCCAAGAGAAAAATAGAGGTTACACAACATTAGGTAGAAAGTGATTGGGTATCTTAGCGACGTGTGTTGTACAATAGGACAAGTTACTCCATCCTTTCTGTCATTGACCTTTCAATCAGTCATCTATTCTACACTGACAATGGCCATCTTCATTACAGGAGCCACCGGCTTCATCGGGGCGGCAACCGCCCTCGAAGCCGTCAAGACAGGGTATCGTGTGCGCCTCGCCATCCGCCGGGAATCCCAGATCGAGAAGCTCCAACATCTTCTAGCTGCCTACGCTGACCGAGTCGAGTTCGTGGTTGTTCCCGATATCACTGCAGAAGACGCGTATGCGGGAAAGTTGGACGGGGTGGAGTATGTCATCCACATTGCATCACCGTTGCTGCCTTCCATCGACAAGAAGATCTCCTTCCAGCCTGCCGTCGAGGGAACATTGAGCATTCTGAATGAAGCCGTCAGGGTGTCGAGTGTTAAGAAAGTGGTCATCACCTCCTCAGTCTCTGCCTTGGTCCCCTTTGCGGGCGTTCCCAGGGGCGGCATCGTCACAGGTATATCCTAGAGTGTTATCCTAGAGTGTTCTTCAATATATTTATATTCACTGTTGATATTTATAGAGGAGCCAGCCTGGGATTTGAGCGTTGATACCGACGCAGACTTCACCGGTCCCAACGACACCATCACTTCCTTCCTGCTGTACCGTGTCTCCAAGATGCTCGCAAACGACGCCACATGGGATTTTCACAGACGACACAGCCCCCCTTTCAGCCTGGTGGTCATCTACCCGACGTTCGTGTACGGTCACGACATCTTGCAGACCGGGGCGGATGGTGGAAAGATCGGCATCACGAACGGTATGCTCTTGGATGCCTTGCGGACAGGCCAGCCATGGCATGAATTCACCTATGTGCACATCCGCGACGTGGTTTCTGCGCATCTCCGAGCCTTGGATGCAGCCATTCCCGACGGATCCAAGTATATCCTTGCGGGGAGGAGGACGTCGTGGAGAGAGATCGCCCGGTATCTGAAAGAGAACTATGATGGCGTGGTGAAGTTCGGTCTGTCGGAAGATAATGAGCTGGCAAAGGAGTTCCTGGATAAATCGCTGCCTACGGATGCCTCGAAAGCAGAGAGAGAACTGGGCATTCGGTGGACTTTGGCCGAGGAGGTGATCAGGGAGGTTGTCGAGCAGAATCTGGCATTGTTGAAGACTGCTGATAGGCATTCTCAGTGAACAGGATCGAGTTATTCTTTCTGTAGCAGGCATTCAGTGAACAATTCTATCTCTGATGGCCTATTCACCATCTCAACTGCCTTTAACTCTGAGAAGATCAAGACTATCATTTCAGATGAGATTGCATTTACTGATTTCTGGAACGGAATTTGATCTCTTCAAGTACAGATGATCACAAGGTAAATCTGAGCCTTCCATTGGCAAGATTTCTGCCTTCCCTGTATTTCCAGCACAGCAATTCCAAGTCCTTTATAATCCCCCGCAGGCGCTTCTCTCGCGACCTCCCGCTCGTTTTGATGAAGTAGCTCAGACCTGCAACCCTGGAATCGCGATTGGAAACAGCCGCGTTAATATGCTCGTCCTTTACCTCCCTCGTCGTTCTGATTGCCGTTATTTGGCATTCGTACTCGAGGTAGTAAAAAGTTGGTGAGCGCCTGTTCAACTCGAAGATTGCCTGTATATCTTGTTAGATATTATTAACCACTGACTTCTGAAAGACAGAAGCCATACCTCGTGGTCCTCTCTTGCGACCATGTCCACGACCTTTGAAAACGCCCAGAGGCATCGAAACCTGGCTAGAACCAACACTTGATGTTGACATCCGCTAATCTTCGGCTTCAGGTAGATTATCCGGTAAAGTCCGCCGACTACATCGGCGTGATCTGGCCATTATTTAGCCGGTGCTGCCAGTGCTGCCGATACTCTTTATCTGTTGGATCCCTTCGGCGTGGGCTCTCTCCCTTATCGCGCAGTCTCTGTCGTCTGTCGTCCAGCGTAATCTTTGAGCTCGAATTCTATGAAGTAATCGAGGTTGGCTGTGAAACAGACCAGTCTGGGATCGCTTGCTCGGTGAATACTAGTAGTAGACATCGTGTAGAAGCAGTATATCCACTGGAACAAGACAATTAGCAGTGCTTTATAGGGTACCCAGTATCCCATAATGATAATTGTAGAAGTAGGGGTAATATTCATACCTCTTCTGAGTACTCAAGAGCGACGACAGCATGGATGAAGTTACCTATCTAAATAGAGGCAGCAGCAGGAGTGACATTAACCAGTGCCTTAGGCAGCCATATCAACAGTGACATCAGAGCCAGTCATAACAAGGATACATCTACCATCATCTGTAAATTTAATTGAATGTAGTCATAGTTAATATACAGTAGCAATAATAGCAGATCGTCCTATTTCCCTATGGACTTGTGCGGAATACTTCGGGCCTCGCTGAGCATAATATTATGTGATATTATGCGAGTTATGCAATGCATACACATGCTGTTGCTTACTCAGCCGCTTACCCAGGACAGCCAATCAGAAGCTTGTCCATCCTTTCTCACCGGGACAGGAACAGGACACCCACGTGATTCTCGTACCTGACGTGGGAGAAGGAAAAGCAGACGCTCTTCGTTCCTCTTTCACGACAACGACAATACCAGAGTGCAGCAGAATGAACCTCTTCTGATCCCTGGTATATGCGGTCTCTCTCTACATATTTCTGGTCAGAAAGAAGCCATCACTGGCCCCTGCCCTCGGATGACGTCTGTGCCGCTCTATGGTGGGTCACTGCTGGAGTTCTTTGTGAAGTCTGTCGAGTTGACTGGTTGGAAGGAAGCAGGCAGACGATCAAGCCTTTCCAGTGCGTTTCAGAGTAGGATCCCGCGCATGGTAGCTACTATCATTGGGCTGACTGGGTGTATAGACGAACATCAACGGAGCACTCTACGCGTACTCCGTGCGGACGCCGGAAAGCGATCGGGACCAACGGCTCTTCGTTTTACAAATCACCACAGCGTCCACCAACTAGTTACCGAATATCACTTCAGGTCCCAGGATGGGTGGGCTCAGTGGAGCCCTGGTCGTGGATTCGATCGGCAGCCACCAAATGGCCCGGCGTCATGGCTTTCTTCCCTGATTGAGGGCCAACCTGCCGTATGCCGATTGCCGATTGTGCTCGTTGTGGGTGGCTGCTGGCTACTACCTACTACCTTTCTATGGAGTAGCACCTCCTAATCATTCTCCTATCTGGGTCCACTGGTCAGATCCTGGCAATGAAGAAACCTTTGGTCATTGCGTCAGGTCGGGTCATATTGTTTGCGCTAAGGCCGCTGGGATAAAGGGAGAAATTTCTTTCCCTCCCTCTTTCTCTCAGTGACTGTCTATCTCTTGATTTGCAGTTTCTCTGATACTTAACTGTCTGACTTTGAAGACCTTCGATATCTCAAGATGGAGGAGAAAGAGCCTGTAAGCCCGAGGGCAAGGGTGAGCTCAGACCCCGGCATGAAAAAAAGAAACAACCTCTCAATGGCTGACATTGATCTAGCCCAACTCCCCTCGTGGCCCCGAGTCGCCCAGCAGGTCCTCATACGTTTCGCCAACCAGGAGGATTGCCACAGGACTGGATGAGTCCGGGGATAACGACGATGGAAGCCTCCGACGACGCAGTTCAGTGGCCTCCAGAAATCGAGTGCCCAGTCTTGCACCCCGGACCACTCTCGCCCAGAGGACACAGGGCAATTTCACCATGGCCGGGCCGGACGAGACGCCGCAGCTGCGTCTGGCCCACGAGCCCTTTGTCCAGCCGGGCTACGCGGAGCTCAACCCATCATACGAGCAGCCGGCCAACGCAAAGCCTGTCTGGGGGTTGGCCAAACCGCTGCCGCGCGTGGTGCGGCCGGGCATGGTGCCCACCAGGGAGGAGCTGCTGGAGGCCCGCCAGAACGCCCAGCTGCCCGCCGAAAACTCCCAGAAGTTGGGGCTGGATGTCGATCCCAACGACCTGGAGAAGGGTCGCATCGACAAGACCACCCTGTCGCCCGCCAAGATGGCCGCCCAGGTCGAGGATGCCCGCCTGCAGCGCGAGGCCAACTTTCTGGACAAGCTGCTGACCAGCGATGCCAAGTCCACGCGCCTGTCGTCGCGCGTGTCGCGGACCTCCTCCCTCCGTCGGCCACGCGACTCGGCGCTGGGCCCCGACGTCGACAAGTTGTCCACTGTCGAGGAAGGTTCGGATCAGGCCACCACTACCCCTGCAGCCCCGAGTCATGAAAACTTACACTTTGAGGACGTCCAGCACGACGCGCCCCTGTCCCCCGTGCCCGAGGAGGCGGATGGTGGCGGCGATGGTGGCAGCGATGGTGGCGGCGGCGACGATCTGGCGATGAACATTCCCGCCCTGGACGAGGCGGCGTACCCGGAAGACCTGCACCCGCTGATCCAGGAGCTGGTGGAGGAGGAGGTGCACAATAACCATACGACGTGGTCAGTGATCCGCACGCATCACCGCGAAGCGCTGGCCGAAGCGCTGGCCGTCTTCGTGCAGCTGACGGTAGGCTTCTGCGCGGACCTGGCCGTCACCATCGCCGATGCCGGCAACCCGAACACCACCGACTGGGCGTGGGGATTTGCGACGATGATGGCCATCTACATCTCCGGTGGCGTGTCCGGTGCCCACCTCAACCCGGCCATCACGATCATGCTGTGGTTCTACCGCGGGTTTCCCAAGCGTCTGATGCCCGAGTACTTTGCGGCGCAGTTCATCGGCGCCTTCTGCGCGGCGCTGGTCTCGTACGGGCTCTACCACAGCTCGATCCAACACTACCTGGCGAGCAATGCCAGCACTGACATCGTCAACAGCTTCGTGACGAACCAGCGCGAGGCGTGGATCGGCCCTGCCACGGCCTTCTTCACCGAGTTCGTGGGCACGGTCATCCTGACGGTGACGGTGCTGGCGCTGGGCGACGACCAGAACGCCCCCCCGGGCGCAGGCATGAACTCGCTGATCATCGGCCTGGTGGTCACCTGCACGTCCATCTCGTTTGCCTACCAGACGGGTGCGGCGCTGAATCCGAGCCGGGACTTTGGCCCACGCCTCGCCCTGCTGGCCCTGGGGTACGGCAGCGAGCTGTTCACGAACCCGTACTGGTTCTACGGCCCGTGGGCGGGGGCCATCTCCGGGGCGATGATCGGCGCCTTCCTGTACGACTTTATGATCTTCACGGGCGGCGAGTCGCCGGTCAATTACCCGCTCGAGCGGACGCAGCGGGCCCTGCGCAAGAGCCGGGCCAAGTGGTCGCGCCGGTTGCATTTGAAGGGGAGGGAGAACGAGAAGATATATGCATAGAGTAAAGCGAGAAGAATATGCAGAGTAGAGCATACAGTACGGAGTACTCTGTACAGCACAGATTAAGGAGAATTGTTTTCACCTGACAGGGATAGATACCTATGATGTACATTACTACTACATACCCCTTGCAGCATGCATATCCATAGCTATAAAAGCACCAAGGCTTGCTCGAAATATCAACCTCTATCCATACAGTGATATATACTTGACCTACATCTACCATGCAACTCCGCCTCCTCATCTCCATGGCTCTGGCCTCCCTCGCTCTCGCCAGAGGTATATCTCCTCCCATCCACCTCAGAATCAGTACTAACTATACATCCCATAGAATACCCGATCAAACTCTCCCTCGAGATCGACACGCAACACATGCACATCGCTGACGGGGATGGGCCGTACGACAGCCCGTGTGGGAGTTACAAGACTTGTCTGGAGATCTGTCCCAACAAGGATTTCCATGTCGTGGTGGATGACTGTGAGGAGGGGCAGTGTTATGCCAATTTCTGGTGTGCATAGATTAGTATAGCTTAGTTGAGGGATCTATGTGCTTATCCTGGTTCTTTCGATGTTTTATTAATACTCATACATAAACACCCACCAGATCCCTGTACCTTCCCTCCGACACTACATAAATAGGACCTCGGCGCTGTTTCTCGGTGCATACAAGGCCATACTGATGGTATAGCTGCTGGTTAGCTGATGGGATCCCCTTGACCCTCAAGCCGACTGTCCATCGCAGTTGATCATGGCTCGCTTTGATCCCGAAGCCATCCTCTTGTTTGGCCTCACCCTGCGATAGCAGCCACTTCCACCACTAACGATGCAATGAGCCAACGGGGCTCATGAAGATAGCCGCCGGTTACGCCGACAGAGTGCATTTCATCCCAACCAACGTGGCGGTCCCTGCCTCTGTCCTCCATCTGTTCAAAGCAGTATACGGTGTCCATGGCCGCGTGGACCATGCGGGCATTTCCGAGTAGAGTAATTGGTTCCATCCAATTTGGACCTGGAGAGATCGAAAGGGTCAGTTCAACAGTTCAACAGTTGTGAAATGAATACTGGCTAAGCTGGTAGGCCCCCGAACCTTGGACGCTCAACGGCGACCTCCTCGGCACCCTCTATTTTGCGCGTATCGCCGCTGTCTTCCTGCGTCAGGATGCTTCCCGGGAAGCCGACAGGTCTTTGGTGCTGGTCAGCTCCATTGCGGGCTTTACTGGATCCCCGGGCCTGCCCTTGTACTCTGCCTCGAAGCACGGTGTTCTGGGACTGATGTGCGCCCTGCGCACCTCCCTGCCCGACACGCACAAGATCAGCGTCAGTGCCGTGTGTCCCTGGACGTCGGCCAAAGGCATGGAGGACGAGATTGCCGGGCTGGCCGCCTGGGGGAGGAGGGCAACGCGGAAGACCATCTACGTGGAGGGAGGGAGGCCGGGGCTGGGATGTCGAGGCGGGGTTAGATCAGACCCGGGAGCTGCAGAATGCCAACTGGATGGAGGGTCAGCAGCTGCTGCGGTCTCTTCCAGGGTCGGCGGAATTGGTCTGTTCAAACCGATGGATGAGGATGGATCATAAAGTAGATAATATCAATGCAAGTTCATTCTATACAAAAAGCTTGAAGACAAAGTAGAAGCTATACACACCCGCCACTAAGAACGGATGGATGACCGGTTCGAGCACTGGATGACAGTCGTACGCTGCGCGCGCAACAACCCATCTCGCGATACTCGTTCTGGGCGCCCTCTCGGTGAAGTACATGCACTGCATCATCTTCCGGGTCAGGGTCTGCGCCTTGAGTGCGCGCTGGAACATGGCCGTCTCGTACCGCGCAATCTGCTCGTCCAACGCATCTGCCTGCTGCTGCTGCTGCTGCTGCTGGTGCTGCTGGTGCCCTGCGACAATCGCCTCGGCAAGTCTCATGGCGTCTTCCAGAGCGAGGTTGACCCCCTCACCGGCAAACGGGGTCATGAGATGGGCGGCATCGCCCATCAAGGTCATTCCGCGCCGGTGCGGCCACTTGAAGTCCACAGGAAGCATATACAACGCACTGATGCGCATCTCCCCGCGCGACTGGCGGATCAAGTCCAGCAGCTCTGGCGCCCAGCCTGTATACTCGCCACACACCTCCTCTGGCGACTGCGGGGGGTTCTCTCTCATCTGCGTCGCCCAGTCTTCGGCATGTCGGCCCCAGACCGAGACTTGGATGCTCCCGTCACCCATCTGCTGGCCCATAATGGACTGGCCGTCCGAAAAGGCAAACAGATTGCCGCCTTTCACCAACTCCCAGCTGTGTCGTGGCCCCTCCCGGGCATTGGCATTGGGAATCGAAAGGTCGTACCCTGCAATCCCGGAATACTGTGGTTTCACGCTGGGCGCGAGCACGGCGCGCACGCAACTCCACGCGCCATCGGCACCCACCACCAGGTGGAAGTCGCCTTCCGTGGCCCCGTGGGCAAAGACCAGCTCTGTGCTGCCGTTACCGGCACCGGTACCGGCACCGGCACCGGCTTCTTTGATATCGATCAAGCGGTGGTTCCAGCGGACGCAGCCCCCCGGGAGCGAACGCAGGAGCAGCGAGCGCAGCTGCACGCGGTCAATCTCAGGATTCGTCGCCAGAGCGGCAGGCAGTTGGAAGTAAGGCTGGTTCTGCTTGTCGGTGATGGTCAGACCGGCGCTGTCCACGCGAGCCAGACGGCAAAACTCCTCGTAGAGGCCTGCTGTCCTGAGCGCGGCGATGCCCGTCTTGGGGTGCAGGTCGAGAGTGCCGCCCTGGCTGCGCGCGTTGGGAGACGCTTCGGCCTCGAAGACGGTCACCTCGATCTGCTTGATATGCAGCAGCCGTGCGAGAAGACAGCCGGCAGGGCCAGCCCCGATGATGGCGACTTTGAAGGTGGACATGAGTGGATGGAAGTGGAACAAAGAAAGGAAAACAAATGTCAGATACGGCGGGATTTAAAGCTCGGAGGTCCGACTCATGCAAGATCCCTGCATATGTCATGTCAGCCTGGCTGGAGTCAGTAGTACTATTATTATAGATTAAATCTAAAAGAACTAGAGAATTATTACTGAGTCTGTTATAGAATATACTATTAAACTATTACTACCTCTTTTCTAATTCCTACCACCTATTCATCTCTTTCTCTTACTTTGATCTATATAAGAGAATGAAAAGACTTGATCTCTCTCCTAGATCAAGGGTCTTACCTAGAGCAGAAGGTCCTATGTTTTATCTATAATAAAATCTAGTAGTTTATATAGCAGAATACTACTTTTATTACATATAATATAATTTCTATTGATTTTAACAAGGTTGTCTTATTAAAATTACTGATTACTTAGTCTATACTCTGTACTCATCTGCCACGGGGTCCTGGTAGAAGCTGAAATGTAATTGAAACAGCCGTTGCATCCACTCGACGGGCTTGGTTTGGCCTTGGGCTCTACCACTTAGGCTTAAGCCTCATTAATTAGGCTTTAAGCCCGATAACTTAGGCTTTAAGCCCGATAACTTAGGCTTAGAGCCCCATCACTTAGGCTTAGAGCCCCATCACTTAGGCTTAGAGCCCCATCACTTAGGCTTGGAGCCCCATCACTTAGGCTTGGAGCCCCATCACTTAGGCTTACTCAGGCCCCCGTCTCCTGCCAGTGGTGTCGGACACTTCAGCGGCGAAAAGACTGGCAGTGTCTGGCCCTGCAGGCCGGCAGACCATTCGCCACTCGGGGGAGGCAAGAAGGACAACGGGCAGTGGAAGGGTCTTTGTCTTGGGCATCCAGAAACAGCAGATCAAACTGGTCCCATCTCCGCGGGCTTCTCCGTTGGGGCGGGCGTCAGAAGGTCCCCGGGCTGGTTCAGGGCGTCGGGCTCCAGGCTCTGCAGGCCTACCGCGCCCCCGGGGGCCCCTGGGGCCCCTGGGGCCCCCGAGGCCAGCCGCTGAGTGCCCCGAGTGCTGGTGGGTGGTCGGGAGAGGGGACGCTTCCTCCTCTGCTTCACAGGCACCGAGACCTTTCGGGACACTGTAGGGAAGCTGTAGACACAGGCTGCATCGACCCGCTGGCACCGAATGCATGCTCCGTGGAGGATTGCGATCCCGCAGACGGAGTATCGTGTCTGGGAATGATATTGAATCCCTGCCTTGGGATTCTGGAAGTGGATCAACATAATCTATGCTTATAGATGGATAATCGGGAAGAAATACTGACTTAAGCCGAGTGTGGAATCCCATGGCTGCGCGCATATGAGCGCATTGAATGAAACCCTAGATAGAGAAAGCAATCCCTGCCTAGAACTCCCCCAATCACACCAGCTGCTCAAGACCCTGGTGGTGTGATTACCAGTACTACTGCAGCCTGTCTTTGATACCGAGTTATTGCCCTGAATAGGCATGATCATTGTAGATCTTAGGGTTTCTGTATTGCTGTAGCCTAGCTCTAGATATGTTATACTACACCAGCTCCTTTTATAATAGCAATATTGCTTGAGCTGGAGAGTCTACTCAAGCTAGAGCTAGAGAGGATTCTTATCATTTTATTGCTAGTGGAAATGGACAAGCCCATCTTTAAAGACATGATGGTAAACCAGCTGGCAGCTGTTAAGACCCTTATTAAATATATATACAACTTACTCTAGATCACATAGGGCTGCAATAGTGAGCTGTTAATATAACTATTAGCTTAGGATGCTTACTTAGCTATAAGCAGCATAGGCTATAGCTGCAGTTTCTCAATATTAATGCTAAGGTCACTACTATATAGGTAGCCAGCATATTGCTCCGCCTGTATGTTATAGATCTATAGCTAAACAACTCTTAGATACTCTGGTTGACGGAGCCGAAGTGTGAGTGGGAAAGAAACAGCTCATCCCAAGAATATATGAGCACCAGGCGGAGAGCAATCAATATACCTCATGCAGATGGCCAACCCTAAACGTAGATCTGGAGACAGCCAGGGTGGTAAGTCTGGCTTTAGGCTGATTGAACGGCGAGGGAAGCAAACCCTAGGGTTGGGAGAACTTAACCATAGAGTTGAACAATCGACTAGAACTTCCTAACCCTAACCCTGACCCTAGGGTTGTGTAAAACCCTAGGGTTATGTTATTGCCTCCTGCTCTCGTCCATCAAAGTCGCCAGCCGCTTCAAGTTCCTTTCTATAAGCCTCCTTCTCTAACCCTCCCTCTAACCCAACTACAGGGACATCACTGACAAACCATCACTGCTCCGCGTCTACCAAGACATCTGTCGAACTCTCCCCACCATCGCCGCCATGGTGCTATAGAGACGTCATCTGTTGGTATAGACATCAGCGTCGGTTGAAGACACATCGTTCGTACCCAGTACAGTTCTTTGCTGATTATCCAGAGGTAGGATGTTTTCTTTAGATAAAAAGCAGGGGATTAGATTTAACCAATCTAATCTATAAGTAGATTCTAGTTATTAACTTGTTATTTATATCATGATAATCTACTATAATTCTACTCTTCTATCATATTATTATTGACCTAGAAAAGTCACATTGTAGCATAAAAAGCCCTAAATACTAGTATACTAGTTAGTAGTTATATATATAAGCCTGATGAAGAGTTAAGGAATTATCTAGGAACTAGCTGAAGTGAGTATATATACTCTATTAAAAGCTTAATTAAATAAGAAGAAAAGAAGAGAGAAAATAATAGAATTAGATTATACTTACAAAAATATTGACCTTTCTTTCTAGGTAGGAATAGCTTATTGTCATCAAGAAATTGGTATTTCTATAACAGAGAGTGGGAGTAATATCAGTAGACGCTATTAGAGGCAGATGACTTTAAACCATGCAAACTACTCTATCTCTTATAGGGCATTAGATTACTATAAGATTTCAATAATATATTAGCATTATAATAGCATTATATTAGCATTATAGTAATTATGAGCACCTTCATGAATGAGCCAATCAAAGACAGCAGAGTGGAAACGCCTGAAGAATCAATCTGATTGGAGAACAAGGGCTAAGCGCAGCCGCGCCTAGCGCCAGCCGACAAACGCGCCCGATCGAGAAGAGAATCTGGAGCTGTCGTCGGACGTCTTTTGTTGTCGCTCGTTCACCAAGAAGCGAATTCCAGGACGCATCATGGCAGCCGAACAGAGGAAGCTGCTCGAGCAGCTTATGGGAGGTAGTTCACCCCCTTTTTCATCCCTTTTTTCTGTCTGCGAAGCTCTCTAACGTGACATTCTAGCGGACCAAATGGTTGGCCTTGGAGCCACCTCGCGCAACGCCCAGCTGTCCATCACCGACGCCAAAGTCTGCCGCTCGTACCTGGCGGGGACCTGTCCGCATGACCTCTTCACAAATACCAAGCAGGATCTCGGCCCCTGCCCCAAGGTACACAGCGAGGGCTTGAAGACTGAGTACGAGACGGCCTCGCCCGCGGAAAGGGCGAAATGGGGGTTCGACTATGACTACATGCGCGACATGCAGAAATACATCGACGACTGTGATCGGCGGATCGACTCGGCGCAGCGGCGACTGGAGAAGACACCGGACGAGATCCGCCAGACAAATAACTTGGTACCCCCCCCCACAGAGAGAGAGAGAGAGAGAGAGAGAGAGAGAGAGAGAGAGAGAGAGAAACTAACGATTTAGTTGAAACAAATCTCGGACCTCAGCAAGACGATCAACACCGGTCTTTTGGAAGTGTCTGTGCTTGGCGAAACGGGCTCGGTGGCTCTGGCGCTGGGCGAGCTGCACAAGGTCCGCACCGCCAAACACCAAAAGGAGCAGTGCGAACGCGAGCTGAAGAACCTGCAAGACACCTCCGGCCCGTCAGGCCACCAGAAACTCCAGGTGTGCGACGTCTGCGGGGCGTACCTGAGTCGTCTGGACAACGACCGCCGGCTGGCAGACCACTTCTTCGGCAAGATGCACATGGGATACTCGGATATGCGCAAGACGTTCAGGAAGCTCAGCGAGGAGCTCAAGGGCCGCGCACCCCCCGTGCGACATCACGACGATGACGAAGGGGGTGGCGGTTGGGGGGGTCGCGCCGGCGGTGGTCGCGGGCCTCGGTATGGTGGTGGTGGTGGTGGCGGCGGCGGGGGTTACAGAAAACGAGGAGGGCGGTGGTGATGGAAAATCTCGCTATAGTACTCGCTAGGTGCACCCTTGCTTGCCTGGTTCTTGTGTTGTCCTTTTGGTTGTTGCATAGCGCAGGAGTTTGATGTTTCTCAGGTTATGATGCAGTTCCAATCGACGTGTCAGACTCATTTCCAATTTCAAGTAGGGCAGGTCAATCAATGATGATAGACAGTAGGTCTAGTCAATCTCCTACCACTGGTCTATAGATACGTAGGAGCCAGTGGTGCTACTCTATGTTCAAGGAAAATGATATTTGCTAATCAGCTGCATTGAAGATAAGATGCTCTCCTATCATAATAAGACTTGACCTCAACATGAATACCCTCTTGTTCGCCGGTAACCAGTCCTCTCGGCACAAAAATACACTCACAACAAAATAAAAAGAACAACTCATCAATCACCTAGGATCTGCACTGGACCCGAGGCCTGATACTGTACAGTGAAAGACACAATTTCTTTTCCCTCTCCTTTCCCCTTTACTTCCTATTCTGCTGCTCATTGACAGTGGTGGCCTGATACAAAGCTTGCATCAGCAAAGTATAGTCCGCAGCGGCCTCAGGTCTTTGGACGAGAATGTCGCGGACAACATTAAGCTGTATAATGTCTGCGTTGGGGGCCTGCTGGAGCAGCTGTTGGATGGCGGGAGAGTTGGCCTGCGCGCCGAGAACTTGCACCGCAGCCGCCATTCCAATCGGCGCCTGAGACGGTGAAGGCGGTTGCTGGTAACCTCCGGATGGCTGAGAGGTCGACGACGGTCGCTGTTGCTGGATGGAGTTGTTGTAAGAAGACGGATGAGCAGGTGTTGGCGTGGCGACTGAGGAAGGCCCGGACGGGGTGGGCGCAACCTGTGCTACAGGTCGGGGACCAGGCGTCGAAAACGCGACATTATTGTTGGCCGCATTCGCTGACAAGGGAGTCCCAGCACTGCCGGGCTCCATGCTTGAGTGCTGCGATGGAGGGTTCGATTCGCCGGTCTTGACGACAAAGACGACCAGGAGCACCCGTCCGGGCAGATGGTCTTCGAGCGAGTTGTTCTCTAGCAGCTCGATGAACTCGGGCTTCTTGGTCGCTCCAGCCTCAACAGGGATGAGGTAGACATCCTTGACGGCCGCCAGGGGATGTTTGCCGACAACACCGTACCGCTTGCGATCTGCAAAGTAGTTGAACAGTTTGTCGAACCCGGCGCGGTCTGTCGTCGATTCGGGACAGCGGACGGAAATCACCGTCACGTCCGTCGACGTGCTGAACCGCAGTCCGCAGAGATAGTTGCTGGCCAGCTGGATATCGATGCGACCGTCGACTAACAACGTGGACGGTGCCAGTTGGCTCCAGGGGATCCTCCCACTCAAGTCCGCGCCTCCCACATGCTTCGCAAATGAGGCAAACTCGGCAATGGGATTCATCACCACCTTTCCACGCCAGACAGTTCCTTCGTCTGCGAATTCTCTCGGCGAGTAAGGCGGCGAATCCGGCTCGTCGTCGCGCAGCAGTTTATCGATCTCTGCGTCGGCCTGGACCTTGCCGTGGTGCACCGGTTCACGAATTTGAGTCGAAACCTCAGGGAACATTTGATCGTCGAGAGAGCCTCTAGGGGAGTGTCCACCAGGCGGAAGGGTGTGATCATGGTCCATCCCATCCGCTGCCTTTGCTTTGGCTGACTTTGCCTGAAGCTCGGAGGAGGAGGCATCGGTGTTGTTCTGCTGGATTGTCGGGCTGACAGGGCTCTGGACAGAGGGACTACCGTCCGCTTCGACGATGCTGAGACGCGTCGGGACGGTCGAGAATACTGGCTCCGAAGTAGCTGTATGAGTTTCGTCTTCGACCAGTTCTTCACCCTTGTGGGTTCTCCTAATCCGGGGCCCTTGCTCTTGCACGATGATATGCTGCCGGTCTGCCTCCCGCTTGATCTCAGCATCCTTTTGCTGCAGTTCTTCACTCGCCATGTCCTGAGAACTCATCTTAGAGATGGCCTCTGCGGACAGGCTGCCTACGAGCAGACGATCACGCAAAGAAGGGTTTTTCTTGACGTTGAATAAAATCGTCCGCAGTTGCAACTTATACGGCTCTGTTGTTTCTCCTGACCCCCCGCAGATATTTTGATACATAGCATTCTCGATTGAAAGACCGAGCCGCCGTGCAACCTCCTCCCCCAACTTATTGTGAGGCAGTTTGAAGGATCCTCGCTTCCGGGCCTCAGAAATCTGGTCTACAAACAGCTTGACTAAGGCATTGGCCACGCTCTTCCGAGCCGGGTTTTTGGGATCCTCAAGGGGAGTCACTGCCTCAGGCGTAGCCTTCTCTATGACCGATGATTGACGAGAAGCCGGCGTGGTCGAGGCTCTCTTACCTGGGGTTGCTTTCGTATCGGACACAATGGGAGCGGTGATGGTGCTAGGAGCAGGCGGCGAAACTTTCTGTTGTTTCATCTTCGGGCCCTGGTGTTGAACATGGTCAGCGTTCGAGCGAGAGAAATAATAATAATGATGATAATAATAAAGAAAAGAATCGATCACTTACTGCTCCAGCCTGGTGTTCTTGCTGATCTTCATCAAACTTGCGCTTCTGATTGCTCGCCGGACGAGGCTCATCCTTCTCCTCCTCCTTGTGGCCATTTTGTTCTTCAGGCTCGGGCGTGGCAGCAGCAGGTGGCGCTGGAACTGGCGTAATCGAGGTTGTGGAAGGGGTTGCCTGTGCAGGAACAGGCCCTGGTGTTGAAGGAGGTTCTGGTCTTCCTTCGGCAGCCTTGCTCTTGCGCCCGCCTCTTCTTCCCTTCTTTCGACGTGAAGCCTTCTTCTCCTCAATATCTCGGCGCCGCCGTTCCGCTGCCTCCTCCCAGGGTTTCTCGCCACGAGCCATCTTCTCAAGTAGAACCACATGGTTCTCAGGTTTGCACTGTTCGCAGAAGTACTCGTCGGGCTCCTGCCCCTTGGCAAAGGTCAGCCCCATGCAGTCATTATGTTGCCACGCGGAGCACCGATCGCAGCAGATCATATCACGCTCAACATCCTCCTCCTCTTCGTATTCGCCGCAGATACACCGGATGATTTCTTCTTCTTCGCTAGGCGCTGGTGTCGGTTCGGCGGAGGGCTTCGCATGCTTGTCTTTCGTCTGGGGTTTTCCCTTGGACTTCTTGGACGGAGCTTCCGTTACCATGTCGAGGTTCTTGTGCTGGCCCTTGGTAGAGCGACCGGACCGTCTCGGTTCGTCTGGGTTTGGCTGTTAGCTTGCCTGCAGTGGGTTGGGAGGCATCGTAAGGCCCAAATCGAGCTCTCACTCTCAACACACTTGGGAAAACTTCTGGTATACAAGAGCTTACCGGCCATATTCGTCAATGCAAACTGCAATAGGAACACTGGTATAATTCTACAATAGTTGTGTGGCGTTGTGGTTAACAGAACCACCGAAGACGTAGGAGTTGCCCACGCGATCCGATCACGACAGTGGGTATCTCTACAATATCAGGGTGGGGGGTGTGCCTAAGGTAATACAGGAGCAAAGACGCGAAACCACAGCGAGTGTGCCTCTAGAGCCCACAGCACCGTATTGCTTTTTATCTTCAAGGACTGGCAATCTCCGCCGACAAGTTGGTGTCGGCGGGCAGGCAAGACGGTCGGTTGATAATAGCAACCTTGCCACGCGCAGTCCGGCACCTGGCGCTTCGCGGGGTCGTCTGGAAGAACAGGGCCTGCCTTGTCAGAATAAAGCGCCGCCGATAAGACAACCGATCACGGTGATGTGATGGCTAGATGGCTATCAAGATGATGCGTTGGGATGGCAGAGGAAAAAAAGAAAGGCGGGGGGGGGCAGCAAGACGGAATGAGATGAGCCAAGATACTTACGCGACCGCGACCGGCTCTAACCCGGCTTGGAGCGCACGTGATATGTGGCTCGTGCATGCGGCGCTGTGGCTGAGGCATTCGCCACCAGCCACCAGCTACCAGCCTCTGCGGCGCGAGCGCGTCTCGCCCCCAGGCACGTAAAAAGCGCAGCTGGCGTCTCGCACCTTTTCTCCAGGTCCCCACATGATTAGAGGATTGCGACAAACATTTCACGATCGATCCAGCCCTACGGTCTACGAGTTTAATTCCAGACATTCCTCCAGCGCCGCTGATTTCTAGACGTGATGGCTGACGTCCGGTCATTACTACGAAGCGAGCTTGCGTCCCGGCAAGCCCCTGCCCAAAGTGGGAGTGGGAGTCGGGTGACGAAGAAGAGAAAAGTCGAGAGCGGCGACGGGGTTGTGCGGAAGAAGCTGAAGCCTACGGAGACACAAGAGGAATTGCCGGCCTCCGAGGAGCGAGTGCAGCCGCCAGGTGCACAAGAAGCAAGCCGGGAGGAAGAAGAGGAAGAAGAGGAGGATGTCGACGACTCCGAGAAAGACGTCGCGGGTCCGGACCTTCCGTCAGAGCTGGAACATGAGCAGACTGCCGTGTCGCCGAGGGGAGCAGAGGCTACGAAACCAATAGCACAGACAGCTGAGGCTGTTGCCGAGACGACACAGCCCATCGACGAGGATGAATGGGCTGCGTTTGAACGTGAAGTGGCGGCGCCGACGCGTGCTCCGCAGGCCCCGGCTGCTGTTACGGCCGCCGCTACGATCTCCGCCGCCCCCGTGTCAGCAGAGGAACTGGCTACACAACAGCAGAACGACAAGGAGAACATGATCCGAGCTCGCGAGGCCGAGGCCGAGGGGGAGCGAGAGGATGCCGCACGGTTCCTAGAGGAAGAGTTTGACGAGATGGAAGAGCTGGAGCAGCGGGTACGACGACTAAAACAGCTTCGCGAAGATCTGAGGACCAAAGGGGCGGAAATCGGTTCGACAGATTCAGCCGTTCAGCCGTCGAGAAAAGACGCCAAGCCAGACAGCGACAAACGTACCCCTGACGAAGAGGACGATGACAACGACGACGACGACGATGATGACGATGATGATGGTGATTGGGACGATTGGAGATTCAAGTGAACTTTTGCATGGACTGTAATACGGCCGGAAAGCATCGGATTGATAAAATCGGGAGATCTTGGGACTTTTTTCTCATCTACTTTGATACCCCCCCCTCCCATAAACTGCATGGAGTCTTGAGAAACAAAATCAAAACATGAAACGATATCAGGAATAACTGATGATAGTTAATGTATGTATTATACAAATTAGTTCACCAGAGGAAGATCTTATTCGCAGAAAATCCTACCCGCAACTTGTATACACCGTATGTTATCAATCCTTGATTTGTGCGTCGATCTCCATGTAGCTCCGGAGACCATCATTTCGAACTCTCATGGCTTCCTCAATTTCGGCCTCGCCCTCTTTCAGGAGATGCTTGCCGCGCAAAAGGTCGCCTTTTCGCCGGCGTTTTTCCTCTTCTACCCGCTTCTCTCGATCTACAAGGGCACGTTCGCGCCGTTCTCGCTCGGCTCGCTTCTGTACAACAGCCTCCTGCTCTTCGGCTGTCATGTCATCCTGCTCTGGTGCGGCTGGTAAGGTGGAAATGTAGGCCTCAATCAGCGGGTCGCGAGTCTTGGGCGCGAGAGAGATGTACCGAAGATCGGTGAGGATAGCTGGCGGCAGAGCGGCCAGATCAGAGGAACGATTCAAGGACTGTAGCGGAATAGACTTGAGCAAGGCAGAAAGATCGGATTTTCTAGTGCTCTCCGGAAGCTTGAGACGGGAGATATGGTCGCGATAGAACTTTTCACGGTCCTTGTCTGATAGTTTGGTGTCTTTCATCTCCGGTTCCCTGCGGTACTTGCGTTTGAATTCCGGCCAATAAAGCTTCGGCGTCGCGTGTTCCTGGAGGAAACCGATATATCGAATGCGAGGGTCTTTGGTTTCTTCTCTTTCCTTTCGTTCCTTGTGCTGCTTCACGCGATCACGGCTCCAGTTGGAGAATGCCTCGCGGCGAGCTTTCATGTTAGGCAGTACTGTGTATCTGCTGTCCTCTATTATATGGCCCTCCTCGACGATCTTCTCCCAGGTTGTGTAGGGGCTGATGTGGAAATCATCGAGAAGATCACGGAACAGAGCCGCTGCATCTTCTTCTGTCAATGGCAGCCCTTCTGCGCCTTCCTCCCAGCCTTCTTCACCTGGTTCTCCATATTCGCCTGGATCAAGCCCGTACTCCTCGCCCATGTTCGCCAGTTGGTACTCGATGTCCTCCTCGGTGAAATCGACATGCTGCGGCGGTTGATCTGCGTCGTCTTCGTCGGTCCTCAATCGCTTTGTCGCTTGTCCGTCCTCTTCCTCTGCGTCGTCGTCATCAGTAACCTCGACCTCTTCGTATTCATCACTGTCTTCCCCGTCACCGATCGCAGGGACTTCAGATGGGTGTGTTGGCTTTGGTTTTTCCAACGGCACACGACCTGCAGGTTCATCTGCGGCCTTTTCTTCACCTTCCTCCTCAACCTCCCCACGTTCCTGTCTTTCCTTCTTCTCTCTCTCCACGCGATCGTATTCAACCACACCCTTCAGCACTTCAGAGGGGAATTTCCAGAAGCTCTCGTTCGTTGAGGGATTATGCACGAATCTCCTCCCAAGCTTCGTCTTCACCAGAACCCACGGCGCGCAGCCAGGTATCGGGTGTTTTGACTTGGGTCGGTCCGCGGGTTCGCGATGTCTGCGCTCCTGATAACTCTTCCCGCCACGGAAATCACCACGCCCATAGCCTTGATGAGCTGACCGGAAAGAGTCTCCTGGCGGTCCGTATGGTGTCGTCGAGAAGGGAGGAAGCGTGTCGGGCGTGTAGTGTAAAGGAGTCTGCGCAGGCCTTGGAGGCAGAGGCGCGGGCGCTTGGGGTCTCGTATAGGTAGACTGCTTCGTTTCTGCATTGTAGTAATACAGGTGCCCTAGATACCTCGTCAGACAGACACCAAGCCAAACCACACAATAAATCACGCACCTGAAGGCGCTCTATGCTCCGTCCAGCCCGGTGGTAACGGAGGCGGCGCTGTATAAGTAGACTTGAGCATTGTCGACAACAGCTACTCCCAGGAAAAAAGAAAAGAGACAAAAGGAATACTCTCCCTCTGTTGATTTGATTGATATCAAAAATGAAACCAACAGCTTTGTTCCACTCTGAAGCTTTTCTTTTTCATGACGGGGGGGTCCTCTCAAGTGGTCCGAGCTTGGCGGCCGGGACTGACGCGCCAGAGCGAGTTGCCTGGTGAAGCTCACTTGCCCACTCCACATCAAAGCTCCCTCGTTGAACGACCGTTTCTCATCGACGCCCGTCTGCGAGTTCTGGCAGCTTCTTTTTACTGTGAAAACATCTGATCACTCTTGCATTTTCGACTTGTGATTTATCCTTGAGCGTCAAGATGTCGCGGAGATACGATTCAAGGGTACGTTGGTCTCGTCGGTGTGTGTCAGCTCCGGGACGGTCCAGCTAACGATCTGGGTTTTGTTCTACAGACCACCATCTTCTCGCCCGAAGGCCGACTGTACCAGGTAGAATATGCACTCGAGGCTATCTCACATGCCGGGACAGCCCTGGGGATCCTCGCCAAGGACGGTATTGTCCTGGCTGCCGAAAAGAAGGTGACCAGCAAGCTGCTGGAACAGGACACTTCTGCCGAGAAGCTTTATATCTTGAACGAGTAGGTGGACCCGATGGATGAAGGTACTGTGTACTAACCGTGGCTATTTAGTAACATGATCTGTGCGGTGGCCGGGATGACTGCCGATGCCAATATTCTCATCAACTACGCCCGCCAAGCGGCCCAGCGTTATCTCCTCACCTATAACGAAGAGATCCCCTGCGAGCAATTGGTCCGCCGACTGTGCGATCTGAAGCAAGGATATACTCAGCATGGTGGTCTCCGGCCGTTTGGTGTCTCCTTCATCTATGCGGGCTACGACCCTCTCCGGCAATTCCAGCTGTACCAGAGCAACCCCAGTGGAAACTACGGGGGCTGGAAGGCGACGAGTGTGGGCGCCAACAACGCAAGTGCCCAAAGTCTTCTCAAGCAGGACTACAAGGAGGACTGCACCCTGCAAGAGGCCTGTGCCATGGCTGTCAAGGTGCTGAGTAAGACTATGGATTCGACAAAACTAAGCAGCGAGAAGAGTACGTTGTCCCCCTTGCTTTTAACTCCAATCAGCATGTCACTGATTCCTCCGCGTTTTCTCTAGTCGAGTTCGCCACGGTGGGGAAGACCAAGGAAGGCAAGATCTATCACCACCTGTGGAACGCAGATGAGATCGACGCCCTCTTGAAGGAGCAAGGCCTGGCCAAGGTGGATGACGAGCCCGAGTCTGGTGATATAAAATAGACGAGTTAATGCCCAACGTTGTTTTATTTCCCGCTGCAAACAATAATAGAACCCGCAGTCCTCAGGCTGTCCGCGTGACAGGGCATTTATGAGATATTACTGGCTTTCATTCCTCAAGCCCTGAAAGACACCTCTTCCAGTAGACGCGTCCGTAGAGTATAGTATGCTTGAGAGGGAAGGACTCCGCCGATAGCTGCATATGAGAGGGATAAAAAAAAAGCGCAACTGATGCTGTCCACTAGTGACGTGGCAACCGGTGATGTCAAAACAAACACCAGGCGGCTGTACTTCAGGGTCTGATGTCTCATTCTTGCATGCAATTTGATAGAGGATTGTTACGGATTCTTCACAATGGCTGGGTCCACGTATCTGACAACCGCCCAGGCTATCCTCGACGTTTGGCCACCATCGAGGGATATAAGGGGCGATGTTCGGTCACTCTCAGATGCTGTGAGATTATTCTATCCATATGTTCACTGTCTTCCTTCGAGGTTATACTGGTGAAAGGCATAAAACGACTGCTGCTGCCGTGTCGTGCTAGTCGAAGACTCTTGCGTCATACAAATAAAGGTGAGTGGAGGAATTCTTCGAAAAAGACAGTCATCCCCCCGCCCCTGAACGAGATAGACAGCATTCAAAGTCCTGGAATCTTAGCACAGGTATCTCGAAGCAGGCAGCGCTTTCCTTCATATCCCTGGTGTCCAGGATGAGCCTGAGGGCCCATTCCTGGCGGTCCGTGCCCAAGCTGGGCAGGTGATATCACGTGATCTACTCCCTCCCATGCGGGGTTTGTTGACACTTTCCCTCGACGACAACCAGGACGAACGTCTTCTCAAAAACACTCGGCCAGGTCGTATCACTTCTTTTGGGATTCGTCCAGTCCTATCATCAGATTATGCCGAGCACACTCTCTTACAAGCGCCGTTCCTTGTTCTGGCTTTACAAAGCTCCTGTGAGCCAACCGCTCTCCAAGAGAACCGGCGCTTATGAGGCGGACCGTTTCACCCATTGCCTCATTTGCTTTCAATTTTCGATAGAAGAGGGGATTTTATTGGAAGAGGCAATCTGTGGCCTGGTGGCCATGCCTTCAGTTCGAATCGAGATTGTTTTTGACTCTTGAACATGGGATCCATGGCCCACCCGTTTTCCTGAAGAAGAAACACTGATGTGATTTTGCAGTGCTAGTCGCTAATCATTCGGGGTCCCAATCCACCAGGAGATGGGGAGCTTAACGTACATAATAGGTGAAATTAAACAAAAATGGGAGAAAGAAAGAAAGAAAGAAAAGAAGGGGTGAACACCCGATAGACAGGACAGCCAAGAAGAGACTGGAATGGAGAAGAAGAAGAAGCAGAAGAAGAAGAAAAAGAAGTGGAAGAAAAGGAAGAAAAATAACAGAACATGAAGCATGGAGCCAAAGACCTCCGCATGCAGACGCTTTACCAAGAACTGAAACCTTAGGATAGCGCCCTCCGCCGGTCATCTCGCTCCATCGTGAGTTGGGAGATTTCCTTTTCGAGTTCCATGATGATTTTCTGTGTTCGGTCCATCGAGGCTACGAGCGTGCCTCCCTCGCGTTTCCATCGGTTCAATCGATCAGTTTCGTTCTTATGCCGACGGCACTTGGTTTCAATCTTCTCGCAGAGCCGACATTGGGTGGCTTCACATTCCGTTACGTTGACGAGCCTCATGCCACAGGTCTCGCCTGTCCGGTATTCGTAATTGCACCGCTGAGCAAAGTTCGTCCACATCCAGTCTCCGCAGGTGAATCGTCTCTGGTTGTAGAAGCACATGCCTGTCTGTTTCATCAGTGAACGCCCTCTTCAACTCGCTACCAGACTCACCTTTTATTGATGCGGAATCGTTGTTTCAGCCTAGCCACTCGATTCAATTGGTTGGATCAGATTTCTCTATCCGTACAGGAGCAATCTGATAGGCTCGAAGTGAACGAAGCTTATTGAAGAGTCAAGGTAGGTTTGAAGTGCTTCGAAACAATTATTGATTGATAGGACTCTGTTCTGTACTGATTTTCTTAAAGTAGCGTGCCTGAAACTGGTCCCAATCCGAAATTGATGATTCCTAGGGATCACGCGGCCCTATTTATGTTTCATTGATATTCAAAGGAGCTGTTTAGCTTCCACGTCTTCCGGTATCCATGGAACGTCGATCACCATCTCTTGACATGGGATGGCTTCTCGTCCACCGGTTTGGAGAACAATCTTTCTCCAACAACTGCTGCGGTTGGACATCTTGGGTTTCCCGAACAGTGGATACCCAAGGATGTCCACTTCAACTCGAATCGGCCCTCCGAAAAAATCTGCCCATCGGTCCAAGAATCCATGCAGCCAGCTGTCGTGGCAATTCATTTTCCTCCCAATGCATAGCGAATACCTCGAAAATCCCTCATCCTGGATGGTGGCTCTCACTTGGTTCGTGTTGAACTACTGCAACACCATGGCCCTTCCCCCGCTTTCTGTCTCTATCCTGTCTGAAGCCCTCGTCTGAACTTCGGGATCGCCTTGACATTAGGCATCCATAAATATGCTCCTGCATTTGTTGAGATCATTGTGCTTTTGCTAATCGGCATGGCTGTTTCATAGTGAAGGTTTCCACCCGGGAGCCCATGACCCATGGCTCAAGGAGTCTTGCCAGTGCTTCATTCCGATGAGAGGACAGCACCTTGCTACGACTGTTCTCGGTAAAATACCTTGAATATCTTAACCTAGTAGTCGATACTGCTACTCACTTATGGCCAATGGTTTTGAAGGGCCAAGTTCCAGGTCATCATGTCTCGGTCTCTTGGCATAGTCATTCGCCTTACACCTGGTCTCTCCGAATGCCATCTTGCTACCTCAATTGATAGTCCTATCTCGTCACAGCCTGCACCTGTCTATTTGCAGGTTAATGCAACGACCGTTAGAACCATCCTGCAGATTGGTCTGACCATCCGATTGCGACCCAACGCTTTCCACTTTCTCATATTGGCTTACAGCCTTCTATCCGAACCATGAGACATGGTTGTCCCTGATGCAGCCTCAATTCTTTCCCTTCCATTTCCTTGTTGCCTTCCACTGGCCAATTGTTCGGTGCCCGAGTGGCACAAGCCGCGTCACAGAAACCATCCATTGGTTTTCTCGACATCCTCGATGACTGACTAGACCACCAGAACTTGGTGTGAAGTCAATATGGTAACCTGGAGGCGTTTCCATTCAGCTGATCTCTCGCATCTGCAGACAAATAATCCCGCATTCGCCCCCGCTCATGTGCAGGGTTCATCTTTGCATACTTTTCTTGCTCGAGGGCAGTGATAGGACATCACATCGGTGCATCGACCATGCCAGATACCAGCCGTGACACCCTACACCTGCTGCCGAACCACATGCAGATGCACTAGAGCTCCTAGACTCTCTGACGTGGCGCCCCTCATCTGGATCACGACTTTGATTTCGGACTGCGAAGGACTGGCTAGAACCCATGAGGCGGAAAGAAGGGGGAAAAACCAACATTCTGCGGTCTACACTGAGGACTAGGATCCATAGACCGTGGCTACGTCGGTCCAACCTTTGAGGGTTGGCATAGCCTCCAACTCTCCACTCCCATCCTTCCATTCTTCCTCCGTTAGCCCTTATGTGCGTTGTACGTTTCACGAACATGACGCAAGATCATCGGACATCCCAGATAGAAGCCCAGAAAATGAGTCTCGGGCTACCAGGAGGGTGACTGCCAGCTCAGCAGGCTGTGAACTTGACTAGCAACTGCAATGAGGTAAGAGCCATGAAATCCAATGTATCCACTCCGTGTCCATGCCACTCGGCGTGGTTTGCCACCCTTGTGTCGTGTTCTCGTGCTTTATCTTACTGGCTGTCGGTCTCTGGCTTGCCTCTCTTTTTTTGGGGGCGATGTCCTTTCCCAACAAGGGTCAGGGTGAATCGAGAGCAGAAAGTGGTGTGAATGCCTGGCAAACCATCGGCTCGAATGGGTATGCGGCATGGCAGTGATTGATGGACACGATTCCCATCCACATCTCATGTCGTCTGTTGGCATGGCGTCTCGGCCCGGCCATTTTCAACGTCGAAATTGGATTATTTCGATGACCCGCTTGGCCGCTCCAGCAGACAGGCACTAATAAGTCTCGTGATCACAAGGCCCACGGAGCCTCCCGCACATTCCAAATGCAATGTATGTCTCCTGGTAACAAATGGCGTTCTCTAATCACCCTGTGGAAACTTCCCAAGTCCGACAGACCCTCTGCCGTCCATCTTGACTGTGAGATTTCGTTGGCCCCACTGGGGCACTTGGTCCAACCAGCCGTCTCCTTTACTTCCTTTTAGATTGATTTCTAAATCGCAAGCAAGGGTCATGAAAATGACCCCATCGGGTCGCCGGTCCCAAACCCTATTGTGGGCCCTAGCAGCTGCCCGCCGACAGATGCCACATGCTTGGGGTCCAATTTTTGAAGTCGCCTTCCGAGTTGGTTTAGGCTGCAGTCTGTTTTGGTTCATGCGGTGGCAGTACCGTGTTTTCGATGCGTTTTCTAGTACCTGTCCCATTGAAGATCGAATGGAGTCACCTGCATGACACCAGACTAGCTGTCACTCTCAGTAACCCTTGCTGGCCCATCGGACTGTCCGGCTTTGGGGCTATGTTCATGTTGGTTCACCCGTGTCAAGACAATCTACATGTGACGGCAAGGCTACCGGCGACTCCGCAGGGACCACCAATGTCGGGGGATATCAATCACACACAGAAAAGGGGGGGGGGGGGGGGGGGGGAGAGTTGGCTCTTTTCGGAGCTCCACCGCAAACTGAGCCTCAGAATCTTTGGTGTCTTCCATTAATCATTTTCTGTAGGATTGGCTTACCTGCTGACGTGGCAGAACTCGAAGCCCGGGTCGAAGTCTGACTCTGTCCCTGTCAACAATGCCTGATTGCATCAATTGCGTGTGCTCTCACCAACAGTATACTTCGAGGCTTGGAAAGTAAGACACTGACAACAGAGTAGATGGTTCTCTTCCGTCCCGAGTGGCCTCGTCTTGTCGGCTAATCCATCCTAAGGATGATTTGTGAGCCTTGGTCTTGACTACGAACTACTTGGCATGTGAAGCCATTGCCATTCTAACAGTCACTCTCCGTGTAGGGGGGGGACTCAGTTGGAAATCACAGCTCATATGGCTTTAGCACAATGGTCTCAGATCAGTAGACTGCCTAAGGTGTATTTCTATTCGTTATGCTATACGGTTGTTCATTGGGATGAGCTGCATATGTTTTTTTAACCAGGCCAAGTTGTAGGTAACCCAGCTAAGAAGTATTTCTAATTTGATCCCCTCAATACCTCTAATGATGCATATCCCACTGCAACCGGAAGAGCTTAGACCATCTGAAAGCAGTCGTACAAGCAATAAGGAGGTGAAGCTGGTTGCAGTATGGGCTCCCGAACAGGTTAGCTCAAAATAAAGATGGACTGGCGGGCCAGGGCTCGCAAAGTCACGTGCTGATATTCCATCCGGCGGAGTGACGTCATCATGACCGCCCGCGGACGACGCGAGCAGGGATTCACGTGAGGAAACAAGATATTCTTTCTATCCTGCAGACGCGATCTGACAAATGCCTCGTCCCTCATTGCTCTGATTCCTGTTGATCTAGACAGCAAGAGATACATTACCAGCAGCTACTAGCAGCTACTAGAACTACTAGCAAACTACCTAGTATCAGAAGAAACAACCATGTGGACGCGCTTCCATCTCGACATCGAGGCCAACCATGTCACTCGCGGACTGTTCCGACTCGCATATGTGAATGGGACGAGCATCCGAGCCAGACTCGCCGAGCAGACCCGGCCATTACAGACCAGGAGCAGCCTACGAACCCCCTCTCAGAGACAAGAGCGCGACGAGGAAGTCCACGACCGCCGCTCCCTGAAGCCGCAGCGCACAGAGACCGCCAAGTCTGGAACGGACGACGACGTGGCAAGCATGAAGACGGCGTACGATCCGACGACGAAGAGTCCCGAGAGCGAGTTCGAGGCGTCGGAGAGGGAGAGTCGGCAGCGCGGGGAGCCCGCCAATCCGTTAAACGTCAGTCCTGCGAATCAAGAGGTCAGCAGCGCGCGCGACCCGATGGAGGGCGGAGCAGATCGGAATGTCGACAAGTCGGCGAGTACGAGGGGCCGGCCGAGGAAACATGGCAAGGGACATGTTGGGGGGGAAGGACAGACTGTTTTTGCGTCGGATCGGGGGGCGGACTAGGATATGGAGGTTTATACTAGTAGATACAATAGCTGGAAGTCACACAATCCTATTCTATGATGTTTTCGAAGAGATTCAGCTAGGATAGGCTTTATGATCCTATTCAAACACTCGTGGAATAACAGGAATCCATGGTGATGACAATAGCCTTGGATGATTTAAGGATCTGTCTAGTAGTGTTAGTAATTGTAGTATCAAACAGTAATATATGCTTACGTGGAAGTCCATTATTTCCACTATATCGAGCCTGTTCCTCGTCATTCATGGAGTTTTCAGTAGATCGTCGTCTTCTAGTGTTTGTATGGAGTCAATTGATGCCTCCCAACACCACAATGCCCAGTCAAGGTGGATTGGATGGCAGATTCGAAATTCTGATGCACATACAATGCTTCTCTTGAGCTCATCATGCATAAATTGGTTAGAGCTGTTGACTTGAATCTCATAAACAAATCTTGTGGTATAAGTGTATGACAGTTAGGAATTGCTGAGATTTATCTAGCAGCAGTGTTAGTTCTCACACTGGTCATTCTATTCACTCCTCACTTACTGTATGCCTGAATTAATAGTTCAAGTGTGACGAAGTGAAAGGACCTTGGTGAATGCCAGAGGCTTCCACTTGAGTGGAATATTTATGGTGAATATAAAGTGATAGTCTTCCATCTCTGACACCCTCATTCTGGCGAAATCAAGATCATGGAGGTGACAGAAGAGAGTCGAGTGATGGTGAGGAAAGGCAGTAGCTGTTATATTGTAGAGAGAAGAGAGTATAAATATCCTGACAGTTTAATAATATATGGAGAAATGAGAGGGAAATAAGGCTTTTATATCATTCAATAAGCAATTTAATGGTAATTATTTAATAGGCAAGGAGAGTCATTCTATGAAGAATAATCTAGCTATTATATACAATTATTTCTTAATGATTATAATTATAAAGGTCTATATAATTAAATTAAATATAATAAGTTATAAATCATATGAAGCTCTATGTTCTTTGTAGGAGAGTAGATCACCTGACTGGCCCCTTTCAACGACCAAAACAACTTCAACTCGCTCGACCGTCCCCCAGAGACACCTTTCTCTCTTCAACAAACGCTTTTATTCTTCCCTCATACAATGTTCTCGTCGCTTCTGCGGTCTCTCCCCCAGCTTGGACGCAGATGGAAGCCTTTCTCAGTCTCCCCAATCCCAACTTCGTCCGGATCCCCGAGGGCCACAAGATTGAAGAAGAGACTCTCCCAGACTATATTGCCTCGCAGTATTATCCAACCCGGATTGGAGAAGTCATCAAGGAGCGGTATAAAGTCATCGGCAAGTTGGGATTCGGGTCTACATCCACTGTGTGGCTGGCACGGGACATGGAGTGAGATTCATGCTTTTATAGCCTGGCTTACCAGAGATACTCATATTTAATAGTGAACGACGGTATGTTATGCTCAAAATCTGCGTCAAGGCTTCGTCAATGGGGCAACAAGTGGACAATGAGCTCAATATGTATAAATACATGGAGCAGTCCCCGACGGCCCATCCCGGTCGCGACGTGATAAGAACGTTACTCGATACATTCTACATCGACGGACCCCATGATAAGCACCGATGCCTTGTGCATCCCCCGTTATGGGAGAGTGTGCTGGCCTTCTTACGCCGTAACCCGGTAGAGAGGCTCCCTTCACCAGTCCTCGCAGTCGTTCTTCATCGCCTATTTCTAGCCTTGGATTATCTTCACACAGAGTGTCACATTGCACACACTGGTTTGTAGTCTTTTCTATTTTCTTCCGTCTTCCAGTCTGGGTATGCAATTCCCTTACTCATGTCTTATAAGATATCAAGGCCGATAACATCATGTTCGGAATCAAGGACGATTCAGTCTTCACCGACTTTGAGGCGCACGAACTTGAAAAACCCGTTCCGAGGAAAGAGGTAGACACGGACGGGAGAACAATCTACATGTCTCAAGAACTCAAAATACCCAAACAAGTCAGCTCCCCGATCCTCTGCGATTTCGGTTCCGCCGTACACGGGGATCAGCACCACTCGGTATTCATTCAACCCCGGATCTACCGAGCACCAGAGGTGATTCTGGGCGTTCCATGGACGTTTAGCGCCGATATATGGAATGTGGGATGCATGGTAAGACTAATACCCAGGCTATCATTCGATGGAACCAATGTGGGTGCGCAAAGGGATTGAGAACGCTGATAGCTCTTAGATTTGGGATATATACCAAGGCGGCTCCTTATTTACAGGCCAAGACCCCGAATTTGAACGATACCGGAGTCGAGCCCATCTGGCCGAGATGATCGATCTTCTCGGGCCGCCGCCTTCTAGCCTTCTTACCCAGGGGGAGCTGAGAGACAAGTTCTTTTCGAGTCAAGGAAAGTTTTTTTTTTTTTTTTTTTTTTTTTTTTCTCACAGTACAGGTATCCAGGTATCCAGGTATCCAGGTATCCAGGTATCCAGGCCACTAACTAGATTCTAGGCGACTTCCTACATACAGAGTTACTGACTGGTTCGGTACCGCTGGAACAGAGGGAAACCACTCTCGAGGACAAGCCGGAGAGAGAGGCTTTCCTACGTCTTATGCGCAAAATGCTACAGTGGGAGCCTGGCAAGCGGAGCTCGGCCAAGGAGCTGGCGGATGACGAATGGATACATAGCCATATGTAAGATGTAATAGTTATATTTGGCTGTCATTGGCAACCATAAAGATTTAAGGTATTAGAAGTAGGGAATATCTTAATCTATTTCTAAACTAATACACCGATTGGTAGTCAGAACAAGAGAAGAAACAACCCTCTACCAGTAGAGAGAAAGAAACAAGCAAGAAGGACAGTCATGCTATGATCAGGTTATGACAGGAGAGTAAGGCCAGTTTCAATTAGAAAACAGGAAGCTTAAAGGCAGGGAAAGAGTAGGTCCAGGTGTCGACAGAGGCCTGGTCATACACGCAGTCAAAGGACGAGCTGTTCTGCCACAGAGGCCGGTAGGGCCACTGGCACAGCATCTGGGTCTCGCCGGCGTACTTGCCCGAAGAGACGGTGGCGTTGAGACGCGTGGGTTTCACCCCGTTTTCCACCCAGTTGATCATGATATCCATGTTGTCCTCCGGGTACGGGCCCGGCTGCAGCGAGTTGGTCGAGCAGTGGGCGGCTCCCGGGATCAGATACAGCTGGTACCATTCGTTCAGCTCCGCCTGGCACTCCTCCTGGGTCAGGTCGCCGTACATGACGGAACAGACGGACTGCCAGTAGTGGACCGACGAGGCGGTGGGGACGCTCGGGTCAGACTCGCCGTGGAAGTGCAGCAGCTTGGCGCCGGAGGAGTAGAAGGGGGTCAGGTCGGGCAGGGTGGTCTGCAGGCTGTCCAGGTACCGGATCATGCCGGTGTTCATCCAATCCACCATCGTGTCGTAGGTGACGTTGTCGAGGCTCGACAGGTTATCAATGTCCAGCAGCTGGATGAACCGGGCGACGTACTCGCCACCAGTCGAGGGGATGTCGAGCGTCCACTCCTCGGTGGTCGTGTCGTACTCCGTGTCGGCGTCCTCGAGCGCCGCGGCAATCTGCCACGACAGATAGGCCCGCTCGCCGTTCAGGTTGTGCAGTCCGTCGTAGATGGCCTGCGCAACCGCGACACCCTGGGCCGTGACGGTGCCGTTCTGCTCCGGGTAGGAGCTTGTCTCGCTACCCTCGGCACGCTTGCCGAAGCCAAAGCCCAGCGAGGTGCTGTTCTCCGCTGCGCAGTAGTACGACTCGCCGATGACGGAGGTGAGGTTGAACTCCAGCATGCAGAGATCCGTGCGAGACACGACGCCGTCGGCGCGACCGTCCAGCGGGTCGCAGGCTTCGATGGTGGCATTCACAATCTTCTCCAGCTCGCACGGCGAGGGGTAATAGTCCAGGGTGTGCTCGACAGCAGCGGGGAAGACATGGTTGACCTGCTGCTGGCCGTAGCGGAACGCAGGCGCACCGGCAATCACGCCGTCATACTCCTCACCCCAGCGCTGAACTTGGCTCATTCCCTCGCGCCCACCATCCGAGCAGCCCTCGAAGTAGGTGTAAACCTTGGCGCTGCTGGACAGACCGTAGAAACTAGGGGTGATGGCCTTGACCACCTTGGTCATCTCGCCGAGAGCCTGGAAGCCAAACATGTACGTCGCATCCCAGTTGATGGAGCCGTTGCCGTAGAGAGCGACCTCATCATAGCTGTAGTCGAAGGCGTCGTAGCCGGCATCGGTGGCCGCGCCCACAGCACCGTAGCTCAGACCACCGGTAGTTTCGGTGGAGAGCGAGTAGCCGCCTCCACCTGCGACGTAGATGCGGTTCGCAAAGTCGGATGGGCTCGGGAAGGCCACGTTTAGCACCACCTCGTCACCCTTGCCGGTGTGAGTGTAGGCAACAGTCACACTGCAGTAGGAGTAGGTATCGGAGGTGGAGTTGCTCGCCGTGACCGTCGAGGGGAGCAGGTCGATGCCCAGCAAGGTTCCGTTGGATGGAAGGGCCGCTTGCACATTGGCCACAGTACACACGTCGGACAGCGAGGTGGCATTCGCAGTGGCTGCCACCGCACCCGCGACGACTGTCGAAGTCAGACGCATGGTTGGTCAAGCAAATGAGAATGTAAAGAATGGAATTAAATTGGATTCGATGGTAATAATGAGTGATATCGAAAGAAAGAGAACTGATACATTAAAAGGAATAGTAGTAACCGAGGCAGGAGAAAACCGCCTTTAAATAGTCGACTGCAGCATAGCTCAGCAACATATAGCCACGTAAAGACCCGGGATTCTCACTCTGACCGGTGGGTGATGGCTGCCCTCCCATGTGCCTTGCTATCATCAGGCATTGCGTGTGCGAACCTTGGCAGCCGTCTCAGAGCGGAACTGATGTGCCTCCTGCCCACATGGGTCCTAGGAATCGAGACCCTGATTGCATCATTCGCGAATCGTCTTTCCATCTCGCTCCTTGAGGATGGCGCTTTCGACAGTCGTTGCTCCGGTAATTCCAAACAGATATCATGATCGCGACGACTGCTGCGAACCGTCTCAGCAGGATGACGATGCTCAAATAACCTCAATTAGAGGTGCCGATCCCCTGCGGCATAATGAGGCTTGGCATATCAACTTTTGCGTTTCAATTAAGGATCCGGTAGTCTCTGGTGGGTCAGATCGTCAGTCGTCGCCACACTTGCAAAAGGAAGAATTAATATCCTCACCAATCCGAACCCCCCTGCCCTGACGATTCCAAACTTCCATCCAGTCTGGTATGAACCTTATCCAGGGAGGTGAAACCGAGGGAAGCTCGCCGTCAAAGTCAGTCGAGACACGGCGTATTCTGCAACAGCATAACCTGCACTTTGTTAGGCATCCTTGAAACTTGCAGCGTCTTTATTGAAACCGCTCTACCATCCTCTAACAGACGACTGATAAATAGAGATGTGTATGGCGCGTGAGATCCAGAGGTAGGCACGAGGAAGATGGATATTATTATGAAATAGTAATTGGCACTTCTGCAGGAGGTTATTAGCCTCCAGTCTAGCCTTTTGGGTCTGGTCTGTTTCATCATGTGATATGATCATGTGATACTGTACTGAGTATTATGGAGTATATAGAGATAGTAGTATATTTTGTTAGAAGAGTTTGCCATGATGGCTGAACACACGACTCTTACAACACAGAATGATGGTATGAAGACGTTGAGGTTGACCGGTAGTAGTAGTAGTATACTTGGTGCTGAGCCGAACAGCACGTATATAAGACCATGAGCTCTCCTAGCTTACAGGTCGATTACATTGCTTGTTATGAGTGACTCTTACACTCTTCTTATCTATTAAAAGGTCATGTATAATAGCCATCTCTGAGAATTGTTCTGCTATCTTAACGGAGTGCTTCATCACTTACAATTGTTGAGCCGTGGCAGCCTGAGGCGTCGAGATGGATCATGTGATATGGTCATGTGATATGGTCATGTGACATTATCATGTGACCGTTAGTCATACTAATGCCTGAGGCACAAGTGACGTGATCCAGGCTAACCTGATAAGGCCAGAAAAAGTTATCGATAAGAAATTGCGTGATTGCCACTAGCCGTTCTGGGAAGTCCCCCCCAGGGCAGGACTCATGTGAGAGCAGGCATTATTAAGTGAAGGACGCTGGAGAGAATTGCCTCCCCGCCTTGTTTTCCTCTCATCCTCGTCTCCCTCAACCCTCTCCTTGTTGATTCTACGGTCTGGTATCAGAGAATCAATCACTCCCTCACAATGGGCTCGTCCACTCCAGCCCTGTCGGCTCTCTCGGGCCCGACGTATACTACCGCTCAGACCTTGGTCCAGCAGGTAGCCTACCTCTTGAGCGACAAGATCTTTGCCTATTCCCCCGAGTCCTTCGACCTGGACGCTGCCCTTAGGGAGTGGTCTGTTCGTGGCGACGCCAATGCCAAGGGCGAGACTCCGGGCGTTCAGACCCTGGAAACCCGCCAGGGCGCTGGAAGCATCGCCCTGGGGTATCTCTTCTCCCGCGATTTCGACCTCAAGAAGCGGCATGTGCCCCAGGCCATTGTGGCCTCGGCTGCCACGCTTCCGTACATGAGATCTGCGCTGGAGCAGCTGTCTCTTCTGTACTCCGTCGCCAGCCCCGTGGCTGCTCACGTCGCGGCAGTCGATTATACCGCCGAAGACGGCCTGGTCACAGACTATGCCTCTGCTCTCAGTCTGGCCGAAGAGCTCGGCTTTGGGTTGGTGTCGAGTGCTTCTGTGCACGAGGCGCAGCACATGGCTCTGCTTGCCACGCTTCTGGCGTCCGTCCAGCCGTCTCTTCACATCTATGACGGTGTCCGGGTCGGACGGGAGACCTCTCGCGTCATCGACGTACTCGACCAGGATGGACTCAGCCGCACCTATGAGGCGGTTCGCAACACCCTGGAGGACTCTCGCAGCCGCCACCTTGATGCGCAGGGCAAGCTTCTGGAGCTTCTTAAGTCTCTGAACGGCGAGTTGGGCACTGACTATGGCCTTTTTGAGTACCATGGCCATGCGGAGCCTGTGTCTGTCTTGGTCGCCTTTGGTACCGTTGAGGCATCGCTGAGTGCTCAGGTTGCTCGTTCTTTGGTAAAGGATGGTGTCCGCGTGGGCGTCATCAATGTCCGTGTCTATCGTCCCTTCGTCGAGGAGGAGTTCCTGCGTGTGCTGCCAGACTCCGTCAAGACCGTTGGCGTGCTGGGTCAGGTCATCAACGAACAAGCAGTGCAAGAGGAGGGCATTCACTCTGCGCTGTACGACGACGTCCTCGCTGCAGTGACCTTTGCGGGCCGTGCCCAGACTCCCACTTGCTTCGATATCAAATACTCTCGTTCTCAACGTTGGACCGTGGTCGACGCCGCCGCGGCTTTCCAACGTATCTTTGACAAGCCCCTTCTGCCGACCGCTGCCGCCGCTACCACACCCCTGCAGCTCTTTGACCCAACCACTGTTCAGGAATACACTTTCTGGGACGTTGACACCTCTGATTGTGACGAGGCCGCTGCCGTTCTGGGCCAGGCTCTGGCGGCCGACTCCGCCAACAATGTGACCGTCAGCAAGGTTCACGACAACCTGCTCCAGGGTGGTGCCGTCCGCATTGATATCCGCAAGAGCGCCAAAATTCTGGATGCTCCTTACCCTGTTGCTGCCGCGGACGTTGCTTATGTTGGTGACGTCAAACTCCTCGGCGATGTCAATGTCCTGGCTTCTGTCAAGGACAACGGGAAGGTGATCGTCAATGCGCCCGGCATCAACAACGACGACCTCGAGAAGAAGCTGCCTGTTGCCTTTCGACAGGCAATCGCGCAGCGCGGCATCTCTCTCTTCATCGTCGATCCCACCGCCACTGGTGAGGAGTTCCCGGCCTCCGTCGTCCTGCAAGCCGCGTTCCTTCGCGTTGCCCTACCTTCCCAGGAGTCGCTCGGTACGAAGAAATTGGCGTCTGTCGTCAGCAACCCCGAGGCCTTGGAGACAGTCACCAAGAACCTTGAAAAGCTCGTGCGTGTGATCGAAGTTCCGGAAGACTGGAAGGCCGCAGAGGAGGAGGCTTCCGAGGTTCAGCTGCCTGTCGACCTGTCTGCCAACAGTTTCGTGCCATTTGCGAAGAATGAGGTCGAGCCAGAATCCCTCCTAAAGGACTGGCAGACTGCCGCCAAGGGATTGGTGTTCAAGGAAGCCTATGGTGCCAAGTCCGCCCTGCGCCCTGATCTGGCAACCAAGACCTTCACGGTCCACGTCAAGGAGAACAGGCGGCTGACGCCCACCACTTACGACCGTAACATCTTCCACATCGAGTTCGATCTGGGTGACTCTGGTCTGACGTACGACATTGGCGAGGCCCTCGGTGTCCACGCTCAAAACGACCCTGTCGACGTCCAGGAATTCATCAAATTCTATGGCCTCAACCCTGATGACATTGTTGAAGTTCCCAGCCGCGAGGACTTCAACGTGTTGGAAAACCGCACCGTGTACCAAGCCCTGATCCAGAACATCGACATCTTCGGTCGCCCACCCAAGCGCTTCTATGAGGCGCTCGCCGAGTTCGCTACCGATGAGAAGGAGAAGAAGGATCTTCTCACCCTGGCTGGGCCTGAGGGTGCTGAGGAATTTAAGCGCCGCGCCGAGGTTGACACCATCACCTATGCCGACGTGCTGCTCGAGTACCCCTCTGCACACCCGGCCTTCCACGACATCATCCGTATCGTCAGCCCGCTGAAGCGCCGTGAATACTCCATCGCCTCATGCCAGAAGGTCACCCCCAACACTGTCGCTCTGATGATCGTCGCCGTCAATTGGGTTGACCCCCGCGGTCGCGACCGCTTCGGGCTGTCCACTCGCTACCTCAGCCGCCTGCAGCCAGGCACCCCGGTGACGGTGAGCGTCAAGTCCAGCGTGATGAAGCTGCCCCCCAAGTCCACCCAGCCAATCATCATGGCTGGTCTGGGCACAGGTCTCGCTCCCTTCCGTGCCTTCGTCCAGCACCGCGCCCTTGAGAAGGCCCAGGGCAAGGAAATCGGCGCCGTCTTGCTGTACATGGGCTCCAGGCACCAGCGCGAGGAGTACTGCTATGGTGAGGAATGGGAGGCCTACCAGGAGGCCGGCGTGATCACGCTCCTCGGCCGCGCCTTCTCCCGCGACCAGCCCGAGAAGATCTACATCCAGGACCGTATGCGTCAGACTCTACCTGAGATCATGCAGGCGTACATTCGCGAAGAGGGTTCCTTCTACCTCTGCGGTCCCACGTGGCCTGTTCCCGATGTGACGGCCGTTCTCGAGGAGGCCATCGCCACCGAGGCCAAGCTTTCTGGCAAGAAGGTCGACCCCAGCAAAGAGATCGAGAAGTTGAAGGATGAGGAGCGATACGTGCTGGAGGTTTACTAAAAAAAAATCAAATTGGAGAGATGCAAGATAGACGGGTACATGGGCACACCTTGATGTTCTGGATGCTGAATTTTGAATATTGCCAATATTCGCAAGTTTGTGCCATCTGCGCCAGTTGTCGATGACTAAAGTCTTCCTAGTCTTTCTAGTTAGCGCCATTTCACTACATAGAACATAATAGATCTGTCATATTCCTTTCAATGGACTCGGTCTTGATGGATTGGGTATAGAATTTTATTTTTGTGCAAGAGACAGGCTAGGTAGCTTTTTCTAGGTAATCATATACTAGAGAGATAGATATTTTTCATCCGCAACACCGACCAAACAATTCATACAACAAACAACATGGAAGACAAAACGGGATGAATAGGAGAAAATATGCAATGGCTTATGCTCTACCGAGAGCGCCTAGCCTTGTCTTGCCGTAGGCGCCGCCCTTCTCCTTCCTCAACTCCAGCGCCCGTCGGTATGGAGGAGCAGTTGGCGGCTGGACGGGGTCCAGACTAACGTGGTCTGGAGGGAGAGCGTACGAGGCATCCGAGTCCCAGGAGGACAGGTCTCCGCAGGCGATGAAAGACGGGATCCATCTGTTCTCTGGCGCGTAGCGTTGGGGCGGTTGCTGCTGCTGCTGCTGCTGCGTTGACTCGGAATGCAGATGACGGACTTGAGTAGTATGGGTTGGATCAAGGGAGGAGGAGGACACGTCGACTCCCTCGCCGACAATGCTATGACCAGTCATTGCGGTATCCTCGTCTTGCACCTGGATGGCGAGATTGCCGTCTGCTGGGGGCGCGGCTGGTATCGCCGCGCCACCGAAAAGAGGGGTCTTCAACGCTTGCATACCGACCAAGCCGTCATGACTTGCTGGGGGGATGAACCCTTCACAGACAATAAAGGCTTCCAGACTGCTGGCGCGGCTGCTTCGCGGCTTGGCGACGCTGACCTTCTCAAAGACGGTTCGCAGCTGCGCGTAGAGCAGATCGACGTCTCGCCCGCGGAAGATCTTGGCCACAAACTTGCCTCCGGGCCGCAGGACGCCCACCGCTAAATTCAACGCCGCGTACAGTAGCTGGGACTGGATGTAGATGTCTAGATCGTGGAGACCGGTCACGTCGGGCGCACCGTCGGAGATCACCAGATCGACCGGGTGGGGTTGTCTATGGGCAGATAGGGCAGCAGTAGCATCGTCTGCTGAGGAGGAATCGTAGGCTTCCGGGTCCAGAGCGCGCAGCAGCAACGGGATAGTCGACGGGTGCGTGATGTCCGCCTTGAGAGTCGTGATGCCTTCGAGAGGAGCCATCGGCTGGAGATCAATCGACACAATCTTGACATTCTTCCGCGGCTTCAGCTCCAAGTCTTGCCCCGTCGTCAAACTGTCATCGGTCTTCGCTGCCTCTCCCTCCTTTGTCTGCTGCAGCGCCTTCTTCTCTCTGCGCTTCTTCTCCAGCCACGCCCTCCGGCCGAAACTCTCGCCCTTGATCAGCACACGGCTCAGCACTTGACTCCAACTGCCTGGCGCTGCACACAGGTCCACCACTCTAGTGACTTTCTCCGGGTTTTCGTGTTCGAACAGGTCGAATTGCTCGTCGATCTGGATCAGCTTGAAGGCAGACCGCGCGCGCCAGTTCTGCTCCTTGGCGAGACGGTAGTAGGCGTCACGCTTGTCTTTGGAAGATTTCCCCATCCTGGAATCGTAGAGAGCGTCGTCTCGTCTAGTCGTCTGCACAATTGACCGCACCTCGCCGTCGATTTCCACCGATTTTCCAACGTGGGGGGAGGGGGAAAGAGCGCGATAAGATCCGCAAAGGCGGGCGGTTTTTTTCTGCCGCTTTTTTTTTTCTTTGCTCGGAGTTTGCACCAACGCCTGCCTTTCCTTGAGAGAGACGCAAGAATTATTGATTAATTACCGGCAACACAAGATGGGCCAGAAACGAGCGCGAGATTCGAAGGGAGCGGGACTTCAGTCGAAGAAGCGGAAGAGGGCCGGCAAGGCCGCTGAAGCGGACAGCAACTGGGACGGCATTGTTGGGGTGGACGACCTGAACTGGAAAGAAGTCGCTCTCCCCGACCGGCTTGAGGACGCTGGGGGGTTCTTCGGGCTGGAGGAGATCGATGGAGTGGATATTATTCGGCCGCAGGGAAATGGTGAGATCAGGTTCAAGGTACGTTGCGAAGGATGGGTCGTCGAGATGCGATGTTTGGTATCCAGAAGCTCATTCAGACCAGGCGGTGGCTGGAAAACCGAAGAAATCGATCCTGAAGAAACCGGAACCGGGAGAAGAAGACGGCGGTGCCGAGGAATGGTCGGGCTTCAGCGATAATGAGCATGACGGAGAGGTTACGGATGATCGTTCTCCAAGGAAAGACACACCTGTTCAGGAACAAGCGGAGGCAGAACCCGCGGCAGAGGCGAAGGAAGAGTCCAAGAAAACCGAGAAGAAGGAGTCCAGGAAGGAGAAGAAGAACAAGAAGAAGAACAAGGACAAAGATGATGAGAATCAACATGATCGGGAGATCAAATCGGGCCTCTCCTTTGCCGCTCTCCAGGACGAGGAAGAGGACGACGGGGTGGACGTGTCTGATTGGGATTCACTTGGTCTTTCGCCAGAGGTACTAACAAGCCTGTCCAAGAGCAAGTTCTCGACTCCCACATCGGTACAAAGAGCTTGTATACCTCGCATTCTTGAAGGGCACGATGTCATCGGCAAGGCCTCGACCGGATCGGGAAAAACGCTGGCGTTTGGCATACCTATCCTTGAGCACTACTTGGAAAGCAAGAGAGTATCTGATAAGAATGTTGGATCGAAGAAGAAGCAGAAGGTTCCGGTGGCGCTTGTTCTGTCTCCTACTCGAGAGTTGGCTCATCAATTGGCCAAACACATTGGAGATCTCATTGCCAATGCGCCAGGCGCCGACGCGAAAATCGCACTACTGACTGGTGGTCTATCCATCCAGAAGCAGCAGAGACTTCTTGCAGCGGGAGATATTGTCATTGGTACTCCCGGTCGTGTATGGGAAATCCTCAGCTCCGGACACGGGTTGATTCGCAAAATGAAGCAGATCAAGTTCCTTGTTGTCGACGAAGCCGATAGACTACTGAGTGAGGGCCATTTCAAGGAGGTCGAAGAGATTCTGGGTGCCCTGGATCGGGTTGAAGACGGCGAGGCGCCGGATGAAGAGGAGAACAAGGACAACGAGGACGCCAAGGTGGCCCAAGAGGAACGGCAGACCCTTGTCTTCTCTGCTACATTTCATCGCGACCTACAACAGAAACTCGCAGGCAAGGGTCGCTGGACAGGCGGTGATTTGATGGATAGGAACGAGTCGATGGAGTACCTCCTCAAGAAGCTGAACTTCCGGGAGGAAAAGCCCAAGTTCATTGACGTCAACCCTGTCTCGCAGATGGCAGAAGGTCTTAAGGAGGGTATTGTCGAATGTGCTGCAAATGAGAAGGTATTTTTTTCCTCTTATTATTGTCTACTTTAAATAAGACTAACGGTTGCGACTTGCTAGGATCTCTTCCTCTACGCACTGCTTCTCTATCACCCCAAACATCGCACACTGATATTTACCAATTCCATCTCGGCGGTCCGCCATCTCACGCAATTCCTTCAAAGCCTTCAACTCCCCGCTCTTGCTTTGCATTCGTCCATGATCCAGAAGGCCCGACTGCGCTCCTTCGAACGCTTCTCCTCCCCGACATCCGACCCAGGGTCCATCTTGATCGCAACTGATGTCGCTGCCCGCGGTTTGGATATCAAGGGCATCGACTTTGTCATCCACTACCATGTTCCCCGGACAGCGGACACATACGTCCACCGATCTGGACGTACAGCGCGTGCTGGATCGACAGGCAAGAGTGTCATCATCTGCTCGCCCGACGAACTGGTCGGGGTGGTGCGCCTGGCGGCCAAAGTCCACCACGCATACAACAAGGGCAACGAACAGCAACCGAAGAAGAAACTCCCCCTGGAATCCCTCGAGCTCGATCGCCGGGTGATTTCTCGCATCCGACCTCGGGTGACGCTAGCGAAACGTATTGCCGAGTCGACTATCGCCAAGGAGAAGATCTCCGCAGAAGACAACTGGCTGCGTTCCGCTGCTGAGGACCTCGGCGTCGACTACGACAGTGACGAGTTCGATGAGGCCAAGGGGAAGGGTCGAGGCCGCGGTCGAGGCCGGCAGGAACGAGAGCGCAAAGCCGGCAGCGTGACCAAGGGGGAAATGGCGGGCATGCGGGCGGAGCTGAAGCAGCTCCTCTCGCAGCGAGTGAATATCGGGGTCAGCGAGAAGTATCTCACGGCGGGTCGGGTGGACATCGAGGCCTTGTTGCGAGGAGAGGGCAATGCCTCGTTCTTGGGGCAAGTCGATCCATTGAACTTTTAGTCTATCGTGTAGCATATATCCAGATGAATCATTATATTGTCTCAACATAATGAATTACCTAGCTATCTGACTTTTTTTTCACATATTTTCGGCATTTTCCCTTTTTTATCCTTGTTGCTTTTTCCCTTTTTTTATGTTCTTCATTTTTCCCTTTTTTTGTTTTTTCGTTTTCCCCTCAAATATGATACCTCACCACAACCCAGCCACGTCCTTCATCCCTTAGACACCAATCCACAAACCACAAACTTGCCAGTAAAGAAAGAATGAAGGAACAAAGAAGTCAAGAATTCAGAATGCAATCAGGTTAGTACAACATCTCTCCCCGGAACCAGCAGCATACCCGAGTCGTATTTGAATTGAATCTGAGACCAGCAGACCTGCTAGAGAACCGAATCAAAAACGCGCCAGAAATTCACCAGAATGCACTCAAGAGATAATCTGTGAAGACTTGTTGGAAACCGCTCCGGCTTGACGAAAAGGAGATGATGGACGCAAGGGAGATTTATCTCTGGCGACTGAGTTCCATCCAGCAAGCATGGCAGGTTCGAAGACCGCACTCGCGGCACTGCATGACGAACTGACCGCAAGACTCCTCGCAGGGATCACAGAAGTACGGCCCTTCGCGTCTGTACCGCCAACCAGCCTCGTGGTCGCAGCCTCCACGAGCATGGAAGCCCTCCCTGGCAACTTGCAAGATGCGCTCGCGGGCCCGGGCAACAATCTCGTCGTCCAACTCGGGGAATTCCATAGAGAAAGTCGAGGTCTGGTTGGTACCCGCGGCAGAGGAGGGACCGGCGACGGCGTCATCGGTAGGAGCTGCCGATGAGGAGGTTGCAGCGCTAGTATCATTGGTAGGAGCTGCCGCTGAGACCGGTCCAGTAGCAGGGAAAGGCCAGCCATCCTCGATGCTGCCAGGCATGGTTTGAAAAGGAATGAGCACATCCTCTTCATTTTCTTCGGGGGTCATCGGGTTGTCGTCTCTCACGTCGCAGCCGCAAGTTTTCCACCTTTGTCCGCACGTATAGCAAAGTTCAAAGCCGCAGCGGCAGCTGATGAGAATAGTGTCAGTATACTCTATGTGGGGGAGGGAAGAAGGATAGGACAAGACATACGTGATATGGCTGCAGCCAGACTTGAGCTCAATCAGGGTGCGACACTGCTTGCATCGCTGCCAGCCCTGCTTCTTTGCCAGTTGCAGCAGCATGTCATATTTATTCTCTTTGCAAGCCCCTTCATGGGTAGTCTCCTTGCAAAGGGAACAAGTCTTGTGCTTGCAAACAGGACAAGTGGCGACCTTTTCGGCGATGAACTGGGGAAGAATGTATTTGGAACAGGAGGAATCAGCACAATATGTACGATCGAGATCTGCCTTTTCCGCAGCTTTTTCCTCGACCCTTTTGGTGAGCTCGGGTTTCAAAACGTTTTTGACAATACTGATCGAGATCTCCTGCATGCAGCAGCGAGGTGGAAAGAGGGACTCGTCATGAACTGCAGCCTCGAACAGATGGACAATACATTCGGAACAAAACTTGTGAGGACACTCCAGCTGGGTGATGTCGTATTCGGGCTTCTCGGTAGCGCACGCGTTACAGATCACTATTCTGACCTGGTGTGGGAAGCCGGTCAGTCCCTGCCTATCGATCACTGGAAAGGGGCTGGTTTCAATCTACTTACATACGCTTCCGAGTCGGACTCACTTGCGTTGCCATAGCCGGCGTTGCCACAGTTGCAGATTCCAGCGTGGTGGGCGTTGTAAGCTGGGGCGGAGTTGCTGTCATAGGTCTCCTCAGTGACGCCCTCCTGGGTCTGTTCAGCGACGTTAACTCCTGCAAGCCCGGCTTCGTGGGAAGCCACAGCTTCGATGGTACTCTGGTGCAGGAGGGAAGCAGCAGCTGCGTTATCTTCCATTTCCCACTCCTGAATCGCCAGCTGTAGACTGCGAAGCTGCTCCCGAGCCACCAGAGTCTCGTTCCTGATCTGCAAGGCCGACTCCAGGGCCTCATGATCAGCATCAGACAGCAAGGCGTCGGTAGGGTCAGGCGTTTCCTCTCTCTCACAGCACATCTCCGAAACAGCATCTGCGAGGTTATCCATTCTTTCCAGTGCCCTTCGACAACGGAGATGAAAGACCGGCGACGCTCGAAAAGAAAAACAAGCAATAGGACACGACAAGACAGACGATCAGGGACAACAGTAAAAGACGAGCTCGAACGATCCAGCACTTGGTTTGGATGATGATGTACGAGTACACTTTGTGTTCAACGAAAAGACGAAAGATAGCAGAGAAGAAGAACGAGATGGGAGGGAGAGTGAGGAAAAAAGAGGCATCAGAAGGGCTTTCTGGCGGCGGCTGAGTGAGAGAAAAAAAAATCCATTGTGTGGCTCATCATCACCGATGCTGTCTCTTTCATCGCTCTCATACAGTGTTGTTCTCTGAATAGCTTCTACTCTTACACTATATCCGGCACATTCCTTCGGCATCCCGAGTGAATCCCGGCATGCCGGCTGTTATCAGTTCGGCATCCCGAATCTCCTCGGACCCACCGAAATCTTTTTTTGCGCGATAAGACGAGTCTCGCAGCGAATTCACCTGGCCTTGGATTCACCAAGCGACAGAGTACATTCTACAGGTAGGCAATATTCACTATGATGCAGCTCGAACTAACTCATGATCATATGTAGGCTTCTCCCCATTCACTGCCGCGAATAATGTCCTATCTCGTCAGGGGGATGCGGCCTTTCCGCAGACCAGCGATCGCCGTTCAACCGTCCTACGCTCATCCCAGGCTGCAGTCCAGGTCGGTCTCAGTCATCCATACAGATCCGCTACCGGCCAGCCATGTCCAGTCACCACTATCCCCGTTAAGTGAGCGTTCAGAGGACATCCCCCCTCCTCCTCCTCCTCCAGTGACGACAACCCCAGCCGCCGCGCACGCAACAGTCGACGACCTCATATCCTCTTTACCGCTCGTGCAGTCCCTCCGCCGGAATAAAGCCTACACAGAGTCCCGGCCTCATCTTACCATGGCCTCCACGCTGAAAGCGACACACTTTGTCGCCGGCGCGCTCACCTCGACAGGCAAAGTGAGCGTCCCGCCCTACATGTTCAGCACGAAACATTCCTCGCCCTCCTCCCCCTCCTCCGTCATCTCCATCTTCCACGTCGGCGCCCACCTATGCGGCCACCCAGGCTACGTCCACGGCGGCCTGCTGACCGTCCTCTTCGACGAGGTGTTTGCCCGCTGCGTCTCGGCCTGTTTCCCCTCCGGCCTGGGCATGACAGCTAACCTGAACGTGGACTTCCGCAAACCCGCCACCCCGGACAGGGTGTATGTTCTGCGCGCGAGTGTCACCAAGGTAGAGGGCCGCAAGGCTTGGGTGCAGGGGACCATGGACTGTCTGGTCGGGGGGATCACCGGTGAGGGTGTGATGGTTGCAGAGGCTAAAGCGTTGTTCGTGGAACCCAAGTTCGCAGAAGTAAGTTCTTCTCTTCACCATTTAGTCCTATTTTTCTCTTACTGACTTGGTAGTCCATGGTGCCACTGTACAAGGCTTGATTTTCAATTCATGATAATGAGGGATGTTGTATACCATAGAGTTTAGAGTTTATAAGAGTTATATAATAGACTGGCCATCCTTACCCACTTTAGTCATAGAATCATAATATTCTCCTATCTATGCTAAGCAAATAACAATCCTTGACTCCTGACCAAACCGAGATCTTCTCAAAATAGCACTCGCATACCCCAGACACAGTCCCGGCTGGTCAATAAGAAAACGGGGAACAGGAAAAAGAAAAAGGAAAAGACGAAACACGAAGGAAGTAGGAGAGATTCAGCTATGCAGGTTATTATTATAAGTCAGTCCTCTTCTCTGTTGCAAATTGATCAACGACCATGCTGCCCCGCTCAGTGTGGTGGTGCAACAATCATCATTTTGCTCTGTCCTCGTCTTCTTTCATCACTCTCTCCTGGAAGGAAAAAGATGAAGAAAAAACAAAAAAGGGGGAAAGGCGAAACGCGGCTGGATTAAGACAGGTGGAATGCTCCTTGTCCTTCTTTGATAGCAACGGAGAGTCGCTCGCGGAGAACGTCCAGGCTACTGTAATCGGGGAGTTTGAGATAATTCACGCAGGTCATCACACTCGGCAAGTAGTCATCGGGCGTGTACGGTGGCTCGCTGGGGCGACAGACAACCGTGAATATCGGTGTGAGACTCTTGAAGCCTGAAATGGCTTTGTTAGCATGCGTCGCTTGAACTATATCGGATATATATATATAGAGGGACATACCTCCAATCGGTAATTTTGGACTACCAGTCACGAATTGAAGGAAATCTCGCCGTTGCTGCGTGCTCAGCTCACTCATCGTTTGGAGCAAGTTGCGCACACTCTTGCTATCCATGTTGAATCCGTGGTCGGCCTTGATTGACTCCATAAGGGCTGAATAGTTAATATTGGAGTGGCACTAGATTAGACAAGAAGTGCAAACTTACTTTCAATGGCCCAGTCCTCCTCTGTTCGTCCAAATAGCATCACAAGCTCATTCGGGGTAAACGCGCGAAGAGCACTGTAGGGGAACACCTGCGAGAAGCCCTGTCGGAACGCGTCGACTTGGCGTTGAACACCGCTGCCAAGAGTCATATCAACCACCCGCTCGACGTAGAACCCGACATTCTCAATCGTAACAGGGATGTTCGATCCGTCTTTGATCAACTCGATGGCAGGGTATCCAGGCAGGGTAAAATCCAGGCCGAGGTCTTCGACCTGGACGTCATCGATCGCAATCTCGGCCAAGACCAGTGCCTTCTGAGATGGGGGGATGGATTTATTGTCGTCGACAGACTTCTTCGCCTGGGCAAACCGCTTCAGAAGCAGAAGAGAGTTGGCCAAATCTTTGTCAACCGTTTTGACGGTGCCAAGGGAGGGCTGCACCATGGAGGGGTTGCCGGCAATGCGGAAAAATGTAGGATTGAAGGAGACATCGATGATTCGCGAATCGAGCATCGACCGGGCTACAAATTTGCCAAGCATCTTGAAGAGCTGCAGCTGTTTCTTGCCAGACTCCTGGGTGGCCTGATCGTCGCTCATCGGAGCTGGGAACAAGCCTCGTTTCCCAAAGGCGTATTCGTCTCCGGCACTTGAATCACCGTCTCTCCAGATCCTGAGCTTCCGTTTGGAGAACTCTTTGGAGACAGTTGAGTAGAATTCGAGTGTGGGACCTAGGCCAGTTCCAACCTCTTCAAAGTACTCGACTTCCAACACACTCGGCGAGGAGCCATAGAGCTCCATGACCTTCATTGCCGACTCTAGGATCCGCGTCCTCGAGATCCGCACCTTCTGTCGCTGGAGGCGGCCTAGGAAGGGGCGATCATCACGGCGCTGGTCTCGACGACTGTCCTCTGTGCCCTGGGAGCTTTGCCACCTCATCATTGCGCGCGAATAGCCAAAGGCGGTAGATTGCAAGAAGAGATGCCGAGTTTCAAAGGGAAACAGGAAAGGGAAGAGCCGTGTGAGATCTTCACTCCAACTCGGCAAGCAGCTGCTGGCCACGATGAGAGGCTCTTCCAGTTGCCGGTTCAGCTTGGCAGTCAGCTTGGTGTTGATGAACTGGGCTAGCGGTTCGGGGGTGAGCGGTCCGAGCTCCTTGTGCTCCGCAAGGGTATCGTCGAGGGTGGCGTTAATCTCATGCAGCACACTGAGAAGTCGCAGGATGGGCGCCGTGGTGGTGTCTTTGCTGAGAGACACGGGCATATCGGGAGTATCCTCCGTTGAGGGCCCAGTTACAGCACTAGCCAAGGTCGAAGGCTCCGGGGGAGGAGGGCCAGGGACGCGCTTGAATTTAACAGTATGGATGGCCGACCAGACATTCCGTGCATTGGAGTCCTCTAGATGTTCACGATTGTGGTGGATAGCCCGATAGATTGTTGTCTCATTGCAGACCGGCGTGTCGTCCACACTAAATTCAATGTGCCAGTCTTGAGGGGTCGAGGCCATTGCAGCGGCATACGACGCGAACGGGCGGCCAGCCATCGCGAGTGAACTGTTCCCTGCGGGGGGGGTAGGAGTCGAGGCTGAGACAGAAGACTTTGACATCGGGGTTGATTGTGACGGAGTTGCGACACGAGTGCCATCTTCTTTGCGGGCAGTCACCTTTCCTGTTGACGCGACCTCCATGTTCACTGCGGTCGGGTCTTGGATGTTATCATCCGAGAGCTCATCCTCGAGGTCATCAACAATGGCATTCAGCTCTTCGTCCTCAGCACCATCTTCGTCATCGTCGTCTAGCTCGTCTTCGTCCTCGCTTAGATGCTTTTCATCAGCACATTCTAATGGCTCCTCACCCTGTTCGTCGGCGTCATCACTGGGACCAAGATGACGGCCAGAGCGTCTCGTCCGCGCTGGCCTTTCGCGACTCTCACTTTGGGGGGGCCGATGACCGGGTTGGCTGCCAGGATGATCGGGGTGTGTTGCACTGGAAGATGAGAGCGGGGCAGCGTCGTGCTCGGCAGCATTGCCGCTGCCTGTCAATTGATCTCGTAGCCGCGCTGCTTCGGCAATCTGGGAGAGGAGAGAGTTCCGGTTGCGTGAACTTCTCGGCCGGTCGGACAGACTGATTCTGGGATGAAGGAAGTCATCCAAAGATTTGAACGTGGCAATGGCGTGAATGGACACCATGATGTTTCGATATGGTCGGGGGATCTGGGAGTCTTCGTCGGCAAGGAGTTTCAGTCGAAGTTGTTTCCCTAACATGTACGTGGCGTTGCTCCTGGTATTTTCAAGAGAGTTGTGGTTGACTGTGATCACCTCAAAGTGCTCTGTCCGACTGAGTAGGCTCTGGAGCTTCTGTATCAAGACACTAAATGCGGTGGTAGCAGTACTTTGGCTTTGGGCTTGTTCAGAGATGGCCGAACCCATAAAGGCATGCAAAAAAGCTGCACGGGCATTGCGGGTGGCGGTAGCTATACAAAGGGCGAATTATGGTTAGTTTTTGTTCAAGAAAAGCAAATCGTACTGTACAAACTTACAGGCACTCCCGTGGAATATATCTAGAAGAACCTGGATAATTCCAGAGTTGAGTAGCTCGGAGCTGGTGATACTCTCCAGTGCATCGCCATCAAAATAAGAGGCTAATTGTTTGAATAAACGCAGACCCTCCTCTCCATCCTCACCTCCATGGACAAGGTAGCAGGATGAGAGGTCCGCTGCCAGATGCTGCAGCTCAGTGAGAATCTCCAGCGCCTTTTCATGCTCATCACGGCTCTTGCTAGATTCGTAGAGCGCGACAAAAGCCCGAGCATCCTGAATGACTAGGTCATTGATGGCATCATCGGTGTTGACTAAGATTCGGTGACCAGAGAACGATGAAGAAGTCTCAGACTCCGACATGTCATCGTTGTCATCATCACGGTCATCCTCTTGATCGTCATCATCCTCCCCGTCAACATTATCGTCTGATTCTGCGTCCTCGTCACGGTTCAGCCTCTGGTGACTCTTGCCAATCGTGGTCCCAGAGTCCCCGGTCTGTTTCTCCCCGGCAGGTGGAGTGTCGGATGTGTCCATCGCATCCGAATCGTGAGAAGCTGCTTGTTTGGGTTCTGTGGAGAGGCGCCCTTCTGCGAGCTTGATGATCTCCGAAATGACACCTTCTCGGTGGAACTGGTGCTGATAGACATGCTCGAGACGTTCGAAGAGGAGTTCTGCGCAACGAAGGGCCAACGAGACCAAGGACGGGTGATCTTTCTGCGACAAGATCGCGGCTAGGAACGAGGCATATGGCACGATGCGGAGAGCATCCTCGATCAACGAGGAATCCAGATTGTACAGCATCTTGAGCTGGGCAATGAGCACCTTCTGTCGAACATGGAGGTTGACCGTGCTGGAGTAGGCGTCTGTAAGTGTCGGCAGCAGTACCGTGGCAAAGCGTTTCAGTTCTGGTTTACATTCGAGAAGAAGGGACCGCCGCTTCTCAGCAGAATCTTTGATTTTTGAAGGCTTGGCACCCACGACAACGACGCCGCCGAGAGAACCATCAAGGACGCCATCGGCGGTCTCTCGATTTGCAACCACGGGTAGAATCTCGCAGATGACGTTGAGGGTCTCCAGAACTTGCTCCCTGGGACGGTGGATTAATGCCTGCATAACCAGGACGCTATCCATCTTCATAGCGGAGTTGCCGAGGCTCTGCGGGGCGGAGACACCGGTCAAGATCTGGTACAGTGTGTCGACGACATCCATCTTGAGAAGCTCCACCGACAGACGCGGGCTGGCCTTAGATGTGATGGCGAGGACACGGAGAAATTGGGTATGAATGTGGGGTCCGATCAGATTGGTGGTACCCGGAAGAAGAAGGCGAAGGATAGCCTTGAGCATGGCCGGCTCGATGAGTTCTTCCAACTTTTCCGGCTTGTTCTTGAAGCTCTCAACAATGCGTGAGACGCACAGGCAGCCCTGCTCGACCACCTTCGGATCATTGCTGGCCAGGACATTCAGCAGGGTTGGCATCACGTCACGAACTACTGGGAATGAGTCGTGGGGAAGATTCCGGCAACAGTTAGCGGCCGTCGTAACCGCTGTTCGCTGGGTGCTGGTGGGGAAGAAGTCAAGATATGTCAGACAGGCCGTGAGCCCGCCTTCCCGCACAATGGATGCCGGAAAGTCGACGGAGATTTTGGCCAAAGTCTGTCAAAAAGGGGGGACAGGTTAGATAGAGAACTGAAGTGGGAGAAGGTAGGTACTGCTAGATTTTAGAACAGAACGTACGCTGAGGGCCTGTTCGGCCAGATCGATAAACTGAATGTCCAAGAGTTTCTGGCACAGAATGGGAACGGCACCGCCGTAGACCACATTGGCCACCGAACCGCGCAGGGCCTCCATAAGGTTCGCCAAGCACCTGCAGGCGAGGAGCATGATCTCTGGGTTCTCTTCTCCCATCTCATTCGGCTGCATCAGGGAGACTAGCTCCTTCACGTAGGGATCTGGAGAGAACTGGCCGGACAGATTGTCCTCATTGGACACTAGCAGAAGATCCGACAACTCCTGCAGTGCAATCAGTTGAACCGAGGGGTCCTCTTTCATTCGCAAATTGGCGAGGATTTCGCGAAGGCGGGATGACATGCCTGACATCATGCCGCTGAGGGCTCGCAGCGTGCTCTGGAGTCCAAAGGGGCTTCGCGAGCCAAAGAGGCTGCTGTGAAACGGGTCTCCATCGTCATCGTCGAACGCAGACGGATTCGTACCATCGTTGCTTTCGCTCGGTGGAGATGAGTCCCGCTGTCCACTCGATGGTCGATCTTCATGGCCATCATCGTCCTCGTCGTCCTTCATCAACAGGTCTTGATTGTTTGCCTTGGCCGAGCGCTTCTTCTGTCGACGTGGGGGCGGGGACTGTGTTGCTGAAAGGCGATCTATTAACACAAGCTGTTAGTTGATCCCGACCGATTATAGTAGTGCTTGACCGGATCCCGTATACCTTGTGACACTTTGCTGCTCCTACTCGACTTGCGTCTGGACGATGAAGAGGTTGCTCTGCTTTCCGGGATATCATCGGAGGGGTTCGACGAGGGACTGCAAAATGAAATCGATTAGACATATTTCCCTCTCCTCCTATCATATCATCGCCATTACTCACCCAGGTTGGGACATTGCTGTGCGATTACGGGAGCCGCGACGAGGACCGACGGGGGCGGCAGGTGGTTGCGAGGGAGGTCCTGCAGCAAGCCGCTGCTTCTTCGCTCGACGAGGAGGAGGAGATGGGGGATTCCGCGGTTCGGGAGCTTCTCGCGAGCGATCCGGTCGTGTTGGGGCCTTGCGTTTGCGGGATGGGGCCGAGCCAGCGGCGGGATTCGGGGGAGGTGGAGCAGCGACGGAAGTCGAGGGAGGTTCTGCTGCAAGTCTCGCGGCGGAGCGAGTGATTCTGGGAGACATGAGAAGGTGGTCCTTTTAAATCTTGTTTATCTTTTCTCTCTCTTGGGGGTGTGGCGTTGTGGTGCCAGTCACATGGAAAAGGAGGGAGATTTGTAACGAGAGCTTCCCTGTTGGGATCTCAAGGAGCGACAGAGCTCTAACAGAAGGTAGACAAGGTAGATAGATAGAGAGATAGAGAGGAAGACAAATAGGTTATCAGGCAACAAAAGACGGATCGGGAATGTTACCTCGAAGCAGAGGAAGAGGCAGCTCCAGCGGCGGTGGTCGTAGAGGTGGAAGCAGCCGAGACGGCGGGAATATCCTCGACGGGGTCCTGGCGGTGAGTTCTTGCTCTTTGCCTGGCCATAAGTCTATCTCTCACGAGAGCTCGATGGGGTATGGGCGCTCGTCGTCACCATTCAACCCGCCATGCGCACTGCGAGTGGCCAAGCGGGCAGGAAGGCGATGGGAGCTGTGGAAAGAGGCGAGACGCCGGGCTGTGGAAACCAACCGGTGGTCCAAAAAAAGAAAAAGAAGTCGTCAGAGGCAGAAGCGATGGCAGTCTATTTGATTATGATGGTTGATGGTCTCGTAGATCGCTGTTGGGATATGGGGGAGGGGGAGGACGTTGGAGGAGGTGAAGGGAAGAGGTTCGAAGTTGGGGGGGGGGGTAAGTTGACGTGGATGGAGAGTGTGACGCCGAGCAGGAGTCCGGAGAGCGCGAGATGGCGGAAGCGCAACAACAACCACACGGGGGCGCTGTGGGGTGAAAAACGGAAGATTGGGTTGAATTAAAGACTCCAAAGTGAGAGGAAGGATACAGTTGTCTGTTGGTTATGTCAGGAAAAGGAGAATCCTCCTCAGTGTTCGCCTGAAAAGCGGTCGGGTTGGTATTGCGTTGAGGTCTGGAGCTTATGGATGCCTGAGGCAGCGTTGAACTATGGCAAACGCCGAAAGTGCCGCATGGAGAATAATTATGACCAGGCAAGAAAGACGATTTAGGAGTTCTGAATCTCTATTTACTCTCTCTATTTAGTATTCTAGTTGAATAGAACCCTTTCTTTATATATTTTAGTGATGACGCTGGTTGTTTGAGACTGAGCGCCTTATACCGACACTATACGGAGTCCAGCCGTCCACTCTAGACTCTTTGAAATGAAACAATATGCTTAAACAGACAAGATGACTCAGAATATTTGATTTTACTAGGATATTTGACATTTCAATACTGAGTTTACTACATAGTACTACCGTCTCTAAGACGGACTGAATTAGAAGCCGAATCCGGTGTCGGCCATTGCACCGCGCACCCACTGGATTCCCATATTTCTTCTGTTTTCCACTACGAGTATTAATTTATATATATAGAGTAGATAAATATTGTCAATAAAACAGCTATACTATATAATAATCATCAGTAGGTAACTTACAGTTATTGTACGCTGTACTCTGTCTGTATCAAAATCGCCCCCGCTCGCGTGCTCGCAGCGAACTGTTCCCCCACCACGGGAGGCGCTGGAATGACTGCGACTGCGAGTGCGACTCCTGGTCAGAACTCCACTCCCCGGTCAGAGAGAAGAGGAAAGCCGCGATAATCCTTTGGCTGCGTACTCCGTAGTCCCTTGCGTCGTCTTTCTGTTTCTTATTAAGCTCCATGCTTGCTGACAGCCTTGATCGGTTTTACCTCCGAGGCCTGGCCGGCGGTTATTAGGGATTTGCCTAATAAAAGACCTTCTCTCTCCTCCTCCTGCTCCTCCTCCTCCTCCCGCCCCTCACTGAAATCCTGGTACTCACGGCAACCCAAAATCGCCTCATCGCTCTCTTTCTGTCTCGCTGCCTAAATTTACTACACTCTTCATTATTCTTACTCCCCGATATTTATTCGATAAAAACAACAATCCGACTACTACACACACTACACCATGGCCGATGCGCAGAGCGACGCTGTTCGCCTCCCTCCCGCGCCCGCGGATGACTACGCTTTCCCCGACCACCGTCTGAAGCGCCGGATGGCCGACCCAGAGAAGACGCCGTTGCTGCTGGTCGCCTGTGGTTCTTTCTCGCCCATCACATACCTGCATCTTCGCATGTTCGAGATGGCTGCCGATTACGTCAAGTTCAGCACCGATTTCGAGCTCATCGGCGGCTACCTCTCGCCTGTCTCGGACGCATACCGCAAGGCTGGTCTCGCCAGCGCAGCACATCGGTATATACCTCCAATTTCAAGATAAATAAACATATCATAATCATAATAATATAACTGACTTGGTTAGGGTCGCCATGTGTCAGTTGGCGGTCGAGCAAACGTCCGACTGGTTGATGGTGGATACCTGGGAGCCCATGCAGAAACAGTACCAACCCACTGCCGTCGTGTTAGATCATTTCGACCACGAGATCAATGTTGTCCGCGGGGGGATCGAGGCCCGCGATGGAACCAAGAAGCCGGTGCGCATTGCCCTCCTCGCGGGGGCGGATCTCATCCATACCATGTCGACACCGGGAGTGTGGAGTGAGAAGGATCTGGACCATATCCTGGGCAAATACGGGGTGCGTATCTACAGACCGAGCAATCCAAACAATTCTAACAAATCTGTTTTTTTTAGTCCTTCATTGTTGAACGCAGTGGCACGGATATCGACGAGGCTCTGGCCAGCCTGCAGCCCTGGAAGGACAACATCTATGTCATCCAGCAACTGATCCAGAACGACGTCAGCAGCACCAAGATCCGGCTGTTCCTGCGCCGCGAAATGAGCGTCCGCTACCTCATCCCCGTCCCTGTCATCAAATACATCGAACAAAACCGTCTGTACGAGGACGACGGGGCCGCCACTACCAATGACAAGGGGAAGAGCAGGCAGTGATAAAACCGAGCTGTGTACTCTCCCCTTTGAAAAAAGACAACTCCCCACCTCGATGACACGAATAATGCAATCCATGTACATAGATGATCTTTTCCTTTTGCTTTTGTTTCTTTCCTTGTCGGCTCTGTTTGTTGGTGATCCTGTTCTTGTTTTATACCCTCGCCGGTTCCCTGCCCCTGTACATACACATGAACTGCAGGGCAGAGCCGATAGATTAGATATTATCTAACTCTTTTCTTAAGACTATGGATGGGTGTGTAGGAGACAGTGATGATAGATAAAAGTAGTATATCAAAGATTCATATACATTGATAATATAGACAGAATGAAACACAATACCACCAGCGCATAAATCTATAATAAGAAAGGCATTACATCGTAAAAAAGAAAGGAAAGAGTGGTAAATACCTCGAGTATTGCGAGGACACTATCACTCCAGATCCTTTGCCTCGATAAAGCCAAGACAAAGTTTGGGATCAAGGGTATCCATCACAGCAACCACAGAGGTAGGAGTGACCCCGGCAACGCCAGCTAGGTATCTTTGCGTCTGCTCGCGGGTCCTCGACGCCGGCACGCGGATCCAATCGGTCGCATGAACCGCGAAACGGCCATCATCCGGGATCTCTGACAGGGGGAGGTCGACATTTCGATTCTGACAGAGGGAGCGGGTATGTGTTGGTGGAACGATTGTCGTGGGGGACAGGAACACCCAGGATTTAGCAGTCGGGTGCTGGATGGCCGTGAGGAGGATATCAAGCAGCGCAGCTGATGATAATGATGATGAGACAGTAGGGATCTGATCGGATGGAACGAAAAGGTCGGTGATCAACTCCTGCATTCTTCCTGTACCGACATACGGTTGATAGGGATAGGTGACAGGCTTGCTATGTAGGTAATCGGACGGGATGGAGGTCAACGACGCGGTTGACGCCGAGGTGGACATGGACGGGGTCGAGATGGCGGCGGCCAGCGCGGCGCCAATCGCTCCCCCCGGATGGTATCCCTTGAAGACCTCTGCGGGCCCGCGTCCCGGCTGGTCGTGCAGGGCACGGGCGACGGCGAGAGCGACTGCATCGCCCAGGCAGAGCGCGACCGTGGTGGACGAGGTCGGCGCGCAGACCCCAAACGAGGATTCCTCGTCTTCGTGGATGGGCGCCGGCAGGAGGATGCCCAGGTCTGGCGGTAGGAAGGAGAGCAGCGGACACGTTGTAGGGGTTGTGTGTGACGTGATGGCGATGACTGGGACCGTCGGTGGGATGTGAGGGAGGAGAAGCATCAGTTCTGGCGTGCGGCCGGAGAAGGAGATGAGGAGAAGGGTATCAACCTGCATTCATCATATTGGTCAATATATATATATATATATATATACCTTACAACGTACGTTTCGTCTTCAAAGATAGGCTTACCGGTCTTATCAACCCCAGATCCCCATGCAGAGCTTCCGTAGGATGCAGAAACGCACTGTGGATGCCCATACTGTTCATCGTGGCCTCGACCTTCTTCCCGATCTTGCCACTCTTGCCCACGCCGCAGACCACCAGCTTGCCCCCGCGCTGCATGCTGCGCACGATCTGGTCCACCGCGCGGGCGAGGTTCTCCTGTGCCATCCGATCGCTCTGGTACAGCGTCTCGAGATTCTCCAGGGCGGCGCGTTCCGTCGCGATAACATGCACGGCCGTCAGCACGGCGGCGCCAGAGCCAGAGCCAGAGCCAGACCTCGAGCTCGACCCAGGCTCAGAGCCATGGTATACTCCCGCGTCCATCGGATCCGGGGGTGTCATCGGCAGCGAGGGGGGGATCATCAGATCCTTCGTGCAGCTCATCATCCCAGCGGGCAGGAGACTCGGCGACAACGGAATCGATGGGTGGTGGTTATGTCTCCTTGCCATGGCTGCCGAAAGAAAAAATGGAGGGGCAGTGAGGAAGGATATGAGGGGTAGGCAGGCAAGTACCTGGTAGACACCGTGTCTACAAGAAAATCTTCACGCAGGTTTAGCTTCCACACCAACGCAATGCTGATGAATCCGTATCGATAACCCTGGTGTTTCTTTAGTATTATCTAGGAGACTAACTGCTAGACAATCTCGCAGGCGGGGCGAAGACGAAGGTGGCGGAGCGGAGGGTCGGACTGATTGATAAGGCCGAAGCCTGGCTAGGAGGCTATCTCCATTGTTGCGAAGGGGGCAGGCTGTAAGAATGGTCGATAGCCTCGCTCTGCATCGGATCAATACCGGTATTGTCCGTGGACATGGGGGGATTCTCGTCTCGTAGACAAATCAAAGGGGAACGTGGATTTCTGCAGTTCTCGGCTCCATTGCACCATCGCCCCAATCAATGAGACCAGCGATGCCAAGGAAGATTACTTGCTTAGCTTTAGCTATGGAATATCCCGGGATAATCATCTTTGGTACTACATAACTATCTCTAATATACATGCACTAACTATTGTAGTACTACAATCGATAGGGAAAAACTAAGCAAGAGGCTTGACACCCTTGTGGATGGCGGCAATCCCCCCCGTAAGATCTTCGTATCCGCGGCCCGGGATCATGAAGCCAGCCTTGTGGATCATGGCGCGGAATTCCTCCTGGCTGGGGAACTTCTCGATGCTCTCAACGAGGTACTGGTAGCTGTCGCGGTCGCCGGCGACGACCTGGCCGATGAGGGGGATGGCGCTGAAGCTCCAGCGCTTGTAGACGGCATTGAACAGGTCGTTGTTGACCTTGCTGAACTCCATGCAGGCGAACACACCGCCAGGCTTCAGCACGCGGAACGCCTCGTTCAGCGCCGCCTGCTTGTCCGTGAAGTTGCGGATGCCAAACACCACCGTGTACAGATCCACCGAGTTGTCCGGGATCGACGGCATCGTCTGCGCGTTGGCCTCCATGAACGACAGCCGGCCCGTGTTGTAGTACGGGGTCGCGATGCTCCGCTTCTTGCCCTCCGCAAGCATGTCCGGGTTGATATCCGCGATCGTCACCCGCGTCTGCCGGTCGTGGTTGACGTTGGTCGCGTGGTCGAGCATCCGGAACGCAACGTCGCCTGTCCCCCCGGCAATGTCGAGGATGTTCCATCCCTGCCCTTCCGTTTCGTTGTGGCGCCGGGCAAGCGGCGAGCCCGGGTTCAGCGTCCGCACGAAATGGTCCTTCCACAGTCGGTGGATGCCCAGCGACATCAGATCGTTCATCGTGTCGTACGACGAGGCAACCGAGCTAAACACCGCTCCAACTAGTTTCTGTTAGGAATTCCACATATCCCCAATCGAAGAAAAAGCAAATAGATAAATACCCAACGACTCCTTCTGCGACTCGGGCACATTCGTGAACCCGAAATGCGTCATCTTCTCGCTGTCCGTCTTGCCCTGGTCCTGCGCGCGCAGCGAGCACGAAAAACACCGGTACTGCGCCGGGGAGACAACCCGCCGCTTCGCACTGTAGTGCAGGCTCCGCCACATCGATCTTGACGCCATTTTGTTTAACAATCGAGTCGTTGTCAACGGCAATGGCAATCAATGCGTGGTGGTGGATGGTTTGGCATTCGGCAGGTCCTGCTGGGCGGAGTCGGAACTTCGGCCAATCGAGTCACGTGTCGTTTTTATTGACAGGACTCAACTAGTGTAGTAAATTCCAGGTCCTCTCTTGCATCCAGTTTATATTTATATCAATCATCTACTATTATTCATCTGCGTTATTTCATCTGGAGTAATGATTATCTGTCATAATTCAATTCCCCTGATCCCACAAGCTTTGCACTGTCACGCCCTTAATCCAGCTGTCCTCCCCAGACGGATTCTCCTGCATCACAAAGCCAACTTCCCTAGACTCACCAGGAAGCAGGACAAAGGAGTTCTCCTCAAAGTAACCGATTATTCCGGCAGGATAGTCTATCCAGGTATACAGCGACACGCCAGACGTCGCTTTAACAGTGAACTTGCCCGTATCCTTGCTATAGGAGAGCTCGAGGTGAGGGTCTCGAAGAGCGAGATCCTTGGGAAAGCTCGGTGTGAAATAGTTCTCATGTGAGAAAGTTGACTCTGTTCTCTCGGCAGTTGCAGTCAGAGATAGGATTAGAATCGAGTTGGTCAGATTGGACAGAGAAAGATCGGCGAAATGAGTCGAGTAGATTCTCGTCGTATTGATTGCTCCGACTTGAAAGTCAACCACGGACGGTGTCCCCGCGTTTCCAGGTAAAGGTTTGCCCGCCATATCGAGCCAGGTCATTCTCACCGTCCCCGCGGCTGGTTTCCAGAGGTCTGACGTTGCGTAGATCTCTAGAACGCTGGTGTTGTGGTTCCAGAAGGGCGACACAATGATCGGTCGATAGATGTCCTTAGCGACATAATGTAGAGTCTTCCACCGGCCATCGTATTCGATTCCCGCCCACGATGGAGCCTGCCAGATATCTTCCAGCTGCCAGTAAAGAGCTCCGAGCTGGCGCTCTGGCATCCCGCTGCCCCGGCGGTAGAATTGGATCTGAGACTTGTAGAAGTCGGCCTGGAATATCTGTGTGGCGTGGCACCAGGCACTGAAATTGGCAATCCGGTCAGAGTGCCGAGGCAGGGGATAGTACCGTTCGACGGACCTCGTCATCTCGCCCATGCCTAAGGCGGATTTGGAGAGGTTATCCGTACTGAGACCCCCCATGGGATAATGGTGGTTGCGAAGCATGACGACACTGCTGTTGAAATAGAGGTCTTGCGGGTCAAGCGCCTGTTGCCAGGTCTGTACACTGGGCATGCTATGGTATCCAAACTCATTGGCAAAGCGGCCGACCGGGTACGAGGAGGTATCGAAAGCGACGCTCGAGTCATAGTTGTAATGATCTGTATCACCGTAATATTTGCCTGGAGTGATATTCCAGTATCGCTCAGCCATCGGCACGGGAGAAGACAGGTTGACTCCCAAGTAGCCGTTATTCGTACTGCTGGGCATGTACGAGATCGATCTCGTGTTTTCGTAGACTAGAGGCAAGATCAAGCTCACAAAAGCTCTTCGTACTCTCCAATATATTTCTTGTAACCGGTGGGATCTGCAGCCTTGACTGCTGGAAGCATCAGACTCTCGATTTCGTTTCCACCCGCCCACAGGGCGAGTGAAGGATGGTGGTTGACACGTCTGACATTGTATGTGACTTCCGCAGCAACATTCTCCAGAAATGCCTTATCGACTGGATAAAGGGCATCGCCGAATTGAAATTCGCTCCAGAGGAAGATCCCCTCCTCGTCGGCAATGTCATAAATGAAATCAGGTAAATATGCACCGGACGCCCAAACCCGAAGCATGTTCTGGTTTCCCGCCACAACTGCTTTGAGCAGTCTCCTCATCTTGGTTTCCGTGACTCGTGGCCAAAATGTATCAGGAGGGATGATGTTGGACCCCTTCGCATAGAATTCGTGGCCGTTCACTTCGAAGTGCCAATTTGCTCCAGGAGCGATCCCAAGGGCAATTTGGTCCTCAGTGATGTTCAGTCGATTCAGGAAAATAGTACGAAACCCTGTGCGTTTCGTGATGGATGCCAGCGTCTGACTCTCCTTAGTGCTGATCGAGATCGCAAAATTGTAGAGATTCTGGTCGCCGAGACCGTTTGGCCACCAAAGCTTTGGCACATGGGCGCCGATGACTGTATGTCCAGTGATAGAGCCATCTGAGATGGTTACGTCGAACATATCTCCTGTAATCAAGATTTCCCCAGTCTTTGCATCGCTCACGAGGACCGACATCAAGGCATCGGAAGGGACCTCTCCAATAAAGTCGATACTAGCATTGACGACCCATGGCTGACTCTGATCGGGTGGCAGATGGTTTATTTGGCCCTTTCGGTAGGTGTCGAGGTCTGTATTTGTAATGTATATTGCTTGTTCGTTTTCAAGCTGCACAATATAAGCTGGTTGCCATGGGCCGGCGGGGGCAAAGGCAGGCCCCCAATCCCATCCAAAGTCTGACTGTTCCTTTCTCATAAACCAGCGGTTGGGGTATTCAAAGACCTGAGCTTCTTGGATTCTCGCGGGCCAGACTGGAGTGGATTTGATTAGGTCTTGGTTTGGGAAAGGATAACCTTGTGGGTGGCTTACCTTCCGAGCTGGGATCGTTTGCAATCGCGTTCACAATATTCGGAGCACTCCCAAAATTGATTGACAGAACTGGATCAGATCTGCAGTCCTCGAGAATCTGGGAAACATCGAAGATCCATTGACGGAATTGATTGTCGGCGGTGCCTACAGTCTGCCCGCAGAAGTCGACAGTAGCAAAAGTATCCAGCCCGTTAAAGACCAACCATGACGACTTCGCATCCTTTTGCCTAGATAATTACTCTGTTAGATCAGAAAAGAGCTTCTTGGGGTATCCAGTGTCTGATGTACTCCGTACAGATCACGAAGCGGCTCACTCGTATAGGTCCAATTGGCGTCAGCTATCCAGCGCAGATTGAAATCATTGAGACCATAATATCTTCACAGTGTGCTCAGTATTTCCATTATATTAGTAGTGTCAAGGATAAAGACCTACGGGTCCCCTGTTCCTGTCAGCTCAGACCCAACACAACGAGGACACCGTTACCTACCAATGACTCCAGCCGCATATAAATCCAGATGCACTTGAGAAGGCAGATGGCCAGGCACAATTCTATTCAGCGCCGTGCTGCTCACTGTCCACCCGATCTCGCTCAAGTCGAGAACGTGTTGACCTTGGATGGTCGGAAGAGAAGGGTCCGTCGATAGCACCGACAAGACGGTTTGTAAACGCATCGTGACGCAAGCAACAGAAATCTAGAGGCTGAATTGTCTCAATCGGTCATGATCTGGTAAACAAACACGCCCCCTGGATGTTGTGGAAGTTGCAGACCGTCAGACAGTTTGAACCGTTACATGAAGCGGACGCGAGTGCAACGTCCCATGCCTGAGGCTCCCAGGTGGTAGTGAGGGGAAGCGCGATTCTCCTCACAGGAATGCGGGCGTTGCATCGACGAATCCATCTTTTGAAGATCGACAACAGATAAGGGGAACTATTAATCGAGAAGGTTTACTTAATAGGAAGTCATCCCTTTCTTTGATGATAACTCGAAAAATTCCGGTACGAGCTGGTTGATTGAATAAATAGTAAGACAATGCCCAGGGTATAAGATATTGCAAGTATATAAAAATAATAATATATATTAATATAAGTATTAGTAGTATATTTTGTGGAGGCTTTATTATGTTTTTTAATAATGTTTATAGTCATTTTCATTATATTTAAGGTTATTTCAGCAGCTCTTATATTTAATGGATGACTGTTAGAAATAACACATAATCTTATACTATCAATTATGAATATATTCCTAGCAAAATGGTATAATGTATTGTTGTAGACACGACGCTTATATACAACTCTATATATATTAAATATTTCCCAGTCAACAATCTGAAGTCACAATGCCACGATTTCAATAGAAGAAAAAGACCCAGCATTTGAGCTATAGGGCGAATAGGCTCTTTTAGGTAAATGATCAATTATTTCTTGCAGGTCCTCTGCTCTCGAACGATTTCACGAGGAAGCAAAAACTGGACCTTGTGAGAGCGAGACCGTCCTATTGCGATGATATAAACGGCTTTCTCAAGTTGCAAAAATTGCTAGAAGAGGCAGGCCAATTCCGGCTACTCTAGGAGACACGATTGGCGCTTTATGATATGAAGTATCGAAATGCCGAGTCCTGCAAGTGGTTCCAAAAGATCATCGAGGCAGATAGCCATGGTCGTCGGATTGTCCAGAAAGAGATATACACCACAGAAGAAATAAAGTCTCTTCAAAAGCCTGTTTCACTCTCCTCTTTGGATGAAGATCGAGCCAGCTTGAGGCTTACGAGGCGCAACTTGAGGACCTGAATGAGAAATACTGGAGGCACAAAGACAAAACCTGGAGACTTGAAAATATGACGCCAGTTGAACGCAGATTTCGTTCCTGGCGCAAATATCCAGATTGGTATCTGTCCTCATGGCTGTAAAACGACTATGCAAGACGGGGAGGGCATTTTGCAAGAGACTGTGGCTGTTGTGAGCGGCCACGAGAGGCTCTTCGAGGTCTTCATCGCGGACATTGTACCACGGGCTGTGGCTGCTTCCGCATGAGAGACCTCAAGAACAAAGCCGAGGCAAGTGATCTCGACGACTTCCCGTTCAATATGATCTTCTTATCACGGTGTGAATATAGTTTGCGAATACTGCGGGCGTATCTTTGGGGCCTGGAGACGGAGTTTCATTGAATCGGACACGGCAGGGGGGGTATCTGTTTTCGGAAGATATAGTGTAGATTAATGACTGTCAATTGATTAGAGAAGAGAATAACTAGTCACCTTGATAGTAGGGGTCACAAACCCAGTGCCGGATTATCTGTGTTGGTAAGTTTTTGTCTCTTCAGACTGCCAGCTAATCGTTTGGCAGCAACCTTTTATGAGGCTCCAAGCGAGGAAACTATTCGTGAGAGACTCAGTACACTCAATCAATAATACTGGCTCCTAGAGCGTGAATGGTGGCGATGGCGCAGTGCCTTCATTGAGGGCCTGTTGACAAGAGGCTTCGAGCTCTGGCGGTCCCATCCACAACGGTATCTCCAGGACTGTGCCGGTATGGGTGGTTGCTGTAGCCGCTCTTGCGGCTGCTGCTTTCTGCGTCATCGTCACTGTCATCATTTTTTAACAGGGAAAAATGATAGTACTCTCTACAAGCTCAATTTGGGGACACTGTACCGTCGAGTGTGGCTGTTGCATCCGGGCACGGGGGGACTCAAACTCACCACAGAACGAAAGGAGAGTCTAAACAAGCAGTTCAATATCGATGTCAAAGGTGCACGTACTGGCCTGGCCGGCTTGGTTTCAATCTGGGGATTTAGGCAGACTGGGGACGAGGATCAGTTCAGTTTGATTCAAGAGTGGACTGGCGACGAGTCTATCTGTACTGAGTCTGGTGTACTGGTATTATGAGTCTGATTTTATTTATTCACCGGGTCATTAGTTCCATAGGCATTCACTTATTATTAGTGGAAGGTTGCCTGCTAATTGTCACCAAATTTCTTGTCATTGACTACAGCAGCAGCAACACTATATAATCCGGTCCTTGCCCAGTCCTGCCCCTACACACTACCACATCTCAACAAATTCAACCTCAAACTTGCTTTTTCTCTTCTACTCAGCTATGATAAACTCCTGTTGCCACTCGTTAATCCCTCCTCTCATCTATCTTACTCCATATACCCGCTGGTTATCTTTTCTCCATATCCAGCCCAGCAATGAGTCACCCGACGAAGAACTCCTCAGCAAAGACGACAGAGACGATCCCCTGACCCCCGTCTGCGTGGTATCTCCTATCGGTTCGAAACAGAGGCAATTCTGACAAACAAAAAGCACCAAACTCGCCAATGTGAAGGTCGCCCATCTGACAGGCTTTGGTGAGTCCACTGCCATAGATCGTTCAGTATGAGCAGGGCGGACAGTGTGTGTACACAGCCAGCAGTGTGTGCGATGTGCTGTCGGGAATGCAATGTGTGCCGTCGATTGCATGGCTGGTGACAAATACGACCACGAAGCCCAACGGCCTCAGGGCATCGCTGATGAGTTGGATATTGACGACCCTGCGGCAACCCTCGCTTTCCAACACGACATCGACGCATGGAAGAAGAATGTCGACACTCTGCGCATGACTAGTCCCTTGGGCTTCGTCAATGTCACCAGCTCACCTCCATGAGGATCTGACACTATAAGCGAACGATACCTTTTTTACCACCGTGGCAAACTTTGCTTGCTACACATCGCAGCATCCAAAATAATTCAGTCTGAAAGTAAATTCCCTTCTTCCAAGCAAATGAATGGCCTGCTGGGATGGAGTAGTTGGAGTGGAGTTGCCGTCGGCAGAGGACCCTTTTCACCCTCTGGAGTCCCCCGGCTGAGGCGTGTTTTGTCTGGCCATAGGATCAATTACCAGGATCTAGAGCTGGATGAAGCACACGATGGCGGTGATAACATCGAGGACTACTGTAACGCATTGGAAGTTGCCCCAGTCGGAGGTCATTGTGAAGATTGAGGTAGTTGAAGACAAGGAAATATGGAATTGGGTACATGGGAGGGGAAAGGAAAAGAGGCAGAAAGTGAGCAGCGGGTAGAAGGAGGTATGAAAGGGATTCGAAATCGTATTATTGAGGCAGAAACAGGAAAGACAGTGTAGTCAGTAAGAAAGGAACCGATTTGAGCATACAAAAAGCAAGTGCCACCATTAATAGACACGAACCAGCTTCTGAGGCAATCAGTTCCGGTTTCGATCCCACTGTTTATTTGGCCAGTTGCCATTTCCCAGATTGCGTTCGACGATGAGCTCAAAAACACGGGGATCGGCGGTTCTTTTCGCGCATGTTTCCCAGTGGCCACCTCTACAGAATATGTTATGCTTCTTCTGCCATCCGTAGAAGGTTGAGCCGGCGGCAGTGAAGAACTGCTCCAGCCAAGTCCCTGGGTCTTTTACCCAAAACGAACCGGCCAGCATCTGCTGTGAATCCTTGACAGTGAAGTAGTACCGGGAGGAGACCCATAAACTCTCCGTTTTCGCCTGCACCGACAATGTTGTCTGGAGTTTAACGTGTGCAGATGGATGTTGGGTGAAGGTACATATATGTCTGAGAAAGTTATATCCGGATTCTATCTCTGGATGGCGCAGAATACCGTTATAATACCCTCCTCCTTCTTCTCCTCCCCCTCCTCCCCTTCCTTCTCTGGCAGACTTGATGGTCATTATCAAGTGTGTCTTATCATGAAAAGAGATTCTCAGACAGGGACACAGATCCACTTCCCCAGCGTAGGGCATGCAGGATCGTCGACTATGCCACTTTCCACAATTATACCGATACGGAGATAATCTTGGTTTGGTGGGACCGGGGCTCTTCCATGCCGAGGGGGGATGAAGAAACCAGCAGCCGCTGCAGTATCTCCATTGGCGATTCTCGAGCTGGCGGAGAAGTTGGATTCGGAGGTTCTTGTCGGCGGAGTCCTTCAGGCACAGGATTGGCCGGTCTTGAGGGGGCAGAAGCTTCGGAATTTCCTTATTCTGGCTCTTGAGAAAGAGTTTGAAGCAGCTGTAGAGACACCGGCAGCTCAGGGACAGGCATATCTGGTCTGGCAGTGGCAGGAAGGTGAAGATGATTCCCACGATCTCCGGCGGGATCGACGAAAGAGGATATCTTTTTCGTAGGAAGGGTCTCTTGAATTTCAAATTGATCGACTTGAAGTCCATTTTGTGATGCAGTAGGATGGAATGAAGGGTTTCTAGTGGATTGAGTCGTCGAGTGGGAGAATTTTGTAGCCTAAATACGTCTTTCAGCATCATCGACTAGAACCACTCACCTGAGGGTCAGACACTCATCTAGCTGTTCACTCTTCATCATTCAATGAGTATGGTGTAGATTGTACTCCAATAATAAGATATATCTACTGTTCTTTACTTGCTTATCGAAGACCATTATAGAGAAAACGTCCCATATCAGAATTGACTGTAGTGGACACCTAAGGCATAAACATAAAAAGACCGTCATTTACGTGAGAGATAGCCCAACAATGGCAAGGAGAAGCAACTGTCGAGGTACATATATGGTAGTCTAAGTAATGCTAGGGGCATTAGATGGATAACTATTGGTAAATCACTACTGCTCGATATTTCAATCTCTGGAGTTGTGTTTTTTATATAGAGGCAGACAATATTGACCTCCTTCCCAAATGGGCTTAGCTTAGTGCACCTACTTAAACCTCCCAACGTTTCGGTGAGTAGAATCCATCTTCTTCTCCTTGACTCAGATTAATCCTTTTCATCAAACAGACATGGAAAAACTGTCACAGAAAGCTTCAAAGCCCCTTCGACAGCCCCTTGATCGACCCTACCCCGAGAGCCGTTCAGCAAACCATCCCACCAGCTCAGTCACGGTGGGATGGCTCCAGGTGAGAGCAGCCGGCGTGTTGATCTGGAAGGTCTGCTGAAACTGATGGCGAAGACCGATCGTCATCACCGAGTCCAGACCCATGTCTACTAGGGCAGTCTTTGTGTCGACGCTGGCAAGATCATACCCCAGCACCTCCGCCACGCAGGTCCGGATTTGCGTCTCCAGCCATTCCATCAGCTCCGGGCCTGAAGGGGGAAGTTGCAGACCTTCTGCTGGGAAGTCCTTATTGCCACCGTCACCACCACCTCCTTCTCCCTGTCCTCTCGAAGATACTTGATGATGACGACGACGACGTACGATAACATCGCTGAGGAGAGGGGTAGAGAGGGGCTCATCTTCAGCAAGTGGCCGGCTGCGAATTATGGCTGCGTTGCCAATATCATGCTGGCCGATATATACCCAGGCAGCGAAGGCTTCTGCAGGTGACATGTCTCGAAGGGCTTTGCTCTCCAGCTCAGCCGCCATGAAGCCCGTGCTGACGCTCATCCCCATCTCACGCCAAGCGGTCCAGGCAAGTGCCACAGAGTTATCTCCCGGCGTCTGGCGGCGATAGGTTGCCAATGCCTCAAGGAAGGTGTTAGCTGCCCCATAGGAACTCTGGCCGGGATAGCCGAACAGGTGGCCGGCCGAGGAGAAAAGTACGAGGAAGTCGAGCGTGCCGGGGGGGAACACTGAGTGAAGAGCCAACGCCCCGCGGATCTTGGGCGCCATGACACGCTCAAACGCCTCGGGGGTTGCCCGTTGCGCTAACTGATTCTCAACCACTCCGGCGGCGTGTACAACCCCTCGTACGGTAGGCAGGGCCAGCTGCTTCAGTTGGCATTTCAGCTGCGCAGCAGCATCATCGGCTGCCATGTCCAGCGCTAACACATGCACGGAGACACCTCGCCGTTCGAGACCCTGAATTTTGGCCAGCACGTCGCTAGAGACGCTGCCAGGTACATCACCCAGCGGCCATGATTGGCGAGGAGGCAGCGCCCGGCGTGAAATTAGCACCAAGCGCCGTGCTCCTTCCTCCACTAGAAACTCGGCTGTGGCAATCCCCAGTGCGCCTAGCCCGCCCGTGATGATATAAGTCCCCTCAGCCTGGGGTAGAAGCGAGCAAGGGCGCTCTGATAGCCCGGCTAGGGGCCGTAGCCGAGCGGTGCGTGGCACCCCGTCGCGCAGCAAGATGATGTCCGCGCCCTGTACATATTTGACGGTGGGGAGTGGAAAGGCGCCTGACCGCAATCCGTCTACATCGATCAAGCCGCCAAACGTGTCGGGATACTCGCCGGCCAGGATCCGGCTCAGCCCTAGCAGCGGAGAGAGGGTGAGAGCAGGGGCTGCCGTAGCTGCAACGACACCAGACACCAGTACAAAGATCTTGGCCGCTGGTGAGGCTTCTAGCACGTCTTGAAGAATACCCAGCAGCTCCCAGCAGACCCGATTGGCCGCGGACCACAGCATCTCAGGCAGTAATTCCTCCTTCCTCACGTTAGGCACGTACACCACCGCCGTGCCCTTCCCCGGTCGACGTGGCGCCAGTTGGGCTTGCAAGTCGTTTGGAGATTTACAGTGAAGAACGGAGAACCTCTCCTCCGACAGGCTTGCGATATACGCGTTGGTGACTTCGAGATTGGGAGAGACGAGGATCAGCTGCTCGATGGCGAGCGGTGTTTCGGCCGGCAGCACCGGCGGCCAGCAGATACGATGAACCAGATGTTCAACGTCATTCGTATTCTCCTCCACCTCGGCGTACTGCACCGCGTCCAGAATGACCAGCAGCTGGCCAGTCTCGTCGGCGATTTGAATGTGGCAGGTTGTGCTGTCTGGCGATGGATCTCGGCGCACGTATACCCAACCAACTTGTGGGGGATCGTCGATGTTGGTGTTACTGCTGCCGCTACCTATTAAACGCGTGATGCGTTTTATTTGTACAGGCACCCGTAGCTCTGGCCTCAGATGGAAGATGCTCGACCCAATCGACATCGCTGCATCCAGCAAGGAAGCCCAGGAGGAGGATGGCTTGTGTTCTTTTTCCTCTTTCCCTGCTTCTCCCACCTCTAGCTTGACGCAGGCAATCATCTGCGTTGAGCTCCCATACTGTTCTTCCACCACCCATGGAAATGGCCGTGAGGAGAGGCCAACCTGATCCAGGTAATTGACACAGAATCCATCAGCCAGCTTAGATCCACACAAGACGGTGATGGCAGTGATGTTGATGCTGTCCACCAGATTAGCGGTTGGAGCGGCTCCAAACCGTCCAGTAGTGTGTGTTATCCACGACGGCGATGAAGTCTTTGTCTTCTTCTGAGCCAATAGCTTGATCCGGTCGTCATCCACGACCACTTGCACATGGCGCGACGGGTCCAACTCGAGAGGCACACGGAACACCACGTCCTCGAGGACGGAGGAGGATTTGGCAGCGTGCCAGAAGGTGTTAATCAAGATTGAAACCGGAAGAATCTCCGTTCCTAGCAGCACATGCTCGCCCGGGAATGGCTTTGCTTTCCGACTGAGCGCGCTTGAGTGGACAATAACCTTGGTGCCGGCTACCGTGGTTGCCGGGCCTAACAGGGAATAAGGCGCCTTCGGGTACTGCCGATGTTCGGGGCTTGAAGACATAGAAGAAAGAGAAAGAGAAGAAGAGGAAGGAGACAGAGAGGTAGAAGAGGAGGAGGAAAAAGAGCCCTGAGGGGGTGGACGTCGGATGTTTTGATGAAACCACGGTGTATTGGGAACTTCCACAGCCCAGGGGCCTGTCAGGTACCGCCGCCAGTCAACATCAATGCCGTGGCAATGCAGGGTTGCCATCGCGTGCAGTAGAGTCTCTTCAGCGGGCTGGTCGCGGCGCATGGTGGGCAAGACGGCGGCGGGATTGATATTGCTCTCCAGAAGCGTCTCACGGATGGAATGGCCCACCACTGGATGACTGGAGACCTCCATAAAGACACGGAAGCCATCCTCGGCAGCGGCCTTGACTGCACTAGTCAGGAAGACGGGCCCGACAGTGTTATTGACCCAGTAATCAGCGTCACGGGGGTCTTGAGCGCGCGGATCCAATTGAGAAGTTGAGTAGAGACGGGTGTGCGGCGGCTGTGATGGCATGCTGGTTGGGAATAGAGGGTCAATTGCCTCACGGAGAGGAGCCGCGATTGGGTCCAAGAGGGGACTGTGGAAGGCGATGTCGGTCTGTACGGAGTAAGCCTGGATGCTGTCCGCTTTGCATTCCTCGGCGAACGCGGCGATAGCCTCACAAGTGCCTGAAACCACACAGGAGGCTAGAGAGGCATCGATACTAACTGTCAATGGTCGTGAGGGATCCTTCGAGAATCGTTCTTGCATCTCAGCCATGGAGCGATTGACGAGAATCATAGCGCCTTGGCCCATCACCTGCCGGTAGAGGATTGCGCGACGAGTGACGAGCAAGACGGCCTGCGTGGAGGAGAGAACCCCAGCCTGGACCGCAGCAGCGATCTCGCCGACAGAATGGCCGATGATGGCGCTAGGAACAATGCCACGGTGGCGGAGGAGAGCGGCAAGGCCCAGCTGCATTATGACCGTGAGGATCTGGACACGATCAGTGGAGCCGAGAAAGTCGCCCTCTGTCAGCCAGGCAATTGGCGATGCACCCTCCAGCTGATGGCGCACGATTTCGTCCAACGGTTCAATGGCCTGACGGAAGATCGGGTCGCCCAGGAGAGACTTTCCCATATCTGCCCATTGAGCGCCGTGGCCGGAGAAAACCCAGACCACGCCCGGAGTCCGTGCTGCCACAGGTAGCACCCGATCCTGGATAAGGATCTTCTTCCGACGCAGAGAGGAAACAGAGGAGTCACTGCTGTCGTCGATCAAGGAGGAGAGGGCCTCAACAGCGTCAGCCTTGGTCGTGACCATCAACGCCACGCGGAAGTCATGATGGGAACGGCGAGTGGCCAAGGTGGTGCAAATACTGGCCCAGTCGTTGTTTTTGTCAGAGTCATCGGATTGAAGCCACTCAAGCAGGGATTGCGCCATGGGCCGTAACCGCTTCTCCTGAGGCGCAGAGAACAGGAGGAGTGGGACCTGTGGCTGCGGCTGCTCGCTGGGAAGGCTCATATTTGCCGGCAGTGAGATGACGGCATGCGAGACAGCCCCGCCGTACCCGTACGAGCAGATGGCAGCGGACGGGGGCTGGGTGGTAGAAACCGGCCAAGGGGTAGGCTCCCGGACGACCTCGAGGCCGCTGCCTTCCCATTGGATGCGGGAGTTGAGATTGGTAAGATTGGCCTGCGGGGGTACAATTCCCTTGTTGAGGATGAGGACTGCCTTGATGAGCCCCAAGAGGCCCGCGCCAGCCTCGACATGGCCGATATTCGGCTTGATGGAGCCGATCAAGCACGGATCTTCGGCGGTGCGGCCCGCGCCGTAGACAGCAGCCAAGGCGGCAACCTCGACGGGGTCGCCGACTGGGGTAGAGGTGGCGTGGGCCTCGACGTACGCGATGTCGCTGGGGGCCATCCCGGCAGCCTGGAGGGCATTACGGGCTACCAGCTGCTGAGCCAGCCCGTTGGGCGACATGATCCCATTCTTCCTGCCGTCGTGGCCAAGCGCAGTGCCCCGTACGACGGCCAGGATATTGTCCTGGTCGTGAACGGCGTCGGCTAGGTTCTTGAGGACGACGGCTCCCACGCCGTCCGCACGGCCATATCCGCTAGCAGCCTCGTCGAATGAGCAGCAGCGGCCGTCGAGCGAGAGGGCGCCAGCAACCTGTAGGGAACGGGTGAAGCCCGGCCCACACACGGCGTTCACGCCGCCTATCAGGGCGACCTTGGATTCGCCCGCCTGGATGGCGCGCACTCCGCTGTGGAGAGCGATCAGCGACGAGGCACAGGCACCATCCACGGCCGCGCTGGGACCCAGCAGGTTGAGGTGGTAGGAGATGCGGTTCGGCACGCCGCAATGACAGGTCCCGATGCCCATCCAGGCGTCGATGGCCGGCAGGTCCTCGAGGAGTAGCTTGCCGTAATCATCGGCGGTGACCCCCCAGAAAACGGAGGTGTCGCTTCCGGCCAACGCCTTGGGCGAGAGACCCGCATTCTCCAGCGCCTCCCAGGCCACCTCGAGGGAGAGCCGCTGCTGCGGGTCCATCTGCTCCGCCTCCTTGGGCGAGATGCCAAAGAAAAGAGCGTCGAAGCCGTCCAGATCGTCGATGAAGTATCCCCGTGACACGGTATCCTCCAACACCGCCGGGTTGCGCGGGTGGCGGGCGTAGTACGTCGCCAGCCGCTCCGAGGGCATGGGCCCCGAGGCGTCCGTCTTGTTCATCAGCATCTCCCACAGGGCGTCTAGCGAGCACACCCCGCCTGCAACACGGCAGGCCATTCCGACAATGGCCACTCCCACTGGTTCCTATATGAATGAGCTATGGGGTAATCAGGCTGTGAAGGAGCGTCGTACCTCGGGCCCGGCTTGAGCTGTTGCTGACATGATTCTTGATTCTTATTCCACTTGAACTGCAAGTCTGTAAGTTATCCGTGGTTTTATGCATTGTTTTCTACGTTTAATGTCGGAATTTATATCCTTTCTACTCATATCTCAAGTCCACCCCTGTTCAGTCTCGTTATATGGTGTGGGTGCCAATATCAACGATAGCATCCAAACTACCCGGTCAGTTGCATCTCTATCCCTCTATGATCCCCTGTGATGGTGGTGATTGAGTACAAAGATGGATGCCATTACTAACCCCCCTCCCCTTCCCCCCCTCGTGCAGCATATCTCTGAAGAAATCGGCCGGTCGAGCTACTGCAAGTATCACTCTTCGTCAGCCACTTTAGTCCGTGTACGAGAGTCGAGGATCAGCAGTATTTGTTTCTAGAATAGGAAGGAGAGGAGCATAGATCTCTCATTAGACTTTCTTCGACACGAATTCACCCGATGAATGTAACGTTGGAAATGATTAGAGAGATTCTACACTATCCTTCCATATGATTACTATATAGCCTTCCTCGTCAAAAGTGCACATAAGGTGCTTAGGTAGATAGATATTAAGCAGTACTCATCACTGGGTACTGTCGAGAAGTATTACAACCCGTATATATTATATATTTCCCAAGCAGTTTCTAACAACTATCACGCCACTTTTTCAAGACATGTATTCGTCAGCTCCGTATCTGTCAGCTATTCCCGGGTCCAAGGAAAAAGATTCCAGATTACTTGCATGATGGACGTATCCCCTGTTCGTTTGCTGCGGGGTGTTTCCCGGAATTGCATAGCCCAGCCAGTCATTGCCTGCTTATCTGCAACATTACCATCTCATGCAGTAGCGCTGGTGGATGGATATGTAGGGGCCCCCTCGCGTAGCGAGGGTATCGGGCTCGTTATATTATTAGCCTGAGGCACTCATTGATCTGGATAGCCTTACTATCACCATTATATCAGGACTATTCTATAATATTGAAATATTTACTATAACCATAATAGTTTAGAGTTAAATGAATGTAGAAGGGGTCAAAAAGGGATAGAAATAGTATGAACAACTATTCTGCAACTTAAAGAAAGCTAATATGAACTATTCACCACACATTCCCTTTGGTAGGAATCTAGGGGGTGGCCCGTTGCTCCGTAACTCTATGGGCACCTATATTCAAGTAGAAACTACTAGTATAGTTTTAGTATTTGAAATGCTATCTGGACAGGTATAAGAATGGGATTATCTCTACCTGAGTCCATCAGCTTTCCTGGTCTTGTTGCATTGCTGAAACATTCACATGCAGATGGATAACGCAAGAAAGACACAGAGACAACGTAAGTCATGCATACTTCACACCAACCCTCTTGACACTAATGGGGAAATCTTAACCGAAGATCTCTACCTGGTTGATCTTGGGTCCAAGACATTGGCTCAGCCATGGACATCCGGACGGATTCTCCAACTAGGTGGCGACGTCTTGCAGGGGACAGGGGAACCAGACGTGGTACCCACTGCTATCGTCACGCAGCAGCCCTTGCCGGATGGAATTGCCTTTTCGACAGCCCGGCAGCGAGTGTACTGGACGGCCATGGGCACGTTGGGGGCCAACAATGGGAGTATCTGGTCGTGTCGGCCGGACGGAAGTGATGTGCGTGCCGTGGTGCGAGTAGGTGAGGCCCAATTGCACACGCCGAAGCAAATAGTGGTGGACGACGTGCATGGGCAGTTGTACTGGGCTGATCGGGAGGGAATGCGAATCATGCGATGTTCTCTAGACAGGGAGAACAACGAGAGCCATGAGAGCGGCAAGAAAGAGGAGGAGGAGGAGGAGGAGGAGTATCCCATCGAGACGCTGATCCAAACGGGAGTCTGGCAAGACGAAACGCACTGCCAAGATGCCACTCGCTGGTGTGTTGGCGTGGCCTTGTCGCTGCGCTACGGCAAGCTCTTCTGGACTCAAAAGGGTCCCCCGCGCGGCGTGACGGGAAAGGTGCTCTGTGCCGACCTGGCCTGTCCGGAACAGACTGTCGTGGTTCTAGCTGACCAGTTACCGGAGCCAATTGACCTGCACTGGGACGAGAAACGAGAGATCCTCTACTGGACTGATCGCGGGGAACTGCCGTGGGGAAACTCGTTGAACGCCCTTGACCTGCACGACTGGCTGGCCGGTACCACCACCTCCTCCTCCTCCTCCTCCCCATCGGTGTCTTCTTCCCTGCCTCCTCCTCGCCTGCTGTCTCGGAACTTTCACGATCCTATCGGGCTCTCTGTTGATACCGCCGGCGAGTGGGTGTACGTGGCCGACCTTGGAGGCAGCCTCTATCGCTGCCATATAACTTCGGGGGAGAAGGAGAAGCTATATCAGGATGAGGGCTGTGCATTTGCAGGCATCACTCATGCAGCAATTGAATAGGTCGTTTCATTTGTTCCATCGGACTTTTATTGGTTGAATCTGTATGAATATATCCCTCATAACAGTACACACAGCCAATTGCTGTACCGGAATGAGAAACGCGTGGGTTCCGATTGGTGGATCTGGAGACCGATAAGCCATCTCTGACAATTCAGCATAGCATGTCTTCGTACATACTAAATCTGCCTCTGCAATAAACTTCGCTATTTTGTGGTAACCGCTGCTAGCGACTTCTACCAGCATCCTTTAGTTGGTTTTCATCAGTATCGGCATCGGTTCATCTGATGATGGATCAGGTCAATCAGTAGCAATAGCTCGAGGAAAGTACAACATGGTAACCATAAAGAAGTAGGACAGTACAAGAACAGTGTAAAGAGGTTGTAGAGGTGGTGGAAGAGGTGGTGGACTTGGAGGAAGGTTTGCCATGTGACACCAGTAGCCCTAACTCATGACAGTTCCCTTTTTGGAATAGTAGAGCAACCCTAAGTCTGAAGTAAGAAAGCATATTTAACGGCGATTATTTTCATAACCTGTTGGCTTTATTGAAAGAGAACCCTGGAAAGTGTATCGTGAGTGTCCACAAACATTCTTTCTATGTAGATACCATCTCGTAGGAAGAAATTGGTATATCAATGTCAAGTTAAGAACTGATCAAGAATCGTTCACCCCTCCAGCACATTACAAGAATGAATCTCGAGATCTCGTTAGGCAATTGTTTACAAATGTGCGCCACATCCAGCTCCATGCCCCGAACAGGGCGGTGATAGCGGTAAACAAGATCAAGGTCCCATATCGCGTCTCGAACCCGGTAGATCCCCGGGACTCAGTGATGGCACCTGCCAATGCCCCTTGGCGGAGGAGCACAGTGCTGAGTGGCCCGCTGATGACATTGCCAATCCCTCGCCCCCCAGCCAAGAGACCAAATACCAATCCTGTTTCTAGTGACGAGGGGGAAGCCGAGTCCCTCTTGATCTGCATGATCACCCCAGACCATGTGGAACTGAACCCGCCGGCAAAGAAGCCGTAGGAAACAGAGAATAATGCAAGAAGAGCGAGGGCTTCTTTCTCCTGAGATGAGGAAGAAGAAGAGGCCGAACTATTCGACGACGACGCCATCCCCCACAGGAGAATGACCGACAACGCCGACCCGAGAGAGGAGATGAGCAGGATGTTGGTGACGGCAAACCGGTCGCAGAGAATACCCAGTGCTATGCCGCCGAAGACGGAGGTGGCATTGAACAGCGAGACCAGCATCGTTCCCATGGTCTCTGGCAGTCCTGCGGTGGTTGTCGAGTAAGAGGGGAGATACGTCGACGGCAAAAAGTACCCGAAGCTTTGGATGATATTCCCAGCTTGCAACATCCAGAAGGTGGACAGTCGCAGGAAACTGAGGTCGAGACGTCGGGCCGAGGTCGCGGCCGACACTGGGATCCGTGGCTTGAGGAAGGGAAGCGCCAGAAGGGTAGTGAGCAACTGTGTGACCGTCCAAGCTTTCAACGTCGTACTTGAGCCAAATTTATTGAGACAAACACTGGCCACAAACGGCAGGGCAACACCAGTGATGCTCTTTGCAGCCCACATCGTGCCCAGCGCGAGTCCCTTCCGCCGCACGAACCATTGATCCAGATACAGCGAGGACGGGCTGAAGAGTAAGCCATTACCAATGGCACAGATGACGCCCTGCGTTGCAATCAACTGCCACACAGTGTCGGAGAAGGACGAAAGCAAAGATCCCGTCACTGTGACGATCACTCCTGCAGGGGCACAGTACATTTGCAGGCGTGGATACCTGGTCAGCAGGGTGAAGGTGATGGGCGAGAGAAGGTATAGAATGCCCTGCACGATCAATTTAAAGTCTTTCTAAACAAAGTTGAATGCCTCTGGATCAAGTCTTATTGCATACGGTCGATGTAGTCCCCACAGTTGCGAGATTTCCCTTGCTTCCTTGTAGAACATTGTGTGTCGTGTAGTATTCTTGAAAGACTCCAAACACCGTAGAGAAGCCCCAGACTGGCAGCTGGATGAGACAACACGAGGCGAGCATTAGCCAGGCAGCCTTGCCTCCGTCAGCTGGGGCCAACGAGGCCTGTTCAATTTCGGGTGGTGGTTCATTGTTCAATTGCTGAGATGGGATCTCGTCCAAGATGATCGATTCATGGTCGGCAGACCTCATGGTTGATGGATGCCCAGGCAGATAAACATGAAGCTGAACAAGAGATAAGGAAGTGAAGATTGCGATTCCTCCAGGCGTATGAGTCACAAGTCACGAGTCAGCATCTGACAGTCACCTGACCCCAGGAGGGGGAAGTTTTTATTCTTCAACTTATTATTCTTGTTACTTTCTGTAAAACTGGTCTTTGAAGTCAGAATAGACAAAATAGACCACTCCTTGCCTTTAAAGACAGTATTCTATGCCTGATCTATCAATAACCCCGGCCTGAATCGTGTGTAGAGCAATCTTGGAGCAAGGTAAAGAAGTGTGAGCCCGTCACTGTCAGCCGCCTCGAAGGCTGGAGTCCTCGTACACTGTTCTCTTCCCCGGCCTGGGTAATTATTGCCTTCCTGGCTACCGTCTTACAGAATAGTATAACGACAAGGAAACAATAGGGCACTAGACTGGATTTTTACTTGAGCCAAGAGTGATGCTAATAATACTCATATTGTATCGCGTTCCTATCTGCCCGAATGTCTCTCAGAATGTCTCTCAGAATGGAAGGCGATTGCCTTAGGCATGTGGGATACATGAAAAACTGACAACAATGAATGATTAATTCGTACTCGAATCAACATTCAAAACTGTTCCACACTAGCGATCGCAAAAGCAAAACAGGATAAAGAAATCAACTAAAACGACGCGAGCACATCAAACCGGAAGACCCAGGGAGGCAGACCCTCCGGCCCTCAGCTTGATGGACTCTTGCACATCGGACATGCTGCTTGCCACTCCAGCATATGCGTATCCTTGTTTAAATCTTCCAAATAACAAACCGGTTACTGTCCCAAACTGATCCATAACAAAGGATCCCGAGTCACCGTCGGCAGTGAATGACGACTGTTCGAAGCTCGGATGATTGGCCTTCTTACTCAGAATCAGGAACTCTTCGGTGCTTTCCGTCGCAGGGTCGATGGGATTTCCGTCATGGTCATATCTCGCCAGCTGTGACTTAGACCAGTTGCAGAAGGCTTTCGGCCCGTTGCAGATTCCAGCAGTAATGTCCGTGGTCCGGCCGCGCTTGGTACAGTACTGTCCTTCCACCAGCGAGCCGAATTCGGTCAGCTTGGAGCCACCAGGAGCGATCACTCCACCTAGGCTACCTAGCTCCCGCCGGAAGAGGCGTGGCATCATATTGGCAGCAACAGGAAACATCTGGTTGGGACGAAAGTATTTGTCCTCCACATCTTTTGAAAGCTCCACGAAGGCCCAGTCCATCATTTTATTGCCAAGGAGTGTCTTGCCCGATGTGAGGAGTACTTCGCCCAAGATAATTGGCATGTCCTCGACCACCTCAAACGCCTGCAGTAGCTCGGTGATTTGAAGCTCACATTGTTCTAATATCTGAAGAATTCTAGGTGGTGGTACTGCCCCGATGAGTTCTTGTTGTTGTACTCCAGAAGAAATCTCAGATTGAGTGGTATGCGAACTTTCCAAAGATTCGTCAATTTCGGTGAGAGTTGCGTTGCGGTCCATACGTGCAAGGGATTCCATCTGGATCATCCGGGTCGGGGGCCGGGAAAAGGAGAGACCGAACTGATCAAGGTGCTCGAGAAAGTTGTCGGGTTGATTGTGAGTCTCTGAAGGTCTCACAACATGATAGTTGGTCAGGAAACCACGGTGAATCTTTCCATTCCGTGTCAGCGTCACGAACCCGCCCAGGGTGCCTGCATTGCTGTCTTGGTTGATGCCAACTGAGAGACCCATCTCCGGAAGCATGTTGGGATTGATTCGGTCGATGAACGAGACTGCAGAAGGGTTGTCCGAAGGATTCAACAATGATAGATTTCCAGGCAAGAACTCTACCTCAACGACCCCATCCAGCATGTGCGATGAAATCAGGGAGATGATCTGACCACGCAGTTCAAACCAATTTGCAGATGTCAGAGGTTTAACAGCGATAACAATCATTGGTTGCGCCTTTGCCTCTAGCTGACCAACGTTGAACGGACTCAGTAGTTGCCAATTTGCTTTGACTGTCTTATTGAGAAGCTCAAGGATTTGATGTTTGACTTGTTCGTAGGCAACGACAATTGGGTGAGTTGAAGGGATGAAGAATAATGAGGGGCGGAGAGCGAGGTCTACATTGACAATCTCCACATGAACATTGCGGATTCTATGGCGGCGAAGGAGATCTAGGAGGTCATCCTTTACCGGGCCCAGTTGTGGGGGGGCAGGATCGTTGGCAGTTAGAGAGACCTGCAAAAGGTTGATTGGAGTTGTGCCTCCAGGGTATTCAGGCTTGGTAGCTGTGGCTGGCATGCAGACACATGAAGAAATCCCGTGAAGCTGCAGTGTTTCGTAAATCTCCTTGCTAAATGGTAATATCTGTTCAGCTAACTCGGACGAGTGCTCGATCGTGAGTGGGTGAGGTAGAGGACTCGTCAGGCTGGTTGAGCGGTATGGATCAGAGCAGTTCATATATTGTTCAATGGTCATCTCGCCCTCTGAGTCCTCGGAGTCACGAAGAAATCGACGCCTTGTTCTTGGAGACTGGGGGGGGCTGGGAGCTGGTCGAGATGCCGAAAGACTTGGTCCCAGATGAGCCATATTGGAGAGACAAGAATCAAACGTCAAGAAAGGCTGTCACAGTGGTCGGTTAGACTTAGTGGAGGAATAAGAAAGGCTGAGCACGTACCTATAGTCAATCAAGGAAAGTACCGATTAGAGATGCTCGATATTGTAGAGGGGCAGTTCCGGTTCAGACTCTCGCTGCGGTCCCGGAGTTGCGTGTTTGTGTATTTCTGAGCCACGTCCAATACGCGGAAGAGGGGTTGAGAGGTGGAAGAAGTGGAAGAAGTGGAAGAAGTGGAAGAAGTGGAAGAAGTGTCATCCATGGATATTAGAGTGTTGCGTTGCTTCCTTAGGACTAGTACAAAGCTACCGGTACCAGGCCTGCCTGCCCAAAGCAACTGCACCTCGTTCTTTCCCATTTCACCTCCTATCATCGTGTCAATCTGACATCACCTTCTACCTCACAGTTGCTTCGTGGCCTCTCCAGGATTGCGTATCCTCATCTTCTTCAACATCTCACCCCTTATCTCATCCACCATCGCGAGAGCACAGAACCAGAAGGCTTGAATACATTTCTGAAGGGCGTACTCTCTCTTTCTACTCACTCCACACGTCTGACTCTGCGTGAGAAAGCCAGAGAGACATCTGGATGAGCTATCATCGCCCCCAGTCCTGCTCTGCAACTACTTTCACCGAGATCTACGTTGTATTCTGCAGTCACCATCCTCCGTCTTTTCAAAACTGATCAGACGTTTCTACCTATCTATTTCACTCTGGGGGGTCTGAAACACAACCGAAAAGGAGATTACAGCTACTTGATTCAGCGAGGCTTTTGTTCTGAGCCACATGAAATAATATCCTGGCTAGCTTCATCCAGCATCATTCTCTCTTCCGGATCCGGCCCATTGCCCAACACATTCCCATCTTTTGCTCAACAATTAACCAGCATAGCAGTCCACCACTTTCTGGATTCTGTGGATCTGCAGTGTGTGGGATCCATAATGCTCAGCAGGCTGTTGTGTGCAACCACAGCATCGTGTTGAGGTCTTCGCCGTCTCCAACAAGTGATCGGATCTGGAACCCTCAACGTACTTCACAGCTATGGATCTCAAGTTTTCGAGAAGTCCGTCTGGGCTTAGCGAGACCGCCACTAATGTGGCACTGCCTTTGGAAATGCCTGGAGATGTCCGTGTACGACTTCAAGCTTATACCTGCGCAAACGATCACGATGACACAGCGGAGCTACTAAGACAAACCTTTAAATACTTCCCGGCTGAAGGCAGGAAGAACCTCACCAATGACATTTTAAAATGCATTACGGATTCCCAGATACACTTACTGGCAAAGGTCATTGAAAACGGGCTTCTGACTCCGATAAAGGTTGCTGGAGCCAAGACTGTCATCAACCCGTCGCCTCGCATCGGCGTTGAAGACTCCATAGAGCAACTTAGTACCCTCATCGACGGGTCTATAGCTCACTCGCAAGCGGTGCTGAGATTGCGCTGCTTAGAGCGCGACGGTGATATGTGTGTCTTGTCTGGATATTATGACATAGAGAAATGGAAGACCTCCCCTCCGGACAAGACAACGGCCGATCTGGAAGCCGCACACATAATTCCCTTCTCCCTGGCATCGTTTAGAGACGAAACCGAGCGGCAATACATCACTACCGTCTGGAATACTATCTTTCGGTATTTTCCCGGCGTCAGGTCTCGTTGGCGGCCTCGCCTAGTAACCCAAATGCTCCCTCACAAGCTTCAAAGCCTGGGGACCGAGACAGGTTGAAACTTCCTGCCCAGCCTCAGACACATAAAAGCGGACAGCACTGGTGGATGGCCGGTAAGGAGAATTGAAGTGATACCTGGCCGGTTCACCCTTGCTCTCTGGCTCGCGGCACACCTCACCGGCTTAAAGATATATCTTCACCATATGATGAATCTAGTATATCTTTTGAGGCCTCTGTCGCCACTACATAACAAGATGTCTTCCATATAGTGCGCGGGCGAGCTTTGGAAGGATTATAGTAGTCAATTAGAACTAGGCCTTGAAACGAGAGAAGTAAAATGAAATGAAATAAATAGATTGGTTATAATTAAACTTATGCATAGACAAGACCATCCATTTGTGTTGTTATCTCTCATTTCATCTGAGCGTCATCTCGCTTAACCGCTTGCACATAAAAGTGGACATATATTTGATCAAAGAGTCCTTTCTACAGCTCAGAGATATTAGGCAACTTCCTAGTATCTATTAACAAGGAGGTTTCTTCTCCAGACATTTTGACTGCCAGAGATATCATGAACAGAGGCCTAGCCCAAGCTGGCAAACTCTTTGGATAATGATTCCTGGACGAAATTCTCTCCCTGCCCTCTCACTGATGCCTAGAAAGCAGTATGTCATGGACACCAGGCATTGACAAGTCCACTGGTAAGGTAGAATACCTAACCACGGTTCCAGCTGCAGCAGCTCTTACTACCTGCGAGCTATTCACACCTCCCGATTCCTCAATCATATGTCTATCGCCATGGCAGCCTACTCTCAGGAATTTGAAAAACGATACGCGAGGCTCACCCACATCGCGCACTTGCTCGAGAATTCAAAAAGCCGCTTGATCACCAGAAGGAAACAAAAACGCCTCAAGATCCACCTGAATCCCCTTGATATCAACTCAGGGCGGACCTCGAGCACTGTCTTCCCTTACTTCCTACCCAGAACCGGTGTCTCCAGTATCTTTGATCTGAAACATGACTCTCACGCACGAGATGCCTTCCTTCAATGCCAGGGGAAATATAATGGGTTCAAAGACTGGATGCACGGGACGGAGGACTCTCAGCAAGGCATGGAGTGGCGCCTTGCTACTAAACTCGAGAGGGCCTATTATCGCTATCGTGAAGAGTGCCTTTCAGTTGACGAGAGAAAGTAAGTGCTATTGAAATCAGGGTCTCAGAACCCCCAGCATAGCTAATGCTATTCCGCTCTTGCATAGATTGCTGCGCAAGAAAAATAGACTTGAGTAAGAGGACCTTTGAATTCGCTCTTAGAAAAAAACAAAAAAAAAAAAAGAACAAAAACGAATACTGATGATACCATAGCAGGGGAAATGAGTCCATACGTCAAAAAGAGTATCCTAGGTATAAAGACGCATGGTCGAAGCATCCTACTCATGAAGAGAGGCACTGGCTGGGCTCCGTGAAGATTGATCAATCCGGCGACGATGGCTGTCCATCAACCACCGAGGTGTTGGTTTTGGTTATGCGGATTCTGAACGGGATGGCCTACCAGCACAAGTGGAATATAGACAAAAAAGACCCCGAGTTAAAATCGGGCTGTGCACCAAAGAAGCTTTTTCATATGTACCCAGTACGTTCACTTACAGGGGCCAACTTTGGAGGCAAAAGCTGATGGAGAATGTATACAGACCATGATTGTCACCATCGACCCACGAGGGAAAGCTCGTGTGCTATGGGCCTACTTTGACGGCACTCTTCATGTTCAATTCTCACGGCTGTTGGACTTTGGCCAGTTTGCCATTCAGCCGCCATCAGGGAAGAGATATCTAAATTGTATCGATGTGCGCAAGTACTTTGAAATGATGGATATCTTGGTGAAATGGGCATGGCCAGTGATCCAAGGAGATACTACGCGGCCATTTGCTCTACCACCCATCGCGGAAAGCAGCGATGAGGATTAAGGATGATTATGAAGAACATACCAGCAGGATCAAAGAGACATCAAGTAGAGGCCTAGAAGGGATCGGTTGATAATTTCAAGAATTGCTTTCATCTATGTACATTCAATGCCCTCTCACTGTCTCGCTCGGCAGGAATGGTCACTTTGTTGACAGTGATCGAGGTGGCCATGGCCCCAAGTCTCCAGATATGGTGTTTGGGGCTTCTAGATTAGTTATCATGACCCAAAGCTCGTGTTCGAGCCGCCCTTGCATGACATAGCTGAGATTACATGTGAGCCTTATGGTTATAAGTATATCAATGGACGATTTAATTAACCTACTGATCTTTCTTCTGCTCGGTCTCGACGCAGTGATTCATCCATGTCATCATCTCAATTCCCATTTGCATAAGAATGACCTCTAGATCTATGCGCAGAACGAAAGGCCTAACCTTCGCTATGTCATGGATGTAGTCAAAGATAGTGGCAATGAGCCTTTCCATGTTCCGTAATGAGCTTGAACTTCTTCGGCTCCTATTTTAGAAGCAGGTCGAGGCCTATGCAAAGGGGAGTCAAAAACAGTACTAGAGCCGCGTTGACAGTATGTTTTTGCACGGAAAGTTTTTACCCTTCACCGCCTGCTGCCTGATATTGGAGTGTGTCTAAACAAGGATCGATAGACCGCCAGACGATACTGTCTTGGCAGACTTGTGTGTCCAGCCCTTGAAGCTCTTGAGATGCGTGCTACCCTTCTCTTTGGCATCTTTTGTGATTCTGTGGGAACTGCGGATAGTGTAGCTATCAATACAACCACCTATAGTCCTCGATTGGTGGACATATTCCTCTGATTTGGGGAAGTAATGAGTGTGTATGATTCCAGATCCCCGCGATCTTCCCCTCATAGTCGGCTGGTACCACTGAATGGTACTCGAGGAGAAACCGGGGGTATTAGAGGCGCCTTCTTGCATGAATTCGCTGACGTTGATCAAATTCCAGAGAATCCTGGTGGTCCAAAATTGTCCCTTTTGAACGTCGGACGCCAATTCCCACCCAACAACATCATGGATGTTGGCTGCAGTTGACAGTGTATTCTCGGCTATGTTGTAGCGTCCACTGTATGGTTCCTGGTGTTCTTTGGCTTGCTGAGTTTCAGTGGATCTGCACGCCAGCCTCTTGTGGATGCCTAGTCGATGCCGCGACTTTATAGGCAGCAGGAGAGGAAGACTGGAGAATGTTGGAAAGATATAGTGAAATATAGGGGACACCTTCTACAACACCCATCATGTGAATATTAGCAATAATGAAAGGAGCACTATGCAACTGTCATGTACTTAGCACTATCACGATGCTCTCAAGTAATACCATTGAATATAAGGTAGGATACTGAGTTAATTAGATAGCCAGAGGCAGGATGGGTGAGCTATAAGGAGAGAATAGAAACGGAACTTTTAAAGAGAGAGAAGTGAAGTTAGGCAGTAGAGTCCTTACCCAAATAGGCAGGATGTATTTATGCTGCCTAAGGCATTACATCTCAGTCAAACTTACCAAGCAACCCCTTTACTTCGGTACTTGAGCACGCTGGTATTCACTGGATTTTCCTTCCAGACACTATCAGTTGCTCGGATACACCTATTTCCCATCAAGCTTCTTTCAAAAACGGTTCTTGATCTAAGGAAATCAGCCTACTGACTGGAACCCTACCCCAACTGCTCTTACTACACCTTGGACTCTATTGAGGAGTGGGTGTATTTTTGGCAAAGGAATACACTAGATAGAGGATGTACATATCTCGTGGATTATAGCCCTTCCGTGATTTCTTTTCCAGTTCAGTAGACATGGTGAGATATCATTGCAAGTCATTAATAACTACATGATACATCGAACTTACTTTTTTCTTATAAGAAGTTGCTATACACCTAGTATCATCTGATTGATGGATATAAGTTTAGCGAGTTTAGATACCATAGGACTACCCCTCATACATTCTAGGACATGATATACTTGCATATAACTATAAGCAATAGAGTAAATGAACATGAATTGATGCATTTGATCAGGTTTCCAAATTGCCCCACAACGTACGAGTCATGCCAACCACCCATATAATTTCAGGCTGCCGGAAATACCCAGTTATATAACAGCATAGTCACTACCTAGGTAACTATAGTATACTAAGTGGTAGGTAGTATAATAATTTCACCAAGAATAATCAAAACACGAACAGCCATCATGACATCAGTAGTCCTAAAAGCAATTGAAGCTTGTTGTGGCGTATCTCGAGTTCGACGTCAGGATTGTCGATCCTCGGGAGGGAGACCTTGTCGACTTCGCCTGTTCCAGACGGGAATGGCTTCCTTACCTGTCGACCGAAGGAAAAGTGTTTCATTTATTTCCAGCGGGGGTACAGAGTGTAAATAGATGTCCTTGGTACTTCCAGTCAATTGGTGTATAGAGTTCTCCTGGGGAGTGTTAAAATAAGGTTGTGCCACGCAATCTATGATGGATGCGTCATAAATGTCATGTGATGAAGACAGGACTTGATTGGTTGATATTGCAGTCTGCAGGGCTGACCAATCACAATTGATCGGTGACATAAATTTATTAGATGCCTTCCTTAACCTCAGGCACTTTAACTCAAGGTCACCAATGATAACACCTTCCTGGCAGTATTAATTAGATTACCTCGATCTCATGATTTATCACCTGATTGTCTGGTGATATATAATAGAGCATTTCTTATTACACTTACTCCTAAAACACTACCTAGGTAGTTATATAATCTACGATATGCCAACCTGTCAATCCTACAATCCCATGCCAACACCCAACAACAACCTTGATCCTCCTAGATATGACCCCATCAGCTTTGAAGAGCTGACGCAGTCAGACGGTAAGACACGGAAAAAGAGAGAGAGAGAGAGGTTGTGGTTGTGGTAGTCGTGCTGATTCTATAGGCTCCCATCCCAACCGTCCCATCCTGGTAGCCATCAAAGGCGTTGTCTTCGATGTGAGCAGTAATCCGGCCTTTGCTCCTGGTGGATGCTACCACGGTATATATCACAGACACTGTACAATACTCATATACGACGATTTCTAATTCTTCTGTCTAGTCTTTGCTGGAAAAGATGCCTCTCATGCGATGGCGTGTTCCTCGCGCAATCCCAAGGACTGCACGGCGGAATGTCATGATATAGGGGATGCCGAGCAGACAATTCTCGACGAGTGGTTTGAATGCTACCGCAGGAAATATAATATTGTGGGCACGGTGATGGAAGGTGACCAAGACGAGCGAGAAGATGCTGACACCGAGGATATATTCTAGTGGACTTGGCTGATTTGTGCTTATTTTGTATTTTTATGGAGGTCATATAAATAATATAACATCAACAGAACATACCGGTCCAGCAAGTCTCAACTATAATACCTAAGTGGGACTGACCCATCTGTCGACCATTGCTGGAGGTACCTTGATGCAGCAGATAGATGGGTGTAGGTTGCAGAGAATGACCATCATTAGGGCAAGGCTCCATTCACTCTTTCTTTCACTGTTCGAGGAAATCTCAAAGCAGATAGGCTAGGCTGCCATCTCGATGTAGATTGAAGTTCTTAGCTCAGCCTCTGCCTGATCCTCTTCTAAGACCATGATAACAACCTGTTCACCAGCATGGCCCCTGCGGAGTGACATCGTACTTCTGGAAAATGGTCTCCATGCTAAGCTGGAAGAATAGTAGCTTGACAAATAGCCCCATTGATGGCACCGTCATATGTCCATCCCTGGCGTCACAAATGTTGTTTCCCACTTGTCAGTGGGGAATTTGATTATCGAAGAAAGCCTCATTATCCACCAATAAAAAGGACACAATAGGCACACCGACCTCGCTCTATATCTCTGATTAGTATTCTTCCACTCCTATATGATACAATAATATACAGCGGCCTTTCGTGGCCGCTGTATGCGCGGTGGCGGTGGAAGAGGAGGAAGCGGGAGGGTCGACAACAGCGATTTTGGTGGCATCTATTATTGCTTAGTCTCCTGTCTTCAATGAAATTGATACCCATTATCCCATGTCTTGAAAGTATTGAAAGTAGGATTTTTCCACCCACCTTTTTTTACTCTCGCTGTGCTGAGAGAATAAGTTCAAGAAGAAATCATTGCACCTCTTGTTGTCTCCAGAACTGCATCCCTCTTCGGCAATAGATAGGCATTAGCAATGAGAAGAGATAATGCCACGGATTGTTTCAGTGAACAACGCATCTGCATCTAACTGGAAACAGTCTCGTACCATTCCCGAAAGCTTTGTATGACAGGATAGTGTCTTCTCTAGAGCCCACTTTACAGCAGAAGCTGGAAGGAAATGACAGTCATGGAGGCGTCTTGAGAGTGGTCATTTTAGACTCTAGGGGACAGAGCAGAATGAGTTTCCTTTCGTTTGAGAGTTCTCAAAGCCATGAGACTTGGCTTCACCCGCAAAGTCCAGGCGGAGTCACTCAGGGGCTTGAATTTTATCTGTCTCCTCTACTACGTGGAACCCGGGGAGCGATAACAGGATATCCAAGGCAGATGGCCCAGTGGCCGGCGCTGTGTCCAGGTCCTCATCCATGTGATCCTGCTGGGCGGAAGAAATATCATTAGCCTATCTAGATCCTGATGTAACCGGGCATAGGGATTTAATATTCCGAATGAAGTCCTACATACCTTAGCGAGGGCTGTCACCTTCTGTACTTTAAGGTCAACAATATGCGTTTCATTGAGGATCAGAGACGCGGTGTGAGTTTGGAGTTTTTTATCGCCACCTAGGCAGCAGATTGTGAAGCGCAGCTCAAGCGTGGCGAAGGGAGCGGACGATGGGTTGATGACCAAACGCGTCTTAACACCCGCATCCATTCCTGACTAGTTTCCCAAAGGGATCCCGTCTTCAGGATGGATAAGCACGGGAAAAGAAACACTGTCAGATTCCTGCATGCCCGCATACTGCGACTGCCAATCCAACATCTCGTGGTCCTTATCTTTGCGGTCCATCCTTGCTTTGATAGAGATAAGGTGATTGATACAGAGAAAGGGGATAAAATTGCCGATACAGAGAGGGGGGATATGGTGGCTAGAGGAGAGAGAGGGAAGGTGGTGATGGGAGGGATGACAGAGAAGGTCAATAATATGCGTTTCGTTGAGGATCAGTGACGTTATGTGGGCTTGAAGTTTCTGATCATGACCTGTGTAGCGGATTATGAAGCGCAGCTCAAGCGTGGCAAAGGGAGTGGTTGATGGGTTAATGATCAGACGAAGGATATCGTGATGACGCTATTCTGTGTTGGATCAACCCACGAAGTATAACTAGACCATGGTAGACATATAGAATGAGGGAAGATGGAAAGTTCAGAACAATAATTATGATGAAACAAAGTCGTATATATAAGAAGAAACAGAGACTTGGTGGTTGCTTACTCGTTGGCAGAGGGCGAGGGAGGAGAAAGAGGAGGGAGGGAGGGAGGTGTCTATTTATAATAATCCTGGAAATGATTCGGAGACGAATCGATCAACATCATTTCACTCGAATATTAACTTGAAACCAAGCGCCAGTAACTCACCTATTCACTATAATCTTGTCAATTTCTAGGTATCCACCCCTCGCTCAGGGATGTAGTATCAAACGGCTGATAACCATGAAAAATGGACGCCAGGTTCTTGAACTTTTCGATTTATTGTAAGGTAAGGATCATCTCTTCCTGGATCACTACCTTGCTGAGTATTATCAAGTCGAGTCTCATGGTAGAGTGTTGAAAGACTCTGTCAAGTTCTTTCCCCTGCCTCGAGAGGTTAGACCGCAGCAGTCCCGTGACACAGCTCTGAAATAAGTTGGAGACATCCAAGTTCCCCTATTCTATATCTCATCTTTTACCTCAATCTCACTACCCCTCGATTACCAGCTGTGTACAGAGTGTATTCATATGGTGAGTACTATTTCTCAATGATATCCAAGCTTAAGATAAGATAGTAGTCCTTGGAATTAGGTATACAACGACTGGATCATGGAGAAAGCCTCAGCCACACCACAAGGACCATCCTCTTTCCTATAACCTAAGCTCCACCATCCGAATCATCAACCTAGGAAACGTTGAATGTCACAAAGGGGGCTCGCGGGCAGTGGACTCGGCCACAGACGGAAACGACGCGTGTCTTCTGCTGGCCTCCTGGTGCTGGGTTGATATAACCCAAAGGCCCCAGATCGTCATGAATGGCCCAGACATCTCGCGTGTTGCCCGACTGCCAGGAGACCACGAGGTTACTGCCATCCTCGGGCAGATAGCCGCCGTTCTGGAAGTAGCCGGTGCTGGTGATGGTCACCGTGCGGGGTGTGCGGACACAAGGGACCTTCTGTTGTTGTTGTTGTTGGAGCAGTTGTATCTGTTGTTGAAGCTTCGAATTATCCAGCTGGCAAGTGTGCTCCCGCCGGATAGCGTCGTCCCTCTGGTCCTCCAGGCTTGTTTTGTCGGCCAGCCAGGTCTGCTCCCGCGCGAGGCATTCGTTCTTCTCCGTCTCTGAGGCGTCGAGTGAGCCCTGCAGCAACGTTCTTTCCACCACGCAGTCGGCGCGGTCATTATGACATTCTGCCAAGTCGGCCTCCAGCTCTTTCTGCTCGTCCACGCCGGTCTGTTGCCGATGGGACAGTTCAGCCCGGCAGGCCTTCTCGCGCTGTATGGAGGCTTGTTTCTCCTGTTCAGCCTTGGTCTTGTCCGCTCTGCATGTCTGCTCCTGCTGGACTAGGGTCTTCTGGGTCTGCAGCAATTTATCCTTGGCTTGCTCGCAGGCAGACTTCTCCTGCTGCAGCGTTTCCGCCGCCTGCTGGATCAGGACTCGGTCCATGATGCATTCCGCACGGTCGTTGTGGCATTCGGTAAGCTCATCCTCGTGCATGGCGTTCATGCCTGAGTATCGGTACTGATCTCCCCATTGCGCAGAAGCACCGAGGATCAGGCAGACAGAAAAAAGGGCCTGCAGCTTCATCTTTCTCGCAGGGAGTGGGAAAGTGAGATATGTCGAGTCTGAATGTTAAAGCCTGTCCGGCGATTAGGCAGGGTCTATATATAGGGCGATTTTCAGCTCAATCATCTCGGACAGTGTTACATTCATGGATTCATGGCATCATGGACCCCTTTCAGTGCTCATGGGCTGTTTTCGCGAACCATCATACAAATTGCATCTCCTACTACACTTGGATCCAGACTCGGGGGAGGGGGGGAAGGGTCAATGTAACGATAATAAGATACATGACGCCAATTCAAGTCTGAATCCGCTGGAGAATGCGTCAGATGTAACCTCTATTCATTGAATAAGCTTCATAGACTGTGTATAGGTCGTCATAGCGTCTTCTAGGCAAATGAACCAGATGATACAGAGCAGCAGTCTCTCTCCGGAGTAGTAGTATACATTTTACCCCCAATAAAGTTATCTATTATAAGACGTTGCGAAGCTCTACAAATGATAAGATATGATCAGACGCTTTAATTGATTCAGGAGTTTAGTGTGATTCCTGTAGATATCATTCTGAGGTTCCGAATATATGCTTGTTAGTACTGGGTTGAGAGATATCTAGAGCCTACTTAGAAACCTAGGATATGGAAATCAAAAATTTAGCTGTTTCATCATTTTTATCATTGACCTGAAGAATCTTTTCCTGATGGTTACACAGAAGCTATTATGAATAATTCAAGGTTGGTCTTGTAATATCAACTGTCCAGGTACACGCCACATATAGCCTCATTCCAGCAGAAGACAGTTAAGGACGGTAGTCTATTTTTCATAATTTAATGATACCCAGTTGATGTATTGAGCATTTCAAAGCTGTTCCTGTAGACACACCATTTAATCATCAATATCTAAGCTCAACCAGATGGTTACACAAAGAAACGCCCCGTCCGAATTTGGATCCAATGACGCCCCTGCAGAAAGTCCCTTTGGAAAATCCCTGCGGTAGTATAGGAAAAGTACACGTGGCTGAAGTGAAAGATGGAGAGACGAAGAAAAGAAAAAGATAGTCTCATCTTGATCCTCACGGTGAGCTAGACAACATTCTTGCAACAGCTTCCGTCTTGACGGCTCAACCGGACAATTCAGACCTTCTCTCCCGTGTCCATCTTCGCTCAGCGATACGCCTCTCTACAGGCCTGGGTATTGCTATTGCCTACTGGTTCTTCTCCTGCAAATTACGGGATCCTGGACAGGAATCACGGTGAGGTCGAAAAGAATGAGTACTCCCTGATCATCGAGACTGAGCGAGTTTCTAACACATAGGCTTCTACAGCGTGTCCTCCAACCCTATTCAACAGGCAGGTTACAGCTTTATTCAAGCAGGATAATTTCGCAGGCTATATCAACACATTCGGGATTGTGAGCACGGTGTTCAGCGCGCACATGATCGCCCAGGTTGGTCGACGGGGTAGTTTGATATCAGAGTGTTTTTTGTCTAGCTGCTCGCAGTGAACCTGGTAATACGGATTCTACAACTCGACTCCAACATTCCCATCAGTCTAATGAAACTAATCGGACTGGACCTGTTTTCGAGGGTGCGAGAGATCCGGGAACGCTGTTAGATACCCCCCAGACGCCAGCACCATGGAAACGCTCTCTGTCTTGACACCGACCTCCGAGGCGTACTCATTCCCCTTTGTGTGCCTGAATCTGCATTGATTTCCCACTATCTATCTTAGTGATCTTCCTGCTATTTCTGTGCGCCGTACTGACAGAAACAGTCTATCCTGAGACCACTAATCGATCGCTTGGGTCTATCAAAGCCTCTGTCTCGACGTCCAGTTTATTCTCATGGAAGATACAGTGTACACATTTTATGGAGATGTACTCGTCGAGCATATAATGGAAGATTTTGGGGTTTACACCCAAAAGCCGAACCTGAAGACGACGAGGAATGAAAAAGAGTCGCATGTTGGGTAGAGATAAGCTGCTACTGTTGTATTATGCTCGACCTATTAGCCACATACAGACCCATAGAAATAGGATATGACTATTAATTGCTCGATCTAGCCAAATTATGAGCATTATCTTCTCAAAAACTAATTAAAAAAGTATTACCTATATGAAGCCAACCGATAAGCGTAACCATGGAGCGGCTGGCGTCGGCAAAGACGTAATGCGATCGCCGTGTTGAACCGAACTCTCCGCATTCCCCCATGTCAACTACACTTCTTCACCAGCAAGCCTCCACCTCCGTTTCTCTATTTGTTTGTTTCTCTCTTTTATCTTGATGGATAACGGTACATGAACAAGGAAAAGAAAGAAGATGCCACCTAAACTCCTCGGCCGGGGTGCAGTTCAGATTCGTTGGCGGAAGGTAGCGACCAGTCCACGACGATGGGGGAGTTCGATTTCCCAACGACCAGGATCAGATAGGTAAAACAGAGAGAGAGAAGAGAAAGGTCTATTTGGGCGATATTAGAATGCTAATTCGGGTCTCAAAGTGTTCGCTTCCCCGGCGCCGTGAACAGCAAGTTCACCACGCAAATGTCCTTCGTCAAGCCCGCTGATATCCCTGCAATCCCTACGTACCGCGTCATGGACTCCGACGGAGTGCTGGTCGATACGGACCGGGGGCCGCCAGACGTGACGGATGCGGAGGTGCTGACATGGTACAAGAATATGTTGACGGGTGGGTGGTCCTTTACTGGTGATCTTCAACCGACTTATGCTCTATACTGACTGCCTCAGTGAGTATCATGGACGTGATCATGTTCGAGGCGCAGAGACAAGGACGTCTAAGTTTCTACATGGTATGCCACTTCCAAAACAAATACAACAGTCGTCTCTTTGGTCTTGCTAATCGATCCAGGTGTCTGCAGGGGAAGAAGGCGTGACCGTCGGCTCCGCTGCAGCGTTATCACCAGACGACGTCGTCTTCGCGCAGTACCGAGAAGCAGGCGTCTTCCAGCAAAGAGGGTTCACACTGCAAGAGTTTATGAGCCAACTGTTCTCCAACAAGAACGATAATGGTCGGGGTCGGAATATGCCGGTGCATTATGGCCGTAAATACCCAAAGATGGTAGACACTCCGTAATCAAAAAACGAGTATTCTCGAAGAAAAAAAGTTTCTAATCATCCATAGCACACCATTTCATCCACTCTCGCAACCCAAATCCCACAAGCCGCCGGCGCAGCATACGCATTGAAACTCAAAGCGCTGCAGAACCCCAACCACCCGGCCAGCGTGGTAGCGTGCTACTTTGGCGAAGGAGCCGCCAGCGAAGGCGACTTCCACGCCGCGCTCAACATGGCTGCCACGCGGTCGTGTCCTGTAATCTTCGTCTGTCGGAACAACGGGTACGCCATCTCCACGCCCACGTTGGAACAGTATCGCGGCGACGGCATCGCAAGCCGGGGAATCGGGTACGGCATCGACACCATCCGCGTCGACGGGAACGACATCTTCGCCGTGTACGAGGCTATGCAGGCCGCGCGGAAGCTCGCTCTCGAAGGAGGGCCCGGAGGCGGCCGCCCCATCCTCATCGAGGCAATGAGCTACCGTGTCTCCCATCACAGCACCTCGGACGACAGCTTCGCGTACCGTGCCCGCGTGGAAGTCGAGGACTGGAAACGCCGCGATAACCCGATTATCCGTCTACGCAAGTGGCTTGAGCGTCAGGGGATCTGGGACGAGGACCGCGAGCGCGAGACCCGCGAGGATCTCCGCCGTACCATCCTCAAGGAGTTTGGCGCCGCAGAGCGAGAGAAGAAACCGGCCTTGCGCGAAGCCTTCACCGATGTCTACGAGGAGATGACCGACGAGACCCGCGAACAGATGCAGGAGCTCAAGCGTATCCTGCAGACTTATCCTGAAGAATACGATCTACGCCAGTACGAGGGCGGCGCCGACAGTCTGTAGTAGCTGTGTATAGATCAACTAATGACTTGTAATGAAAACGTGCTATTTTTTTAGGAAAAAAAAAAAAGAGAATTTTTGTAGCCTGCTATTTATGCTAGTACGGTAACCTGCTTCGTGCACATGATAACAAGAATCCAACCCGCTATCAATATTCATCAATCATAGACATCAATCCAATCATTCAACCTTCAACGGCAGCGGTCAGAGCCTGCTGGGCAAGTTTCTTGTTCCGCTTAACCAACGCGGCAAGCTTCTTATCGATGACATCCAGGTCCTTTCGAGACAACTCGAGTTCCTTCTGGGACTTGGCTGCAAATGCGCGAAGCTCTTCGTCGGTCATGGCGATCATTTCCACAATATCAGGGACCATGCCGCTGCCGACACCAACGCTGGCTGCGCCCAGCATATGCTTCGCCGTGGCCGCTGCAAAGGACCGTACAGACGCAGCAGTCGCATTTACCAGCTCCGCTGTGTTCGCAATAGCCCAGTTGTGGCTGCGGTTGCTGTCCGCCTCCATGGCAGATAGGACATTAGGAGGAGCGGAAGGGACGGACGAAATTGAGGATCCCGGCGCGGACAGCGCGGCGTCAGGAGCAAGAGAACCAATGTCCGAGGCAGGCTCGTCCATCCAGTAGACATTGAAGTTCTCTGGGGTGGCGAACAGGGCATCAAGGCCGCCGGCCCGGTTGGTAGTATCTGGCTCGGAGATAGGGTCGACAGGGTATTCCTGAAACGGATCAAAGACCTGGACGATGCTCTTCTCCAAAGCAAGATATCGATCTTCCTCCTCGGCGGTCAGATGGCGAAGGACACAGCCTCGAGGACTGATCAAACACCGGTCCTTAAGAAATGTGGAAGCCGCATTGATCCGAACCGGTTCTCCACGCAGCAAAGCCTTGCGATGCTCTTCCGTCAGGGCAATTGGCTCCTCCAGATCCTCCTGATCATCCGCACCGCACTTCATGTCAACGCGCTGAGCCAAGTTGGGCGGACTGAAAAGAGGATGCAAGTTCAGATCCAGGATGCCGGACTTGTGAAGCTGAGACAACAATGATTGGAGCGAAGCAGTTCTTTCAGAAAAGAGGTCCTTGATCGAAACGCCATTCGACTCGGAATCTTTGATGAGCTGCTCGAGGGTGTTTCGGGAGCGCCAAGCTTCTCCGGAGGAAGGCTTCTTCTTGGTCTCCACCGGCTCCTTTTCTTCCACAGGGCTGGGAGCAACAGGTTTGGTGTCCTTGGGGCTGCGGTCTCTTGGTGCCGGCTTACCAGCTGCTTCATTGTTCTGGGCCACTTTCTCCACCCTGGTGCTAACCGGTTTTGATGGCTTGGGCTCGTCCACAATAGTCTCCGTGGTGGAACTGGACGGCTCAGCGGACGCCTTCTTGGCCTTGCGCTTCCTTCCAAGAATAGGAGCTTGCACCGGTTCTTCGCTCTGGGGGACAGTGTCTTGCTTCTTCGCCTCGGCCTCTTTCGCCTTCTGGCGGCGCTCCTTCTTTGCCTGGCTCTTGGTAATTGCACGAACCGGCGCGGACCCGATCTTCGAAGGCGGAGGGGAGTCGGCGCGGGATGCCGAGGCCGATGTGAAGGGCTCACCTTCGGATCCCAGATCGCCGGGAGTATCTGGTCTGCTAATTGACGAGATACTTGGTCTGCGCGAGCGTGCTTTGATGATAGGTAGGGCAGCTGTCGACGGAGTGGCGGACATAGGAGGTGGCGTTCCCGGTTTGGGGGTATCCACCACGCGCAGAACGCGAGGCTGACGGGGAAGAGACGACTCGGAGACACGTGAGATCCCGGTCAAAGGTGTATTGGGACGAGAATTGACGGCGGAAGCTGGTACAGGGACACTGTGGGGAGCAGCCTCTGATTTGGACGGGGTTCCTTCCTGCGGCTGTGCGCCAGTAAGAGGAAGGGTCAATTTGATCGGTTTGACTTTCGGTGCAGAGGAAGAAGATTTCCGGTCTGCGGTCTCCTTGGATTTGGCTGAAAGGGCCTCTTTTTTGTCTGGGCCTGGGGTGAGGTCGGTTTTGTACTGGTCGCGCGCCTTGACGGCGGATTTGGCAACGGGAGAGCCGAGAGAAATTTCCGAGGCATTCTTCACCCTATTGGAGACAGATCCGACATCAGGCAGAGCTTGAACATCAGGGGTCGCCTGCCGGGAAATATCTCCATGCACCCTCTGCGCTGGGGTTCCTAGTCGACTCAGTCCGACGGCGGGAGACGAAGGGGCAGATAGGTCTAAGGAATCGTCAAACAGGGCAGCGGTTGAATGCGAGTGCGGAACAGGGAGGCCCGGAGGCAGCGTAGGGGTCCCTGCACGCGCAGAACCAAGGGAGTCTGTCGTAAGATGGGGCCTTAATGGGAAACCAAATGCATCGGCAAGTCGTTTGTCCTTGGGCTGAGATCCTAAAGGAGGGAATTCCTCATCCACTGCTCAAGATATCAGTCAGTATCGTATAGCCGAAGTAAAAAGTCGAAGAAATAAATTGGCAGAAACAGCTTCGATCGCTGGGGAGGGAAGAAGAGACATAGGATGGGGCGCCGCTGCTGGATTCACGAGTAGACAAGAGATGGGCAAGCACGAGATACGAAGGCAGGCAATTAATTACAGAACAAGTCTCCACATATTGAAGACCAGACAAGTTTCAACATCTATATGAACAATCTTCGTGAGAAATTTCTTTCGAATGGGGCCCTGACAGGTCGAGGAGCCAGGGCAGGGAGGTTAACGTACATATGGCCATGACAGGACCGACCACGGTCACGAAAATGCTGCCCGACGCAGAAAACCCCGATGCAAAAGAAAATAGACAAGTTCAAGAAGAAAGGGTAAAAAAAAAAAAAGGAAGGGAGGGGGGACGACTGCCAAGTGACAAGTAGTGTCGAGTGGCATCAAATCTCGCGGGATATACCTCGGCGGGGACATGGTGAAGAAAATGAAGAAATGCCGATCAACAACGCCGCAGACAGACACACGCCCAGCCCTTATCAATATGTTCCATGTTCCAGAGCCATCTGCAGACCCAAATGCTTCAAATTGCAAAACAGCAGAGTGAAAAGGGGAGTAGAAAGTTCAAAACAAAAGGTGTTGCACAAAGAATTAAACACAAAAGGGGGGGAAAGGAAGTGGAGCGCGTATCCCGCACAAATCTAACAAGGAAATGATATCATGTCATGACAGAAACAAGGCGAGAGAAACAGCAATGCAATGGAGGGGTAACATGGTAAGAATCATGATGACACAGAAACATAAGATGAAAACAACAGAAGACAGCAGACGCGAAAAGCAATCACCAGCGGTTGAACCCGGCTCCATACATCATGGAGTGATTGTACCCACCTTGACCCTGACTCGCGTACAACGCCTGCCCAGCAGTGGCATTCGCTTGGTGCATCCGGGCCTGCAAGATGCTCGGGTCCACAAGATCTACTACACCGCCTCCACCGGAGGAAGTGTTAGCATGTCTGTGCTTCTTCCCCTTCTTCTTCTGCTTCTGTGGTCCTTGGTCGGTATAGGAACCGGTTTGGGAGCCATAGAAAGAGCTGAGAAGGCCATTGACGGGAGTCAGGGGAGGGGGGGTGGAGTGCTGTTGGAGAAAAGGAAACATGAACTCACGCTTAGTGGCTTCCTGGCCCTGTAGAACACCGACATTATTTCCTGTACGTCCCCTCAACAATTCACGCATAAGTTCCGGGTTGGCCTCTTGCTTTCCCAGGCTGATATTGGCATTGGAAGTAAAACCATGGCCCTGAGCGAACATGCCACCCCCACTGATAGGAGGAGTCCCGGCAGTCTTCAAACCGGGCGGAGGGCCCTGGACACCGCTGGTGTAGAAACCATTGGTCAGGCCATGCTGCGGAGCGGGAGCGGCGAGCGGGTTGGGTGTGCCGGATTGCATCGAAGAAATCTGTTGGCCTAACATGCGGGCATTTGGAATCCCCTTCCCGCTAGAGTCGGCTGTAAATGCGAACCGCGAGGACTGGCGATTCTGCGCCTGCAGCGCGTTGTACTGCGCCATCTGACTCTGCAACAGACTTTGGCGGACTTGGGCGGTTTGATCCAAGGCAGATGAGCCGAGGTTGGTCTGTACCGGGTCCACTAGGCCAGCTTGTTGAGTACTAGCAGATTTCAAAAGTAGAAGTTGCTGTTGTTGGAGCGGAGTCAAACTTCGCCCGGCGAGGTTCAGACCTTGAAATTGGTGGCTACTGGCGGACACGGGCGAGCCGATGGCTGAGTTGCTTGCGGTACCCTGTTGGGACGGGGGTTGAATCGCGCCGTGGGACTCACGGCTTGTACGACCTCTCGGGGGATGGCTATCATCGGGTTCACCACCAAGCTGCAAACTACCGCTTTCACGACTCTCTTCCTCAACAGCAGCAGACTGAAGAATCTCCTGTTCACGTTTTAAACGCTCTTCTTCTGCCTTTTCACGCATCGCCCGGCGCTTAACTCCACCGTACGGGTCGATAAAGGACGGATGGTTTTCAATGATGGATATCTCCTCTGCGGAGAGCCCTGCGGAAGAGAAGATGAATCTGAAGTCCGGGGAATTGACTGCCTTGAGCAGGTTGTCCAGAAGCATGCTCTCTGGTTCCAAAGGCGATTGCGGTACACGGGGTGGAGACTTGGGCGACGGGGAGGGCGAATCCACAGGCAAAGGTGTCTGTTGGCGGGAGGCTTCTTGAGCGGCAGCGTGTTGCTTTTCAATTCGTCTCGTGTCATCAGAGCCGGACGCCATGGTAGCAGGCAAAGGCCGAGGGCTTTGCGAGGCTTGACTGCCACTCAGACTCGAGCGCCTAGTGCGGCCGATCACGGCATCTTTGTTGGCCCAGCTTGCGGACGAAGGAAGAGCAGGACCGTCCACTCCTGGCTGGCGGGTATTGGCAAAGTCGTCTCTGCTTGCCTGGCGCCGCATCGGAGATGAGATTGCCTGTGCAGGGGAAGGCCGACTATGGGGAACGCCGTGAGGAGGCCCACCAGGTAAGCCACTTTGATGATTGGGGCGTTGACTGGAAAGAGTGTTCATGGACGACAAATCTTGACGGCTGTAGCTGTCGCTATCTTCACCGGTTTCGTGGAGGAAGGTACAATTTCGGTTGTTGCATTGCTCGTTGCGAAGGAAGGAAGAGCAGTACTTTGTTGTCCCGTATTGCGCCCTACAAACTCCTAGTCAGTCTCGCATTTAACAATGCAGGCATCGTACAGAGGGGGGCATACCGTAGTACGCGATCACCATTGACTGAGCCGTCAACTGCTCCAATACAAGTTGCCGCGTCGGTCTTCCTCAAAAAGGTGACATAGACGCCGATTCCCTGGTTGGGATTGCCACCTGGCTTGGCCTTGCTCACCACAATCTTTTCGATATCACCATACTGGCCAAAGTATTCCTTTCCGCGGAGTGTCTGGAGAAGCTGGCTCTCGTCACGTATGGTTGGGTTGAGCCCGATCACGTAAACCAGATTCTTCTGCACGACTCGCACTCCAGCCAAATTTTTGCGACTGGATGCCTCGATTTCGCGCTTTTCGGCCTCCTTCTTCTTCGCAGCAGCGGCCTTCCGGTGTTTGAGCGCCAAATCCGCCTTGAACCTAGAACATCGAGTATGGGTTAGCAGCAAAGCAAAAGGCACACAGTTTATTTTCGCCAACTTGCAAAAAGGCCACTCACTCGTCTGCATCCGGCACCTTGTACTGGATAGCGCTTTCATCGTAGACACGCCGGCAGTTGGGGCAACGCCCTTCTTCACTGTGGGTTTTGATATTGTTGTAGCAGAACTGGCAGATCTGGGAGCGAGCAGACCGTTAGTCTCGACATTTATCGTTTTCTGCAACAGCAGCAAGGTACAAGGAATCGAATAAGGATAGAATAAATCAGCAATCGACAGGGGGGCAGCGTACCTGATACCCGCAGGGACAGGGCTTAAAGTTTTTATCCGAGAGATCGAACTCTTCGATACACAGGGGGCTGCCGAGGTCGACGAGTCAGTACCAGACAACACTATCACCAAAAGCAATCCAAATCTGCCAGTACTAACCAAAACTCGTCATCATCATCAATGACCGAGTCGATCTGTTGGCGATTCGACATGGTTGCTAAAAATGGAAAGGGTATTATGCGGAGACGGCAGGACGCCAACACAGCAAAGAAACGGCAAAAGGCAACACGACCGCCCAAGAACAAGTCGTCGCACGAGAACCGAGCGATGAAGGGAGTCGTTGCAAGAGAAGAAAAGAGAATGACAAGACCGATGACAGAAGCGTGCACGGACAAGTCGTGTCCACGAAGCGGGCAGGCGACGGGGGGGGGGGGGTAAAAGGGTAAGTGAGGCGAGAAGGAGAGAGTTTGAAGGCGAGAAAGAGAAGCTCGACTTCATTTGCTGCGCTTTTGCTGCGTTTTTCTGGGGCTGCGGCGTGGGCCAGCGGGCTTATGTCAGGACTGAGTCAGCACGCCACGTGACGCGGGACCTGCAACTTCCAACTTCGTCCGCCGCTCCTGGGTTTGCCTTGCGTTTTGTGACTGTGTGTGCTTGACTTCCCACCCATTGCTCCTCCACGATGGCCACTACGCGCTCTCTACTACGGCTCGGATCCGGCCGTGCTCTTGCCGGTGCGGCGAGGCCGGCTGTGGGTGTGCGTGCCTTCTCCTCGACGGCGTTGAAGGCCTCGAACGGTGGTGCGCCTGCGGAGCCGCCTAATATGCGCTCGGCCCAGCGTCCTCGTATGTGACTCGACCGCGAATTGCTTGCTGGAATATGCTTGAAAACTGCTCTTGATATCCAGGCCATGCTGACAGGCGTGTTTTTCTAGCCGAGGGCCCGCTCCGTGCGCCGGTCGTTAACCCTGCCGATAAATACCAGGACAAGGCCGATAGCATGCACAAATACGGACAGTATATTATGTCCTGCCTGCCGAAATACGTGCAGCAGTTCTCGGTGTGGAAGGATGAGCTTACCGTCTACGTTCCCCCTGCCGGTGTGATCCCCGTGATGAGCTTCTTGAAGTACCACACCGCCGCGGAATACACCCAGGTGTCCGATATTACTGCGGTCGACTTCCCCACGCGTGACCAGCGTTTCGAGGTCGTCTACAACCTGCTGAGCGTTCGCTACAATTCCCGGATTCGTGTCAAGACCTACGCCGACGAGGCCACCCCGGTCCCCAGTGTGACCTGCCTGTTCGAGGGTGCCTTGTGGTACGAGCGTGAGGTCTACGACATGTTCGGCGTTTTCTTCAGCAACCATCCTGACCTGCGTCGGATCATGACCGACTACGGCTTTGACGGCCACCCGCTGCGCAAGGACTTTCCCCTCACGGGTTACACCGAGCTCCGCTACGACGAGGAGAAGAAGCGCATCGTTGTGGAGCCCCTGGAGCTCACCCAGGCGTTCCGTAACTTTGAGGGAGGCACTGCCGCCTGGGAGCCCGTTGGTCCTGGTATCGACCGGACGCCCGACACTGTACGAACCCTCTTTCCACTCTTCTATGACTCTAGACTCTTCAGCTAACTTTTCTCTCCAGTTCAAGCTCCCTACGCCCAAGCCCGAAGAGAAGAAGGAGGAGGAAAAGAAATAGAGCGCGAAACAATGTAATCGTATTTTTTTTTCTATTCCGTTTATTTGTATGTACATATCGCGTCTCTTGCCAATCAGAGCTATCCAATTGTCATCACGAGTGATGAACCGTAATTATCCAGGATATAGACCTATAATCTATTTCCACAGTGAAGGTAGACCGAATTGAGTAAATAACAGCATTCATTGTAATAAGCAAAATTAATTCTATTCGAATTGATGCTGCTGATCTTTCATTTCCCTCGATTTGCGTCAATGGAAATTCCCGGAAGCGCAAAAGTTCTTGTCTTGGCAGATTTCTTCTCCGCATCGAACAAATAATTTATTTTCAGACACTCACCACCAGCAGGTCTCGCTCAAGGTTCGTTTCGCAAAAGCTTCACGACTAATCCAGCTCACGAAATGCCGAAACGCAAACTTTCCGATCTCCAGGAGGAGAGTGTTCCCCAGGCGGACCCCAGAGCGAAGTTGCAGCTCACACGGTTCGTGCAAAAGTTCGACTATACCGCCGTTGCGTTGACGCGAGCGCTCAAGACCGCGCGAGGTTTCGAAAGGCAGAAGCTGGGCCGCAGGGAAAAGACTGCAAAATCAGAGGGGAATACGGAGATGTTGGGGCGGTTGGATGAGGAAGTGAAAGTGTTGAAGGTATTTGTCTTTATTTCTGTTTCTTCGCATTTCATTGAAGATATACTAATTGAAGCTGGATAGACTCTTGAGCTCCAAACGGTCGCCGAGAAACATATTTTCAAGCAGCTCGCCAAGACGAAACGGATTGCAGAAACCCCTGTGTTTTTAACGTTCAAACATCGCAGAAATTACACTATAGAAGCGCCGAAGAGCACGGCGGAGGCGAACGTGCTGGCACGGCTGTTCAAATCGAATCCGGTCCAGAATGTTCTACCCGAAGCGATGAATGAGTTTAAGAAGATCCTCGGGTTGGATGAAGTGGCTGTCAAGCAGGATAAGAGTGGTGGGAAGAAATCCCAGGACGTGAAGGCTGTCAAGGCTACGAACCATCCGCCGCCTGCAGTGGCAGAGTCTGAAGAGGACGAAGACGAGGACGAGGAAGAGGACGAAGATGATCAATCTCCTGACAAGATGGATGAAGATGACGATTCCGAGAGCCTTGACTTTGCACAATTCGACTCGCGCCTAGCCTCTGCGTCAGAAGACGAAGAGGAAACCGATGGATCACAATCCGACTCGGACGGCATCAAGGCGGTCTCACTGAAAGCGAAAGATCAAGATCCACGAGCATACTATGACCCCAACGACATCTCCGATTCAGTGTCGCGGTCGTCATCGCCAGATTTCTCAGACGCCCTATCCTCCGACGATGACGAGCCTGTACCCCCTCCCAAGAAGACGAAGAGCAACGACCCTTCCAAGGCGAAAGCCAAGTCATCCTCCTCCTCCGCCGCCGCCGCCGCCGCCCCGGCAAAGGACACGACCTTCCTCCCGTCCCTGATGATGGGCGGCTACTTCTCCGGCTCTGAATCAGAAGCCGACGGCGACAACGACGCCGCCGAGGCGCCCCGACGCAAGAACCGGATGGGCCAGCAAGCCCGCCGCGCACTGTGGGAGAAGAAGTTCGGCACCCGCGCCAACCACCTCCAAGCGCCGATCAAGAAAGGCAATAAACAATCCAAAGACTCGCGCGACAGCGGCTGGGATGTTCGTAAGGGTGCTACCGATAGTGCAGACTACGGCGCCAGAGGGAAATGGGGAGCAGGAGGAGGTCGTGGACAGGGCCAACGCCACGGTTACGATAATGCCCGCCCTGGGCGAGGTGGAACTGGTGGCCCTAGTAATTCTGGACATGGTCATTCGAAACCATCACACGCGAGTAAGAGTGTTGATGCGAATAAACCGCTGCATCCGTCGTGGGAGGCTGCCAGACGGGCAAAGGAGCAGGCGTCGCAGGCTTCTTTCCAGGGCAAAAAAGTTGTTTTCGATTAAATTTTTTAGAAGTGAATATACCATATGTTATTCTGTTAATAGCCTACATACTCTTATATATTTATTCATCCATGTATGTAACTCATTAGTTGAACGGAATCCATCGCTCCGCACCCTGTTCCGAGTCGAAACACGGGATAGCGTTGAATTCATCCAGTTCCTGCGGGAAATTCGAGACGAAATGGTCGAGTCCGAAATGCGCCATCTGGGAGAGCGGGTTAGGCGGCGAGAAGTTGCTGAGATCTGCAAATGTGGGCTCTTCGATTGTCTGGGTAAGTCGGGGCTGTTGCACGGGTGGAATTGGTGTATTTGTGCTACTGCTGCTCCTCTTTGCGTGCAAGTTTTGTGTTTCAGAAAGGGTAAGAGGGGATGCAGGCCCCGTCTTCCAGAGCATCTCCCAGTTCTTGAAGCGGTCGTATCCCGACTCAGCGACTGCACTGCTCTGGGCGGCTTGCGAGGCACTCCATTCCTCCAGACGACGGATGGCTCGCTCCAGCGTCTCGATCATGTTGACCGCCGACCGGGCGGAGCCCACCCCCATCGACATGATTTTGATGAGGCCCATCCCCTGTTCGAGGGAGGCGCGCAGGCGCTCCGTGCGCTTTGTCAGGCTCTGCGCGAGGATGACCAGCAGCGCGGCGCGGCAGGAGCTGAACTCGGTAAACGAGGCGCGCGCCAGCCCGCGCTCGTCGCGCAGCAGGCGGCACAGGTCGACGATCTCCAGCGCGGCCTCCACGCAGTCCGTCACGAGGGTCGACCGGTTCTTCGAGGTGATGGTCGATGATGACGAGGTCTTCACTTGCGATGTCGCTGTCCTGCCCAGCAGGAACGGGCGGCCCAGGAAGATTCGCGTCAGGCAAAAGTCAAGTTTCAGGTGTACATTTGAGCGGAAATGCGGACCTGCCGGGTTAAGATCGCGGCAGTTGGTTTCCTCGGGGAGCGTTGCCCACCAGTCGACAAGGCTTTTTCGGAGATTGGTCAGTCGCTCAAGACAATCGTATTGGTTCTTCCGGCGTTGGCGTAGAGATGATCTTGAGTCACAGTTAGCAGTGCGGTCTAATCACTAGAGTATTGATTCAGGGAAGACAATCATACATCTCGCTCGACACCTCGCTCAACTTGAGAGTCAGAATAATCAAGGATACCATGTTGGTATGGTTCGAGACCTGTCCAGGGGGCATCAGATCGGGGAAGTCTAGCGGCATCGCAGCATCCACATCCATCTCGGATAAAGAGGATGGCCTGCCGTGTAGGATGCTGATTCGCCTAGAAGGAAAGGTTAGCCCCGTATGTAACTTATATAACTTAAAGAATGCAGAGCTTACTTTTCTATGGTGTATGCAGTCCAGAACACACGGTTCCGGATCTCCACCATACGCGCGCTCAAACCCTCCCCATGATAGCGCCGATGCATCCCGTTCTGGATAGCCATCTTGAGGGCCAAGCCGAAATAGGTATAGGAGAGCCCGGATGTGTCGAGGGGAAGCATGTACGTGCCGATCAGCAGGCAGGCCTGGACACTGCGGACCGACGCCGTGGCGATGATGTCAGGGAGTAGCTTGCTGGCAAACTGATAGAAGGTCAGACCGACTTCGTCTTCGGAGAAGCCGTTGTCGGGCCCGGCAGATGAAGAGGTCGATGAAAGGCGGTTGACCGGCGTGCTGGATTCCATATGCGCAAACTGCGTGCCCACCGCTAGGACCATCAGGATGGCGCAAACGGAGCCCGCATCGTTGGATGAGAGCGTGGACGGGTTCGTGTAACAAATGTTGAGCTTCTCCCGGAGCCAAGCCTCCTCAACATACCAGTTGTTGGTCTGCGCGTACTTGAAAAAGATCTGGACGAGAAATTCGGCCACAAATCGTGGCGGGAGACAGGCAATGGACGCCGAAACCTGCGCGGAGCCAGACTGCAGTTGCGTCGCACGCCACCGTTCCTCGAACGGTTCAGCCTCTGTAAAGTCCTATATAATGGTCAGTTGGTTTGGTTCAGATAAGGGACAACGGCTAAAGAACGGAGTACTACTTCTGGTGCGGTCTTCATCCACTCGTCGATCTTCTTTCGGATCTTCATAGAGAAGTTCAAGTACGAGAATTCTCCAGAGTATTCTACCGATTGTCAGATGTGAAACAGCTACTGGGAGCATAAGACAAGACGCACGCGTAGTATTATCAGGCAGGGCCTTGATGGTGAAGTCTTCATCTTCAATAGCGAGTTCCTCAAGGTCATCAATGTCGAGTTGGGTGGAAGGACCGTCGGATCCCGAGTTCCGATGTTGATTCTGTAGCTCCTCGGCTGCTTTTCGCAGGGAGTCGATATCAAAGGAGAGATTCGGGACGTAATGGGCGAGGATGCGCTCCATGTATTGAGCCCGCTCCGCCTCGGCGATCTCATTTCGACCAAGACTGGCGGCTCGGTCAAGCAAACTTGAAGAGGTAGGGATGAGTTTATCAAAGACAAAAAAAGAAAGAGGGAGAGAGAGGTCTTACGACGCCGAAGACGACCTGCTTTTCTCGCCATGACTCGGGTCAACGACGCTGTGGAAAACACATTGGCGGCGATATCTCAGACACCGCCGGCAGGGCACGCCCCCTTCGCATTTTTCCTTAACCCTGCGACAGCCATCGCATCTATAATGGTCAGCATTCCAGATAAACAGATAATACGAACTAGCTGATTGCGTTTGAGAGTAGATAACTATTAATGGCGGTGTGGGGAAGTGCGTGCGCTTACGCTCGAACAGCTCTTTTGCGGTTTTCCTCGGCGACACGAGGGCGTTTCTGTTGGCCTGGAGATGGCCGTGGATCGGTCATGACGAGGAAAAAGGCATCGGCAACTCAGAGTATCTAATCAGAATCATATTCCCGGGCTGGTGAGCGCAGGCGCTGAGGGGGGAGTGCCGGGAATCGGTCAGACAGTGAGAGGGAAAGGATTCCAGAGCCGAAAGTGCTACCGGGACGCACTAAGTGTGTTATCAAGGGAGAGATAAGAGCCCCCACTGAGGGGAGGGGAGAATGATTTGTATCTAATCAATGTTGGGAGAACCAAAGGAGTTGAAAGACTGCAGAAGGACTGCAAAGGAGGTTGTGTACGGAGTAGTTGAGAATATCCAACAGATCTCACCTGACTTGACTGTCACGTGGGGACGATCGCCAATATATTGTAGTATTTAGTTGAGGGTCAACTAATACCAACACCACAACATATATTTACCAACTATCGCCTATGAATAACTACAAGTCTAAAAGTCCACGTGAGATCCTACCCCTTGCTCACTCGCCAACTGCATGATCTTCCTCCCAATCACCAGATCCATGATCCCCATCCCGACACACTTGAAGACGACATTGCACCCAGCCGGCACAGCGAGCAATCCATCCTCCCCAAGCGAATCGAACAGCTCTCCCAGCTCGACCAGCTGCCCCCCCGACACTTTGGCGCGGATCAACTCGCCCGATTCCTCGAGGCAGGCCTCGCGAGAATCGACGTAGACTGTTCCCCCGCCGGAGAGGAGGGTGTCGGTATCCACCTCCTGCATGTGCGGCTGGTACGAGCCGATCAAGGAGATGAAGCGTTGTTTCTGACCCACGGGTTGGAGAGATGGATATGAAAAATTGGGCTCCACGCTCGGCGTACAGCTGAAGATGACGTCGCAAGCTGCCAACTCGGCCTGTAATCTGTCCTCGTAATTTGTGGCATCGTCCCGGGCAAGGGTATCAAGAATAACCCCCGGATAAAGAGCCCGCAGGGCATTCAACCCGCCTGCCTCCATCTCGTCCAACCGGGTTCTCCCGCGGTTGACGAAGACGATCCGCTTGATCTGCCCCGGGGAAGACAAGAGCAAGGCGAGCCGAGCATGCCATTCCGCCTGCCGCCCGGCGCCGAAGACGAGAATATTCTCGCGGGAAAGAGGCGTAGATGTGCATTTACACCGATCGAATAGCGTCATGGTCGCCAACGCGGTGCGAAACGCCGTCAGCTCCGTCGCCCCGACGAGCCCCAGCAGCTCGCCCTCTGCGGAGAAGATGTTCAGCGTCGCCAGGGTGGCTCCCCCGCGGTGCGGGATGAAGACGTTCTTGATCCCTGTGATCTCCGAGTTGGAGACGGGCATGAACAGCGCGACGTCCTTGTGTTTCGTCGCGATGCTGCTGCGGAGAGGCTGCTGGACCAGGCGCTCGCTAGCGGGGGTGGTATCCTGCTGGGAGCTCATCGTCGCCAGTGTGGTGGAGAGGGTGCTGAGCAGGTCCCGGCATTGCGCGCTGCTCATCTGGCGTAGTGTGCGGGACACTTCTGCTTCGGCGAGGAGGTGCATTATTTATTTCGTTCGTTTGAAATAATAGAAAAAGTACAGATGAACAACCAGGTACAGAATGATTGCTCAGGATGAATCTGAAGTTGCTGTTGGGATCGGCGGGGATCCCCTCATATCCCCTCATTGAGTCCCTGACCAATAAGGAAGACAATGACAGATGATACTACTAATAGACTAAGAGTAAGATAACACTTGATAATCTAGTATGTAGGGTTTATTTGATTAATATAAAGCCATTTAGTAATAGGTTGTAAGGTGTCTGAAATTTAGAATGTTTTACTAGAGGAAATATAAATCTAAACAGCTGTAGATATTAGTCCTACCGAGATTGCTCTGGCAGTGAGACACAGTCCACGCAGTTAAAATTCTCCGAGGGCAGGAAGATAGACTCAATGAACGGGATATTGTTAACAGGGATTGATATGACGGGCAGAACTTAACTATACACTACACTCATCCAAACCGTAGGCTAATCCAGAGAAAGAGCCGCTGAAAAGAATCGAATAGTATATTTGGGCCGGTGGAATCGAAACAAGATTGCCGAGAAGGCGTAGCTCTGGTCGTAAATGTGCCGGTTTAGAGAGTCGTAATTGCAGTGACTTGTGAGAATCCCCGACCTTCAACTTGGCATACTCCTCTGGGTTGCCGACGACTGACCCAATTTATCCCGCCGGGGGTAAGGACCGTATGGATGGTGCTTTGGCGACAAGCTGTACAGACGTAAGAGTCGACCATTTTCTCGACGCCTATGCATCGCATATGTTGCCAAGAATAGCACTGGGAGCAACATATGCCATGATCCTCAAGATCAGTGAGTTTACCGCAGCAGGGAACACTGAGGTCGAATTTTTCTATTGTAACATTCTTGAACTGGGCCACCGAGTTGTAATAGCACTTTTCAGTCGTGAAAGAAGCCTGTGAAAATGATATCATGTCACGCGGGTCCAGTTCGTGGAGAATTATCCCAAGAATCTCAGGCGGCAGTTGCGATCGTTCTCTGTGTAAACAAGGTTGCTTCCATCACTCCGATGTGAAAACTCGCGCTAAAGTACGGAAACCAGGAGAACACCGCATTGCAGAAGAGTTGGAGAGGAGCCTCAAGCTCTGGGAGACTATTATAGAGCCGTCATAGTACTCAGCAAATGCGACGTGTTGTGGCGAGAGAAGAATCAAGCGGACTCGCCCGACTTGGGAGCTTCGCGTATACGATTCAGCCTTCGAGATGGCTCTGATTATTGCTGCCTCGGAAGTAACATCTTCTTGCAGGAGAACAAGGTAGCCATGAAACCAGAAACTGTCTGTTTCCGGAGGGGTCCAAGAAGGAACGGATGCAAAACCAATCGGTAATTCAACGTTGCGAGCCAGTGACACTTCGGAAACTTCGTAATCCCATGCTGCAAGACGTAGAAAGGCTACACCTAGCACTGCGAAAACAGGGGAGTTGAAATTCCACGTCAAAGGATCGTCGATATAGAAGCGCCAGAGAAGAACAAAATCAATGAAGAACCGAGCTTGCAGCTCGTTCATGGGAGTAGGAACACCGAATTCTATCTCAAGCACCCCAGATACAAGGGATGTGACTTGAGGTTTATTAGCCTCGCTGTGGCTAACGCTTGATGGATGTTGAGGCCGTGGAAGGTGTTCAGGCTGGGTGATATGCCGCATTATATCAACCGAGGGTGATCCGCAAATCCTGTCAAGATTGAAGTTTATTGCTGTAGGAGTCAAGGAATCATCAACCATACTCCAAAACGATATCACCAAGCAGTCCATATCCAGATCCACGGTATAACTATATGTAATCTAGGTTCGAATGCAACGGGCTGGGAAACCGAACGGGCTCCCACCCATCAAGCTCGTTGGGCAGCGCACGCAGACTTTTGATTCTTTGCAGTGTGGCTTCGTAATCTGGCGGCGTAATCCGTCCTCGTGGATGATAGAGGCGATACCATTTGCCTAAAGCATCAGTCTCGTGCATTTCAGAAGTACTAACTTACCCTGGACGTGTAGATTCCACAGGCCTCTGCATCCCATCACGGCCTTTTAAGGGTAAATTCTTAAGGGCAAAAGATCAAGCTCAGTGCTGATTCGTAAGTTTAGTAAGATACTCTCCTAAAATGAAGAGGAAGTGAAGTTGGTGTAGAGGTTAGGCAATGCAGTTGGGTCTCCCCTTAGTCAGCACTTGTCAGGTACACAACTATCAGGGTATACAACTGCATGGATGGTTCCTGAGGACATAATAATTATGTAAATATAATTAGACATAAAGAGATCAGAGTAGAAAGATGAATTGAATGATTGTATATGAATCTGAAGGTATCAATCTATCAACAATGGTACGCTAAAGAATAATCGTGGTATCATAAAAATAAACAGAATCAAAGCGAGAACACCGCGGATGCTCTTCGTTTCAGCTCTGCAAGCATCGCCTCCTGCGACTGCTTCGTCCGTCCGACTGCTTCAGTGTTTTCCACCGCCCGGCGGAAAAGAAAACCCATGCACTCCTTGACGGATCCCCAAGTGAGCAGTTTGTACACGTGCGGGGTCTGCAGCGTGGCGGCGGCGGCGGCGGCGGTGGCGGGAGAGACACTCTCAGCGGCCTCCTGGAAGCCCTCGAGCAGCTCGCCGCTGACCTCGTCCGCCATACCCTGCAGCTGGGCGTAGCTGAGACTCACGCCGAGGTGCGGGTCTTCTGCACTGGTCTCACCTTGCTGAAGAGCTTGCTGGACGCGTAGGGTGTGTGCTTTGCGGACAGAGTCGCGATTATGGGTGGCGACGATGACGTTGACGGGCGGGAGACTGGTGGCGTGGTCAGGGTTGGCAGAGGGGAGCATGGCGTTGTATTTGCGAGTAAGGAGGGCCTCGATGACCCCGTCGTAGCATTTGTCGGTGTCCTCCTTCTCGGCCCAGATGAGCTGGCGCGGCTCTGTCTTGAGATAAGCCCCGCGGACTAGCTTGACGCCCAGCGTGTACCCTTCCTGGCGCGAGGTTTCGAGATGCCTAGCTAGTGTAGCCGGGGTGGAACGCAGGTAAGCCTGGTAGGTGGAGTAGAAGATGGCCTGGCCGGGAGCGTTGCAGTATTTCTGGTATTTCATGGTCCATGCTTCGATGCCCGGCTGGACTGCCTGTTCCTCGGCGTCGACAAGCAGGCGTACGTTGCGCGAGATGGCCAGATCACAGACCTTCTGGATGGCAGCATCCATAGCTGCCGAGGGGGGGGCCTGCTGCTGCAGAAGAGCGAGAGCTTGGTTACCCATTCCAGTCAATCTGATATAGTTAGACAAATGTTGTCTCTTACCTCGCCCGCCATAATTAGGATATTACTCACTTTAGTGCAACAAAATCCCCCTCCTGCGCCATGTCGACGGTCTGCAGCGTCCCCTCAAGCCAAAGATTGATATCATGACTTCCAGCCTTATCGTCCAAGGGATCGGCCTGCTTCTCTCCGACAAGAACCTCGCGGGCATACCCGAGCAGGACACCCTTGTAGCCCAGGTTCTTGATCTCACGGATGGACCGCTGCACCTCCCGCTTGTTTTCACCGGCGTTGAACTGCTTGTAGATGGTGTGTTTGACGAGGAAGTTGAGCAACGGGTTCCTGGCAACGTCGAGCAGCGGCGTCTGCGGGTTGGCCAGCACGGAGAGGGTGTAGATGCACGGTTTGAGGAGCAAGGTTGACGAGGAAACGGAGAGGATGACGAGCGAGCGCAGGATGGATGACAGCGGCAGCTGGGCCAGGGGCGATGAAGCAGGTTTCTTTTCCTGCTTGGGGGACGACATCTGGAGCAAGTTGGTAGTTGTAGGGGCGGTCGTCAGGGACGGGCGGCTCTCCGTTCCACTGACGTACCGCCGTGGGAAACTGGCGGGCAGCGCCCGGGGGCGAAGGGGTCTCATGGATCGACTGGTGTTAGGCTAGATTGTTGGTAAGATAGTAATCGGCTGGAGTTATTTGAGATAGATAGTAGGAGGTAGAATCTCTGATCGAAGACTTAATAGATGACACTGGGCTTAGAAGCAGGGCAATAAGTACTAAGGCAGCGGCAGAGACAGCCGTCTTCCAGGCATGAATTAGCCGGTTCCAGCCGGACCGGTCAGAGTGAGAATACCTGGAGATAGGAGAATACCTTACATAATATGGATAATGAAGTGACTGACTATATTTACTAAACTCTTGTCTAATTAAGCATCTGGGCCTGTTTATCCCTGCTAGTGCTACTGCTGTATACTAGCTAGTAGTTAATAGTGTGGAGATCCTAGGTAGTTTATAGAAGTAGATGCTGATCTATTACTATACCATCCAGCAATTCACTTTCCTGAATGTACTACTACATAATTATCATGTCAGTATCCCTTGACTATTCAATTATCTGTATACTAGAGATACCCATGGGCCATCGTCTTCCTTCGGGGTTAACGGAGTATAATGAGGTCTCGTGACCCACCGGGATCTCCCCGGCTGGCTGTCACCGGCCCGGTCGAGGTCATCTGTCTTTCTACTTTATCTATTACTTGTAGTAGTAGTAGTAGTAGTAGTATCTATCAAGTTCCTCAATGGTTAATAACATAAGTATCTACTAATTAAGATATTATTTTATAATAAATAATAATAAGTGTCTAAAGAATCTAGGAGCTTGCTTATCTATATGTAGTACTGTCAATCATGATCCACCCTGATAACTTTAATTATAGATAGAGTATATAGAGTAAGTCTTAAGGTATAGAGTACTATAGATATAGTAAGTATTAAGTTAATCTATAGAAAATACAGTACTAAATTATGATAAATCAATCATTATTAGATTTCTAAGAGGAGATGAGAATAGACCCTACTTATCTTAAGAATGGAGCTTTAAAGGATCATATAAGAGCATATTCTATAGGAGTTAGCCATATAAGTAATAGTCATTATAGATTTTTTATCATCTATACAACATCTTCATAGAGCAGGAGAGTAATAATGGTGTACATTGCATTGAAGTAATTGTACATATTGTACATATACTATCCTGATCAATATACCAGGTAGAGACAGTATGTAGTTATAGTAAGACCCTACCCCACACTTCTACTACATAATTTTTATTATCTGTAATAATTCATTCAAATACCTCAGATTAAAGATATGACAAATAATGATGATAATAATAATAATACTCATGCTAATACTAAGATAATAATAATATTATAGATGATACTACGTAATGCGATCCCGGCCCGGCTACCGGGACTCGGCCGGCAGTCCTGTCTGTATGTCGTATATTGGTAGATCAGGTAGTAGCAACATAACTTTACATATGAGTAAGGCTAATCAAGATACTCAGAGTTCCAGGGTTCTTACTACTGCTAGCATATAATCGGTCTGGTCTTCTGTCTTCTCCAATTGTGTCAGACCGTGGATAACCGGCTCTGCTTCCGGTTACACAATATTATATCATCCTTCCCCGCACCTCCTGGCAGTGACTTTCCAACCTCACGTTGGACCAAACACAATCAATTCCATCAGAACAGGGATATTTTGAAGGGAAAGATGCTTTCTTCAGGCAGAGCACCGTTGACTAGATGGCAGTCGCTGTCTGCCCGACTGTCACGGACCACGACGACTACGCGGGCAATGGGCTCCTACGCCACCTTCAAGGTGCCTCGGATTGACAACGAACCGAACGTAAGCAGCCATATTATCGTTTTTATTTTAGGGATAATTTCGTCAATACTAATGCGTCGGTAGAAACATTATGCTCCCGGGTCTCAGGATCGAAAAGCCCTCGAAGAAGCTCTGGCGCAGAGCAAGCAGAAAGCCCCCTTGAACATTCCAGTCGTGATCGCAGGGAAGGAGGTGAAAAGCTCGCAGGTCCAGACACAATTGAATCCCGCCTCGCATGCCCCCTTTGCCACGTACTCGAACGCGACGGTAGCCGACGTCGAGGCGGCGATCAACGCGGCGCTCGACGCCCGCAGTGCCTGGGCGTCAACCTCGTTCGCCGACCGGGCGAGCATCTTCCTCAAGGCGGCCGATCTGATCGCTACCAAATACCGCTATGAGATCATGGCGCTGACCATGCACGGTCAGGGCAAGAATGCCTGGCAGGCCGAGATCGACGCTGCAGCCGAGTTGTGCGATTTCTTCCGTTTTGGCGTCAAGTATGCCGAGGAGTTGTATGCCCAGCAGCCTGTGCATCATGCTTCGGGCGTGTGGAAGTGAGCTTTTTTTTCTCTTTTTTTTCTCTCTCTCTCTCTTTCTCATATAATAGTCGGTACCTAACAGTCCAGTCGTGTTGAATATCGCCCCCTGGAAGGTTTCGTCTACGCGGTCAGTCCGTTCAACTTCACGGCCATCGGTGGAAATCTGGCGGGCGCCCCCGCTCTGATGGGCAACGTGGTGGTGTGGAAGCCGTCCCCCTCTGCCATTGCGTCGAACTGGCTGGTGCACCAGATCCTGCTCGAGGCCGGTCTGCCCAAGAATGTGATCCAGTTTGTGCCTGGTGATGCCGCCGAGGTGACCGAGGCCGCACTGAACCACCCGCAATTCGCCGCCTTGCACTTCACAGGCAGCACCGATGTCTTCCGCATGCTGTACGGCAAGATCGGCGAAGGGGTGGCCGCAGGGCGATACCGCAGCTACCCGCGCATCGTGGGCGAGACGGGCGGCAAGAACTTCCATCTCATCCACCAGTCGGCCGATGTTCGCAACGCCGTGGTGCAGACCGTGCGCGGGGCGTTTGAGTTCCAGGGTCAAAAGTGCAGCGCCACGTCGCGGGCGTACGTCGCGGCGTCCCTCGCCGACGAGTTCTACGCCCAGCTCGTCCGCGAGGTCAACGCCCTCAAGGTCGGCGAACCCACCGACTTCACCAACTTCTGCGGGCCCGTCATCCACGAAGCCTCCTTCAACAAGCTGGCCCGCGTGATTGACGATGCCCGTCAGGACCCCGAGCTCGAGCTGCTCGCCGGCGGGACTTACGATGCCTCGCAGGGCTGGTACATCCAGCCGACGGTCTACCGTACCACGAACCCAGACCACCCCTTGCTCTCCCGCGAGCTGTTCGGCCCCATCCTGGTCGTGCACACGTACGACGATGCTGCCTTCCCCGCCATCTGCGACCAGATCGATCGCACAGGCCAGTACGGTCTGACGGGCGCGGTGTTCGCGCAGGATCGCGAGGCCGCCCGCTTCGCCGAGGACCGGCTCCGCAACGCCGCAGGCAACTTCTACCTCAACTGCAAGAGCACGGGTGCCGTCGTGGGCCAGCAGCCCTTTGGTGGCGCGCGTGCCAGCGGCACCAACGACAAGGCCGGTAGTGGGAACCTGCTGTCGCGCTTCGTTAGCCTGCGCTCTATCAAGGAGGAGTTTCTTCCTTCGACGACGGTGGCCTATCCCAGCAATGCATAGTGTACATGGCGTCTTGCTTTCTCATTCTTGCATTTCCGGCGTTAACTGTTCATACCCATAATCAATTCATACCTACCTGGTCCATACCTACCTGGTCCAGTGCCATGAAAATAACATACTACAATATATCTAGTAGTCAGCAATACGAACACTACGAACACTACAAATCAAGTTTTCAAGTCAATCAAGTATCCTTGCTCAGGTATCCGCAGGCAGAAACGTTGCTCCTCCCGTAACCCTAGGGTATGACGAATCTCTTCTGCCTAGCGATAAGGCCATCGATCAATGATATTCTTCCTATCTGCTTTGATTAATTTTTTGAATCCTTTCTACAATTATTTTCATTTATTTCTACCAATTCAGGTGCCCTATCTATACGATGATGACTCAATTGATCCTTGCAGGATAGAGATTATTAGTTTGCGACGACCGTTGCCTGGACAGGTGGCTGGGGATAGTTACATCGAGAGTCAAATCTATTCAGCTTCAATTATCAGAGTAGGCTGCAATGGACAGTATCTATGTGAGGGTGTAGGTATAAAGAGATGGACTCGTTAGTATTCATCAAGTCAGTCACAGTCAAATCACAACCAGTCTGAACAATCCATCCTTCTACCCTACCACTATACTACAAATACTATACTTCCTATACTACTTACTATCTACAATGCCTGCCAACGAACGCGTGCCGAAACTGGCCATCAATCCCACTGGCAACAACGTGATGCCTTCCTTTATCGAAGAGTTGGCGAAAGACCCGAAGGAGAAGAAAGAGACGCAGAAGGAGAAGAAGGAGAAGAAGGAGAAGAAGGAGAAGAAGGAGAGCGACGAGCAGTCCTTGCTTTCCAATGCGACCACCTTGAGAGATGATTAGAGACAGTGTCATCATCATGAGAGAGAGAGAAGACTGGACGCTTAATTATGTCTGAGATGAATGTAATGATAATATGCAATATGAAAAACATCTCTAATCTATACTGAACTGTATGGCGATTCAGAAATAGCCCGGGAAAAGCCACTGCAGCTTCTCGCGCGCCTCGGCACTCCACTCGGTCTGCGGCGTGCTGACGCCAAACTTGATGGATCCCTCGAGGTGCTTGGCGTTGACGAGGGCGGCGTGCTCGTCCGCCGCGAGGGCGTCCAGCACGGCGACCACGAACCGCCGCGCGTTCACCGCGTTGGCCTTCATGTTGCCCATGACCATCTCCACCGTCACGTCGGCCGTCCCCTCGTGCCAGCAGTCGTAGTCGGTCGACATGCAGATCATCTGGTAGGCGATCTCGGCCTCGCGGGCGAGCTTGGCTTCGGGCAATGCAGACATGTTGATCACACCCCCGCCCCAGGAGCGGTACATGTTGCTCTCTGCGCGAGTCGAGAACTGCGGTCCTTCTATGGAGAGTTAGATGCAAAAAAAAAAAGAGGAAAAGAGGAAAAGGGAGAAAAAAGAAATACCCATGCAGACTAGTGTTCCCCGATCATGGAGAACAACACCCTCGCCCTCAAGACTATGCCCGCAGGCACGCACCACCTTGGCGACCCCTTCGTCAAACGGATCCCCAAAGGGAACATGCGCAACAACCCCGCCCTCAAAGTACGTCCAGGGCCGAACCCCCTTGGTGCGATCGATGATCTGGTCCGGGATGACAAAGTCGCGCGGCTTGATCGCCTCCTGCAGACTGCCCACGGCCGAGAAGGCGATGATGGTCCGCACGCCGACCGAGCGCAGCGCCGCGATGTTCGCCCGCGCAGGCACCTCGTGCGGTGCGATCTGGTGGTGCGTTCCGTGCCGGCTGAGGAAAGCCACCGCCACCTTCTGCCCTGTCGTCGAGCACTCGTGGTGCAGGATCGTGATCGGCGACGACGGCTCGCCCCAGGGAGTCGTCACCTTCAGAGAGGCCACCTGTGTGAAGCCGGGGAGCTCGCGAAGCCCTGTCCCGCCGATCACGGCAATCCGGACGGGGTCTGCAGTTTTTTTTTTGTTATTATCAGTCCGCTTTAATCTGGAGACAGACGCTCCTTTCTCTGAACTCACCCTCATACGTGCTAGGGAGGGCTGCCATTCTTCTCGCAAGCTGCTGGGATGATTCAATACGTCGTAGAGGTCTGGCAATCCTCGTCGAAAACCTGCGAGCAAGTGATGTTGCTGATAACATGCAGGGAGGGGCAGATTTTCGCAACGTCCAGAACACGGCGGGGGGGGGGGGGGGGGGGGGGGGGGGGGGGGGGGATTGCCAAATGCCCGATTGGGTGAGCACGTGGGGGTTCTAAAGGGCCGTGCGCTAGTGAAACCTTCTAGCTGTGCCTGGACTAGTGGATTACATGCGTATTGAAAATACGGGTACTATCATCAACTCAACTCAACTCAACTTCAGGCACTAGAAATGACTTTGAAAGCTGCTCTACGATAGTATTGATGGCTTCAAGGCTCCGCGCAGTTATTCAGGAATAAGGAGTTTTGAAAGAAGTGGCCTTGGGCTCTCTAATAGAAGTATTTCTTCTCTCGCTCTTCAATGTCATCATGGTCTCTGATCACTGTCTGTACTGGGCTGAGACTTTGCGTAGGCAATCAAAACCCGTCTCCCCTAGAAAGAGTTCAAGAGAACATATCCCTTGAATCTCTGAAATACACGCTATCCTCCTCAGTGTCACCTGTTGTTATATTATTGATTGTGACTCTGTCTTGCATCCATCCAACTGCTATTCTGGTGTCCTGGGGCGAAAACACCAAGCACATTGGAATGCCAGTAGTTTGTGGTGATAATACCTTGACTACCTTGCTTCTTATATTCCAGATCTCCAAACCTCTGCGTGTAGAGGCTACTCCCATCATTATGGAATCATGAGACAGAGCTGCATCCGGATCGGTATAGTCGATTTGAAGTTCACAGAGGTCATTGTCAACATGGTGCACCTCTAGATGCTTCTCAAATCGTGAAAATCTTAGGGCTCGGGTCCTGTCGGAAGAGAGAACCCGGCGTTTTCTCCAGTTGTCCAGATGATCTCCAATACTGGCCAACATCGGGTCTCGAGGCTTCTCAATAAACTCTTCTTGGATGAGATCCCCAAATTGGAAGTCCTCAATGCGATGCTCAGGAAGTAAGGCCATCTCCGTTACATCTGCACTGAGAAGCAAATTATCATCTTTCATCGATAGAAAGGGTGTGGTTGAGACTTCCGGCTGGTCAAGATCCAAAATTTTCACATCTCTGGAACGGTATGGAATTACTATCACTTTATTGCTGTGAGAATCAATGTAAGGCCTTGAATTGATTTTCTTACTTCCACCGTGTGCTCCATCTGCGTTGAATCAACAATCCATATCTTGATGGTAGTGGATGTGGCATACCGAAATTTGAGTCCATCGATATAAAGCTAAGCACTTTATATACTCCGTAGACTCTGACTTAGGAGTTGAAATCTCAATTGGAGAGTCGTTAGCGATGTCCCACGCTTTTATAGAAAATTGATCAGACAGAATAGCGGCCCTGGTGGCTGAGAGAGGCATGCTATATTTACCCAAGTCTGATTCTAGGATGTGGATTATCTGTTTCCTTCCAGTGTTGCCTATATATGCCGGTCTTCCTCCATATCTGAAAAGAGCCATTGTTCTAGCGTCGGCGGGGAGTAAAATATTGAGCTTAGAAGTGTCTTCCCCCGGTGCCTTGGAAATATCATTCATTTGCTGTATTCGACCATTTGCTCAAGTCTGCGAGGGTCTGTAGGTGAGACTGCTTCTTTGATAACGTAGTCATGACTTGCTCCGTCATAGGAGTCCATGATTTTATTGTAATCCCACTGTAGAAGTCCGATTGAGAATTTGAACACAGCAGTGATCTCAGCTCCATCCCTGGAGGAGGGGAGGTAGTAGTTATCGAGACATCCAGGTAGCCGCTGAGAGGGAGACAGACCAGTAAGACTGGAATTGTCCATTGTAGCTAAGTATTAAGTTATTAATGTGATGACCTACAATGATAATCTAAACGAAGAGAAGAAGAGAGCTATCCCCAACATTGGCACTAATCCAAAGATGGAAGGCGGGCAACTCCGCGCCTTCCATTCCCTACGAAATCCATCTGCCTGGGCAAAGTCTACAGATTCAATGCAAACTGGGCCAGTTGAGGCTGGCCAAGGCAAATAGTCAGGTAACAGACGTGGATCTTCATCGAATAATGAATACTTGAAAGTGCTAACAGTTCCCTCACGCAGGCTGCCACTCATAATGATGAGGTCCCTTCTTCACCAGCCCCGGGTCTTCGCCTGGAATGCCGGGCTTATTGTACGCATGAGCCCCGAAATAATCCATCTGCGCCTCCATAAACTTGGTGGGCAGCATGATGCCCCCGACGTACTTGAGATACTCGAGCGTCGCCGACAGAGCAGGCATGTACTGGTCCGCCAGGGTGCCCTCGACGACGATCTCTTTGAGGGGGTTGAAGCTATTTTGCAGCGCCCGGGCGACCTCGTCAACGTGTTTCATGTTGGTTAGCTGCTTGTTGGACAGCAGGGCTGGCTCCAGCAGCTCGGCGATCCCTTCACACTGGATGATGCAGCCGGCCCGCCAGATACGGAGGCAGTCGCCCAGGTTGATATCCCACTTTTCCTCCAGCGAGACCCGGCTAATTATCTCGAGTCCCTGGCAGAAAGAGGCGAGAAAGGAGCAGAAGACGGCCTTGCGCAGGTTATCGATGAATGCGGCTTTGTTGTGGATCCCCTCGACGGGTTTCGGGATGGGCATGTGCAGCTTCTTCGCGGCGCGGACGCGTTCGTCACGGTTGCCGCTTGCTACTCGCAGGTAATGTGCAGCTGCGAGTGTTGGGGCAGCAATGTGTCGTGCGGCAGTCTCCATCATTGACCAGAAGGGGGTGCCCTCGGTGCCGTCGTCGTCCTGGACGACCTTATCGAGCACGTCGTCCAACACGTAGCCGCCATCCCGGTTAGCTCCTTCGCCCTGGTAGTCGCCCTGGGCGGTCCGTTTAGTCCTGCAGATGTTCGCACCGATCCGAAGCAGGTAGCTGTTTTTTAGCTCGCCACTCTCGCTCCACTCGTCGAAGATGTCTGCGATCTCCTCATACGTGAGCTCCAGCCCGTGATGCATGTACGACCACGCTTCGCAGGTTGTGGACAGCATGCCGCCCTCGATTCCATTGTGGATCATCTTCACAAAATGCCCTGAACCTCGCGGCCCGACATTGACCACACACGGTCGACCGGTCTTGGGGTCCTTGGCAGAATACAGCTCCAGCAGGGGCATTACCAAATTCAAAGCGTCGGCATCTCCCCCGGGAGACAGGCTCGGCCCATGTCGTGCGGACTGATAGCCACCGGAGACTCCCATCCCGATCCAGCTGACCCCAATCTCGGCACACTCTTTCTGTCTTCGCTCGGTTCGTCGGTAGTTCTCGTTGCCGCCGTCGAGGATGATGTCGCCAGCCTTGAGGTCATGCCTTATCATCCCCAGCACGGAGTCTGCAGGGTGGCCATGGGTGATGGAGAAGATGAATAACTTGCGCTCCCCTTGCCGTTCCAGACTTTTGGTGAACTCATCAATGTTGTAAAAGGCTTCGATATTCCCTTTAATGTGTGCTTTCTCCTCCTCCTTACCTTTTTTAATCCATTCCTGGAGCTTGTCCACGTTGTTTTTCGACACGTCCCACACAGAGACATCGAGGCCCAGTTCTGAGAAGGCAAAGGTCATCATGGAGCCCATATTGCCGGCCCCCACGACACCAATGCGCTTGAACTGCTGCACCGCAGAATGTTTTTCGGACGGCATTTTCGTTGGCGAGATTGACGAATTGTTTTGTTTGTCTGTTCATCTGAGGGTTCCTAATTCATAAAGCAGCGGCGGATATCTGACCCGGCTGCGACGCCTGTTGCATCATGGAAACTAAATCCATAGCAAGCGTACAATTTATTCTCAAAAGTGAAAGCAGGATGATGCCCACCTGATGAAATGGTAAACCCTGAACCCTAGGCGGTTCAGGAGCGACTCTACGATTACGTCACTCTTGTTCAACGCGATACAGTCACAGGCCAGGAATTGCGGATGCGAGACAAATGAGCGAGGAATATCATTGAAAACTATTAGAGCCTTCTGCATTTTCTCATTGACACAGCAGAAAAGATACACCAATATGTCATCTATCACCAAAGACTCTCTTAAATCTATCCCGCTCTCGTTCGCCTCATGCTCGATCGGATCACACTCCTCTGACACGCTACCGCGTAAGCTTGAAGCAATCAGCAACGCAGGCTACACGGCGATTGAGCTCTCCTTCCCAGACATCCAGGACTACGGGTCACGCCTGCTGGGCCACCAGATTGCAGAGGAGAACTATGCCGAGCTCATCTCGGCAGCGGGGGAGATCAAGAAACTGTGCCGGGCGACCTCGCTGAAGGTGATGATGTTGCAGCCCTTTGCCAACTATGAGGGCTGGCCGAGGGGTTCCGTGGAGCGACAGGCTGCTCTCGCACGGGCAAAGGGGTGGATTGAATTGATGAATGTTATCGGAACGGACTTACTACAGGTATGCCAGAGAATCAAGAACAGAAGGGAAACAAAAGACAGGAAAGAGTGATTTTTCTAAATGAGTTCAGGTCGGATCAACCGACACGCCCGAGGACCGAATCAGCATGCGCCGCGAGGACATTGTCGCCGACCTACGTGAGCTGGCCGACATGCTCGCCCGACGGAACATGCGACTGGCATACGAAAACTGGTGCTGGTCGACGCACGCCCCGCGCTGGAAGGACGTGTGGGAGATTGTGCAGGCGATCGACCGGCCGAACGTGGGGTTATGCCTGGACACGTTCCAGACGGCGGGGAGTGAATGGGGGGACCCTACGACCGAGTCTGGAACATTGGAGGATGTGTCATGCGAAGACCTGGATCAACGGTTTGCCGAGAGCATGGACGAGTTGGCTCGCACCGTGCCTGCCGAAAAGATCTATCTGCTTCAAATCTCGGACGCGTACAAACCCGCCACCCCGATCCCCAAGACAGTCCTGTCACCAGATGGCTTGCGTCCTCGAGGGCGCTGGAGCCACGACTACCGGCCCATGCCGTATGACGGTGGGTTTCTACCCATCGAGGCCGTGGCGCGGGCGGTTCTACGGACGGGCTTCCGCGGGTGGTTCTCGATGGAGGTCTTCGACGCCGGGCCTGACGGTAAGGGGAAGCATCACGAGATGCTGGATTTTGCAAAGCAGAGCATGCAGAGCATGCAGCGGTTATTGATGAACTGCGCCGATGCATGATTGGGCCTAGTCTTTGTCACTATGTCATTTGACATTCTCATGTAGGAACTGATCTCTTGACCTATCAATGATTTAATAGTATTCTAAACTAGGAGAAAGACTTTGTACTATTGTTTTCTTGTCCTCTGCTTGCTAGAGTATCAAACCACGCTGTAGAGGGATTCCCGAAGACTCTTGAATCCATAAAGAATAGCACCACCGTGTCTTCGCCCGTTGTATCTTCTTCCAGCTCGTGGAATTTGTCTTCGAAATTCCGTTCGTCTCCAATGAGACTAAGGCGTAGCCTATTTTGGTGAGTCTTATAATACTTCTGTACCTTCAGATGCCTCCTAATAGACACCCAAGTAGAATCCATGCACGCAAAGAGATGTAGATGTCACCCAGTAGAGATGAAAATTACTGTATTTTTCAGTTTAGACGCACAGACCGGACCGGACCCTTGCAATTCCGGCTGGAACATCGTTGATCCGGGGAGATGACTAACCCTTATCCACCGATAAGCTGGCAATCTTTCCACTGTCCAAGTATCCAGACTCAGCGTGATGGTCAAGTAGCCAAGCTCGACGGCACCAAGATGCAGGGCTTCAGTGAGTACCCGAGCTGCTTGATAGTGATTGTTGTGCAACAAAAAAAAAGACTAACAGGCATCTGTAGATATGGGACGGTACGTCCCTCCCGACCAGGAGGGACTGACGACAGGCAACAAGCTGGCGGGCAAGCACCCGCTCGGAGCGCGGGCGCGCCATCTACACACGACAGGCGCTCTGGTGGTGCGGTTCGAGATGCCGTTTGCGATCTGGTGCACGACGTGCAAGCCGCACGAGACCATCATCGGCCAAGGGGTGCGGTTCAACGCCGAGAAGAAGAAGGTGGGTAATTACTACTCGACGCCCATCTATAGTTTCCGCATGAAACATACCGCGTGCGGCGGGTGGATTGAGATCCGCACCGATCCGCAGAACACGGCGTACGTCGTTGTCGAGGGTGCTCGGAAGAGGGAGACGGGAGACGACAAGGCGGAGCTAGCGCCGGGGGAGATCCGGATCAAACTTCCTGGGGAAGAGACGGTTGAGTCTCTTGCGGCGGACCCGTTTGCAAAGCTGGAGGGGAAGGTAGAGGACAAACGACAGGCGGAGACGGCGACAACTCGAATTCTGGAGCTGCAGCGCCGCCAGCAGCGCGACTGGGATGATCCGTACGAGCAGTCGAGGCGGCTGCGCCGCACGTTCCGCGCGGAGCGCAAGACGCTTGAAAAGGCCGCGGCAAACCGCGAGGCGCTGCAGGATAAAATGAGCCTGGGGATCGAGCTCGTCGACGAGACCGAGGAAGATCGCCTCCGCGCGGGGATGGTCGATTTCGGCACCACGCCGGAGGATAGTACGCGAGCAGCACTGCGCGTACGGCCGATGTTCTTCGCTCCACCTTCTTCATCGTCTTCTCCTTCTCCTTCGAATTCGTCGAAAGACGAAAAACTAAAGAAACTGAAACGCCTCAAATCAGAGGGTCCGACAGACCGCAAAGCCGCCCTCCGCTCTGAATTGGCAGGCAACACTCGCGCGGCGGTTGATCCGTTCCTTGCCACGCACGAAACAGCGTGGAAGCCCGAGACTAAACGACGCAAGACTATGACTCCTTTAAAGCAGACCCCTACAGGAGACGGCGACGAGCAGGAAACTCCTGTAGAACCGCCTCCCAAGCTGCGATCTGCTGCGTTGGTCGGCTATTGCTCTGATTCTGATTAAGGTATATATACCTAGACGACATGATTATACGGCATCAAGATACCCCTGCGTTGACTACACTAGCTACACTAATTGTACTATACTCTATGAATAATAAGATAACTATACGTATACTACTATGTAATACGTACTCATTGCATTGCTCATTATGCTCATCATGTACCCTACGGGCCATCAGGATTCCTCGCCCAGGGAGCCCGCGTAGACGCCATCGGCCCCGGAGGCATCCGTGACGTATCCGGTAGCCGGGTAGACGGTACTGGCGGTCTAGCACTGTCAGGTAGTCTTGTTGATGCCCACGGTGCAGCCGTGGCGCCCATCGGGGGCGGGGCAGCAGCTGTGGACCGCGGAGTGGCCCAGGGGGCCTTTGTCGTCGTAAGCTCGGCGGAGCCATCGTTGGAAGCCGAGGTAGAACCGGGATCTGTCGGTGTGGGCTTCCGCTGAGGGCCGGATGAAGAATGGATGGATGATGGGGGCGCCACGGCATTTGGGTCCCGGTCCCAGCTGAATAAAGAACCGAAGGGGAAGTGCTGCACCACGGGGAATTTGGAGAGGACTTCTGCATTGTACATTTTGATCATTCCCTGATCGTCAGATCTATCATCTATGGGGGGAAGGAAAGGAGGTCTACCTTGTTGATTTTTGCCCATCCCGCTGGAATGCCCGAGATATCAAAGAGCATGGGACTATGCTCCCAGAACGGCCCCCGCTTCACGTCGTAGATGAACCCAATCGCGGAGAAATACATGTTATGTCTGCGCTCTCTTGCGACGATGTTCGCCTTTGCCACGCCATTCGGACTCGGTGCGTCAGTCAGCGAGCCTTCTTCAGGTGTCCGGTCGGAGGGGGTAATCGCTGGCGACAGCTGGGCTGAACCAAAGATATACGGGAGAAACGAGTGGTCGTCTAGACCCCAGACGCCGTGAGATCCTGCAGGTTCCAGTGTATACGTTTTGATAATCGATCGAATAAGTTCGAGATATCTAAGTCGTTAGAGAGAGAGAGAGAGAGAGAGAGAGAAAGAGAGTAGATATAAAAAACATACGGCTCTATCACCCCCACGACGATGGCTCGCTCCTCGACTCCCCGATCAGCCAGCGGAAACCCGTTCAGCTTCCAGATGCCCGCCAGAAAAGCCAGGAAGCTCAATTCATGGCCCGTTCCATAGTCCAGGCGTTGAGCGCTGCCCCAGCTGCCCAGGAAATACGCCGTCAGCTCCTCCCTGGCCGAGGGGCCCTGCGGATCCGCCGACTGGGTCTGCAGCACCTCCGGCGCAAGGAACTCCTCCAGCAGCTGCGCTGCACGACTCTCCACGATCTGATACCACTTGCGAAAACTGATGTTCCCGAACCGCCGCGGGCCTGTATCTGGCGGGGCCTCGTCGAGGATTGCCTCGAGCCGCAGCAGGAGCTGCTGCAGCTGGCGGACGGGGGCAGAGAACTCGACAGCCTCGGAGTTGAGCGGCCACGTCTGGACCGTACCATCCTCCTCTGTGCTTCTCACGGGGAACATCGACCGGTTGAGCTGCAGCAGGAAGGTCGTCAGGTCGCCGTACGCCCTGGAGACCAGGAACTCTGCGACGTCGGGATGGTCATGGATGCGTTTGCTGGGGGTTGTGAACTTGTAGCTCCCCGAGGGGTCCAGGCGGGGGAGAACTCGAACTGAATCCATTGAAAGAAGCAGTTTTATGTGATGTATTTGTGTACGGAGTATTCAAAGTAAAGGATGTTGTAGTAACTGAAGTTGTGCCCCACCAAAGCTTTTATCCCACCACGTCATGATCTTCACCCTGGACGCGCCTCAATGAGCTGGGATCAATTCCTGGACTTCATGGAACTGTCGCCATGGGGAGGGCACGGCCAGCTGCATCCCAGAAGAAAAAAAGGAGCAGCAAGTCTACGTTGCAGGCGCTGGATCTATTAAATAACGTCAACAGGACAACGGCGAGTCGGTCTCGCGTCGCGCGTCGCGCGGCGAGCAGACGCCAGTCGTCTTTGGATATCTACGAAATTCCTCCATCGGATGGAGAATCGGTTGATGATGAGCAGGACAGTGACGGGGATGGAGAGACAGAAGGTGTTAATGCAGAACAGCAGGGTGAAGTGCCAGAAACGCCGGTCGGAAGGACCTGGCCAATTCGACGATCGCCGCGTGTCGGAAAATACACAAAAAAGCAAGTCTCTACGCCTGGGGAATTATTACAGCAATACTTGCATGGCCTTGGCAAGGAACACACCCCTGAACGGCCGAATCCCAAGTCTACACGAAGCGCCGGCGCGATAATCACGACACGACACGCGGACTCATATATCAGGGAGGAAGAAGAAGAGCATAGCTCGCTTGGAGATACACCGGCAGATCTCGACTTGTTTGTCGACTACGCACCCATAGAGGAGGCAACGGGTGCACGCCGCTTTCCACAGCATATGGCTCACGTCGAGATCCCTCCTATGACGCGGGGGAAACCGTCGTCTCAGGGAACAGCGGGACAGGCTCGGAAGCGATACGAAAGCGATGACTCTGAGAGCGGAGGATCCAGCGAGAGCGACTCGGAGAGCAGCGACGATGAGAGATCTACTGAGAGGTCTTCAGACGAGGACGAAGAGGAAGAAGCGTGGTTCGAGGAAGCCAAAAAACTTGGAGGCCAGGAAGAGAATTGGGCCGCTCTCATGACGAAAGCAAGGCAGTTAAAAGCCGGCAAGCCATCTTCTCTGCATGTCTTCTCGGCGTCCGACATGCTGATTAGGGTATTGTCTGACGTCTACGAGACGCTCGCGGTACAGCGGTCCCAGGACGAGAATGGCGACTGCTCCTCGCATCTCCGACGCGAGTCAAAGAATCTCGTCCAAACACTCTCCGATGAGACATATGGCATCCTCGCCAAAGTCTTGGAGCTCGCCACCGAGGGTGGTTCCCCAGGCGGTGCTGTCAACGCGACCAACCTACTGACCGAGTTTGAGCAGTACACCCTCCCACGGATTGTGCGGCTGAGCAAGACCTGCTTCAAAGCACATTACTTAAGTCACACCAGCGGTGCTGAGGGCAGTCTAGCCCGCAAGGCAGCCCCTCATTTACTACGGGTGCTCGATCTTCTCGCCGGCTTGCTCACCCGCACCTACAACCTCTGTGCGGAGGGTTTCGTGCCTCAGTGCGCGCTCAGCGCCGCGATGCGTCTCCCTCTACGCCGTCTCATCGCAGCTGTCCGTTCTGGCAAGCTTGGTGGAGACCGTCGTGAGGCAATCAGTTCCCGGCGGGGTATGCGGAAGCGTTCAAGTCTTGACGATGGTCTCAACGCGAGTATTCTTGAATCAAGACACGACAGTCTTGTCATCACCGGGATCCAGAAAGTATGGACAGACGAGGAGGGAAGGGCGTTGCTAGATGGCCTCAAGCAATACCAAGGTAGACCTCTTTTGTCTAGGGATCAAGAAATATCCACTAACTGTACAGGACCCGATCGCTACATCCAAATCATGAGAGTGTACGGCCACCGACTCCGCGGGCGGACGATTGCCGATCTCCAGACACAGACGGAAAGGATTCGCGCCGATCTACGAAGGAAATATCCCGAGGCCCAGTGGGCATGGCTGTTCGATTGACTTCACCTCGATGGTTTTATGGGAATTGTATATCTATTAATGGTTGTATGATATGGGTACTACTCTATATGAGACATCTTTCGGCATATGGTCTCACTAATGAACAAATTATACTCCGGTATATAAGACCGGTATAAGACCGGTATAATGTCTTTAAGCAGTAGAATGTTTAGAATAGTAGATGCCTATAATAAATAGCAGGATGGCCAGTCTGGTGGAGTACTATAGATAATAGCTACTAACTATATACTAACTATGTGTACTCTGTAGTGGAGGCAAAGACGTACCTGATAAAGAGTGGTTCGCGATATCCCGTCAACAAAGAAATAAACAGAGAAATAGACAACTTAGTCTATTACATATAACTGTTATATTTCCTTTGATTCTTATAGTAGGTAAACTATTTCTAATAGTATATAGTATGGAGTAACTATATTGAATAGAACTACAGTATCCTACTCCGTATGTCCTTTATTCATAATTTTTATATAGCATTAATATTAAATTCTTTCATAATTCTATTTACTTCTATAATATTTATACTGTTATTCTCTTTCTACTGAAGTATCTTAACAATATTCTCCATATCCTCATACTCCATATACTCATGGAGCCACGCTAAATCGTTGGCAGAAGCGGCCCCTTTCTGTTCCCCTCTTGTTCTTCTAGACACCAACAACTCTCTGCTCCATACTCCTCCTCCTCTCTTCATGTCCTATACCTTACCTGTCAACCTAATTAATTATAATCTCTACTGCAAATCCCTTCCTCCTTGAGCTGTCATCCGGTGAGTTTCTTCGTCTATTCCTCTGCTGCCGCACCATTCCCCCTCTGTACCTGCCTGCAGCTTCCGCTCCAACGAGAAGCAGAGCTCAGGAGCTGCCCAACAGCTTTACTTTGGCCTTCCCTGCCCTCTGCCGTCGTACAATTTCTCTCGCCCTGGTATCCTTGTCGCTGCTGTTGTCTATCTTGCAGAATTTCTCGACTCTCTGCTACATACGCTGTTTGTTTTTTTTTGTTTTTTGTTGTTGTTTTTTTTTTTCCGCGGCTGCCGTTTTGCTCTGATTGAAAACACCTGCTAATCAACAGATCGTGGCTTCAGACAGCTCCCTCACCGCTACTTCGTTGACTTTCCTCTCCCTCGTCTCAGAGAGACCTCACATACGCACCACAATTCAGAATGGCCTCGGTCGATGAACCCATTGTTCCTCCCCCTCCGGAATCGGACGTGGAGGTGCCCGCGCCGGCCACCCCCGTCGACTCCTCCGCCATCTTCTCTGGCACGGAAGACGCCAAGTCGAGCCCGGAGGCCTCCAAGGAGAACATTGTCGAGTCCTCGCCGACCAAGAAGAACTCTGCGGTAACCTCTACCATCAAGCATCACCCGACGGGGACGACCGCCACTGCCACCACCACCACCGGGAAGCGGCCCACCACCTCGTCCTCGGCCACGGGGAAAACCTCCTCGGCCGTGCGCTCCTCCACCACCAACGGCAGCACCTTGAACAAGCCCCCTACTCGCCCGTCGACAACTACTGCCGCCTCGGTCACTCGCAAGCCGCTGACCAGTACAACGGCCACCCATCGCTCCCGTGCTTCGGTCAGCAGCTCCGCCGATGAGAAGCCGCGGTCCATCGCCAGCTCCGGCGATGAGAGGAGGGGCATCTCCGGGTCCGCCAAGCGCATGTCGCTCGTCGGCAGCACTTCGACTAGGGCGCCTACTCGGCCTACGGTCTCCACGGTCGACCGGAGAGCCAGCATCGCCAGTATCACGGGGGATAAGAAGCCGCTCACCTCCCGCACAACTCCCACCACTGCTACCTCCACCACCACCAGCCGTACGGTGGGTAAGCTGACCAGCGCGACGCACTCGGCTCGCTCTGGCACCCACCCCTCTTCCACCACCACCACTACCTCGTCGAGTGCCACCCGTCCGGCTGTCAGACCCACAGCCTCTGCAACAGCGGAAGCAAGGAGGCGGCTAAGCACCGTTTCTACGTCACATGTCGCCAAGCACTCGCCCGAAGATGTCGAGAAGCTGCACGCCCTGCAAAAGCAGCTCTCCGAGAGCGAGGCCACCGTCGCCAGCCTCCAGGCCGAACTCGACGCCGTCAAGGAAAAAATGGCCCAGTTTGCCCTTTCCGCAGAGGAGGAATCGTCCAAGGTTGAAACCGCCACCGAGGCTATCCGTCACGAGCATGCGGCCAAGATTGACAAGATGGCCCTGGAGCATGCCGAAGAGCTCAAGGCCCTGCAGACCCGTCTGGCCGACGCCGAGGCCAAGTACGCTGCTCTGGAAGAGACCTCCATCAAGGAACTCGAGGCCGCCAAGGCCTTGGCTCTCGAACAAGGCGACGAGAAGACCGCTGCCGTTCTTGAGGAGCTGAAGGAGTCTCACAAGGCTGAGTTGGAGGCTCTGAAGACTGAACTGGCCGACCAGCAAGCCGCAGCGAGCGAATACGCCGAGCAGATCAAGGCGTTGAAGATTGAACTTGACGCTCAGAAGGCCGGCTTGGACGCCGCCAACGAAGTCCTCGAACAGAAGGCCGCCGCCTTTGACGAGCTCGACCGTGAACTGAAGGGCCGTGATCAGGTGGTGGAGAACCTCGAAACCGAGATGAAGAAGTTGGATGATTCCAAGCAGGAGGCAATCCGTGCAGCTGAGGAGTCGGCCAAACAGGCCATCACCTCTCTAGAGGAGCAAGTGGCTGCGCTGCAGGCCAAGTTGACCCAAGCCGAGTCAGAGAGCCAGGATAGCACCGACGCGACTAACCAGCGTCTCACCGAGAAGGACGAGGCGATTGCCAAGCTCCAGCAAGAGGTGGAGGCCGCGCAGACTCAGCTCCAGGAGGTCCGCGACGCCACCGCGCAAGAGCTGTCGGAAAAGACCAAGGAACTAGACCTTGGGCATGAGGGCAAGATTGCCGAGCTCAAGGCCGAACACGACTCTGCTCTCGCCATGCTGACTGCCACCCATACGCAAGAACTGGCCTCTGCCAAGGAGGCTGCTGACTCGGCGAGCGCTGCCCACTCGGAGAAGGTCCAGGAATTGCAGGCCGAACTGGAAGCGGCAGCCGCCCTCGCTTCGAAAGAGCTGCAGCAGGCGATTGCCGAGATTACGACCAAGCTGACGACGGATCTCGATGATGTGAAGGAGAAACTGGACACCACCGAACGCAGGCTCGCCGAGGTGCTGCAGGCCTCCGAAGAGAGCACCAAGTCTGCGGAGGCCGCCGCGGCCGAGGAGATCAATCAGCTCAAGGAGCGCCTGGGAACGTTAGAGTCTGAGCTTTCTTCTGAACGCGACATTGTCAAGACCTTGCAGAGCGAAGTTGAAGGCAAACAGGGGGAACTGCAGGCGCTGCAGCAGAACCTTGCGACGTTTGAAGCCCAGGCCAAGGCCAAGGAATCAGACCATGAGGCTGCAGTCCAGAGTTTGGAGGAGAGATTAGCGGTCGCGACCCAGACGATCGAGCAACACATTCAGGAAGCCACAGCTGCCGCGGAGCAGCACGCGCAGGCCATCGAGGCTCTGAAGACGGAGCACGCGACTGAGGTTGAAAAGGTTCGATCTGACGCCACCGGCGCCCAGGAGAGCGCCGTGGGAGATCTCCAGCGCAGGCACGATGAGCTGCTTGCCGCCAAGACTGAGCTTGAGGCCAGTCACGCCAAGAAGATTGAGTCCATCGAGACGGAGCTGCAGTCGGCACTTGAACGTCATGCTGCGGAACTCTCGGCCCAGTCAGAGTCGCGCGAGAGCGAGATTGCCGAGCTGAACAAGAAGTTTGAAAACGCACAGGCTGCTCTGCGAGCCGAGTTGGAGAGTGCCCATGCCTCGAAGAGCGCCGAGACCGAAGCCGAACACAGCAAGGCCATCGAGATGCTGCTCACGACCCAAGAGGAGAAGGTGTCGGCCCTACGGGCGGACCTGGCACAGGCCCACGAGACCAAGTTGGCCGAGCTGCAAGGATCGCATGAGGCTGTGCTGGCGGACCTCAACACTCAGCTGTCGCAGGCCAAGGCTACCGCGGAGGACACCTCTGCCCTGGACGAGCTCAAGGCGAAGATCGTCGAGTTGGAACAGAAGCTGGCTGACGCGGAATCTGCCGCGGCCGCCGAGGCCCAGCGCACTACAGCTGCGACCGACGCCCTCGTCCAACAGCATGCCACTGCGCTGTCTCAGGCCGAGGCCCAACGGGCTGACCTTGAGCAGAAGCACAGAGATGTGACCGTGCAGGTGGAGGAGCTTCAGAAGTCGCTCGCGGCCGCAGAAAGCGCCGCAAGCGCGCAGTCCGAGCAGCTGGCGACGGTTTCGCAGCAGCTGGCGACCGCTCAAGAGGAGGTTTCGCAAGTCCAGGCCAAGCTCGAGACCGTCACCGGCGAGCTTGAGGCCGCCAAGGCCCAGACCCAGGAGATGGAGGAGAAATTGGCCAAGGGGGAGCGGGATCTGAACGATCAGATCGACAAGAATATGTCGCTGCTCGAGCAGCTCGGCGAAGTGGACGCCTCCATCTCGGCCAGCCGCAAGCGTGTGCGCGAGCTCGAAGCAGAACTGGGCGCCCTGAACGCAGAGAAGGAGCTCACCAAGGGTACCCCCGTCGGGTTGGAGGGCAGCCGTTGGGCCACCAGGGAAGCGGGTGACGCAGAGGACCATGCCGTCGGGGGAGACGACGCAGGTCCGGCCGCCACGGAAGGTGAGGACCTTGGCTCTACCATTGAGGGAACGGTGGGACACCCGTTTCTTCTTTCATTTCAATGATCGAAAACGTTCCCTCTGGCGAACTGCGTTACTGACATATTGTTTTCATTGCAGATGGCGAGCATCCAGGAACAGATTAAGCATCTGCGCGCTGCCAACGCGGATTGGCACGATGAGCACAGGCGGTATGTACAGCTCTAGGCACTGTATCAGGTACTCAGTGCTTCTTCAATAAACCATACTGACGACCGTTAGAATTGTTTCAGAGTTTAGTCAATTCTCATGCCGGACAACACCCTTATCGACACCGTTACTAGGTTCGGAGGACGGACGATCGGAGCTGGGGTTGTGATGAGTGGGTATCGCCATTCAATTTTTTCTTCTGTCTGTTTATTCATATTTTGTAATGGCTATTGTATGTAATTACTAGTGCTGGATACCCAATCCACATTTACTCAAACCATGAGTCACAACGTTTTGTGTTTGTAGGATTATATGATATAGTCATATCGATATATTGTTGTACAGTGTGTCAGGTAAAAGAAAGACTGTTTTATACACGCAACCCCCAGCGACCAACCTCCCGCATAGCCTCCTCGCCACCCTCGGCCAAGCGGCCATCAGCATTACTCGGATGCGAAGCACCCAGGACACCCGCGACGCAGCGCCAGCCGTCTCTCCCGCCGCCCCAACGGAGGACTTGATCCCTGTAGCGTTCGCCCGCAGCACGGTCTGTCGCCGCGCGACCGGACTGAAACACCTCCTGCCAGATCTTATGGGCGATGGCCCTGTCGAAGATATAGCTGTAGTACGTTCCGCCGTAGCCGTAGAGGTGGCCGAAGAAGCCCTGCCAGGAGGTAAGCGGGGAAGTATCGGTTGGATCCGGGAGAGAGGAATGCTGCGAGGAGACGGCATGGTAGATTGCCGTGCTGTTGATCGCCCCCTCTGCAGAGGTGGAGAGAGTATCGGCGTTGAGGGAGTGGTATGCTTGGTCGACGAGGGCCATGAGGATCTGGGCCTCGTCCTCGACGGCGCCGTAGATGGAGGCGTGGGCGAGGCGGTCGCGCTCCATGCTGCGAACCATGGACTCTGAAAGCGGGGTGTCTGTTTTCCAGTGGCGGGCGTACAGGGCTAGGACTTCGGGGGCGGTGGCGAAGCTCTCCATGAGCACGGAGGGGAGCTCGGCGAAGTCGGTTGCGCAGCGGGTGCCGGAGATGGACTGCAGGGATGTCTGGCCGAGGATGGAGTGCAGGGCGTGGCCCATTTCGTGGAAGAGGGTGCGCACGCTGTGTTCGCTGAGGAGCGAGGGTTGGCCCGAGCCGTCGGCGGGCGGGTCTTGGAAGTCGCAGACCAGCGCGATGGTGGGGAGCTGGCGCAGCGTCTGGGTTGCTTGGTCCACGGCTGTGGCCATCCCGTCGTTCGGGTGTGCGCTGGGGCTTGAGGCGGCGGCCTCGGCGATCTCGTCGGCGGAGATGGCGCGCGCGCACCGCAGCGTGAAGTGCGCCGGGTTGGGGCTCTTGTCGGGCCGCGAGAACAGGTCGCAGTAGATGACTGCTAGATGGCGGTCGGCTTCGTCCACCACGTCCAGCCGGCGCACGTCGCTGTTCCACGTCTCGCCAGGCGCCGTCTCCTGCGGGACCAGCCGTACCCCGTACAGCCGGTCGAACAGACGCGACAGGCCCTGCATCACCGTACCGAGGGAGAAATACTCGGGGACGGCGCTCAGCTCGCGGGACCGCCGCAGCTGTGAGTATTTCATCACCTGGTGGTGCACGTAGTATGCGTGGTCCCAGGGCTGGAGCGGTGTCCCCGAGGTCTTCATCTGCTGGAGCCGGGCCAGTTCTTCGCGCACCGAGCCCCGGTTGCTGGCGACGAGCGAAGTCAGGAACTTGGAGACGGCCTCGGGGCTCTTGGCCATCTTATCGCCGAGTGTCATGTGGGCGAAGCTCTGGTAGCCGGACAGTTGGGCCAGCTCGGCGCGTTTCCGCAGCAGCTCTTCCAGCCGATGGATCTGCCGTCTGCTTGAGGTCCGAGTGGCCAGGTAGATCTGCTTACGGGCCTGCTCGCTGTGCACAGAGCGCAGGGCCAGGCGGGGGATCATCCCCGTCGTGGGCACAGGAGCCTTCTTGTTCCACCGCTTAATCTTCTGCACCACGATGGGGTCCAGCCCCGCGAGATCGTTGGCGTTGAGCCCAACGTGCGAGGTGGCAGTCTCGGCCCCCTGGACGAATTCCGATCCCAACTGGCTGATATCATTCGACAGGTTGACAAACCGCTGCCGTTCATGCGGTGGGAGGTGGATGGCCGAGTTCGAGAAGTCCTTGATTAGGATCTGCGCCACGATCTTCTCCTCCTCGCTCCAGTATGCCGCCACCTCCGGGCTATCGATCGCCGTCTTGAGCTGGTCGTGCAGCCCCGTCGTCGTGTTCAACACGTTCATATACTCGAACATGAGCGCGTACGCCTGCGTCGCGGCTTCCTGGATCTGCGGGTCCGGGTGCATCGACCGCATAAAGTCGGACAGATCAATCACTCGACACAGCAGGTCGCTGAGGCGGTCCAGATCGCGCGCCATGCCCCGGTATTCCTCCACAGTCCTCGCTGCCAGCACTCGGGCCACGATCCCCTGGCATTTCTGTAGTGTTGTAGTGGCAAACTCGCGAAACCCGTCCGGGCTGGTCAGGTACTGGTTCTGCACGAGACCAGTTTTCCGCTTCGAGCTGACGATCGGACGCTGCGAAAACTCACTCCAGAACGGCTGCGAGTCGAAGACCCGTCGTAACGTCTCATCGTCGACCTTCTTCGAGCGTGATTGTGGTGGTGGGTGAGTGTAGACGGCGCTGGTGGCCGCCGTCTCGAAGCAGCGTGCCGACCGCACGCTCCGCACGCTCTGCAGGCGTTGCAGGCGCTGCAGACATTGTCGACATGTCCATGGCTGCTGGCGGAGTGGAGCCAGCATATTGAACAAGCTGCAACACACACAGAGATACCCAGAGCAGTGTTGGCTGTCCCTTTGTTTGGTCTGGCCAGGCAGGTTTTTTGGACGATCCGGAAGGCTTGGCGGGGCCTTTAAACCGTGACTTTAGCGTTGTTCTGCTGTGCAGCCTCTGGGGTTTTATTTCGATTTCGGTCAGATTGCTTCATATTAAATCAATCGAATTCTAGTTACAAAATACTGAGCTTATATACCTCCAACTATAAATCAAATCAAATCCTCAATATCTGCGTGTAAATGCTATAAATTTGTGGCATGGCATCTCTTGGCGTGCACGGTTTAGACACCACCGCCAACCGCTCCGAAACTTCCCTCGCTCGACGTGACAGTCCCGACCAACAGACCTACAATTGATCCGGTCTGTCCGCCACGATGTCGTTCCGGCCAATGCTTCAGCGAGTATGTCTCCCAGGTTGATTTCGACGTGAAATGGAATGACTGCTGACTCGATAGGGTGCGGTTGGTCCGCTCGCAGCCGCTCTCGTGGCTGGCAGTGTCGCTCTGTACCCTCGGCAGACGGCCTTTGCAGAGGCGCCTCGTGACTCGGTATGTGCTGGCGGGATACAGATTTATTTGTGCAATTGATGATGGATCTGACTTGGAGACCAGAGAAAACCTATCTACGATGACTTTCCGACCGAGACCGTGGAGCTGGTGAAGCCTGCTCCTCCTGCCCCGTCTGCAGCTGCCGTTGCCGCTGCCGCTGCTCCGGCGTCGACGTCTACCTCGCCGACGCCGACGGATATCCTGACGGCCCAGGTGCGCCAGGCCCGGCTGTTCCTGTACTCGCACTCGCTGGCGGTCGAGAACCGCTTCAACGAGCTGCTGTCGCGTGCCTTCCACATCGAGAACGCCTTCACCAACACCGTCGCGTCGCTGGCCCCTTCGCCCGAGTCCGGCGAACGCCTGGTCCCGGGGTCTGTCTACGTTGCTGTGGCCGCCATGGCGGGTTCCATCGTCTCGCGGCACCGGGGGATCGTTTTGCGGACTGCCTCACCCCTCGCCCTCGGCACCATCGCCGCCTGGACCATCCTCCCCGTCACGATGCGCAACGTCTCGGACCTGATCTGGGAGTACGAGAAGAAGGTCCCCGCCGTGGCGGAGCAGCACTTGCTCATCCGCAACAAGGCCGAGTACATCTACTACACCGGTATGGCGCACAGCGGCATGGCCCGTTCCATGATGGAGGACAAGATCAGCATGGCCCGCCAGAAGCTTGAGGATTTGGTGAGAAAGGGCCTCTGATTTCCCCCCCCCCTATATCGGATCCTCTCTTTCTCTCTGTCTCTTTACCTCTTTTCTTTGTTCTGAGCGTTGCCAGTAACCGTTCGGTCGGATGGTGTATTTTCCACATATGTATTGTCTAGACTAGAAGAAGGCATTTACCATGTTCTCGCTATACGTTTGTGCCTCGAGCTGGGCACCTATTTGAGCACATCAACGTAATTGGTATCTTTACTGTACAGAATCAAATATAACTAGTGGTCTCGTATCAATTGGTTGACTCTGGCCCACTCTCAGTGGGATTGGCACCCCCCAGTTTCGGAGGCGGCGGCAGGGGAGTGCCCCGGCGGGAGGGTGCAAAATCCTGCTCCCGGCTCTTCTGTTCTCCTTCAGCAAAGTACTCGTCAAAGGCCCTGTCTGGCGAGACGACTCCTGGCCGTGTTCTCCCCGCGCGACGTCCGCCGCTGTGTCGAGGCTCTGCCTTGTTGCCCGACGTGGGAAGCGGAGGAGGCGAGGCCATGTTTGCAGGAATCAGAAAGTGGCCGACAGGTGCCCCGGTATCTTCAGTCGCAGTATGAGGCGAGACGGTCTGCGAGTAGCCCTGTGCGAATCCAGAAGTGCCATCTTCTCTCGTTTCAAAGACCACCTCCCCGGGACCCTCGACTTCCTCTCCCAACCCAACAGGTAGGCGATGTAAGGCGCCATAGCCCAGCTCGGCGCCTAGGGCCCCTTCGCCGCCCCAACCTCTAGTCGGAACGAGCTCGACCTCGCGCACCACGTCAAACTCGCTATTGTACACCCACAGCACCAGAGTGCGGTCCAGGTGGTCCTCGACCAGCTCACCCAGCGCAGACTCGCCGCGTAACGTGCCACTCGGGGTACCGATGATGTAGTCCGAGTGTGGCAGCAGGCCGGCGCGATACGCCGGGCTCAGCGGCGACGGAATATTCAGCACATGCCAGATATGTTGCGTCGAGGAGAGCGGTGCCAGCTGCAGTGCGAGCCCGAGGGCGGGGTTCGTAGGGGAGACGGGGATCGAGACTGTGTGTGTCCGTTGGCCCTACAGTTCCTGTTAGCATTATACTCCATAAACAGAGCCTCCTTCCCCCTTTCCAATAGACATCTCATGGATACCTTTGCACTCCAGATCTCCAGCGTCACACTCGACCCAGCACAGTTTCGGACTTCGGTAGCAAACAGGTTTGGATCCGGGTCCTCCTGTTACGTACGGTTAGGAGCTTCTCGCAGGTTATCTTGTCAGAAGTCTGTGTATTCCATACAATCGGGTGACCATTGATGCCCACGATAAAATCAAACCAAGGCTCTAGAGGTAGCTCGGCGTCCTTGTTACGTAGCACTTGGAAGCCGAACGAGCTATCCCCCGTCGAATTCTGGCGAGATTGCTGGACAGGCTCGGCGTCCAGGCGCCCGATGAATCGGTTAAAAGCTCCAAACATTGACATTATTAATACTGTCAACACTGGAACTGGCGTGTAATCGTCGGACTTGCTTGTATTCTCGCTGGTTGCAGGCTCAGGGTGCCTGGACGAGTGTCCTCTATCAACCAGACGTGGATGCAAACAAGACAAACACCGACTGTAACGCGGGACTCCATGGATTTCTTTCCTTCCCTGCCTTGAGCAAAACCATCCATGAAGACGCCTGGGTTTTCTCCTGTCATGGACCATCTCTGGTAACGGCGACGTACCAGCTCTCGCCATGGCTGCTGATTTCGACGAGGCTCCGCCCGAGGTCCATCATTATGAGAGCTTAGCAGAGGTGCCGTGGGATATCCAGATGTACGATTGCTCTTGTCCCCCCTCCCCTTGATAAGACACCGATCTCATACTGACATGGACAAATTCCCCAGCTACTGGAAGCAGCGGTATAGGATTTTCTCCAAGTATGATGAAGGAGTCTGGTTGACCGATGATGCCTGGTTTGGGGTGACTCCTGAGCCGGTGGCAGAGTAAGTAAAAGCAAATATTACCACCAGCTGTTTTGTTGATGGTGTATATGCTAACGACTTGTCTAGCAAAATCGCCGAAGATATTGCTGCGACCGCCCCCGAAGGACGGGTGATCTTGGTCGACGCGTTTGCTGGCGCCGGTGGAAACACCATCGCCTTTGCGAAGACGGGCAAGTGGAAGCGTATCTATGCGATCGAGAAGAACCCGGCGGTCCTGCGGTGTGCAAAACATAACGCCCAGGTGTATGGTGTTGAAAACAAGATCACCTGGTTCGAGGGGGACTGCTTCGAAATCCTCAAGAACCAACTCAAGGACCTTGCACCGTACTGTGTCCTTTTCGCTAGTCCGCCATGGGGAGGTACGTCTTCCTCCTTGTCTCCTTGCTTTGCCTGATATAAAAGCCGATCCATTTGACTGACCCTTAAGGCCCCGGGTACCGCTCCGACCGCGTGTTCGACCTCCACACCATGGAGCCATACCCTCTTGCCAAACTCTACGACGAATACTCTGCCTTCACCAAGCACCTGGCGCTGTACCTGCCCCGCACCTCTGACCTTAAGCAGCTAGCAGAGGTGGTGGAAGAGGATCGCAAGGCAACCGTCGTTCACTACTGCATAGAGGGTGCCAGTAAGGCCTTGTGTGTGTATTATGGTGATTTCAACATGGAGTGAATTAAACCCCTCCCATTAATATTTATAGTAGAAACAATAATCTACCCAATACACACTCCTTACCCCTCAGTAAATTCACTTGCTTGCTCTTCTTCCTGTAGCTCTTCTGATAGTGAATGAGCTGATTTCCTCTTTGGGACTAGCGCCGTCCGCCATCCCGCGACTCTCACTTCCTGCCATCCTCCCCTCTTCTCTCTCTCTCTCTCTCTTTTTTATTCTCATTCTCCCTCTTGCTCTTTCTCTCTCTTTCTGTTTACCCATCTTTTTCCTCCCATGCTCTTTACCACACACTCGTTGCTCTCTCGCAAGAAAAAACCTCGATTTTGACGCAGGAGCTGGTCTCTGTCGCAGGACTAAGTGCGCTACTTCCAAGATACTTCAAAAGAGATCACTAGAACATCTCTGTCGACTCCCTTCACCACCTCTTGCATTTTCCACTCGATCAAGATGCCTCACGCGACGGGCCCCACCGCGGCCGACGCGGAGGACGCCGAGTTCGAAAATGTGATGCGACAAATGAACGGTCCGATGAATAACGACATTTCCTTCGACTTCCTGAACCGCGAACTTGAACCCGGCGAAAAGGCAGACGACGCGGTGGACTACGAAGACATAGATGATGACGATGATCTGCCTGATGAAGAGCCCGCGTCGTACCGACCGGGCGCAGCAGCAGAAGACAACGGTATTGTTGACGATCAGACGGTAGCCGGCAAGGATGTGTCGGATGGCTTCGATGATATTTTTGGAGACGCTGGCGGTGATGCCGGGGACGGCCAGCACGCTCCGGAGGACGACCTGGACGATCTGTTTGGAGACGGGCCTGACTTGCCGACCGGACAGGAGGTCGATCACACACGCGATTTGTTTTTTGACGACGAGGAAGATGGCTCTGCGCTTCCCAGCGTGCCAGAACAGATCCAGGTTCCCCCGGAACGAGATGAGATTATGGAGCAAGCTGCAGCAGAGGCCGGGGAAGAAGAAGAGGAGGAAGATGATCAGGCAGAAGATGGAGCGCTGTCGCCTACTGCAGAAGACATGGACCCCGCGCTTCTCCGTGCCTGGAAGCTTCAACAAGCCCTGTTCGCCATGTCATCGAATGTCATGGACCATCCCCCTGCGCCACCGGAGAACGTGGAGGAGCTGCTGCAGTCCCTTTTCCCTGACTTCGACCGCAAGGCGCTCCCCCGGTTTCTCGAGTTGATCCCCCACAAGAAAGCATACTTCCTCGGCAAGCAGGCGCTCAAGCCTCCTAAGTCAGTTGTTCCCACCAAAGTCAGTATCGAGCTGGCTCAAGACCAAGAGCGTATTTTCAAGGCAGGCAGCCAGGCGCAGAAGCGTCAGCTCGAGTCAGAACATCATGGGGTTGTCCATGTCATCGATGCCACACAAGAAGAAGAGGAAGGAGAAGACCTTAAAGGAGATTTTGACCATGACCTAGATACAAACGAGGTTTTACCGGGAGGTGTCACCTTGCAGGACCTGCGAGTCATCTGCACCGACTGGGACACCAAGAGTGACGTCGCATCGGAGATGGATATCGATGAGCCAGAAGGCAAAGAGCATCGCGGTGAGTCCGGAATCGATGCCGAAGATGACTGGCTGTTCGAGACCACCCGTCCAGCGAAGAAACGGAAGCTTGGCCGAGATCCTATGGATGTGATCGCCCTGTCCCATATCGAACTGCCGCTGTTAGATGACCCGGAACAAGTGACCGCACGTATCTCGAAGAAGGTGCACATCGACATGAATGACCCGTTCCTGCTTCTGGACGAACAGGGTCCCGAATCAGTGACGCAGAAAGCAAAGGCACTAGGCTCACTCAAGAGAGACGAGATGGACGCCAACGTCACCCGTCGTCTCACCTCACGGTACAATATCTCCAACGACCAAGCATACGACATGTTGAAGCAGAACCACCAGAACAAGGTTCGAAGCACTCTCGGAAACGTCACTCTAGAACATAGTATGCCGGCCTTGCGGCTGCAGTGGCCCTACTACAAAACCGAGCTGGCCAAGGCAGAGGCCCGTTCGTTCCACCGGCCCGCCCTGTCCTTCCGTCCGGGTCAGAGCTGTTGGTTCAAGAACCCGGCATATATCAAGCGGAAGCACCAGCGAGGCAAGGACATCAAGGCGCTCTACGATTCTACCAGGTCGCTGTCCATGGCCGACAACTCGAACGTCCTGTTGCTGGAATATTCCGAGGAAGCCCCCATCATGCTCTCAAACTTCGGTATGGCCAACCGATTCATTAACTATTATCGGCGCAAGAATATGGAAGATCCGACTCGTCCCAAAGCAGACATCGGCGAGACGGTCGTTCTTCTCCCACAGGACAAGTCCCCCTTCTCGATCTTTGGACATGTTGAGCCCGGCGAGATCACCCCTGCCATTTCCAATTCCATGTACAGAGCCCCCCTGTTCCCCCACCAGGCCAAGTCAACCGATTTCTTGGTTGTCCGCAGCAGCACTGGCAGCGGTGGAAGTGACTACTTCCTTCGGAACATCGAGAACCTGTTCATTGTCGGCCAGCAGTTCCCCTCGGTCGATGTTCCGGGCCCTCACTCGCGTAAAGTCACCACCGTGGCAAAGAACCGCATGAAGATGCTAGTCTACCGTCTACTAAAGAAGAGTGGAGAGCTCAGACTGTCGATCAGCGACGTCACCGCCCATATTCCGGGCACCACCGACATGCAGAACCGGCAGAAAGTCAAAGACTTTCTCCAGCATGATAAAGATTCCAAGTACTGGGTGCCCTTGGAGCCCGTTCCCGAGTCGACCACCGTCCGGTCCTGGGTTCAGCCGGAGGACGTCTGTCTGCTCGAATCGATGCAGGTGGGTCAGCAGCACCTCCATGACACGGGGTACGGTAACGAAGCGGAGACCGCAGGGGACGAGGAGGACGACGGTGAAGGAGAAAGCTTCGAGCAGCAAATGGCGCCATGGAAAACTTCGCGCAATTTCCTACTTGCCTCGCAGGGCAAGGCTATGCTCAAGCTCCACGGCGAAGGCGACCCGACCGGTCGTGGAGAGGGATTCAGCTTCATCAAGACGTCCATGAAAGGTGGCTTCAAGGCTATCGGCGAGAGTGTCGAGGACAAGTTGGACGCGCAGCGGCTCAAGGAACTCGGTGGCCACAGCTACAATGTTGCCCGACAGCAGAAGTCGTACGAGCAGTCGATCCGCCGCATCTGGGATGCCCAGAAAGCGAGCCTTTCTTCGACGGTGGAACATTCTGATGACGACGAAAGTGACATGGACGGCGTTGAGGAATACAGCAAGCCAACTCCACGGTCAGAAGCCTTCACTCCCGCGCCCGCTCGCCGTGATGACGAGACGACGAGTCAGTTCAGTAAGCTTAGCGTGACGAGTCAACGGGGCAAAGTGTTGCGTATCATCCGCGAGTACAGAGGAGAGAAAGGCGAAATCGTTCAGAAAGAACATATTGTCTCCGATCCTCGTGTCATCCGCAAATACATCCAGCATCGCCACCGATTGGAAGCTCTGCACACCAAGTGGGTTCATCCGAACAGATCCATCTACGTATATTAGCCACCAACTAACCTTGAGCAGGCTCGAGTCTTTGCAGCCAACCGGCGACCCGGAGATCGATGCGCGGAACAAGAAGCTGTAAGTCTTTCACCCGCAAGCGATCATGATGACCACCATCGCAGTCTAACCGTTTGTCATACAGACTCGAAGCGGAACTGAGCCGTCTGAACCGCAACAAGGAACGCCGCTTTGCCCGCGAAAAGCAAAAGGGGGTGACCAAGGCCCCTGGCGCAGAGTCGCCTGCAGAAGGGGGTTCCGGCACTCCCGGCAAATCTGGAGGCACCCAGCGCAAGTGCGCCAATTGCGGCCAAGTCGGCCATATCAAGACAAACAAAAAGTGCGAGAAATATGGCCAGGACCCTAAGTTCTTTGCCGATCCTTCCACCCAGAATGGCCCCTCCTCCCCCCAAAATGGAAACCCGTTCCCTTGATTCGGGAGGACCATTGCCATGGAGCGCAGCTAGCCCAGAAGAAACACCAATTCCTATTGAACGAGACACCAGAATCAGGAACAGAGACGGAAACTCTCGAGCCGGTTCTTGGACACTCGTGCATTGTTTGGTGGGCTTTTAGCAATATCGCCCATGAGCATGAGCATGAGCTCCTTTGCCCATTGCCTCCCCCTCTCCCCCCCTCCCCCTGCTCGCTGGAATCCCATATTGTTTTTTTTTTCGCTTGCTAATATGGTCTCTCTACCTACCATCAGACTCTGCCCGCTCCTGAACGGCACCATGAAGCCCGAGGACCGCATGGGCGATTCGGCCTTCTCAATGGGAGCCCCCCCGGCCATCTAATTCGATGTTGAAAACACCAAAAAAAAAAAAAAAAATAACCAACCACCTGAATTGATCCGATCACGTCTTCATACAACTTCCTTCCATTATCCTTGCTAGCAACGATACCCGAACCAGCATTCAGCAACATCTTTTGTTCATTATCCATTCTTGCAAAAAAAGAATATTTCCACCCCACCCAACCTGTACTACAAATCCCACAAACCTACGACATACTAATCGAAAAACAACGAATTTTCAGCCATTGGCACGCATCCTTGATAATTGGAGTGACCTAGGTTAGGTGTTTGGATGGGATAATCCTCGGATGAGGCGTTTTTTTCCTGTTTTCTTTCCAATGAGGCTTGTCTGTCTTCCTGATGCAAAACATACCAGGCGATTGTTTTTTTTTTCTTCTTCCTTCTTTTTCGTGTGCATCTCGAAATAACTTACGAGGAAATTGATCATCATTCGCGGATAAAAATATTTTTCATTCGTGAAACACTGAAATTCACTATTGATAGATATATATAACACCTTAGGTATGGATAATGTTTCCGGCTGCACCAGATACGAATCCCTATAACCATTGGCTCATGCACCAAGATGCACAGCAGTGGAAGCTGGGAGGGAAAAGGGGTCGACAAGCCCTGGTCGTCAGGGAACTCCTAGTAACCATACAGCTCTGCAATCGGTGTCCTAGGGAACAACGGCCGCCCTCGCTCATCGTTGAAAAGAGTGTGAATGGGGTTTGGCCGGCGATAGGTATACCCCCAGAAGGCGTCTTTTTTGCGCATCTCTAAAACCCGTTTGCCCACCCCCTTGTCTCGCAAGATCTTGTCTCTGGGTCGAACCCTCGTTTTCTGCCTCTTTTTGCGTTTCTTCTGAGGTGGCTCAGAATGGTCCGCTGTCCTCTTGCAGCCTGCCAGTGGCGAAAAGAAATCCGGGTCATCAACCTCCGGTACAGCACTACTACCTAGTTCGTTCTCGTTATGCGGTTTGAGATCTCGAGCAAGTTCACTTGTGCGATGGCTCGTAGGCTCAGATACTCTTTGTTGACCGATACATTCTGTGTTTTCACTGGAAGTAGATTCGGTGTCATCGTCTTCGTCTCCGTTGAGACATGCACTGCCTTCAAAGTATCGAGTATCTTCCCAGCCTCGAACCCTTGGCATGAGAGGTGGTCTCTGAAGATGAAGGATGTCCCAGCGAATCCCCCTGAAGAATGGATGAGATTTAATCTCAATTGCGTCATCAGGATATACGAAATAGCCTTGATAGTTTCTGTTCCGTTGATCTTGACAGAGAAGATGCCTTGCTGCTGGAGAGTTCAGGATGTCATTGATTCGATAATTACCGCAGCATAGACGGCGTTCCTTGCTTGTTAGGATACGATTGATCAGGTCGATCGCTGTTGTCGACACCAGTCGATCAGAGGGACTTTGGCTTGGGAAGTGCAACGTTTCTAGGTGATGCTATTTTGTGTATACAGCAGTCAGTCAACACGAGTCACCAGGGGGGGGTTGGATCGATAATGCTGACCAAAATCTTCCGCTTTGTTTCATCCCGGTTCTCACAGGCGAACGGCGTAAATCCGTATAGACACTTTATATATCTGTGAGCTTTCCTGATACAATCTCATAGTAGTAAAGCATTTGAAAGGTACCTCGTAAAGAATGATGCCTATACTCCACCAGTCACATCGACCGTCATATATAGACCCTGAGATAACCTCGGGAGCCATGTATTGGCTTGTGCCAACGATGCTCCTTGCATATATTCTTCGTTCGTGCCTATCACGCCACGCCAGAACATTAGCTGAAGGGGGTTGGACGCCAGGGACCTGCTCTGCCCTCTGCCTCTGGTTACTATGACTAGCCATGTTTGCCGCTGAGTTGTTTCCATAGTTTCCCGCTGCATCTTCCTTGTCCTTTTCATCGCCTTCGACGGTGATACCGAGCCTCTTGAGCAAGGAGTATCTATGGTTGTGATAGTAGGCTTGATCATGCGCCCAGTGGCCATCGAACGCCAAACCGAAATCTGCAATCTTCAAGTGGCCAGACGCGGAGATGAGAAAATTATCAGGCTTCACATCCCGATGGATCCAACACAGCCGATGCGCCTCTTCAACACACAAGATCATCTCTGCAATGTACCATTTTGTGACCTCCTCCGACAGGACGTTTTTGCGGATCAACAGGCCGAGAAAGTCACCACCCACCATGTAATCCATGAGAAGATACAGATGATGCGCATCTTGGAAACTTGCAACAAGTGGAATGATCCAGCGGGAGTTTGCAGACGCTACTAGGAAATTTCTCTCAGCTCGGAGATGTCCTTCTTGGCAGCTTCGAACCATTTCGGATTTACGAATGACCTTCATGGCAAATACCGGGTTCGCCGTTGTAGGAGTCATGACTCGTCGCCGGGCGTACCTGCGTCCGTCGACCGCTGAACGGATCGTCTCCAATGCACTCGCCTTGAAACTCTTGGCTCGCGCGGTAGATGAAGGCTGTTGTTCTTTGGGAATTGCTGGCTCGTCGTCTTTTCGCTTCTCCCTCACCAAACGGACAACGCCGAAGCTTCCTCTTCCCAATACTTTGATCACCTCATAGCCCGCCAGTGAGACGATTTCATCACGAGAACACCGATTCGATCGGGTCTTTAATACTCGACATTGGCGAGAATAGTTCTTTTCTTGAGCGATCCAGCTATTTCTGATACCGAGTTTCTCTTCAGTTGGAAGAGATAACGAATGAAGATACCTTTCCAGTTCACGCAGTCGCCGTTCTCGTGGGCCTTCACTGATAAAGATGGAATGGAAGTGAGTCTCGAAGTAAATTTTTGCAGCCGCGGCAGCCTCGACAGTGACAATCGACGGAGCGGGCTTTGACAATGCCTGATCTGCCTTGGAAGGCAGGCGAGCGGTTGGAGAGAGGACCTTGTCCTGACTCTTACCGGCGAGGGTGACATCTGGTAAGCCTTTAAAGCTGTTTTGGGTTGCCGACGGCTCCTCGGAGGTTGGAGGGGTGGACCTTGTTCTCAGAGGCAAGCTGTCACTGCCGTAGGAAAAAGAATCCAAGCTATCAGTTGTACTATCTCCTTGCTTGTACGGAGGATCCAAAGCGCTTTGGGGTTGGATAGCGCGAATACTCGGTCTCTGCCGAAGATTCACACGATGAATGACGGTCTGTGGCGCAATATTTGTGGACAATTTCCGCGACAACAGACGATGGAGACTTGGACTTGAATGTCTGGGTCGAACGACAGTATCGGGCTTTGCATTCTCTGACACACTTGTCGAACAAGGCATGGTATGGACCTTGTCCCTTGTCTTGGATCTGCCACGCAAAGACACTATCGGCACGCAGGGGCGCCCTGAGATCTGCTGAGAGGCGTTTGTATGATGATTCTTGTGAGCCCCAGCCTCTGCGTTGCAACACTCGGTATCTTGACATATAAATGGATATGGTGGTTCTAAATGATGGTTGACAGTGTCGGCAGTCACAGCACTGGCTGACTGCGGAGGAGTGCCTATTCAGAGTGATGATCCCGGTCAGTAGGGAATACATCCATGACCATGCTGAAAAGGACTATAGGTACAAACCACTTGACCCGACAATCCTAAAGAAAGAAAGCACCTTTGAACCGCTTCCTCTCAGCCTCGACGACACTCTGCTGGCCCTACTCAGTCTTTCCAGAGTCTCCTCGGGGCCCGGCCCATCTGAAACCGTTGTCGAGTCAGTGACCGAGGGAGGAGAATCGCCACCAGTGCTGCTGGTAGCCCGAGTCGAGGTCCAGAAGCCAAATAGGGTCCTTGGCCTAGTCTGCTCTTTTCGACTAGGACTCATCTTGTGAGATGTGCGCGGGTTAGACTGTCGTTTCGGGTGGGCATGAGTTCGTAGAATGATCAAGTCCTATCCCATGGGCTTATGTATAGATAAATGGATGACACGATGGGCACTGTCGAGTGGGAACTCGCGAGGCGTGAGATTCAAGAATGCTCGATTTCATTTTATCAGACGGGAGGAAGTTGAGAGATAATTTAGGCAGCCATGAGCAGCTACGAGAGGAAGTCGCGGTAGAGACTTCATGGGAGTCAGGATCAAGTAACAAGCAAACGAGACTTTTTGAGATTCTCTGACCTAAAATACAGAATCATTGATGCACTGATTGAGCAATGTTTTTCTGTCAAGATTCTGCGATATCCTCATTCCTGCTACATGCATCTGTGCAAAGAAAAAAGAGACAAGTCGGATATCACAGGAAACGATGCAAACGAAAATCAAAGTCCTTAAACACCGGAAACTATGAGACAGAAAAGAACATAAAATAAAGAGATAGAAGTCTCGGAAAACATGGCCATCGGAAATTCAGACGAAATTCAGACAATTAGGTTAAATCTATTTGATGTTCACCAGCTTGACATCGAAGATCAACTTGGAGTTGGCAGGAATGCCGGGAAGAGACTGCTTGCCGTAGGCGAGGTGAGAAGGAATCGTGATGCGACGCTCGCCACCGACGGCCATGCCGGCGATACCGATATCCCAGCCCTTGATGACCTCGCCCTTGCCGAGCTTGAAGGTGAAAGGCTTGCCCTTCTTGTTCGCTGAGTAGGAGATATTCATTAGCTTTGAAACTTGAAAAAAATGGAGGGAGAACAAGACTCACAATCAAAGACCTTGCCGTCCTCGAGCTTTCCAATGTATCTCATGCCCACGGTGTTGCCGGCCTTGGCGGCAACGCCAGTGCCGAGCTTCTTGTCGTCGATCTTCACGCCCTTGACCTCCTTGACACCAAGGGTGCCAGTGGTGGCCGCGGCAGCCGGCTTCTTGTCACCGGAGGGAGTCGGGCCCTGCTCCAGGTTCTTGGCGAACTGAACCTTCTTGTCAGTCTTGGCCTCCTTGACCTCCTTGGCGGGCTTGGCCTCCTTGGTCTCCTTCTTGGCCTCCTTCTTGGTTTCCTTGGTCTCAACGGCAACAGCAGCAGCAGCAGCCTCGCCGTTGTTCTTCTTGATCTTCTTCTGCTGCTTCTTGCTCAGGGCAGCATCGGCATTGGCCGCAGGCTTGGCCTTGGCCATGAGGTCATCAAGTCCGACTTCCACGTCGAGCTCCTCAGCCGCACGCTTACCCTTGCCCTTGCCCTTGGCCTTGACAAGCTTGGGGGCCTCCTCCTCGTCGCTCTCGACCTCGGTGATGCGAGGGTTCTCCAGGTCGTCGAGGTCATCGCTCTCATCGTCCTCATCCATGAGGTCCTCGAGGTCAATATCGAGCTCATCCTCGTCGGGGGAGAGGTCATACTCGTCCTCGCTGTCCTCGTCCTCATCGTGGTGATGGTGGTCATCGGCAGGAATAACATAGTTTCCAGTCAAGTAGACAGTATGGGTACCAGTGACCTTGAAGTAAACGCGCTCGTTCTCCGACACGGTGATGTCGAGGGTCTGCTGGTAGTTCTGCAGAGTGAAATCTCGAGTTAGTCCGGTGTGGGGAGGGGGGGAGGGGTCTAACAGCCAAGGGACGTAGAATAAGATCAAAACCTACCCTCTCGGGATCCAAAGTGCAGACAACCATCTCCTCGAGATCGAGGCCTTCATCGTCCTCATCGTCCTCATCATCATCATCGCCAAAAGCAGGAGCCTTGCCCTTGATGAGCTTCGAAATGGCAGCCTTCAGGTCGAACTCCTCATCATCGTCTTCATCCTCATCATCATCATCTTCCATAGCATCCTCCATCTCCTTGAGAGCAGCGGCCTCCTTGAGCTTGCGAGCCTTCTCCTTGTCGCTGGGACCGCCGTTGACTTCCTCATCGTCCGAGTCCTCGTCGCTCTCCTCCTCGTCGTCTTCGTAGTCTTCATCATCAGACTCCTCCAGTTCCATGCCAGGAGGAGGACGGATCAGCTTGAGAGTAGCACGAGGCTTGCTGGACTCATTTCCCTCTTCAAAGTCAGGCTCCTCATCGGGGTCAATGGCAGCCATGCTGACGCGGAACTATACCGACACAAGATTAGCCTCCATCATTGCTCGATCCGTCTCATCTTTTTTTTTTCCATTTTCTTCTCCCAGACAATACAGTTACTCACCATAGCAGCAGCCTCAGGAACGGCAGGAATAAGAGCGCCGGGGGGGACCCGGAGGGCATAGACTGCGACAGGCTGAACACCGGACATCTTGGTAGTGCTGTATCAACGAAAGATAGGATGAAAGTTGGCAGAAAGTTCTTGGAAACAAAGAGAATGACACAATTCCAAACGACGAACAAGGTCAATGTCACGAAACCAAGGCTATCTATCCACAATCGATCGTGCGGTGATGGGGGAAAGGATGAAGAAAGCGGCGGACCAGACGAAGAGGGAAAAAACACTGCCGGGCAAGAAGAGGCGGAGAAGAAACGGCGGAAACTTTTTTTTTGCAGTAAAACTCGTGGCCAATCACAGCCGATTTCCTGTTGCTCCGGTTTCGGTTCTGCCGATTCTGACCGCCTGCCGTCACATGACAGCGTGATGCCTGTTCGCGTCGTTCCGCCACCGCGGCGTGTCGCAGCTGCCAGAAGGATGGCGACGATGGGTATCTACTCGGTAGGTACGAGCTCCGCAGGATGGGCTCTCTGCTAAACACCAAGACTGGCTCGGTACGCAAACGGATTGAAAGCCGTACGGTCCCTTCCCGTGGTCCCTGGAGGAGAGCGTTGGCTAAGCTGGTTCTAGATACTTTCGAGGATGAGGCCGGCGAGGAGTACGATGCGTCGCGGTTTGGAGGCTTTGGCGATTATATGCGCCGCAAGAAGATCAAGCTGCAGAATCTAGATGCAGAAATCAGATCCTCCTCCGCGGGTAATCCGCCCATTTTCCGCGGCGTGGTGGCCCATGTGAATGGCTACACGCAGCCCTCGTTGCAGGACCTCCATCGGTTGATTGTGGGCCATGGCGGCGGGTTTCTGCAGTATCTGGATGGCAAGACCGCCGCGACGCATGTCATCGCGAGCTCTCTAACGCCGAAGAAGAGAGAGGAGTTCCGCAGGTACCGCGTCGTCCAGCCGGCATGGGTGGTGGAGAGCGTGAGGGCTGGGCGGCTGCTCCCCTGGGATTCTTTCCGAGTAGTAGATGAGGGACATGCCCAGAAGGTGTTACGGTTTGACAACGGCCGGGTCTCGAGTCAGATCAATACAAATCCGCCGTCAGCCTACAAGACCCAATCCCGTTCCAGCTGGTATGCTTCTCAATTGAAGAGTGTGGATATAGAGGCCGGAACACCCTCTACATCTCAGAAAACATTAGAAAATCATGATTCTAATGCAGGAGCAAATTTAATCCCAAGCGACGACATTCAGTCTGACTATGGCGACTTTCCCAGTTTCAACACGCTAGATGCCACACAGACAGATTTTCCCGTGATTGAAGAAGCATATGTTCCGAAACAGGCTGTGGCAGAAATAGAAGAATACTATTCTCCACCTCGTATCATTCAAAGTGAGCCGATCCCAGTCACAAAGCCAGATTCTAGTACTTCGCCATTGCCACTCGCTCGGGAACCAGCGTCTTTGAAGACAGGTATGTCGTCCGAGGAATACAACGCGCAGCTATTGTCAGACCCGAAAACGAGAAACACCAGTGTCGGGAACCCAGAATTCCTCCAACAATACTATCGTGAATCACGATTACACCATCTGTCGACGTGGAAAGCCGAGCTGAAAGCACAACTCATGTCCGCGGCCAAAGAAAAGTCCCAAACTCAGACCAGTCGCCCCAAGTTGGGCCCTGGTGTGAGAAGATACATTCTACATGTGGATTTTGATTCTTTTTTCGCTGCAGTCTCCATCCGTAAACATCCAGAGCTAGAAGGAAAACCCGTTGCTATCGCTCATGGAACCGGATCTGGCTCAGAGATCGCGAGCTGCAACTATTCTGCTCGTGACTTTGGTCTTAAGAACGGCATGTGGATGAAGAGTGCTCTCCAGATGTGTCCGGGTCTGAAAGTTCTTCCCTATGATTTCCCTGCCTACGAGGATGCCAGTCAAAAGTTTTATGCCGCAGTCCTGGCCGTTGACGGCGTCGTACAGAGTGTCAGTATTGATGAAGCTCTCATTGACGTCACAGGTCAATGTCTCCGAGCTGGCGGATCTGACGGCCGCGGTGTATCAGAAGGTTCCATATACGGGGAGGAAGCCAAAGCGGATGAGATTGCTGAATGCCTTCGAGCGTCAGTGAAAGAGAAGACTGGGTGTGATGTGTCTGTGGGAATCGGTGGGAACATCTTGCTCGCTAAAGTGGCTCTCCGACGAGCGAAACCAGCGGGACAGTTCCAATTGAAACCAGACGCGGTATTGGATTTCATCGGAGAGTTGACAGTCCGGGATCTACCTGGTGTCGGGCACAGCCTGAGTGCCAAGTTGGAAGAAATCGGTGTCAAATTCGTCAAAGACATCCGCACTCTGTCTAAAGAAAGGCTTACCTCTAGTCTCGGGCCGAAAACAGGCGCCAAAATGTGGGACTATGCCCGTGGCATCGACCAGTCTGAGGTGGGCCATGAGGTTGTCAGAAAGTCCGTGTCAGCCGAGGTGAACTGGGGCATCCGATTTACCAACCAGATCCAGGCAGAAGACTTTGTAAGGTCCCTGTGTGACGAGCTCCACCGCAGGCTCATCGACAACTTGGTCAAAGGCAGGCAGTTGACGCTCAAGGTCATGAGAAGAGCGCCTGATGCCCCGTTAGAACCCGCGAAACATCTGGGACATGGCAAGTGCGATGTCTTCAACAAAAGCGTGATGCTTGGTGTCGCCACCAACGCACAAGATGTTATAGGGAAAGAAGCCGTGTCCATGCTCAAGAGCTTCAACCTTTCCTCCGGCGACCTAAGAGGTCTCGGCGTGCAAATGACGAAACTGGAACCTCTCAAGCCCGGCCCGATGGAGAGCAGTCAAATGCAACTACAATTCAACAAGTCTCCGGCCCGCAAGAAGGTGGAACAGAACATTGATCCAGACGACGTGGACAGCCCCAGGAAAGGCGATAGGCATGGCTTGAGTGCAGCCGAGTCCTCGAGACTTGCACCCTCGTTGAATGACAGCAGTCACAAACCACTGAACCTATCAGGCACGCAATTCATCATGCCGACTCAAGCCGATCCGGAGGTTCTTGCCGAGTTGCCTGGCGACATCAGGTCCAGGCTCATCTCCCAGGGGAAATCGAGGCCAGATGCTGTACGGCCTGTGTCCCCAACACCTCTGCCTCGCCCCCGCAGGCAGGGCACCGCCGCACCTGCCGAGTTTCCACCCCAATCGCAGCTGGATCCTGACACCCTCGCCGCTCTACCAGACGATGTAAGGGCGGAGATCTTGGCTTACTACGACCCCCAGCAACCCTCTAGGCCCATGCCATTGGAGCCACCTCACGCCCCATCGGCAGGATCTCTCCGGTTGAAGAAACCCACGACGCCGACGAAGAGACGACGTGGCCGCCCCAGCACCAAGGCTCTAGGCAATATGAAGTTGACCCAGTCTAACTTCACCGCAGTGCGGCCTCGGACGTCCGACTCAACCACCGCCGAAGATGCAATGCGTCCCCAGTCGTCCTCATCCGGACACGAGGTTCCAACTTTGGACGCATCGGAGGTCTCTACCGAATTTCTCGCCGCTCTACCAGAGGACATCCGCCAGGAGATTCTAGCAGAGCAGCGGCGAGCGCAGCAGCAGCAACGGATAGCAAACACGCGAAAAGCACCCGCTCCTCCTCTCCCTCCACAGCGGAGAGGACCCGTCCTCCCACCGCTGCCCGCGCGACCAACCTTCACCGCACAGAAACTCACCCAGCTGCCAGACCTCCGTCATGCCGTGGACGAATGGCACTCTGCCTTTTCCACAGAGGGGCCCTTTGCCGAAGACGTCGCCGCACTAAGCAAGTATCTACACCGGGTGATTGTCGAGGAAAAAGATATCGACAAGGCCGTCTCCGTGGTGAACTGGACGAGCTGGTTGATTGGGCGGCAGCAGCAGCCCGCAGAGATAACCCCCACTCCGCGCAGTTCCAATGGAAGCTTCTCCTCCTCCCTCGATGTGGTGGCTTGGGATCGTGCTCTGGCAAGTTTACAGGAGACTGTTGTCTCGGCGTTGGAGGAACGGGGCCTGCCACCTGTTGATTTTGATTGATGATTTTGATTTATGAGTAATGATCTTATAATGCATATACCTGTATAAGTTATCTTGTGTTTATTCATGAAGCCACTACATAATAAATATTTATGGAGTCAGTGATTCTTATGGTTAGGGGTATATATTTAAAAATACAATGGGTTATGAAATGTCCAGTGACAAGACAATTAGAAATTATATGTGAATGGATCGGTCGGGATATTTTGAAAAGCCTAGATAGTAAGCATATGCATATTGTCTTGGGAAAAAAAAAGACAAAAAAGACAAAAACCTACCCATGAATCTAACTGGGTCCACCAGATCGGACCATCAAGGTTATCAAATACTCCCATATCGTGACCGGGATGGAACGTATCCTCGAGTCCAGCAGGGTTGAAGTCCAGAGCGGTCGAAGGTGCGAGATAGCTGGTCGGGGTTGAGTCCACAGGGACCAGCTCGTCGGCCCCGGTAGAGGGGTGTAATAAGGCCGGGGCGGGGTGGGAGGTGGTAGCATTGGTTGCCTGCTGCTGCTGCTGCTGTTGTTGTTGTTGTTGCTGGTGTTGCTGGTGTTGCTGCTGCTGTTCGGTAAATAGGTCATGAGAATCAAGAAATTTGGTGTTTTTCCTGTTCTGCAGAGACAATGCTGCTGTTGGATCGACACGTGCGGTGGAAGACTGAAGATGCGAACGCATCTGACGGTGGACCTCGAGACGCAGTTCTTCAAGGATGATACTGTACCGGCGGCTCGGGCAGTTCTTGCGCGTGGCTTCGGCGAGGTGGCGCTGGCAGGATTCGGCGAGCTCGAAGAGCCGGTTTACGCGCTGGTCGGTTGCGCTGTTGGAAGAACCATCCGACGAGGAAGAGGAAGAGGCGAGCCGGTGCTGTTGGATGATATAGATGTAGATGACGATGATGGCGCAGAAGCCCACGTAGTGCGTGAACCAGAACGACTGGATCAGCACCCCCTGCCCGCCCAGCGTGTCGACCAGACCCATGGCGTCTTCGGCAGCTTCGATGCATTTCTGCACATGCGCTGCCACCGTTGGGTCCGGGACGCGAGGCCGGCGGCTCAGGTCCGTGAAATCGTTCAGCAGGAACGAGCGTGTGGCGTGGATCATGGCATGGGAATATGCCAGCTGCAGCACTTGGCTCTGTCGGCAAAGCGGCGGGATAAGGCTCGAGGCCCGGACGCTGTTAAAGAGAGGCGGTGCGCTCTCCTTCCATTTTTCCAGCTCAAAGGTTAGACGCACCGCCGTCTCGAGTGTGGAATCCCGCGAGAGCGGATTGACCGTGTACAGCTGCCGGGAGATTTCTCCAAGAATACGACCTAGTCTAGGAGGTGTTAGGGAAAAAAACACACAAAAAAAAAAAAAAAAGAAAAAAAAGAAAGCCAAAGAAAAGCACACCTATAATGTAAAACAGAAGCGGTCATCATGCTATCTGCGGTTCCGGTTCGTTTGAGTGGATCTTCTTGCAAGATATCCTCGTCCGAGACTTCCTCGGGCAGATCTTGGTCGATGTCTTCATCGTGAAGCAGCCTCGGGCGGCCAAACATGACGCTGAGATACTTGTCAAGCGTGTAGACACTCCAGAAAATGCGTTTGCGAAGCTCCTGTTCCAGATAGGCGTTTCCGTTCTTGGAAAGCTTCGTGGGGAGTTTGCGATGCAGACCCAGAGCAGTAACCAGCTGCAAGGCGGTGCCAAAGGCATACCAGCATTCATTTGCGCGTGAAGAGGAGAGCAGATACAAACATTGGCCTAGTCTAGACTGCACCGTCTCAAGCCGAGGAGGTCCGGGTTCCATTGACGAGATGTATTTGGATGCGGCGTACCAGGTTTCACTATTTTATTTAATACAAATCAAATTTCTTTCTTTCTTTCTTTCTAAAAAAAAAAAAAAAAACTCACCTCTCGTTACGATTATCCTGTTTACTTCCCGGTTGTCGTTCCTCGTACAGCTGCGCGACGGCGAAGATCATGAAGACGACGGCTGTGCGGGCGACCATGTTGCCCGAGGGCAGATTAGCAAAGGAGTAGTTATTCTCGTAGACCTGCTTGAGCCATGCAACGACGCTGCCGCGATAGAGGAAGCGGTACGTGACGATGGAATAGTCAAAGTAGATGCCGACGAGCTCCAGGGCCCGCTCAAAGGGAGGCAGCGTAAACCCGGTCTCCTGGTAATTGGAGTAAGGCACATCGCCAAACATGAAGACGGAGGTATTCCTGGACGACTCGTGCTGCAGCTCATCCGGCACGGTGGCCACGTCTTCCTGGTGCAATCGGCGCCAGACCCGGTTGATGAACGAGACACCCGACGCCGGTCCAAGGTAATTGCCTTCGAAGTCCGTCGTCACAGGTTCCGGCGAGTTGCGCGGCGACCCCCCGCCCTCTTCTCCCCCGGCACCATCAACTGCTACCGCCGCCGTCGTCGTCGCAACTCCTCCCCTCGGGAGTCGTCTCGGCTTGACGATCGCCGCGGGAGAACTTCGTTGATGGGCGGCGTGGGCTGCCCGCGGGCTCCTCGTCGCCTGGCTCAAGAGCGACGGCGGCGCAGGAGGAGGCTCAGGCGGTAACCCGCGCGAGTAGGCCGCGGTGTAGTCGCAGGAGAGCGAGAGCCGGGTGCATCGCGCGCACGGCAAGGTGCCGGTGCACCGGGTCTTCTTCCTGCAAGTTTGGATGAGGTCAGCTCTGGAAGATAGGTCTTTTTTCTCTCTCTCAACAAAGCTTCAAAGGGGAGAAGAGAAAGAGAGAGAGAGAGAGAAGAGAGAGAGGGGAGAAACGCTGGCCGCACTCCTTGCAGTGATCGCACGCCCGGGTGATCTTCTGGCGTTGCGAGGCACCCTTGGCGGCGGCATTCGGCCGATCAGACACGGCCTTTCTTTTGCGGTCGTCGCTGGGAGCTGCGTCGGCGGTCCTGCCAGACGGTGACACTAGCGCCGGCGACGGACTGGGCGTGTCTGGTCGAGTCCGGTGGTGGAGGAGGAAGTCGTGCGACCCAGGCGTGGCTATCGGCGTCGTTGGGGCCATGGTTGGGCCGAGGTGCGTGTTCCGGTGGTGAGGGAGCGTAGGACATGGAGACGAGACGACGAGGCAGGGTGTGCGAGAAGCATCTCTTCGTGGCCGGGTCCGATGGAATTCTGACAGGGCTCATCTTCTGGCCATTGCAGGCGCTCTGGGAGGGAAGACGTTGGCGTGAGTCACGGTCGGCTTGCGGGGGAGTTTTTTTTAGGGGGGGGGGAGAAAGTGGTTCGGGATGCACGTGCCGGCGGTTGTCCCGATGTACTGTAGAGAAGAGATAACTACTTGATACCTACCTGAACTTCTGTTGATTAGTTGTGAAAGAACTAAGTATTATGTGATGACAGCTCTATGGTTGTCTAATACGAGGACAGTACACTGCACAGATGTACTTTTGATTGGTACTATACTTGGCGGCCATGTATATCAAGTTGGATCTGTCTTTGCAAACCAGCTTGAGATTGGTCTGAGTGAAGACGGAGGGTATGATAGCACACCATACAAAAGGGCCAGATGCGTATTGTTTACTCGAAGAGCGCCTTGAAATCCCTGTCCTCTGTTGTTGTGCTTTGCGACCCCCCCCCTCCCCCCCCTTTGGTTTCCCCTGGTTTTTTAGGGACATGGTGGTATATATCATACTTCGTTCATTCGTGTTGTCTGTTAAAAGAGACTGGAAGCCATGGACAGAAATAATATCGGTATCGGGTTTTGGAAGAGGGTGATGATGTCCGTCGATCGGCGGTCTCTTGGGAGGATGATTGGCCCGAATCGTAAACCGGTGCAACCTCTCAGATGGCTTTCCTCAAGGCCTCTGTCAAACGCTTTGCCGGTTGTCCGAGTCCAGGTCGGAGAGATGCGGGCTTCTTCTCCGTCGCTCGGGAAGTGAAATGATCCACCCGACTCTGCTAGTCGATCGGGAATATCTGGCGTCAGGGAAGAAGGATATAACAGAAAGAGAGAAGTGAAAGAGAATCATTATAGAAAGCAACTACAAGGGAAGGAACATAAAGAAAGAAAGGAAGGAAGGAAGAAAGAAAAAAAAAGAAAAATATAACCGTGGCGGCAGAAACGGGTTTGACGACTTGATTCATGAGGCTAAGGCTGTGCTGGACTGTGGAAAAGAACAGCAGCGCTGATATCACCCAAGGATAGTTTAGTGGTTGTCAGCTGTGATCCTCCTGATTTCGAGACGACGCGTCGCTGTGCATTGGGGGCGTATCCGACGGTTCGGGCGCAGGTCCCATCTGGAGACCGCCACGCGATTGTGGCAGATAATTGTTGAGCAGCGTTTTCAGATCCTCGACCGATGTCCCCGAGCGGATGGAGTCGACGACTAGATCAACTGTCGTCTGGTTGCCTTCACGGATGGTCTTGAGGAGCTGGTCCACGAATTGGATATACCATTCAAGCTCGCTGGCTACTCGCTTGGCAGAGAGCTTTCGTCGCCGATCCCCTGATTCATTGAAGATACATTCCCGGCCATGGAGGGAGCATTCGGAGCATGGGTTGCCACCGGTGCACTAAAATCACGTTAGAGGTCAAAGGTGAAAAGAAACACGAATCGCACAATGAAACTCGAAAACAGGGGCCTGATGAGTTTCCCTTTTCCCCCTCCTCCCCATACCCCCCTTCCCCCCCCCCTCCCCTTCCTCTCTTTGAAGATATATTCAACTCCAAGGGAAATTCCTTTTTTATCATTTGTTCTTCACATTGTTTTTTCTCATTTATAATTTGGATTCAGAAAGGCCTTTGCCTAGATAATCCAAAAAGGAGGGGAGAAGAGAGAAATAGTGGGGGAGGAGGGAACGGCCAAAAAAAAAAAAAAAAAAAGAAAAAGCAAATAACAGAGAAAGAGAGTGGAGGGGGAAAAAGGAACATAGATATGTACTTTGGTCCGGCGTTTCTGGCACTCAGTGCAAGCCGTTGAAGCCCTCTTGATCTTGCCATCGTCCGAAGTAGGAGGAGGAGGTACGGCAGGCGAGGCAGCAGTGCGAGGCGCAATAGGCCGGAGGGGCCTTAGATTCTCGTGACTGCCTGGGGAAGGCATGTTCAAGGGGGATCAATAAGTCGAAGGTGGAACTGGAAGCAAACGGAAGGGAAAAGCCGAGAAAATGACCGCAAAACAGGCGGGCACTGCCCCCAACGCATGCCTCGGTGGCCTGGGCGCCGAGGAACAGGGGAACGAAGGTATTCGTAGGATTATTTTGCAGCTTTGCTTTCTGGCGTGCCCTGTGTCCCCGGGAGTAGTAGCAGTCGACCCAATCGCAGGTGGGCTGACCGCCTATTCAGGATGTTTGGGCGTGCGCGAGAGAAGCAAAGGGGAAAAAAAAATCAATAATAATGGTGGTCCTGCTGTGAGGGATGGACTGGACTGGACTGGTCTGGTCCTGCGGGCGCAAAATCGTGCCCATGGGCCAGATAAATTGCTCAAAGCCCCCAAGGCTGCAGACAGCTTTCCCAGTTTAGATTCCTCAGCGAAATTAGCTAGGTTCTCCTTGGCTGGAAATCTTCCAGCGGATCGGTATAGAGTAGTACATTGTTGGGGTGGTTTCTGCTTGAATCTTCACCCACGAGACCCGTCATACTGTCATGGGCCGCGGGTCACTGATCAACCAGCACTGGTTCGACCAGGCCCTGTCGAAGTTTATTCGAAGCATCCTGCAAGTGCCTGGGTATATAGTATATTTCTCTATGATTGATTTTTTTTTCCCTGATCCCAGGCGTCGACCGGCTGGCGATCCTTCCCGGCGGTTTTTCCTTTTCGCCCGAATCCATCACCCCGGGAGGGAAGAGGGTCTTCTGACCGTACAGATGGCGTAACCTTGGATACTGTTAGTTATCGATGGGTTCGACAATAATACCAATTCTTGGGCTGAGTCATGGAGGGGGGGGGAAGGGGGACCCTCCCATCACCTTACCTAGTTAGCTCCTGCGTTTTCAGTGCGCGGTCCCAGGCCTCGCAGCTCCCCAGTGGTACGGAGTTATTACCCGGCACAACGTAATAGGGTGCACCCTGCCGGCTCCATTCCTTCGCAATGGTGGATGGATCGTGCCGCGTGGATCCTAGGAGCATAGGCGAGTTAGCCAGCCATTCTAGGAATAGAGCAGAATCGAATTCCAGAGCCCTCGACTCTCCAAAGGGAAAAAAAAAAAAGAGAACCCAGACTGTGGACTGACCTACCTGACTCAGACACTTCCCGTCTGAATAGTCAACGGCAGGGAGAGGGGGGGAAAGGGCTGTCTCGAAACAGATCCATCCCCTAACGCAGCAAGTAGTATAGCAGAGACCGGGAATGTCGCTCGAAGGCTCCTCTCGACCCTTCACGGCCTCGTTCCATGTCTCCCCTGGTCTCGTATCCGTGGCTGAATCGAATGGCGTTGAGTCGTGACAGTCGGTAGACGTCAGATTCCCGAGCCAACACAACCGCATGACCCCGCTAGGCCGGAACTAGTCTAGCGCTGCTGCCCCCGTGACACCAATCACGTGCACGGCGGGCACGGGGGTTCCTTGGATGCCTGGGATTTTATACTTTCAATCCGCAACTTTTCCTCGGTGAAAACAGACGGTGAACATCTTGCTACGATCGCCAGTCTTCGCAGGATCTCCGCGGAGTGTCGATTCGCAGACATTCAACAATCGTTAGTGCACACTGGCTTCAGGCTTCAGGGTACCACTGCCTGGCGATCCACCCGTCAGTCAGCATGCCGAAGCGAGACGCACCAGCCCAGCCGCAGGGAGGAGTTCCACGGGATTGATCTCCGCGCGAATGACGCTGGGCGAGGGTTCAGGGGCAATCGGGGGACGACACTTGAGGTACGTCGGCACTACGGAGTACTTCGGAGTCCACAAGTGAACTAGTTATGACTCGTCTCTGTATATACAGGATGAAAGGCCGAGAGAGAAAACAGAAAAATCCTCCTAGAAAAAGAAGAAGACAAAGAAAAAAAAAAAAAAAGGGTACAAGAAAAGGAGAATAGAAAACACCGTCACTGCCTTAGGCTTCAATTTAGTAGATCGGTCGCCCCTCGTCCCACTTGCGCGCCTCGCGAGGGCTGCCTGCCTGCTGCTGCTGGTGGGCACTAGTACCTGTAGTGTCGCGCGCAGGAGATGGAGAAAAATGGACTTTGCCAGGAGTGTTCAAGTCTGCAGCTCCAACGCTGCCGATGCCTCCGATCCATTCCCAGACGCGGGCGACGTCGCCGCCACGGCCCTCGCGCACGGCAGCCCGGACGTTGGCATTGCCCTCGACGACGGTGCGGACGCGTTTCCACAGCTCCTCACGACGGCGGCCGTGTAGTTCTGACCGCAGCACGTCGTCCCGCAGCTGGCCAATGGAGATGTACGGCTCATGGGCGCCCCCGCGCGCGTGCAGAGCCGCCTGCGTGGCCAGCCGGTCAAGGGTGGTGGCCACCAGGTCAGGCACGCGCGCCTGGTCAGACCGACGCGCCAGGATGCGGGACCTAGCATACACTCCCACACAGCCAAGCAGCATTATAATTGAAACAGGGAGTCGATAAGCGAGGAGAGAGAGTCGGAGGTGCCGCCGGAAGGCACAGGTGAGGGGGAGTCGTGCGATAGAGCTGGAGCTGAGGCCGACGATGCCGGATGGTCTGTGATGGGGTGGTCGCGTCTGTTAGTACGTCAGAACTTCTTCCTTCTCTTGTCCTCACTTTCTCTATGGCATTTGAAAAAAAAAAAAAAAAAAGAAAGAAAGAAAGAAAGAAAGAAAAGGAAAAACTCACAGTGTCTGGCTAACAACTTCGTCACGACCAATAATCTCCCCCAAAGCTCCCTTCCAGAGATCATCGAATTCGACATCACTCATCCCCCGGCGTCGCTTACTAGCAACCGCCTTTTTCAGCTCTGCCTCGAGGATCTCCGGCGACTTGGCCCCCATGCCATCCTCGCCGGTCAATCCGCCACACTCGAACTTGGCGCGGCGGTCACGGAGCTCCTCGACCGCCTTGTCCGCCACAGCCTTGACCCGCCGGGCCTTTTCGCTGTCAGGCTCGCAGGTGGGCGGCAAGGGGACCAAGCCCCCGAGGGACAGCGGATGCCGCTTCAGCAGGAAATCATGCTCACAGTCCGCCTCGAAATTGGGGTAACAGAACGCATGGGCCGGGCACGGCTCACAGCTCGGCTCGAGGACCCCGGCCCATTCGGGAACCTTGGTCTCCGCAAGCGACCAGGTCGGCTTCCCAATGCCGCAGAATCCGATCTCGATCTTCTCCTGTCGCCACCAGGCTCCAAACCCGCCGAACAGGGAGAAAATGACAATCCACGGCGCCCACCTGCTCAAAGCGCCCTGCTGCTGCTGCTGCTGCTGCTGCTGCTGTTTCAACCGCCGAGCCGTGGCACGAACGGGATATCGCGTCTCTGCCTGCGAGCTTTCCAGAGCCAGCTGTTCCTCTGGTGTGAATTCCTCGCCGAAAGTGTCCTCGTATTCCCCCCCCTCCCCCCCCTCCTCCTCCTCCTCCTCCTCCTCCACTGGATGAGCTCTAAACTGCGAGACGGGGAATTCAAACGACGCCCGTGACGGAACGGTGATGCCGTCTTCCTGCTTGACGGGGGTGAAGAGGTCTGGTTGTCTTCTCGTGGTGGTGCGCAGTGCGTGTCCCGGACTGCCCGTAGAGAAGCGCGAAGTGCTCTTGCGCCTGCGGTCGTGACTGAGGGGTTGCGGGGTATGCTGGTGATCCCAGGAGGTGGGCGAGCTTCCGCTCTGAAACGGATTATCATCGGTGAAAACCGAGCCGTCTCGCGAGAGCGACTCCGTCTTGGCTTGCGGGGGGGGGTTGTATTCCGGCTCGGTCGACGAGAGCACGACCTCGCTCTTGCGTAGCTTCCTGGCCGTCGACTTGCGCGGCGAGGTTCTGTCCCTCGCCACAACCGGGGTGGCGAGCAAGGTCTCGTCGTCGCCCGTCTCCGTATCCGACGCCCGTGGATGCTTGTGCACCCCTCTTGCTCCCATCCTGCGTCTCCCAGCCGTAGAGGGCGTCGCAGGGATGCCACTCGCCTCCTGCCCTTCCTCCTCAGCCGTAGACGCCCGGGTACTCTGTCTAGAGGAGCGGCCTCGTGAGACCGTCGTCGACGGTCTGGATTCCCGATCGGCCGTCCCCGCCCGGGACCCCCGGGTCTCATCATCAAAGTCGCTCACCACCGAGCTCGCCCGGCTGCCCATATCCATGATACCCTCGCTCGTACGCCGGACGCGCTCTCGCTCCCGCAACAGTCGTCTCGCCTGGGGTAGCACCTCATCTTGTAGGATGCGGATCAGCTGCGCCTTCTTCGCCGACGCAGGGTACGGCACGTCATGGTTCACGAGGATCGAGCGCAGGCGAGGCACCGTCAGCGAGTTGAGGTCGAAGTCAGCCGCCAGGTATTCGTATTCGTCGGCCATCTCGAACCCCCTTTCGTATCGGTGTAGTGGTTATCAAGATGAGCTGTGTGGGTGGAAAAGTTTGAACCTCCCTCCGTTATACTACTCCGTAAATCTCTGGCGTGGTATTTTTCTTTCTATTCCTCTGGCGAAGAACACGTCGGAGAAAACGGTATCCAGGGCAACAGAGCGGGGCGATCAGACGTATCACTCACCTAACTATTCCCTGAGATAGTGAGTTGTAGGGTCGGAGTACGAAGTAGGTAGATGAAGTGATGGAGCCAGTTCGAGGCAGAGAGATAGATGGAAGAGATAGAGATGGCAATACCTGATAGACACAGGAATCTCCTATCATAAGCTGGATGGTTGGAGGAGGTTGCCTCACGTCATGTCACACAACCCAAACAGAGTCACGTGAGGAAGGAGACTGACTAGTCCGTATATAGATAGCTCAACATTAAGTCAAACATTAAGTATAGTTAGTAAGTAACTATAGTTAGTAGGTATAGTAGGTATAGTAAGTAAATATAGTACGTATAGGTATAAGTGAAGTAAAAATTATTATATATGCATCTATAACCATGCCATTATAGTCCCGTCCAACAAGTAAATCAAATCATGATAATCCCAACACTTCACTTCAGGTATCACTGGCCAGCAGAAACACAGAGATAAATACCGGTCGGTAGAGATGCAAAAAAGAAAAAAAAGACAGGTGGTGAGCATTGATAGACCGATTCCGAGGCTCCTTCCATGCTGTGCAAACCCCGACCTATGCGCCGTCCACAGACGAACAGAAAAGAAAAAAAAAATGAAGAATGGAAAGAAAAGAGAAAGAGAAAGAGAAAGAAAAAAGGGAAGAAGCCGTCGTAACGACAGGTGAAAGGTATGTACGTCAAGTCGACTGCAGACGGATGAAAGAGGAGGAGGAGGAGGTAGAGCTGACGCTGGTCTCTGTCCCGTCGGGAGGGAACGACGATGGCACAGCGGGCCGGACGACGCTCGCGGCGTTGACGGCAAGCTGCTCCTTGAGAGCTCGATATTCGGCGAGCTGGGTCTGCAGCTGCTGCATGACCTCGGTGATGGGGACGGCATGGTCTTCGAGCCGATCGCCAGGCCGGAACGGTTGCATCATATGTCGTAGGCTGAGGGTATTAATTGCGCTCTGTTTTGTTATTAGTGAAAAAAAAAAAAAAAAAAAACGTCAAGGTAATGCTCACCTCGATGCGAGTGACCTGCTGTTCGACCAAACTGATGACAGTCGAGTCGGCAAGCTCTCCGCCGTGGTTCTTGACGATGTTGAAAAGGGCCGAATTGGGCGGGCCCAACCGACTCCCGCACGGGTTCTCAAAGGCGCCGCACAGCCGTTCCAGACGGAGGGTGATCTCCCACAGACGCCAGATGAGGTCGGTCTGGATCTCGAGTTGCGAATGGCGGCTGATGGTGGTCGGGGTGAACTGGCTGCTGGGCGCGTTTTCATCGAGCGCGTCGACCCGCGAGGAAAGCGAGTGCGGGTAGATCAGGTAGAGCGGTTCCGGGTTCTCGAGCCCCTTGAGTTTGCGTTCGCCCTGGTCCTTGATCACGAACCCCTGGCTGCTGAGCTGCTGCAGCTCGCGGCGGATGTTGTGGCCCATGGCGTCGTAGGTGTAGCTCTCGCTCGAGCTCGTGGAGCCCGCCCGCCCGCTGTCGGCAAACAGCTCCTGGTTCCGCTGCAGGTCACTCATGAAATCCGACGAGACGAAGATCTGCCCGCCGTCCGCCACCGCGGAGATCCGCGACGCCCGGTTGACCATAGGGCCAAAGTAGTCCATCCGGTTGGTGATGGGATCCTGCTCGCACACGGGCTCGCCCCAGTGGCCGCCCATCCGCACCGACAGGCCCCGGAAGATGATATTGTTGTCCTGGTCGTACTGCAGGCGACACTGCGGTTGCTCCAGGATCTCGGTGGGCCATTCGGCGTCCAGCAGCTGGATCTGGCAGTTGAAACACCACAGCAGGGCGGCCGTGGTGGTCGAGAACGCCACCATGAACGCGTCCCCCTCGGTCTTGACCTCGTAGCCGCCGATGATCCCCAGCTGCCGACGGAGGATGTCGTTGTGGATCTGGATGGCGGAGCGCATGGCCTCCGGGCAGCTTTCCCACAGGTTCGTGGACTTCTTGATATCCGTGAAGATGATGGCGAGTTCTCCGACGGGGGCGTCGACATAGTCAAACCGCGCCAGGCGAGAGTCGCCCGGCAGATCACGGGGCTTCTTGGTCCGTTTCGTGCTCGGGATGATCGACTCTTCGGGAAACGTCGATGGGCCCATGGACAGACTGGTGCCCCGGAATTTGAACCGCTCGCGCTTCTTCAGGTCGCTCACGCCGAGGATCATCACCATGAGCTTGTTGCTAGCCCCGAACGAGAGGGCCAGGTCGCGGATCTTCTGCGCGGCGAGCATCAGATCTCGGCGGTCGAGCCGCGCCACGTCCACCACCAAGTCGGGCGTCACGTAGTCCCACAGTTCGCGCGAGGCCAGGACGATCATCTCATCCTGCTCGGTGAGGTTGATGTGCGCGGTATGCGGCGCGGCGATGACCGCGGGCATCATCTGGAAATATCCAAACGCACGCGAGACGGAGAGCAGATCGTTGAGTTTGCCGTTGCGAGAGACAAACCCGCCCGCCGCGCGGATCCGCGCGCGTTCGCGAGACTCGGCCGGGTCGTGGTTCTCGGTCAGCGGCCGGAACGTGCCGTCGGACTTGACGAGGATCGCCTGCGCATCGCCGATGTTGGCCACGTAGAGATCCATGTTGTGCAGGTAAAACACCGTCGCCACGCCGCCGGAGTGGATGTCGTCCTGGTTGAGCAGCTTGGCCGCCGCCGAGCCACGGCGGTACTGCCGGACCCCGCGGTCATCGACATTTTTGTACGCCGCCGCCGCCATGTTCTTGTTCAGGGCCAGGAAGGTCCGTCGCAGCGCATCCAGCGGCGTCTCCTCCTGGTCGGCCTGCAGCTTCTTCAACTCCGCGGAGAAGGTCGAGGTGAAATTCTCGTGGAGGAACTTGGCGATCTTCGAACCACCGGTGGATTGGGTCTGCCCGTCGAACATGCCGACCAGCGTTTCCACGTTGTCCGGCTTGAGCCGGGGGACGATCATGTCGATGATGGAGAGATGCTCACTGCGTCCCAGGGTGTCCGCCATGCCATAGGCGACCGACCCGGCCAGCGAGGCGGACGTTCTCACTCGGCGATCCTCCGTCTCCTCCGGGATCGTAGGGATGGTCAGGGTGACGTCCATCAAGCCCAGGATGCGGAGGTGGGTCAGGGAATTGAAGTCGGTGAGATCCGCGCCGTTGGTGGTGGTCTGGCCGAGGGAGGTGACGTTGGGTTTGATCTCGAGCCGCTTGTTGCCCGAGAAGTTGAGGTACTTGAGGTTGCGGTTCCAGTTCCAGTTCCAGTCGTAGGGCCAGTTCGAGACGTTGTACTTGAGCGCATTGCTGCCGACATCCAGGATCGCAAGCTTGCTCACCTTGCACAGCTCCGCGGGCAGGACCTGGAAGCGGTTCCCGTTGATGTGCAGCACCTTGAGGTTGCTCCCTTCCTCGAGGTCATCTGACGGGAGCGAGGTCAACTCGTTACCAGACAGATACAGCTCGGAGAGGTTCGGCCAGCGCTTGAGCAAACCCTGCGGCAGTTCCGTCAACTCGTTGTACGAGAGATTGACCACCCGCAGCTCAGGGATCAGTGCCAGCTCGCGGAAGATGTCGTCCTCCAGCCGATTGTCGGCGAGATAGAGGTTTCGCAGCGACCCACCGAACGTGGTGGCCACATGCTGGGAGAAATTCGAGTCCTTCCGGGTCGACTGGTTGCTCTCCGTCGCGGACCGCGAGGTGGTCGAGACTTTCCTTCCCTGTCCGAGGGACGAGGCGACGGATGGCTTCCGGTACGAAGCATTCGGGGAGCTACCGGAACTGATGACCCCTCCGGAGGTCTGGCTGGGGCGGCGCGTGTTGTGCAACTCGTCGAGAGTCTCGAGCTCTTCATAGGTCGGGGTCATGGACCCGCCGCCGCCGCCGCCGCCGCCGCCACCGCCGCTCGGGGTCGTGGCCGGAGGAGTGGGCGTAAGTTCGAGGGGAAGCTGGGGCGCGGGGCTCCCCGGTTTGGGGAAACTCTCCAGGACGTTGGAAGACACATTCAGGCACTCCAGCTTCGTGCAATGCCAGATCTCCGGGGGCAGCTTCTTCAGGTTACATTCTCTCAGATTGAAGTATTTGAGCTCGGTGAGACAGCCGACCGTGGCGGGGAGGGAGGATAAGGGGTTCTTGATCATGCTGAAATGCTCCAGTCGGCGAAGCTTGCCGATGTGCGGGGAGAGCGAGACGAAGTGGTTCTTATCCAACACCAACTTGGTCAGATTCGGCACATTCTCGAACAGGGAATCCCGGAATTGCACCAGCTTCGCGGAGGCGACGTTGAGAGAGGTCAGGGTCGGGGTCGGTGCGTCGATATCGAACTGGGTGACCGGGGAATGGTCGAGGCCGAGGGTTCGCAGTTTGGGGAAGGAGCCCTTGAATTTCGAGACGGCGTTGTGGCCCAGGAGGAGCTGTTCCAGGCGCGGCAGCTGGAAGAGATTGTCCATGTTGGTGATGGAATTAAAGCGAGCATCGATCTCCTTCAGGTTGACGAGATGTTTGAAGGTCTCATCCAGGGGCCCGCTGATCATGTTGTTGGTCATCCAGAGGCGCTCGAGAGTGGTCAAGCGGCCAATGTTGGGCAACTCCTGGATGCTGTTGAAACTGATGTCGAGGTCGACCAGGGTTTTCAGATTGACGAGAAACTCGGGCAACTCCTGGAAACTGTTGGAGGACATGTTGAGGCTGCGCAGGGACTGGAAGTTTTCGAAATACGCCGGTAAGGTGGTCAACTGGTTGTTGGCCATCTTGATGCTGACCAGACCATGCAGCTGGTTGAGATTCGCATGCGCCAGGTCCGCCAGGCGGTTGTTGGAGATATCCAGATACGTCAGCCGGCTGGCGAGACTGAAGCTCGTGGGCAGCCGGAGGGCTTCGTTACTCATGAACTTGATCTCCCGCAGATTGATGCAGCTCTGGACGAAATCCTTGGGCACATCGAGCGACAGGTTCCGGGATAGGTTGAGGGAGATGATTTCCGGGGCCTTTTTGTACAAGGTGATGGGGATGGTCACGAGACTGCGGCCCTGCAGATCGACATGGCTGAACTTTTGCAATTTGTTGAAACCCGGGTCGCCTTCGAGACTGCTGTACCCGCTGAGCTTGGTAGGCAGGAAGATGAAGCGGCACAGGTAACTATGGTCCTCGCGGCCGATGTCTTCGATCCGGTCTTTGGCCGTGTAGCCGACCTGCTCGAGCAGCTTCTTCTGCATCAAGATCGGCCGTTCCTTGTGGTCGAGCTGCCGGGAGAGGTCGTTCTTGCGCATCACGATCTCGTAGTTGTTGAGGTGGTCCTGCAGGAAGGACTTGCGGCCAAGCATGAGCAGGATGTCGGCCACGGTGGTGTTCAGACCGGCCGACAGGGTGGCGAATGTGAGGTCGATGCGGAAGATGCGAATAAAGTAGGAGAGGCCGTCATCGTCGACCAGGTCACCGTTGGCCTCCTGGGTGATTTCGGGCAAGCGGGCGATGAGATCGTCGCCATGCCTCTTCACTTGCCAGCTCTCGGGTGCGTCCCAATGGCCCGCGGCCTGGGAGTCGGCAGCGGCACCGCCGGCGGCGGCGGCGGCGGCGGCGGCGGCGGCAGCGGCGGCGGCGGAGGTAGAGGCAGAGGTGAAGGCGGCGGCGGCGGCTGCTTGCCCGTCCTCCTGAAAGGTGGGGGGTTGATCCAGCCTTCGCCCGCGGTCCGTAGGCGACAGCGCGCGGGGTTGGCTGACAATGCCCTCCATGTGATCAAGGTCGGTATCCAGCTGCCAGACACCATCCTGTTCATGCAGCGGTTTCTCCTCGCGGCCACCGCCCCCGAGGACGGTGTCGGCATTGGCGGCGGCACGGCGGTTCCGGAACTTGGCTGGGCCGATGGCCAGGCCCTTGCCGTCCTTCTTGCGCTCCGTCTCGAGAGTATCGCTGGATTTCAGGGACTGGGAGCCTTCCAGACTGCCCTGTCGACCTCTGCGCGAGGGGGAAGCTTCTCGCCAGCCCAGCTTGGATGGGGGTTTAGTGGAGGTGTCCTGGCCGGTCCGTGAGCTGCCCGGAAGATGATGTTTCAGGTGGCCGTGGCCTTTGCGGCGGATTTTGTCGAGGATGGAACGCTTATTCGAGGCCATGCCGGGGGAATTCTGCCCCGCTTGCTCCCGCATCATCACGCTCTGAATACTCGGCGTGGGGCTGCTGGAACGACCGCCCAGGGTGGTGGAGGAACTCATTGCGGTGGAGGAGGTCAGGTACCCATCGCGAAAGGGGCGAAGCCCCAGGGTGTTGTCGTCACGGCCGGTCTGAGGGCGGTAGGAGTAACCCGCGAGATCCCCCGCGACGGTGGGGACCTCCTCCTTGCTTCGGGAGTGGCGATGTGGCCGGCGAACCGTGGAATAATCCTTCTGGGAAGAGGTGGAGGACAGGGAATTTTCCCGTTGGTCGAGCCTGTTGGTGGGGAGGTGGCGGATGGGCGCTTCTCCGAATTGAGGGATGTCATTGAAGCTCTGATAGACCCATGGGGTGATTTCACTGGAGGGTAAGGGGGTTCGCGGTCGGGATGGATGATGGGTGGACGACTGATCCTCGTCCAGACGTTCGGGGATGTTTCGCGCGCCGTCTGAATTTGCTCTCTCCCGGGCTTGAAAGAGGTCGAGGGAATTGATCCGGACGGTTTGGGTGTTGTTCAGGCTTGCCGTCTCGCCCTCGGTCCTGGTATCGAGCGAACCGGCCCCCGCCGCCGCATTGCCATTGCCATTGGAGGAGCCCAGGTACTCATCCCCAAAGAACCCTTGTAACCGCTTGCGAAACTTGCCGCTGGCGCTGGACTTGGAGCCCTGACTGCTGATGGTCGTTGCGCTGGCCACGGAGGGTCTGCGGTGGTCACCATTGGCATGGAAGTCCAGGTCGGCGGGTTCGCTGGAGAAGGTACGGCTGGTTCCAGGGCGAAATGACGGGGAGGCGGGAGATGCCTCATGCTCCGAGTAGTCGTGGAAGAAAGTCGCGGGTCCATCCGTGGGGCCGATGCCCGGGGATGCGAGCCACGGCGCAATAGACTCCTGCTGGTTGTAGTTGACGGCGTTCATACTCGGCGGGGGTCGTCTGTTGGAACCCGAGGGATTGCTCATAGGGTCATCGGCTCCGAGAACGGCGAGCGCCTTTCTGTGATTGCCCAGCACGGGGGGGTTGTTATCGATGCGTGGATCGGTGGGGGATACTTCGGGGGAACTCCAGGAGAACATGGAGGTGTACAGATCGTTTGAGGAGGTCGACCAGGGGGGTTTCTTGCCCTGGGATGCAGACCTTTGCTCTCCTGTCAGGAAAAAAAAAAAAAAAAAAAAAAAAAAAGGTCGCTCAAGTCGGTCGAAAAAAGTGCACACTTACCTCCCCATCTTGACAGAGTCCACATATGACGAAGGGTTGCGACCGTTGGAGGCCGCTGAGGTCGAGTTTTGGCGAGTGGGATTGTTGCTGCTGCTGCTGTTATTGTTGTTGTTGTTGTTATTGCTCTGGTTCTCCCTCACGGTGTCCTGTGATAGCCAGCTACCAGTACTTGAGCTCTCGGACCCGTGTCTCCTATCGGACTGTTCGTTCTCGCGCAGCGCCATGATGGAAGCGCAATTTTCCGCACCGCGCGCAAAACAAAGATGGGAGAGGAACTAAAAGAGAAAAGAAAAGAAAAGGGTCGCAGCCGGCTATGACAGCAGTCGCGGCGACGAGACAGGGGCGACCATCAATAACAAACACCCCGGTGATCTCCGACGAACGAAATTCCCACGGTCGGTCACCGTGATTCTCTTCTCTTTTCGATCGATCGGTCAACCGAGGCGGAGGGTGGTACGAAAGGCGCCGATTCGAAACAACCTCAGTTGACAGCTCGGACTGCGCGAGAAACCGGGCCCCCAGCAGCTGCGGGGAGAGAAGAGGAGAGGAGGGGAGAGAGTGTGTGGTAAACGAAAGGAGAACAAGGAGGATCTCCGCTTCGTTGGATGACGAAAACGCCCAGACAGCCGTCGTTTATTTTATTTTTGGTTTTTTTGGTTTTTTGGTTTTTTTTTCTTCCCACGAGAGATCAGGGCGCGTGGCGATCACAGGGAAGCACGAGCAAGGGACGAACGGGAGGAAATCTTAGCGTCGGTCGCGACGGAGCTGGGTTCATGTTCGTCGTGGGTCGGGCAGGTCCATCATGGGCAGCGGAGACGGACGTAAATCATCGATGGAAAGGGGCGGACAGCGACAGAAGCGATGGAAATGAAGGCCACGGGGGGGTGGTGGTGGTGGTGGTGGTGATGATGGCGGAGGTCGTTGGGAGGTCGTTGGGAGGTCGTTGGAGGAGGGAGGCAGGAGAAGGAAGGAGGGAGAAAGCAAAAAGGCAAAAGGCAAAAGGTGAAAGGTGAAACCGCCCAGCGTTGAGTTGAGGCTCCGTGATTTGGATACTTACTCCGAATGTTTCGAATCAGCGAGCTGTTGTGTAGAATATTGGTTCCTTCTTTTATTAATATTTTGAGTATTTTAGTGTTCTAGTATGTTTAATATTTTTATCTTGACCCTTTACTGTTTGATTCTCCTCTTTGACACCTCTGCCGCCACGTTCCACTTTGCTGCTGGGCCTTTCCGGGGGATGGTCCGTGAGATTGTCTGTGCTTTGGATGAGACTACATGGACTACAGGAAGACATGATTTATTATTTATATTTATATTTATCACTTTCCAGTCAAAGATACATAGTACTAATTGCTGTCATTGCTATCATTGCTGTCATTGCTATCATTGCTGTCATTGCTGTCATTGCTGGAAGTTGCCGGGTCTGAGTCACTCTCGGCGAAGGCGAAATCATCCGATTGTCTCTCGTTTCTTTTTTCTCTCATTACTGCGCTGTCTTCACTGACTACGGCCAATCTGGTGGCAGGAGAGGAGCAAGGCTGCGGACCAACGGACGGAGTGAGGTCTCGTATTCGAGGCTGTTTGAGCTGAAGTACGGAGTACGTACGCAGGGCTGATTAATAGCAAGGGAATACGGAGTCCTGGCACTTCTCTGTTGCTCGGATCTGCGCGGGGATTGAATCTCCGTATATCGGCGACTGGGTTGAGTCCTTTCGAGTCTCCGTCGTTGTATTATGAGACAAATTTTGTACAGCTGGCGGGAATGGTGAATTTTAGTATCCTTCTGATCATCTATATGTTAGATATCTGATTGATTCTATCTATATATTAGTTGTCTCTAGAATCTAGTGTATATTACCTCTATTAGTTATACACATAAATACATGATGAACAGAATGACCTCAATAATGATCATTAGAGATAGAGATCAATGGGGAGAGAAGACTGGAAGACAGAAAGAACACTACTACTACTACTACTACTACTAGGCAGGCAATAGAAGTAGTACTTTCCACCCTCACCTAGGATATATATTAATAGCGAGGACCTCAACTAAGAAGATCAAATATGGTTATATTATAGCAGTACTCCATCTTATACCGATTTGAATTTTTAAAGCAGTGAATTGTAGAGAGGCTGTAGACATAGCAGTCGGGTCTTCTACCTAGGTATAAAGGACTTTTATGAGGCACCGACAGCTTCTTAGGAAGGGAGTTTAAGCAGATCTTTAGGTTACTTTAGGTTCTCTAATTTATTTAATTAACCTCCTCATCTCTATACCCTTTTCTTGACTATTGTAGAATATAAATATGCATTTTATCATTATATATATGTCTTTACTAACAGACGAGTCTGTTTAAGAATTGAACCACCATCTTATGTCTTATCATCTCAGGGAGGTACTCTATACCTGTGTTAGTTGTACTCTGTCCTCACGGAGTACAGAGTACAGAGTCTGTACACCGTGTCACTGCAGTATAGTTACTACATACTACCTACCTAGGTAGGTATATATACTTAGAAGCCAGTTATATGAAGTAATTCCCCCCTACTCAATAGTCACCTGCAAATGCACTGTTCTGAACTATAAGGTAGTAAGTATTACCTATTGTTTCGAGTCTCTCACAGTAAGACATACCTAATTGTATAGACTCATAGAGACCTAATGTTGGGTAGAAATAAATACTACTGTTACTATTATTACTACTTAATATAACACTCTTACACATAGAGTCATATAGGTGATATCCATATCCAAGATATATTCATTATTTTAGAATATTAATGAGTGTTTATATCTCACATGTCTATAACTATAGGTATAGAGATAGTCACATTCCATTCCTATTCCAGATGGATGAAACAGGTGTGGAGTTATGATACCATCAATCATCCATGGAGTACTCTATACCCCATCCCTTTGCTACAGAGTGATGGTAGCTTTTGGTAAAAAGAGGCTGGGTGGTGGGGTCAAGAAGAGTTGACTGTGACTAAAATTTAGTTCACTAATACGAGATTTAAGTTAGGCCGCTTACCAGGAGGTACTAGGTAGCTCTAGCAGGCACTGCCTCTTGGTCGCACCTCCGACCGTTGAGAAAATAGGGTATCCATACTCCGTACTCAATATTCTTCCACATGCCTTGTCTGCCGAAGTGCCAAAAATAGCTGAACAATGACATCTTCCATGGATCAGTTACCACCATGAGTGGGGGGAGAACCAAAGGTCTCACCCTAACAGCAACTCGTGTCTCGGTTGAGTCGCCGGGAGGCGAATCACAGACGTCGTAGCTGGACCCTGAAAAAAGGCATCGCAGCCCTTTTGGGGATAGTGGATCCCACTTGACCAATCATAGCCGTGAATCTTAGTCATGTTATCGAGTCAATCGATAATCCGCTGGAGCTTTCCAGGAGCCCCACTTCTTGGCGCCCCACTGATCTCCCCAATCGGGACAGCTGAGCTCTGACGGGAAGGAAAGAGGCTGGACGGGAGATGTCATGAGAGAGTACCTAGGTAGGTACGGAGTACTGCAGCCGAGGACTGCGCCTGCCTTTTCTGATAGATAAATGACAGCGAGGTCCTGCCTAAACCGTTCTCCCTCTCTCCCACTTCCTTCCAACAATTTCCTTCCCCTCTTCCTCTCTCTCTCTCTCTCTCTCTCTCTTTCTCTCTCACCCACATTCATCCTCTTGTCTAGCAATTATTGACCATCCAATATTGTTTCATCTCTCCCATCTGCTTATCTCATCTGCTCATTTGTGATCACCTTTTAACTCTGTCCACTATTTTCAAATCAAACTTCCAGATCACCATGAAGTACTCCCCTCTCGAAGTGGCCCTTGGCTTCCTGTCTACGGCTGCTGTCGTGGTAGGCCAGACCTATACGGATTGCAACCCACTCGATACAAGTAAGTTCTTATTAAAGTATCGACTAGGTCCGGGTGACTGGCTGGTTCTAACTGGCGATTTTCTTCAGCGTGCCCCGCGGATACTGCTCTGGGCAAGTCTGCCAGTTATGATTTCACTCAGGGTGCCTCTTCGGATTGGACTGCTACAGGCACAGTCACCTATGATAGCACCAATGGCGCCGCTTTCACTGTCGCTAAGCAAGGCGATGCTCCCCTGATCCAGTCCAACTGGTACATCATGTTTGGGAAGATCGAGTATACCATCCAGGCCGCCCCTGGAACCGGTATTGTCAGCAGCGCCGTGCTGCAGTCGGACGATCTCGACGAGATTGACTGGGAATGGCTGGGTGGCGATGACACCCAGGTGCAGACCAACTACTTTGGTAAGGGTGACACCTCGACCTACAACCGTGGTGCCTATAGCGCAAACGCTGGCAACCACGATGGCTTTCACACCTACACGGTTGAGTGGACGAGCACCGAGACCATCTGGCAGATTGACGGCCAGACCATTCGCACCCTGACTCCCGCCACCGCGGACACCAACCAGTACCCTCAGACCCCCATGATGGTCAAGGTCGGCATCTGGGCCGGTGGCGATCCTACCAACTCCGAGGGGACCATTCGTAAGTTTTTTTTTTTTATTATTTTTTTTTTCTGCTTCATCTTACTAACATTTCCAGAATGGGCGGGCGGTTTGACCGACTACAGCGCCGGACCGTACACCATGTACTTGAAGTCTCTCTCTGTTACCGACTACTCCACTGGCAAATCCTACTCGTACGGAGACAAGACTGGAACCTGGGAATCTATCACCTCGGACGGAGGCCAGATCAATGGCAACGACGGATCGGCGCCCGCTGTCTCGACGGTTTCAGCCCCGACGGTGACCTCGACTGACGATGCTCCGGAACCTTGGAGTGGCACGCACAAGGAGACCTCGACCGCTTCGTCTCATACCACCTGGCCCTGGGTTTCCACCACGTTGGCCTCTACCACGTCTCTCCCTACTAGCTGGACCTCTGGCACGGGGACTGTCCAGCCAGCTCCTGTGAGTGAGCACCTCCCCGTATGTCCTTTTTTTTTTTTTTTTTTTTTTGAGGGGAGCGTTTCCCGCTGACCTGTAATCTCAAGTCTACCTCGGCATCTGGTTCTTCTGCTTCTACCAGCAAATCAACCTCGACTGGTGCTGAAGTGAGCACCCTTGCCACCAACAGTGCGTCTGCTGCTGCCCAGAATCATCAAGCGTCGTCTTCGGCCACTGTTGCCCCATCGACTGCCGGTGCAGACCGCATGATTGAGATGCCCGCCACCATGGGCGCACTGTGTGCACTCTTGGGCGTCACTTTCGCTTTCTTCTAAGCGATTTTCTTACCTGGTTATTGAACTATCACTGGTTCGGACAAACATTGTATATTTTGGTCCGACCCTGGAATCCGGAAGTATCATGACGTGATGAAAACAAATTTTTTCCCCTAACCTGAGGAAAGGGATTCTCTTGTATAATTTTTACTGCAGGGATTGGCGTCGCCCTTTCTAGGGAGGATTGTTTTATTCTTTTTTTTTTTTTTTTTTACAGCCCACGCTCCTTGATGTGCATACGAACGGTTACGGTTGGTGTCGACACCGCTGTCAGTTAGCTGCTGACGTTCCACTGGCGATTATCTTTTACTGTCCATAAACTTACTAGAAGTACTAATACATCCACCGGATCTTTCCTCCGAGCATTGCAAGCATGTAAGACGATGATAGGGGTATGACATGGGTCAACGTCACCTGTCGTGTCGGACTTGTGGAATAACGACAATCGACTCGAGTGAGCTGGAGTTGTCCATGTGCATTAGATCTCAAGTTCCTAGCTAGGTAAACCGACCATGTCTTCACGAGTGTTTCTGATTGCCAACGGCGAGACCGACTGGACCGACGAGGGAAAACACGAAAGCGTGACGGAGCGAGGGCTGCTGCCACGCGGGATCGAGCGGGTTGGGGAGCTGCGAGAGGCGTCTGTGGGAGTCGGCAAGCTGATTGACCCGCGGAAGATCTTGAAGATGTACCTACCTATGTTATTGATAGGATATATATATTTCAATGGCTAACCTTGCTAACCTGCAGCTACTGTTCTCCCCGCGAACGGGCCCGGCGAACGGTAGAAATCCTGCATTTAGGCGTGCACAGCTCGCAGACGTTCCACGAGCGCGAGAGCGACACCCAAACGGTTACCCCCTCGCTGTTTGCACGGGAGCTGGACGGAAACATGATCGAGGTGACGCCCGCGCTGGAGGAATGGAAGTACGGCGAATATGAAGGGTTGACTGTGCGGGCTGTGCAGGAGGAGCGTCACGCGAGAGGGGAGGAGGCGTGGAATATTTGGAGAGATGGATGTCCGGGGGGGGAGTACGTATTTGATTGCTCATTTTTTCGTTTATGCTTGGCTCATTTTTTCGTTAATCTTCAATCTAGGTCTCCTTCTGATGTTACTGCTCGGCTCGACAAGCTGATTGACGAGATCAAGGCGCATATAGATGATACGGTGGTGAAATGGCCAACGGGTCAACGGGGGACACACCGGCGTGACCAGCCGAGGGATGTTGTCTGCGTGGCGCATGGGCATGTCCTGGCCTCGTTGGCGTTACGGTGGGCAGGTCAGCCTTTGGAGAATGGGATGCGGTTGATTGTTCAGCCTGGGGGAGTTGTTGTTCTGGGGTATATATATATATATCTCTCTCTCTCTATTGCAATGTCCTGCTAACTTCTATAGGTATGAGCATGAGAATCTGGATGAACCGGCTATTATATTAGGTCGTCAGGCGGGAAATTAAGATAGTCCATGTCTATTCAAATAAACTATTAGAAGCTCCCGGACAGGAGGCTGCCAAAGGCCACTCGGCCAGATAATGAGTCCGTTCCATTCTCCTGCGGTCTGCGAGGGGGAGAGGCTTCTCGTCTGACTTGTGGCTCATCTGGTGTAGGAGGTGGTGGTTTGTAGCGTCGGTTCTAGTAGACAAGAATATAAGTATGAGCAATGAATAAGCTACCTAGGTTAGTTATGTTTACCTTGTTTTGGTCTCGATCTTGTTCCAGCTCTGATGGCTGCGTTCGATGAGCATAGAGGCGAACCTAGAACATTTTAAGTAAGTGTTCTGAGAATAACAAAAGGGAGGGAGGATAATACGCCTTCCCCTTTGCCAATTCCAGTTCCCCCCGGAAGACGTCCTGGTTCGTACATCCCCCCTCGGCGAGGGGATAGACACGGAACCATTCCTTGATGGTGCCCAAAAAGCCAGGCATGTGTGTTTCCACATCCTCGATCTCCTGCATCCTCTCCGCCAGCTCGCTGCGCGTGTCGATCGCCACGATCTTCCAGTCCGTCTCGCTGAAGCCGATCACCCCAATCGCCCCGAGAACCTTCACCTCGCGCACTTGGCCGGTGTGGCCGACGTCGCCGTCTCCCGCGAGATCGATCACGTCGAGCGGCTCGTTGTCGCCGGGCAGCCGGCTGATCTGGTCTTCGACATTGGGGTCTTCGAATGTCTACAATGTTAGCGACACACTAGTTGTGTTTATATACGGGGGGAGGGGAGGGAAGAATACTTGAGGCAAAGCCCCGTAGGTCCAGGGATACCCCCTATGAGGGAAAATATTGGGCACATAGCGCAGTTCTCCCTTGTGGGTGTCCGGTCTGAGAGGCGTAAGGAATTCGTCTTTGGCAATCTAACTGAGTTAGTGGATAGACAGGTCTAGTCCTTGTTTCAGTTACCGTCATGCTCTGGTGCGTCCAGCGAGGCACCGTCACGATCATATTCACAATCCCTCGCTGCTCGGTGTACAGAGGGACCTCGTGCCAGGGGGAGAGCAGGCTAGAGCCCCGGCTGAGGTAGATGCGGTGCTCTAGGCTGTTCGGACGGCCGGTTTCGTGGATGGAGTACGCCATATTAAGAATCTAAACAGAACTGACAGAACTGACAGAATTAGACGGATTGACAGAGCTAGATAAATAGTGTGGTGTTGAATTGAGGTATCACCATGACGTGTGTTCTATGATGTTTCCAGTGGATATTGTAGTGAATATTCCAGTGCATGTTTCAGATCTAAGATCGATAATTCTAAACTTGACTCTGATTCTGTCTCTTCCTTGAAAAACACCCCCTGACTCCCATCCAAGGCCTGGTGATAGGACTGTCGGACCCGGTGTAGAGAAACACATCATAGAGCCATCCTCCAAACGCACATCCACAAAACGGGGCGACCATGGGGACCTAGAACATGTCAGCATATTTTATTAGGTACGGAGATTCGATACCCACCCAAAAGTAATACCCTCCCGCCGCCCACACTTCATGGCCATACCCCAAGATATATGTTGTCAGGCGAGGTCCAAAATCGCGCGCCAGGTTGATGGCGTACCCGGTCTCCCATCCGAAACAGGCTCCGATGCCAAAGATGGTGAAGAACAGACCCAACGGGGCCAACGGGCCAGCGCCCAGGTTGCCGTCATCCTTGAGGGCGAAGATGACAAACATGAGGATAGCGCTGGCGATGAATTCGGAGAAGAACTGGCCTGTTTTCGTCATAAACGCCGCCGGATACGTGCAGAAAATACCACCCGTTGCTGTGTTCGAGTACCCGGGCACCGTACGGATGTGTGCACCCCCCTCGAACACGTCGATGGCCGACTTGTAGTTGCCGTAGACGATGAATGCACCGCACATGGCGCCCAGCACCTGTGCCAACATGTACACGGGGAACTTGCGCCAGGGGAATCGACGGAAAAGGCAGTTCGTGAACGTCACTGCTGGGTTGATATGACCTCCGGAGGAGCCACTCACGTACACGGCGAGCATCACTCCGAGACTGTCTACCATCAGCGAATCTTCTAGCGGTATATGAGAGAAGAGAAGAAGTAAGGCTTACCCCCATCCCCATGATATAGACTGGTAGTCTCCCTTCTGGCCTTTGCTGAGAGTGACCTGGGCAACCACGCCGTTGCCGAATAGAATGAGGATCATCGTGCCAAAGAACTCGGAAAAGGCATCCCGACACTGCAGCCGGACTCGAGACCAGCTGAGCTCTCGGGGAGGAGCAAGCTCGGCTTCACCAACCTCTTCTTCCTTATTCGCATCCAGGAAGGAAAAGCCTGGGCTCGTCTGAGGGCTGGCTTTGGCCATCGACATGGTCAACCCAACCGTACCAAAAAAAAAGAAAAATGATGCCAATGGAAACTGCTCTTTCACACACACACGGCAAAAGCACATAGATATAGTTCCAACAGCGACTGTGCCTCTAACACAACGATCAAATGTCTCGTCCCCCCTCACGGGCCAGACGGTGTACGAAGCCAACCTGGGCAATCTGCATGGTACTGGAGGACAGTGAGGTGAGGGAGTCTCTCGACAGGGTTCAATGGAACATTCGTTAAGTTATTTGAGGAAGGATGATGGAGAGAAATAAAGAGGGAAAGCAGAGGTAAAACAAGAAGGGCAAAGTGAGCAGAGAAGTTGTTGGTGTTCTACGGCGGGCTCTGTCCTGGTCAGTCTTTCTTCTCTTCCTTCTCTCACTTCAAAACCTCCCCTCCTCACCACAACTCGTCTTGTCTCGCTTTCTTCCCCCACCAACCCATCCAGGGTCTTCCGAGAAGGCCGAGTCCAGTCACACAGACTTCATCTTCCAGCAATCGAAGAACGACGAGAATGTTCGTTTCGGTGACACCCTCATTTCGTCCATGGTGCGACGACAACGGTCTCGGGGCTGGAGAGCATGTGCTACCAGCGGCCATAACACGAGAGAGACAGAGAGAGAGAGGAACAGAGAGAGAGCTCTGCTATCTTGACACAATTTCTCTCATTCTCGAAACTTCCTTTCCTTTTTTTGCTTCTTGTGAAATCGTCTGCAGCGTTGCATCTTGTGTTACGCCAAGCGAGGGAGAGATTGGCCGACGGACACCGAGAGACACCACACCAACGCTGCAAAATCTGTCTCGCCATCCTGGTTCAAGGTGGAACAAACTGCCTTGGAGTTGATGATCATCGGCTACCTCGAGGCAGACAGGCTGGTCGTCAAGCAAAATGATTAAGAGAGGATTCTCGACCGAGTCTCCGACTCCACACGGCGAATTACTCCGTACTCCGAATCGAGATCCCCAGATAGTGACTAACAACTATGGGGCACTCCTGGAGCTCACTGCATCGAGCGCCGATCTGGAAGCATGGAGCCAAAGCTGTTAATGGGTGGAAGATATACGATGGTCTGTTAGAACAATCGTCTACAGAGTACAATTGAGGGCTGAGATTCGCCTGTCGAGTCCTGAAGGGCTTGTCGGCGCCGAGGGAAAACAAAGCGAGCGCCTTGCCAGCCCCGCGCAGGATTAGCAGCTGCGAGACGGAAAAATTGTGCCACGGGCAGCGCAACCATCACCTGGACCGATAATGTATTTATTAATGCCGAGACGCCCTCGCCGGGTGTCAGGGGATTTTCTCCGTGTCACTGCAGGCGCGATTTCCTCCTCGTTCTGCCTCAAGAGAGCTTCCCCCCTGAGTGCTCTTGTTCGCTCTCTCGCGTCCCTTTTCCCCCTCTCCCTTCTTCCCCCCCGGGCCCCAGAAGTATCCATGCAGCCGACAGACATCTTTGTCGGGTCCATCGACCAGGGGACGACTAGTACGCGGTTCTTAGTCTTCAATCGCGATGGTGAGCCCGTTGCGTCGCACCAAGTCGAGTTTACGCAGATATACCCGAATCCGGGGTACGTCCGTTGCAGTATCCAACCATCTTGGAGAGTTCGTTCTAATCGTTATTTGTCAGCTGGCACGAGCATGACCCGGACGAGATTGTCTCCTCTGTGGAAACGTGCATCGAGGAGGCCACCCGGGAGTTTGAGGCCAAGGGGTATTCCCGACACAGCATCAAGGGTATCGGCATCACGAATCAACGCGAGACGACAGTGGTGTGGGACCACGAGACGGGCGAGCCCCTGTATAATGCCATCGTGTGGACCGACACACGGTCGCAAGCCATCGTTCATGAGTTGAAGCAGCGCCGGGGAGCGACTGACCTGCAGCGACTTTGCGGGCTGCCGCTGTCGACTTATCCGTCATCGACTAAGCTGCTATGGCTGTTGGAAAACGTTTCGCGCGTTCGCGATGCCTACCAGCGCGGCACGCTGGCTTTTGGCACCGTCGACACCTGGCTGGTGTTTCGATTGAATGGCGGCGTGGCGGCTAACGTCTTCGTCTCGGACCCGACCAACGCGTCGCGCACCATGTTCATGAACCTCGAGACTCTCCAGTACGACACCAAGCTGCTGGATTTCTTCGGCATCCGGGGTAAGATCCATCTGCCCAAGATTGTCCCTTCGTCTCATACGACTGCGTACGGGCGCCTCGCGGCCGGCGCCCTCGCAGGCGTGCCCATCATGGGCTGTCTGGGTGACCAGTCATCGGCGCTTGTCGGCCAAAAGGGTTTCTCGCCAGGCCTAGCCAAGAACACGTACGGCACGGGCTGTTTCCTGCTCTACAACGTGGGCGATCGGCCAGTCATCTCGACACACGGCCTACTAGCGACGGTGGCGTATCACTTTGACGGTAAGCCCGTGTATGCCCTCGAAGGCAGCATCGCCGTCGCAGGCTCCGGGATCAAGTTCCTGCAGAACAACTTGGATTTCTTCGGCGAGTCCCGGGAGGTCAATGATCTGGCGCTGACAGTCGACGACAACGGAGGATGCGTCTTTGTCACCGCGTTTAGTGGCTTGTTTGCGCCATACTGGATCGACGATGCTAAGGGAACAATCTGTAAGCTATCTACGACTCTACACAAGAAGCTGTGCTGATCTTTTCTCTTCTAGTTGGGATCACACAGTACACGCAAAAAGGCCATATCGCCCGAGCCACCCTTGAGGCCACTTGTTTCCAGACCAAGGCAATTTTAGATGCCATGGAAAAGGACAGTGGTCATGCGTTGTCCGAGTTGGCTGTCGACGGAGGCATGAGCAATTCAGACCTTGCAATGCAGGTAAACATGACTCTTTTTTCTTTTTTATTGAAATCTCATGTCCCGGATCAAAACTAACTTTCCAGACCCAAGCAGATGTAATTTCCATCCCCGTATACCGCCCGAAGATGCGCGAGACGACAGCACTGGGTGCTGCCATTGCAGCGGGGCTGGCAGTAGGCCTTTGGCGCAACTTTGCGGAGCTGCGCGACATAAACCGGGCGGGGGGCGCAGTTTTTGAGCCCAAGATAGGTCGGCAGGAGAGCAGCGGCATGTTTGCGCGGTGGGAAAAGGCCGTCGGCATGTGCAGGGGGTGGATGGGCGACAGCGTCCGAGCTGAGAGCCAGAGTCAAAGTGTGATTCCTGTGATTCCTAGTCCTCCTGAACCGGTGGTCAAGGAGCCCGTCGTCTTAGAAAAGGAGAAGGCGAGAGACACTCGCATGAACGGGATTCTCCCCATCCCGGTCTCCAAACTCAACGTGGCTAGCGACCTCGACGATGCAGACGAGGAGGATCTATTGCTGGAGCTGCGCAAGCTGGAGATCCTACAGCGACTGAAACGGATGCGAAATATGTATGGATAGAGAGTATAAAGAGTATAATAAATAGTATTTGTATCATCTAATATCTTGATCAAAGACCATCTCTGTAGCTATTTATCTCTAGTAACACTCATGGCATAGTCTTCGTTCAATCGATTGACTCTCTCTACATACTGACGAATATACCCCGGCACCTCGTCGACGCGATTATCGAGAGAAGGCACGGGGTCGCCCAAGCGTTCGTAAACGGGAACGACGCCCGTCCAGACCGAGTCGACGAGATCCGCCCGCTCGGTATCCTTCCTGTCATCATGGGGAGCGCCAGCCCTCACTTTGGCACTGGCGTTGACGACCCTCACGCGCAGGATGGAGGTGGAGCTCATCTCGCTCTTATCGGGGGGTGTGCGAGTATTCGCCCACCGGTTGTCCAGGACGGAGTCTGTGATCAGGCGCATGGCGTAGATCTTTTCCTCCGGGTCGGAGACGAGACAGGCGTACCCGTGTACCACTGCCGAACGGTAGTTGTAGCTATGGCTGTTTGGGGTGAGGGAGAGAACGAGCCCGTCCACCTTGGTGGCGGCGATGCTGACTGCCATGCCGGAGGCCTCGTTGCTGGTGACTTCTCCCTCGCCTTGTTTTTTCCTGGCAAGGTTCATGATTCTAGAACTCACGTAGCCGTGTAGGTAGAGATCGAGGGGTTCGTCGATACCGGCGGACGGATAGGCGAATGAGCCCATCTGGCCGATCATGGGGAGGAGGGCGGGGAAGCCATCCTCGTCGGTGTCGTTGGCAAACGAGACGTGCAGGACGGGAGAGGTGTTGATGAGCTGGTGGATGGTTTGTAAGTCATATTTTCCTATTCAGTTCCGTTTAGCAGATTTCGTCATTCTCGGTGTTGAAATAGACTGTTGTACGTACCCCTCTCTTTATACCGGTTGATCGTGTTGGCGGATTCCTTGGGGTATTCCAGTGTTTTGCCCATGTCTGTCTCTTATGCACAACCGTACAGATTATTTAGGAGTATCTGATGGAACGAGACCATCTTCTCACACTCATTAAATACTTCATATTCATCAGTCATATGTACCTAGGTAGTAGTTAGTGACTACTAGTATTACCCCAGCCAGATTGTCGTTATCGTGACAAAGCGGATATTATCATTGGCCGTCAGGGCCGACTCGGCCGATATAGTGAAAGCTTAAATGGCCTTATGTAGGATTGTTGGGATGACTCAAGTGCATGGCTGGGATGACTCAAGATCTGTCCTATGTTTGGCAGAGAGAGCAACAGAGTATGACAGATGACTGATGCTGTCAGTGCTTCACAAACACGCAGTTCAGCTCCGACCCCGGACTCAAGACAATATCAAACCGTAGAACTGGATCTTCTACCTTGTCCTTCCCCCCCGGTGGCCGGGGCAGGATCTGCTCGAACTCCTGCAGGATCCGCACCAGCGTGTACCCCATCTCCAGCATGGCGAACTGCTGTCCGATGCAGATGCGTGGCCCACCGTTGAAAGGAATGAAGTGCCATGGCTTCGGTTGCCACCCGGACACCCACCGTTCCGGTAGCCATTGCTGTGGATCTAGATACTTTGGCGTTCCCGGTCCATCGTAGTATTCGGATGCCCGCTGCATGAAGATAGTCGAGAAGATGATACGTGTCTCGCGCCGAACACCAATCGGGCTCTGCCCGTCGGCACCTCCGCCGCGCGGCAAGGTGGTGTCCCGGAGCGAGTTGCGAACGTTGAAGGGCACCACCGGGTACAGACGTAGAGTCTCGTTGAGCACGGCGGTTAGGAACTTCATCTCCTTGAGATCAGTGTAGTTCGGGGGCGTGGCTCGAGCGCCGACGCCCAGGCGTGAGGAGATCTCGGAACGCAGTTGGGCCACGACCGCCGGGTTGCGCGACAGCTCGAACAGACAGAACGATAGCGTGGTCGCGGTGGTGTCGCGACCTGCCAGGAGGACGGTGTACATCTGGTCGCGGAGCACGCGGGGGTCGCGTGTGAAGCGCGCCAGAGCGTCGAGAAAGGTCTCGCGTTTCTGCAGCTTGCGGTCGAGCTCCTCGGGCGAGAGCGAGAGTACCTTGTCAATGTACGGCTGCACAAAGTTGTCCATTGTCCGGAGTTCCCGGCGAAATCGCTTGCGGGACAAGAGACCGTTGAACATCCTTCAATATATTAGCGCTACCACCTCTTACTCCTGATTCAGGTGTACTATGTAGTACGTACCCCATGCGAAAAATCTCCGCTTGCCGCTGTTGGACATATCGAAATGCTTCCGCAAACTCTGCCTTGGGATTCACCAGACTGTCTGTGCCTTGCCCGAGTAAGTAGTCAGTGGCAGCGTCCAGCGCGTAGCGGTAGAGTAACGGGACCACGTCCACCGCGGGACTGCTGTCTGGTGCATGTGACGTTAGGCCCTGACCCGCCAGCAGTGGAAGCAGTTCCTGTACGTGTTTCTCAAAGATGGTTATATCGACGATCCGTTCGCGCACAAACATCGGCCGCAGGAGGTGGCGCGAGCGCGCCCATGGCTCGCCATCAGTCACGAAGATGCCGTCGCCTAGAAACTCCTTCCAGTCGCGATGGAAGGATTCGCCCTTGCCGTAGTCCTCGAACTGGGCCGTGAGCAGTGCCTTGATGTTCTCGGGGTCCTTGGTCACTATCACCCGGTTGGACATGCCGGATGAGAGCTCCGCGGTCTTCGGGTTCGCAATCCTGGATGCGCCCCGGGCATTCATGATGGCACCATCCCAGAATTCCAGATCACGGTTCTCCAGATTCGCCACCGTGGCCTTGTATATGAAGTCGATTGCTGCCGGTGTTAGTGTTCTTCAGGTAACAAAATCTTCGATCAGAACTCGTTGATCCATACCATAGGGAAGACGGGTCTGTACCGCACATGCCCTGCCTCCCAGCCTGGCAATCTGTGCGTCTACCTGCCACCTTCTCAGCCAGAAGGCCAGAATAAGCAAACCGACGACCCAGACAGCAGTGTCCGTAGAAGCAGCGTGACGGAGGAGATCCTCAATCATGGCGTTGTCTGCGAGTTTCTCGTATACTCGGTAGATTTCGACCAGCAGCAGCCACGATGAATCGATTCAGTCCCCGTGCATCCTTTATCAGCACCACCAGCGTACGGAGTTAGCAGTCTAGAAACCCTGTAGCAGTTGGCAGGTGGAAGCATAGGAGATTAAGAACAAACCGATCTCGTTTCCCATCGACCTGGGACAATTCATGCGGGCCTGGCCAGCCCGGCTCCCCAAAACAAGCGGGGACTGGTTCCATACTTGCGAGAACGCCGTTATCTTGCGAGCTCACGGCATGTTTGGCCTGCTTGTTCGGCCGGTGAACCTCGACTGTGCTGGATATTGGCTTTCGTTTTCGCTTTCGAACCCGGTGGAGCACGTGATCTACAGAAGGGAAACAGCGAGGGCATCCTGCCTAATGCGGACTAGCGTTGCGAGTGCCTTGCGAACTGCTTGCGAGACTAACCGCCTTTGTCGACACGGCCGAAATCATCCGATGACGATTCAATATAAAAGTCGTTTAACTGACGCAGCAGAAGCCTTTTCGGCCGTGTCTGCTCGATATTTCCAGAGATGAGGAGTATTGTGGATCGACTGTACCGGCGGGGCTATTTCCTACTGCTTTCTCTTGGGTATTGTCCTGCCAATGATGATGATTACTCGGTATAATGTGATAGGTACGATCTTGAAGCGAGTCCTGTCTTCAGTACAGAGTACAGAGTATCTGGAGCCAAAGGCCTGCAGTGATCTCTTTCTAGACGATAGCAGTGATCGATAGAGAATGCGATGGAGACGACAGTACGGAGTACTGCATTGCCATGACAGAAGTGCCTGATGCATATCTCCCCTACTGTACAAGTCAGGCAGACATAAACTTATACACATAGGCCGGGCATGACATCTGGATATCTAATTGCACTACTTGTCCAGCTTAATAATTCTCGTTATTCTCATGGGTCTGTTTCATCAAGTGAGTAGGGAGGAGTATACAGAGTACGGAGTACTCAGTTTTATCATGAAAGACAGCTGACTACCTGATGAGTAGCTGTATGTGGTCACTAACCAGGAGCCTTCCAAACCACAATAATATCATCCTAATTACCATCATTATTGTACTCCATAGTAAGTAACTTCCTCCGATGGCAGTGGGAGTGCTTCCTGCTTAGTCATCATTTCAGTGGCTATATTCACTAGCCACAACGCCACAGTCACGTGCTGTGGCTACTCGAGCCGCATCTTGGCACTCACGGCTTTCATCATCGCCGCGAAGACTGCCTGGCTGCACAAACAACCAACAAAGACCTTGAGCGCCACGCTTCTCGAGCTAGGGTTTTTTACTTCTTTCATCTCAGACCGGTCCCGGAAGCATTTCTAGATCGTTCGGTGCACCTTTTTCTCCTTACGAACAAACCACAATACTCCCGCGACGGTCTTAGACCCCCTCCCTCCGACCAGATTCTCCTGGAAATCATAGAATTTGTTGTACGTCATGGCGACTGTGGTATCGCCAGGTACCCCCCTAGCGGAGGCGTTGAGCAGTGTCATGCAGCCCAAGCTGGTGGAGATGGGTTGGAGCTCAGATAGTGGCGAAGACTCGGCTCTGATCGAATACGTGATCCTGATGTTGGCGAACGGCAAGACCCAGGAACAGATTGCAGGCGAGCTATCTAACGACCTTCTTGGGTTGGGGGAGGAAGGCGATACTCAGGCCTTGGAGTTCTCGAAATGGCTGTTCGAACAGGTGGAGATTCTCAACACGCAGATCAACGGCGGTGGCGCGGCCTCGGCACCGGAGCAGGCGATTCCTTCGTTTGGTGCTCAAGATGCCGCGGTGGCTCAACCGCAAGGTCTGGACCCCACAGCACAAGAGTTTGAGATGAGTGATGCGGCAGGCGACGCGGACTCGATGTAGGTAAACCCTGTTGTACCCGTGTATCATGATCGTTCACATCTGACTGACCTTCCAACTAGACCCACGGGACCAAAGGCCATGCGGAATGGTCGACAACAAGGCAGAGGAAGGATGTTGAACCAGATCAACCGCGCGATGGACCGACAGCCTGACTCGCCTCTGCACCGCATTCGTGGTCAACAAGGCACAGGGCGGATCAACTCCCACGGCCGCGATCATATGAAGGGCGGCCGAGGCTTTCAAAACGGCGGTAGAATGTTAAACGGGCGAAACATGGGTGGGATGGGCAACCAGGCCAATCCCATGATGCAGATGAACCCCCAGGACCAGATGCATCTCATGGCCCTGTTCGAAGAGCAAGCCAGAATGATGGCCCAGTTCATGCCTGGTATGGTCCCCCCGGCCATCAACCCGGCTTTCCAGCAGGGCGGACCTCAGCAAGGACGTTCGCTCTTCGATCGGGTTGAACGTGGACCACGGCAGCAAGGCCATTTCAACAAGCGCGGCCCCCACCATGGATTCTCAAATCGGGCTCCGCAACACGATGCTCAGGCCGCCGATGTCGATATGGACACAAATCCCGACCGTGCCACCACCGCCGACGAGCACGAAGAAGGAAACACGAACAGCGTCTGCCGCTGGAACCTCCGGTGCACACGGAAGGACTGTCCGTATGCGCACCAGTCGCCTGCTGCCCCTGACGGTGTCGCCGTGGACGTCAACGATGTCTGCTCGTTTGGTGCCGCCTGCAAAAACAAGAAATGTACCGGTCGTCACCCCTCCCCGGCCGTCAAAACCGCCCACCAAGCAGAAGAGCTGTGCAGGTTCTTCCCTCACTGCGCCAACCCCCACTGCACGTTCAAGCACCCGGACATGCCGCTGTGCCGCAACGGTGCTGACTGCACGGCCGAGGACTGCAAATTCACCCATATCCAGACCCCCTGCCGATTCAACCCGTGCATGAACCGCACCTGCCCCTACAAGCATTCCGACGGCCAGCGTGGAGCATACACCGACCGCGTCTGGACGGCAGACGGTACGGAGAGAAGACCTCATGTCAGCGAAAGGAAGTTCGTCGTCGATGAGAACGCCCCCGAGGAACTGATCAAGCCGGATGCCGAGGGGTCGCAGAACACGGAAATTGTGACTTGATGGAAGTTTGCTTTGCTTGTTGCTTACCTATTTCACCCCTATGTTTATGATACACCGAGGATGTCCTCTAGGCCTCAATTGGATTCATACCATGTACTACCCTTTCTGTGTTGACGGGCGGCGGATGGTTGGAGGGTGACGGGCGTTGGATTCTTTCTTGATTTCGAAATTGATATAGCATCATCTTCTTCTGTAAATAGACCCGTGTTATAAAACTCTGTTTTTCCTACCTTATACAATTATCTTCGGTAGCCTTGACAGATTTGTTCATTGCAATAGACCTGATACTGGAGGTAGGTCATTATCGGTAACACGATTACCGCCTGTAAATTACAGCAACCGCAGCCGGATCTGCCCACCAGTACAAAGCAAAGCAACAGCTTCCTTGCCCATGTGGGATCTCGAGATCCCACCGCTATTGTTATCCCTCTGCCTCGTTCACTGATCACAGCTGAGATGCGACCGGCATGGTCTCATAGTCGCGCATTGAGGCGTGGCCGGCCGCAATGGCTCTTCCACCACACCGCGCTGGCCAGCAGCACGAGGAGCTTCACCGCGGCGGTCGTCGGCGGGGGTATCACAGGTCTCACTGCTGCGTACCACCTCTCTCAGGATCGAAAATGCGAGAAGGTCACGCTGTTCGAGCGATCGGACTCTCTGGGAGGTTGGTTGCAGTCTGAACGGGTTTCTGTCGCGGATGGGGATGTCGTCTTCGAGTACGGGCCGCGGACCTTGCGGGCGTCGGTTCCGGACTGTGTGCCTTTGCTTGACCTTGTGAGTGAGAGCTAATGAATACTAAATTCCTCTTTCCTATGTCTGTTTGCTGATTGAGTAGATCCACCAGCTCGGTCTTCAGGATGAGGTCCTCACGACGGGCAAGAACACCCCCGCAGCGACGAACCGGTTCATTTACTACCCAGACCATCTGGTTCGACTTCCAGGGAGGATACCCGGGGCAGGGATATTCAACGAGATTTTATATAATGCCAAGTCGTTGATGGAGCCCCTCTTCCAAGGGTCTCTATCGGCTGTGTTGTGGGAACACACGAAACCGATCCGTCCGAGAACGAGTTTCGAGGATCCAGACGAGTCCATCACACAATTCCTGTCTCGCAGGTTCTCTCCACAGCTGGCGGATAATCTTGCTTCGGCGGTGTTTCATGGTATCTACGCGGGGTGTATCGACCGGCTGAGTGCGGAAGCTGTACTCGGCCCGCTGCGCGCCTTGGAAGCCGATGAGAAGTATGGAGGGATCGGGGTGTTGCGGACCATGTTGAAGATGGCGAATGAAAACAAGTCGCTAATTACTCTGGATAAAGTTCTGGCCACACACCTAATAGCCTTGACCAGGCCGGATGGCTATCTCACCCATCTGCGGCAGTTTGCCAAGGGTGTGAGCGTCTTCACACTGACGAATGGTGTTGGGCAACTTACCGATGCCTTGGTTGCTGCTCTGGAGGAATCCCCCAAAGCGAGTGTCGTCACGGGGGCAGAGGTGAAGGCAATCGGTCGGACACCAGGGTCTTCTGATTTGACCGTACGTCTTGTCGTCTCTATTCCACGATGCCAGATGACTGGGAATATCAAGTTGACATTATTTAGATTACTTGTGCCGGAGAGAAGCCAACGGTATTCAACCGCGTCATTGCTACCAATTCCGCGCCGTCGCTAGCGACACAGCTCGAAATGGGCGCCAAAGCAGGCGGCCAGCGCCCTCAGAAAAGCATCGGGTACCTCAAGAAGCACGACTACGCCGTGACGGTGATGGTGGTCAACCTGTACTATGATCAGCCGGATCTAGTGCCCGTGAACGGGTTTGGGTACCTGATCCCCCGGAGCATTCCGTACGAGCAGAACCCCGAACGAGCCCTAGGGGTGATCTTCGGGTCAGACTCGAGCGCCGGGCAGGACACGGCGCCGGGCACCAAACTGACCGTCATGATGGGCGGGCACTGGTGGGACGGCTGGCAGGACTCGGATTATCCCGACCACGATTCCGCGGTGCAGATGGCGCGGTCCTTGCTTGAACGGCATTTGGGGATCACTGATGCCCCCGCCGTGGCACGCTCGAGGCTCCAGAAGAACGCCATCCCACAGTACACTGTTGGCCATCTGGAGCGTCTGCAGAACCTATCACAGTCACTCCGTGACGAGTTCAACAAGCGGCTCACCATTGCCGGCAGCTGGTATGGCGGCGTGGGTGTGACGGACTGCGTCCAGCAGGCGTACCTGGCTTCCTTGCTCGGGGTGGGCTCGACGAAAATCGCAGCCTCCTCCATCCCAGGGTGGGAGGGTCCCATGCAACGACTCGACATGGAGGGTGGATTCGCGACGTCTCCTATCCGGTGGTATAACGGAGTTGTCAATCGGTAAAAATGTACAGTACAAATAAAGTAGCATTACAATGGAAAAATGTAAAATTAGAAGTCGTTTGGTAGTTATCGATCGTGACTCCATTTTCTGACTTGTGGATATGAATGATATCAAATAGTTGGCTACCATGGCCTCTGTCGAATCCATACAGTATTCTAACATTGCTTCCCCTCTGGTTTACATCCCCAAGCCGCTTGGAATCGACTTTTCAGCCGATCTGTTGGATAAGAATACTCGTGGCCCCCTTCGTCCACGTTTGAATGCGATGCCGTTAGAACAGAGATCCCTATGGGTCTTTTGTTTCGTCTGCCGAACCAGTCGGACTTGATATTCCTGCTGTCTCGCAGAAGGACTGTTTTCGGTTCTCTTTCGTGCTTGCTGGCATCGTCGGATACACTCATAATAACGGAGTCGTCATAGTTTCCAGTCGTATCTTTACCTTTTTTTTCTTTCTCTTGTCAAACAACGGTATCTTGTCTGCCTTCAGACTTTCTTCTCCCCGTTCGAGTCGAAGCCCAAAGAGTCGAGCTGCCTGACCAACTCGTTGATCTTGATGACCTTCTCCAGCTGCTCGGGCAGCAAGGCCTCCCCCGAATCCTTCTTCTCGCGCAGCTCACGCGCCTGTCGGAGCTTCTTCTTCAGGTTCCGTGCCTTCTTCTCCTTTTCCACCTCCGGGTCCACCGCCGCGGGTTCAGCTTGCTGGTTGTTATGCCCCTCTGTGCTGCGCCAGTTCGTGGCGGTCTCCGCCCGACGTTCGGTGGGGGTTTGCTGCTGCGGCGGCGGCGGCGGCTTCTGCTGCTCGGAGCTCTTCTCCTCCTCAGCCTTGGCCTTCTTCCGTGCCTCCCGGCGTTTGGCGTTCTTGTTGCTGGCTGCTGTGCCGCCGCTGCCGCCGCCGCCTCCCTCCTCACTGGGGCTCAACCCCTCCGCACCCGGCACGCCACCTTTCCCTCTGTTCTTCCACGCTTCCGCTGCTCGATTCTTGTACAGTTCGACATCCTCGGGAGGACGATATCCGGGGCGGACACGGATCTCACGGCGTTTCGACCCGTCTGCCCGGATGGACGAGGGGATGTAGCGCTCGCCCGTCACGGCGTCGGTGGTGATGCCCGAGGACGAGATCTTGGTGCTGTTGGGGTCTGCCATTCTGCAGTAATCTGGCCTGAGAAGACTGGAGGGAGGGGTTGGACTGGTTCTAGTAATTCAAACGAGTAGACGTGGTCATAATTTCCCTCTCGGAGTCTTGTCTTTTTTTGTGATACGACCCAGCGTCATGGCCTGAGGCAGAAACATCGGAGTGTCAGGCCCGGGCCAGCCAATCAGCGGTCCGGGGATTCCCGTTGCTCGCGGAAACTTCAACCTCCGGCCCAAACTCGACGTCTCGACTGCATCCGAAAGTGCACCTTCAGCAGCTCTCCTCCTCCCATCCCCTCGTTGTCGCGACTCTGGTCTCTCTTGACGACCCTGTCTTGTTCACAATGGCCGGCGTAAGTGTTTCTCGTGTTCTCTGACCGACGTGGTTTCTCAATGGCTAACCGAGATCTTTCGATTCCTCCAGCTCACCTCCGCAATCTACTCGTTTGTCTCCCCTCCTCTTTCAACCCGCGTCCAAGTCGCCCCGACCGTGAGCTAACCCGTCCATCACACAGGACATTCATCCACAGGAACGCCGTGTACCTGTCCACCATTTTCCTGGGCGCTTTCGCGTTCGAGATGTACGTGCCGGCCCCGAGCCAAGACTCTCCCCACCCAACGGCTCATCGCGGACTCTGCTGATATTGGTGTTTCTTTTGTTTCTCTTTAATTAAGTGGCTACGATGTTGCTTCCAACAAGATCTGGGATGCCATGAACCGCGGTGTAGGTTTTCTGCCTCAATTGCTCTCCCCTTGGGCTGACGACTGACTGACGGACTGTTGCAGCGCCAATGGAAGGACATCAAGGCTCGGTACATGCAGGCCGAGGAGGAGGATGACGAGTAAATACTGTCCCGTCCTGCGATGGAGACAGAGGGTTTCGATAAGGAAACTGCATCGCCTGCAGCCGACCTGGACGGAGGTGAACGGAAGTCAATTGTTTAATTAGTCCTCCTGACTGTACGAAATAGAATCTATCACTGCCCCATTTTTATTAACGCAACTTGTCTTCCCTCTGTATTTATATCGCTTTTTCATCTTCTGCATAATCCTGCAGTAAGGACTAAGCACTGGTTGTGCTGCAAATAAGGCCGGTGGCGCTAGAGCCACTCCAGTGTTCGATGTCATCGAAAAAGCCCACGGCCGACTCGAAGTACTCGACCAGCACCAGCACCACCCTGTTTGACCCGACGACTCCCTCCTCTCTCTCTCTCTTCCCCGCGTCTTGTCTAATATCTTCCACCGGTCTATTCTCTGCCCCATACTTCAGAACCGATCTCTCACGGATGAATGACGTGCGACTGTAAATATTGGGTAAGCGTCCCGACTTCTTCATGGTTTCCACCAAGCTCTCCTCCCCACCTGCCCGCAACTGGGATTCTCCCTGGCCACCACGAGAGATCAACCAACCCCCTCCCCCTCCCCCGGTGACGTTGATTTTTGCTTATTTTTTTTTTTCTTTCCAGTCTCGCGAAGTATTCGCGTGGAGAATTTGATGCGTTCCGATTTTTTCCCGAGCTCGACTCTGCGTCTCTGTTGAGAAGTCCCCGCCCCTCATCTAAAAAGCTCCGGCGGTCAAATTGTCAACAGCAAGTGGGAGGAGCCAAAAGGGAAGAAGAAAATAAAGCAAATACCCAGACAACAGTCTTCTCTCTTCTTCCTTGATCAGAGTACATACGGATGGGAACAATAAGCTTGCAGCCATTGCCATAAGCATCAGCCATGCTTACGGAGGATGAGAAGAATCTGGGAGAGGCCCTACGCCGCATGCCAGAGCGACATGGCTACCGATGGGGTTCTGGCGCTGTTCGAGACTTGACGGCACTTCTCTTCCGCTCGATGGTCGGCTACGATGCGGATCGACTACGCATCCTTTTTCCGAGCGGTGAACCAGTCGACCGGTGGGTTCTGGCCGAAGCACAGGGTGCACAGGAGGGCGCAGAATACAGCGATGCGGCGAGGGGGAAACGCTGTGGCCATATCTTCCGTGCGGGCGAGGCGACATACCGGTGTGTCACCTGTGCGGCCGACGATACCTGCGTGCTCTGCAGTCGGTGTTTCGATTCGTCTGATCACACAGGCCATCAGTACCAGATCTCTCTCTCTTCGGGGAATTCGGGCTGCTGTGACTGCGGAGACGAGGAGGCGTGGAAGCTTCCATTGTTCTGTGCCATCCATACAGATAACGATACCAGGAAGGGTAAAGATCGTGCGCAGGCCAGCGTCCCCCAGGATTGGGAAAATGCCATTCGGCTGACCATCTCTCGGGTGCTGGATTTTTTCTGCGATGTGATTTCGTGCTCGCCGGAGCAGCTCCGGTTGACCAAGACGGAGGAAGGCATCCGTCACGATGAAGAGCTGTCCCGGTTACGCGCGGGATGGTACGGTGAAGGAGACCAGGCCGAAGATGAGCCCGAGTTCGCTTTGGCTCTGTGGAACGATGAGAAGCACACGATCCGTGATGTCGCGCAGCAGGTCACTCGCGCTTGTCGGGAGCGAGACAGCTTCGGGATGGAAAAGGCCCATGAAACGAACGATATCGGACGCAGCGTGGTTCGGTATTCGAAGGATCTCACCAGGCTTCTTGCGATCTCAAAAGTCATTGAGCAGATCAAGGTTACTGTCACCGTCAGATCCTCCCGAGATACCTTCCGAGAGCAGATGTGTGCCACCATTGTGGAATGGCTGGCCGATATCTCGGGCTGCAGTATCCTCGACGATAACGAGATCTTGCGTCGCATAGTCTGCGAAGAACTTTTGTCTCCCTGGCGCCGAGGCAGTGGTGCGTACAACGCAGATATCGGTTTAAAGGGCATTGATGACCACTCTAAAAGCGAGCCCTCGCCCTTCCGCACCGTCATGGTCACTTTCACACCGCAGGGACAGGTAGAGCTAGATGAGGATGACGAGGATGATGGGGAACAGGCTCCAAATGAAGAGGAAGAGGATGAAGAAGAGGATGAAGAGGACGGAGAAGAGGAAGAGGCCGCCGATGAAGACGAAGATCCTGAACCAGAATATGGCACTCCCATTGACGACTATGAGGGCATGGACGATCCAGAGGAGGAGATGGAGATCGATCCATACGGTTATGGCAGAAGAACTGAGGAACAAGAAGAAGAAGAAGAAGGAGACGACGAAGACACGGAGATGGATAATGCCGATGAAGAACTTGATGCCGAGGCCACTCTGAATGAGTTACTGGCGCCGGAGGCCACCTCTGAAACCGATGAACAACAAGATCAACGGCCAGCTCAGGAGCAACCTAGCTCTAATGAGTCCGAATCCAGTGACAATAACGCCACTATCTCGATTCCCAGAACACCCTCGGGAGTGACCCATCCTTCACCCGCGAAGACTCCGAGTCATTGGCAAGTAAGATCCAAGACTCAAACTTCTGGCCGGCACGTTCCTCCCTACGAAGACCTCAACCAGCGTACCAGGCTGGACTGGATGATCCTCTTTGACCTGCGGTTGTGGAAAAAGACTCGCCAGGACCTCCGCGACCTATATATTAGCACCGTGGTGAATGTGCCGGAATTTAAACGTATAATGGGCCTTCGCTTGTCGGCCTTGTATACAGCCCTGGCCCAGTTGTATTTGATCGCCGACCGAGAGCCAGACCATTCCATCGTCAACCTTTCCTTGCAGCTTCTCACCACCCCGTCTATCACCGAGGAGATTGTTTCGCGTGGAAATTTCCTCACAAAGGTGATGGCAATCCTCTACACCTTTTTAACAACGAGGCAAGTCGGGGAGCCCTATGGAGTCAATCCAAATGCCACCCTGGCCTTTGATTCGGGGTCGGTGACAAACAGACGCCTGTATCACTTCTTCCTTGATTTACGATTCCTATTGCAGTCGGAATATGTACAGAATCGCGTCCGAACTGAGCCGCAGTATCTGCCTCAGTTCTTGGACCTGGTCAAGCTTTCGCAAGGGATTTGTCCGAATCTTCGTGCAGTCGGAGAACATGTGGAATACGAGACAGACGCGTGGATCAGCGCCTCCATCCTCATGCGCGAGATTAACAGGCTGTGTCGCCAGTTCTGTGAAGCCTTTCGCAACCCGGAGATTGATAATGGAGAACATCTTGTGAGAGCAATCAAAACCGCTGCCGTCTCCGCGATCTTTCACTCCTCTGGAAAGGAACGCACACGATTCGACCAGGCGGAGATCAAGGAGTATGTGCGATTCAAGTTGCTGCCTTGCTTTGACTTTGAAGTTAGTCATTCGGGTCAAATCCCCCGCCACCGCGTCGTTGAATTCGTGGTGGAGCGAGGCATGATCAGTTTCCATCATGCGCTGCACTACGCGCTCTCATGGCTACTTGAATGCGGTCGTAAAATCAACAGTGTCATGATGCGTGGAATTTTGTTGCATGCTGCACAGACCGCCAATGATGAACATATTCACGACCCATCATTAAGCCCCGAAGACCTGCTTCTCACCATGTTCGACTATCCGCTCCGGGTCTGTGCCTGGCTTGCTCAGATGAAGGCCGGCATGTGGGTTCGAAATGGTTTAAGCCTTAGGCACCAGATGTCCCAGTACCGCGGGGTATCGTCTCGAGACTTTGCATACTACCGCGACATCTTTCTCCTGCAGACTGCTCTGGTGACGTGTGACCCCAGCAGGGTGCTGGCCTCTATTGCTGATAGATTCGGCATGGTGGATTGGATGAGCAGGCAATACATCCCACGTGTTGGCTATGAAGATTCCCAGATCGTGGATGTTGCCGAGGAATTCGTCCATCTCCTCGTAATTCTCCTCACTGACCGAACTTCCCTCACAGCTATTGAAGATAGCATCAGCCTGACTCGCGAAAACATCAGCAGGGACATTGCTCACGTTCTCTGTTTCCGACCCCTTTCTTTCTCTGATCTTTCGACCCGGCTGAGTGATAAACTGCTCGACTCTGACATGTTCCAAGACGTGCTAGAGGAAGTGGCCAATTTCCGTCCGCCCGAGGGCCTGAACGATACCGGCACCTTTGATCTCAAGCCCGATTACATCGATATGGTAGATCCATACAGCGCGCACTATACGAAAAACCAACGAGATGAGGCAGAAAACGTCTATAAAGAATGGATGGCCAAGAAGACCGGGAAGAAAGCCTCGGACATTGTCTTCGAACCTAAGCTACGTCCCATCACTGTTGGGGCGTTTTCTGATCTTTCTCGGTTCACAAGAACGTTGATATTTGCTCAAATCGTCCACCATTGTCTGGATTATACTGTGTGTTCGAAAAACCAGACTCCTAACATTCCGTCCACCCGGATCGAGACCTTCTTGCAAATCGTCCTGCACCTGATACTCGCCGCTACTTTGGAGGATAAGTCCGTCGAAAATGAGATGACGGACATGACCAGGCAGTCGTTCGTGTACCATGCTCTGACGAAATCACGAATGACGCAGGCAGGTAACTTGACTATCATCGGCCTGCTGGAGAAGATCTCCGTCATGGGCGAATTCTCCTCGTGCGGTCCAAAGATCCGGCATGTCCTGAGACGTATGTGGCAGAAGCAACCCCAGGCATATACCTCTGCCACAGCTTCTCTCAAGTTTCCCTTCGATCGGATCGACACGAGCTCTCCAGCGATCGATATCGATGGTGAAAGGGAGCTGAAGAAGAAACAGGCGCTTGAAAGACAGGCTCGAGTAATGGCGCAATTCCAGCAGCAGCAACAGAATTTCCTGAACACACAGGGCGCCATTGACTGGGGGGAAGATGATTTCAGCGATCTCGAGTCAGAAGCCGAGACTGCTCGCGAGACCAAGGTCTGGAAGTATCCCAGTGGGACTTGCATTCTCTGCCAGGAAGAAACGAATGACTCTCGGCTCTATGGCACTTTCGCGTTGATCCAAGACAGTAGCATTTTGCGACAAACGGACATCCGAGATCCCGATTGGATCCGGGAAGTTCTAAAGACGCCGAGCAGCTTGGACAAGTCTGCAGACCATATACGTCCGTTTGGTGTTGCGGGCGAAAATCACAGCACGGTACGCCGGCTCGATTCCACCGGTGGAGAGGTCATCAGTGAAAAAATCGGTCTCAGCAAAGGCTTCAATGCTAGAAACACTCTTCGTGGCCCTGTAACAACAGGGTGTGGACATATTATGCACTACTCTTGCTTCGAGGTCTACAACGTCGCGACCCAGAGGCGGCATAGTCAGCAGATTGCCCGCCATCACCCTGAACGTTTGTCTCTGAAGGAGTTCGTTTGCCCCCTTTGCAAAGCTCTCGGAAATGCGTTCCTACCCATCACCTGGAAGGGGAAAGAAGAGTCGTACCCTGGCGTTCTCAATGCTTCAGGCACGTTCGATAGTTTCATCGCAGAAGATGTGCCTGCTCTTCTCACCCAAGAAGACCACAACGCAATTATCTTGGAAGGGGAAAAGTTACACTTGCAGCCGTACCAGGATATCTGCGTCGACTACCTATCCCGCACGTTGGTTCCTCCCTTGGCGAACGAAATTAAGCAGCTTCTGACAACCCCGTTTCCCTCAACGTCTCATTACATTCCTACCGCGAGGATTCAGATGCCAGGGGTCTTCCCAACCGGAGAGGAGATGGTGGCAAGCAGCCCACACCAGCCAGCCGTGAGCGCTGATGATAGTCCCATGGATGAACTATTACAGATCTACAACCGCCTAAAGAAGACCTTAAGGTTGAATCACATCTACTCGACATTCAACCACTCTCCAGAAACCATCAGCAATGATGAACTCCTTCACACAGACTCCGTGATCCGCAGTTTCGGGTTCAGCATCACTGCTGTTGAGATTTCTCAGCGCGGCGTGGAATCCAGTCCGGGCTCGACCCTGCTTGACAAGATCCCACAGCTCACGCTGACTCACTTGCGCGTGCTGGCTGAAAGTGCACTGACGTATGCTGCGGTTGGATATCTCCACAACATCCACGGGCTCAAGAGCGGCCGTTCTGCGCACGAGTGCCAGGAGATGCATCGCCAGAAGATCTGCCAGCTCTTCGTCGGCCATCCGTGCCTCCACGGAAAACCACTGCTGGAAGATGTCCGAAACATCGAGCCCTTGCTCGCAATGGATACGTTTGTATTCCTCGCGGAGTGTTCGCTATCACTCCTGCCATTCCTGAAGCTCGATGTCCGTCACCTGGTCCAGATGTGCTACATCGCGGAAATCGTCAAGGTTGCCGTTACCTTTATCCTGTGGCCCCTGGGCCTGAAAGGGGAATTGGCGCAACACGGAGACGCTCATTACCTGATGGACGTTGAATTGTCTGATGACCGCTATGCCATCACCAAGCATTTCTTTGATTCTATAGTTGGAGAACTCAAGGCAAACTCCGTGGGTCGTGCCGAAGGGTCCTCATTCCCCGCAGAAAGTGGGTATGTAAAAGATGGCGAAGAATCCGCAACCCCAGGCGTTATCATCGCCTTACGGCGCCTACTTTCCAGCTACGCATTGACGTTCCTGCGGAAGACCGTTATTCTCCTCCACGTGCAGCACGGCGTAGAGTTTCCAGACACCGGATTCGCAAACATCGGGGCGTCCGAGCTGGACCGTCTGAGCAAGGTTCTCAACCTGCCGTCGCTTGACGAAATCCTTGCATCGGTCAACTCGGCGCGCAGGAGCAACAATGTGTTTGACTCGGTGATCTCGGGTTGGATTTTCCACTGGAACGCCACGCGGTCTGGTATCCGCTTTGACGACCATCGGCTGTGGCCCAGCCTTCCTCATCCGGCCATCCTGGAACTCGTTGGGTTACCCCGTTACTATGACAGCCTGATCGAGGAGGCGAATCGGCGGCGCTGTCCCAACTCGAAGAAGGAATTGAGTGACCCGAGCATATGCCTTTTCTGCGGCGACATCTTCTGCTCACAGGCGGTCTGCTGCACGGACCAGAAGCTGGGTGGCTGCAACCAGCATCTTCAAAAGTAAGGCCCTTCCCTTCCCATTGCTCTGCTTCATGTATGCGTTTCGAGCTAACGATCTCCCAGGTGTGGTAAAACGGTGGGACTCTTCATCAACATCCGGAAATGCACAGTCCTGTATCTCCACGACCACAACGGCTCCTGGCACTACGCACCCTATCTCGATCGCCACGGCGAGGTAGACCCGGGCCTGCGCCGGAACCGCCAGCTGATTCTGAACCAGAAACGATACGACAGACTCCTCCGCGATGTCTGGCTGTCGCACAGCATCCCCGCGACGATCAGTCGTAAACTCGAAGCGGATATCAACAATGGAGGATGGGAAACCATCTGAACGGCATAGAAAAGTAAAGACAAAAATGGTGTCTTGAGGAGATCAGCAAGCAGAAAAAAGAAGCCACCCAAGATAAAGAGGATCCAGGCAGGAATCTACAGACTTCAGTTTGTACATTGACATTGGCATTTGATCAATACTACTATCTTTCTTGTTTTCTCTTTTTTTTTTCTTTTTTTTCTCTCTCCTCCTGTCATTCCCTGATGATTGATGAAACGAATGACGGCAAAGTGAATAATAATAATCACCAGATGTGATCTAGATTCTCAGACATAAATAAAGAATAATTGTTCCGGTTGATCAATGATACTGTTGTAGGTAGATATCAAAAGACTTCAAAAGCTTGGCGCCGCCAAGCTCATGCCGTCATCTCATCTCAAACTTCACAGTCTTGATACAGCACTCGCAAAACAACCCTCTCTCTGATCAACTGGGGAAAACGATGTCTCCTCGTTGAATCTTTTTTTCTCTCTGTCTTTCCAGAAAAGTAACTCGTTTAACGGATCCTCGCTAAAAGAGGAGGTTAGGAGACCTCTTCACGCCACCAACACCTCGACGATGAACAACGATCAATTCCGCCGGCTTCTCTTTGACGATGCTTCAAAGGGCTCTTCGAGTCTGAAAAAGACAAGCCCACATGGGCCGCTGTCTAGCCAAAAAGAAAATGCCACGGCTGGCACCCCTGGCAGTGCGCTGCTCGGATCGCGGATGCGGTCGAGTATCCCCATGACGCCGTATGAATTCTCGTTACCTCACCTCGCTTACAAGTCCTATTTCTATTCTAAGAAGAAGCGCATATACTAACGGGCTCTACTAGACGCTCCGTCACGGGGGTAGACTTTGCGCGTCAGCTCGCCGAACATCGTCGCGAAACCGACCAGCCTCCCACAAAGCGATTCAAGTCGTCTGCCGCTCCGAAGGGGACCAAGTTACCGTCTGGGTATCAAGATCGGACTCAGCAACGACAAACGCAAGATGAATCCACCTCGGAGGTTGAGAAACGCATCGTCGCGCTGGAGGAGATGGCCAAACTCGGGCAGATCGACCAGGCTACGCTCGACAAGTTACGGTCCGAGCTGGGTGTGGGCGGAGATCTGAAGAGCACACATATGGTTAAAGGCTTGGATTGGGAGCTACTCAGACGCATCAGATCCGGGGATGATGTAAATGTGTCTGTTGAGAAGGTTTCCGCTGAGAGTGAACAGACAGAAGAACCGGTCGAAGAAGATGTGGATAACGAGTTTGATCGTGTCTTAGAAGAGAGGGGAAAGGAAGTGATCTCATCCGCACCCAAAGAGAAGAGGATGAAGAAAGGAGTTCTGGCGGCTCAACCTCGATTGGCAGCGCCTACGAACCAAAAGAAGTCGAGAGATGAAATTCTTAGGCAACTTAAAGCTAGCAGAGCTGCCGCTGCCAGCGGTGGTGTCCCAGAATCCGCTGAAACGCAAGAATCAACTTTGGGGACCAAGTTCAAAAGAATCGGAGACCGGAAACCCGAAAGAAAGCGCTTTGTTGAATCCGATGAGACCGGGAGGCGGCGAGAGGTTCTTCTGATAACTGATGCCGAGGGAAATACGAAACGAAAGGTCCGCTGGCTTGATAAGCCAGGAACTACTGGTGGAAAGGATAGTCTGTTACTCCCTGATAAGGATGCCAAACCGCTGGGAATGGAGGTCCCTGCAGCAATCGCCGCAAAACTTGCCGCTGCGACTGTTCCTGATGATGATGATGATGACATTTTTGCCGGTGCTGGTACGGATTATAATCCCCTAGCTGATATCGGCGATGAAGACGATTCTTCTTCAGGGTCTGAGGACGGTGAGGCCGTTGAAGGGAAGTCTCTGGAGCCTGCCAAGACGCCAATCGATCGCGCTGGGAAGTCGGAGCCAACGATATCGAAGCCTCGCAACTACTTCTCGACATCCTCCACAACCGAGATGGTGGAGTCTGACGATCGCTCCAATCCACTCACCAACGACCCCACTATCCTTGCAGCCCTGAAAAGAGCCGCTGCGCTTCGACAAGAAGGCGGGGAAGAGCTGGACGATGATGTCGACGCGGAAACGCAACTTCGGCGGAGGAAGTTCCTGGACGAGGCCCGATGCAGGGAGGCTCAAGATGCAATGGATATGGATCTTGGATTTGGCAGCAGTCGTGTCGAGGACGGTGAGGATGACGAAGCGGTCATCTTCGAGGAACGCGGCGCCAAAAAGCGAAAGCGTGGCCCCAAGAAGAAGAAGGGCGACAAGGACAGTGCTTCAGACGTGTTACGCGTGTTGGAGGGAAGGAAAAAGGCAGTAGAATAGAGAATTGATGATACTGAAGGCCCTTCCTATAATTTACGAATGCATAATCCAATATCTTTGTCGATTTTTTTTCTCTTTCATCTTTGCTATCCTTATGGTCACCATCCCTGACCTGTCTCAATCTCATCCGCCCCATATACTGTAAGTCTACTTATTACCAGTACACAGTTTATACTTCACGTAGGCATCCATCCTTTAGCTCTATAAATAATAAGAGATGCAATCTTCCCGCGGTTCTTGGAGGTTGGTACCAAGGTCTGCCGCAACGCCTAGATGTCTGCCTGTAGTCACCTCGGTGCCTAGCATCCAGTATCAGCAAAGGACATAAGACATCTCTGACTTCGATTGACCTGTCCGACACGTGCTCTATGAGATCGTATTCACTTGCTCTTCCTTCAGTGGCTGGGGTGGGTCCAGTAGGAAGTGAGAGCAAACCGACTGCCTTTGGCTTCACCTCAGATCAACTATGGATGGCCGAGCGAGAAGTGAGAGAAATGAGAGAAAGACCTTCGAATTCACTTCCAGCAGCACGGCAGATTGTCACCGCCTCTGGGGTATATTAAGCCTGCTTCTGCCTGCCTCGTTCCTCTTCTCTTCTTTCCTCCTCCTCATCTCTTCCCTCCCACACGTCTTCGCCTTCGTCTTGTCTTTGAACATGTCATCCTGCCTGTTCCCTTCCATCTGACCCTCGATCATACCATCAGCCGTCCTGCCAGAGATGCAGGGCACTCTTCATCAAGGTAAGAACCTGAGTTCCTCCAATCCAGTGTCTTCGGGGGGGCAGTGGAAGACAGACTGTCACCAAGTGTCCTTCTTCCCACCCGTCTCCGAGTAGCCCACGGTTGCCCACGGTATACCCGGGGAGTTGGTGCGCTAGTACACTTCTGCTCTCCACCTTTTGCTCTCTACTCCCTATTTGATCTGGCAGTTTTGACTCTGGTGGCCTCCGGGCCAGTCTGTCCTGCACAAGCCTCGTTTTGCCCTCGGGCAAGCCTAACGAGCCTCTCGGATCCCCCAGCTTCGGCTGGCAAGGAACTGAGGGCAGATCACACACACTCCAGTTGCGACCTGCAGTCTTGACTCTGGTGGCCTCCGGGCTAGTCTGTCCTGCACAAGTCTCGTTTTGCCTTCGGGCAAGTCTAACGAGCCTCTCGGGTCTCCTGGCTTCGGCTGGCATGAACCGAGAGCAGATCGCAACAGATTTGCCCTCCTTCACTTGTTTTTGGCGAACGTCGACGGTGGAAGACCTTACCAGCATGACTTGTTGTGCTGACGGAGGTGGTTACCTCCAGTTTATAGGACTCGAACGAATGCGACGACGACCTCGATGACTCAGACAAGAACTGTTGGACATCTATCCTCAAAAAAAAGATAAGTTGCTCTGGATACGATACTGGCTTGTTAACAATTTACTGATACATTTCTTAACAGTGTCATGAGCATGTTGGTTTTGTGAGGCTGAGTGGTCCAAGATATCGAGTTCCTAAGTAGACATTAGTGACATATAGTTATCATACCTTAGGATTGGGTAGAATTATAAGAATTTATGTATTGAAAAAAAAACTCCCTTGAGTTGATTTCATCATGGGGTCTCCTTAGGCAACTAACCCCAATAAATATTCAGGTCCTCCTCATCAGCCTGTAAGCCCTGGTGACCAGGATAGTTCGAGTGTAGAGGTCAAAACAGGAGCATGTCCTTAAAAGTTCACCTTTGTATTGGCATGATTTTTGGCTCACAAATCTTGATACTAGTGATTGACTGCCCCTATTTTGCTTCCAATTTGAAAGCGTCGTATACGTCCACTGTCCAAGATACTCAACGCTGGTCTCTCCTTCGAAAGGTGCTTGGGAGAGAGGTCTGCGTGGATTTTGTGTGAAGCATGCCACTTCTGAAGACGTCATATATCTCCGAGGAGAGCCACCATTAATCATAACTACCGCGTTTGCTCTCGACATGTTATGAGTTACACTCGGGTATTATTTGCCAAAATAATCTTTTAGAGGAAGGAATCGAGTCAGTAGGTAGGAAATAGTAGCTCTCGATGTGTTCTGTAGACTTGCATGGTCAGAACTATATACTACCGTAGCAATCAGCAGCTGAATTCCACAGTCAATAATCTCAGAATTTGGATAAGACAGAAGCAGCAAGTCTTGAACCTCAATTCATTGATATCACAGGCTTGCTGGAACGTTGAGATAGATTTTTGTAGTAAGCTGCAATCTCATGTTGGTCAAGGGCTCGTGGTTCGCCTCCATATAAAGGCCCTAGGTAAGTCTGAACAGCAGTAATCGGAATACTAGCAGAATCATACTGTTCTGCTATAAGTCATATAGTGATAACAAGTTTCATTGCCAGAAGATGGCTCCTCATGGGGGGAAGTGGTTAGTAACGTGTCAGTCAAAACAAAGCAGGAAAGAGCGAGGGGAGACGAGGCCAGTCATTCCCGTGACCTTCCACCTTCTATTTCCGTGCAACTTGCACTTGGAACTTCCTACCAGTCGAAAGAATCTCCAGGAAATCTCTTTTGCTCGCTATCAGTCTCTACAGAGCATTTTCTCAGGAGTCAGCTTCACTAGCTAGTTAATTCCGTTCAGATAAGTGCCGACAGAAGGTCTCTGTACTCGGTACCGCACGCATTCACTGAACCAGGTGAGCTGTCTCAAATGTACGGAGAATATCAGGGGGGGTCCCTGTCCAAGCCTAACATCAATATAGGACACATCAGTCCTTCAGGGGTACAACAAAGCCTCGGAATACGCCTTCGAACCCCAAAGACCAAGCGTGGCCGCCTATCTACAGTGATATTTATACCAAAAATATCGAATACGAGGGTTTAGATCCCACTCTGGTTTCCACCAACGACCTACTACATAGATCTCCCCTGATGACCCAAGCGGGCGGCAGAACAGAATACGGAGTAGTTTGTCAATTCCTTATGAGCTAGTTGATTTTGGCGTCGGCAATATCATCTTGCTTATGGAGCAGTTCGTTTCGATGTGAGAAAAGCGCCCGGAGCAACCACTCACGTATGCAATACGAACTTGCGAAGAGGGTCGGTCGCTGAAAGTTCTTGAACTTGCCAGTCGCGGCTGAGTCAACTAATGTCTCCACGCAACTACGGAGTACTTTCTAGTGTCCACATCATCAGGGAGAGGGGTAGGAGGGACTCAGGGCTAACAAGAGATATCTACGGAGTACACTAACGATTAACTAACTAGCCTCTAGGTAATAATAGGATTTTTTCCCTTACGTTTCAGAACACTGCCTGGAATATGGGGCGGCGGTTCTCAAGCCTCGGTGGATAATCCAACGCCGAAATCATTGCCTAGCGGCGACGGCGCCCGTTGGGTCGAAGATCATAGTGGGCTCTTACAACGATAGATCTCGCCTGAGTACACCCCGTACTCCCCCTACTACATAGCTTATACTCTGGAGTCATCGAGAAAGACCTTCTTTATCCTAAACGCCACTGTCACCCGAAAGAGTCCATTGTTTACACTTCTTTCAAAAAGCTACCAAATAAACAATGTCAGTGTGATCGAATGAGATGCCTGTCCAATCTGTGGTCTTCCAGGGAAAGGTACGCGTCAGAAATTTTTCACTCAACTGTCAAAGCCGGGTCCATCCGAAGAAGTTGGCCAGTCCAAAGTCCAGACTCGACATTCCACTTCTGGCCAAACAGCGGCTCCACAAATCATCGAGTGCCTGGAACACCATGTGCGAAACCCACAAATGACAAGGCTCGGTTTTACTGTTCCTGCGCTTGTTCCTGAGAGCAGACGAGGACAGCCATAGCGCCCGTACGCCACCACCAGAATACGGCGAACAAGATGGATGAATCAGGCGGTGAATATTGTGATGAGAAGACTTTGGATACAGTATGCAGTGTCTTCTTAAATTTTCTTTTTTCTTTTTTCTTTTTTTCGTTTTTTTTTCTCCATCGGAACCAGCTAGTCAGTACCACTATCGACAGGTCTGTCGTGGCTCTACGAAGCATGTGTATGACACACTTTTTTCCCACCAGCTTGTCGCTCTGGGGATTCTCATTTGTTCTCGAGAGACTTGGTGCATTATTGAATCGTAAGGCACAGTCGGGGAAAGGTCCACAAGCGCTGGCTTGACCACGTCGGCGGTACACTCTGATACACTCTGGAGTCCGACGGTTGACGCCTCCTTCAGGCGGGACTGCCATGTGGTTGGGCCATCCGATTCTGGCAGACATGGCATCCAGAGGCGAGCCCAATTGGTAAGGCCCATCCATGGATCCAATCCCACTTTCTTTGACCATTGTTCTCATCACTGGTGGCACCACTGAAAGGTGGCTGCACACTGCAAAGGGCCCACACGGCCCAGTCTGGGTTTCTAGGCCTTCCCATCTATATATTGCGGGTGACTGCACATTTCGAATCGTTTCCTCATCCTGCATTTCGAATCCTAGTCAGTCCTTTTCTGTATAGTCAAATCCGAAAGACTGTGCTGCGCGCAGTCAATATCAATCCTTCCCTTCAGTCTATTCAGTTTATTCATTCTTTTTGAGGACACCTCATCCCATCCTTTCAGAAGAACGTGATTTACCTTGGCCTTCAAACAAAAGTACACAATGGTTTCGTTCACTACTGTTGTCACCGCCGGTCTTCTGGCTTCCTCCAGCCTGGCTCTTCCTCACGCCCATCAGAAGTTCCACCAGAAGCGCTCCTCCTCCTCCAGCAAGCGTGGTGCGGCCTACAATGATGCCTCCCTCGTCTCTACCTTGACCAGCACCGGCACCGTCAGCTGGGCCTACGACTGGAACGACGCCAACGATGGAACTCTCCCGTCGGGTATCGAATACGTCCCGATGCTGTGGGGCTCCAAGATGTTTGATGGCTGGAGTTCGGCTGTCGAGACCGCACTCTCCAGCGGCAGCTCGTACATTCTCGGATTCAACGAGCCCGATATGACTTCCCAGGCTGACATGAGCGCCTCCGATGCTGCCACTTACTACAAGCAGTACATCACTCCTTATGCTGACCGGGCTAGCCTGGTGACTCCGGCCGTCACCAGCAGCACCGACTCTGGCATGGGGCTTGAGTGGATGGCCAGCTTCCTGGAGGCTTGCACCGACTGCAACGCCACCGCCATGGCTGTTCACTGGTACGGCGAGGCAGCCAGCGACTTCAAGTCCTTTGTCGAGCAGGCGATTGAAACCGCCTCCAATTACAGCATCTCCTCCGTCTGGATCACCGAGTTCGGCCTGTCCAGTGGTACCGACAGCGAGGCTGCTTCTTTCATTGAGGAGGTCGTCCCCTGGCTTGACTCCCAGTCCGCCGTTGGCCGTTACGCCTACTTCTACTGCGCTGACGGATACCTGCTCTCTGGCACCAGCCTCAGCTCTAGCGGCGATGCCTATACTAGCACTACCTCCTCTGCCGCTGCTTCTTCCTCCTCCGCCTAGATGGACAGAGAACTAGGAATTTTTTTTTGTTTCATTTCTTGGATTTATTAGATATACCTTTTCCTTATCCCTGCATGTGGTGGTATACGACCACATGACAATCTTTATACCAAGCTTTCTTTTAGATATAAGATACCAAAAGTTATTGAAAATTGACCAATTGAGCTGTTCAGATGGCTGATTTCTAGTTAATGGTATGGTTCAATTGCTGTAGACAATGCTTTAGCATTTTATATGTTTCTTTGTTTATCGGTTTTACTGGCTTTCTTTATTCCTATTACTATATTATTGGCATCAATTCTCCGTTCGTTGGCGACCCTCGAACAAAATTCAACAACAAAGAGAAAAATATGCATCTTGCCACCAGGAAATACCAATATCTAGTACTTGAGTTTGATTTGTAAAGTTTAATGAAATCACAGTGATACTCATTATTATTATGGATTAGTAAGAAGGACTATTGAATGGTGTGGTTATAGTCAAGCGCTTCTTTGAAACAGACTGTATTCCACACTTTTCTAATATTAGCCACGTCTTGAAAGCACAGAATACTCCGTAGAAAGGATTGATGTCTGAAACCATGGATAGAATTGCATACTCCGGTTCTCCAGCTCGCTAAATGCAACCATGCCAAACTAAAAGTACATGTGGCGATTCCAGCAAAGGGTATTATCGTTGACTTGGAAGATTATTCCCTGATAGAAATAGAAGAGATGAGGCGAGGAGGGGGGCAGGGGGGAGGAGGAAGGGACAAAGAGGACAAAGGGGGGAAGGGGAGGGGAGGAAGAGTGATCCGAAAGATGTCTTTTTTTCATTATTCAACCATCTCGTCGCCGGGAGGAATAGTGTCACCGTTGGACGATGACTTGACTGCTTCCGACGGTCGACTGCTGGGATCGGTAGCAGCGGTGGTTTCTGCAGGAAGGGGGTTCTCGGTGGGAGTAGTAGTCTCCGCCGACGTCTGTCCAGTCATTGGTGTCTGGTCCGCCGGGGAAGTCTCTTGGGAATCATGAGCTTCGGGTTGGGGCGCATCGACGCCTGTCTGGTCGATCCCTTCTTCCCCATCTTTCCCCCCTTCCTTTTCTTGCCACACTTTGATAGTCTGGTCCATTCCGCAGCTGACCATGTATCGCTTGTTTTCGAATGTACAGGTGTCCACCCCGAGCACGACATCCGTATGGCCCTCGATGCGCTGGAAAACTTTCTTGCTAACGACATCCCAGCAAATGATAGTCCCGTCCTCGCTGCCGCTAACGGCAAACGCTGCAGGCGTAATGCCAGGCGCGCCGTATGAGCCAAACCCGCCAGAAATGCTATACTTGCGATTGATGTGGCCTTGGTAGGTCTTGAGACAGCGGCCCTCCACATAATCCCACAGACGCACACAGTCGTCAAGTGTCCAGGCCAGCACGAACTTGCCGTTGGGCGAAAACTTGACAGCTGTCACGGGCGGGTTGTCTTCATGAACCAGCGTGCGCAGACATTGGCCTGTTGCGGTATCCCAGATTCGAATAAGTCCGTCCCATGCGCATGAGACAACCAAGGTGCCGTCACGCACGACATCAATACCAGCGACCGGGTCGGAATGGGCAGGGAGGGACCGCATCACCCGTGCAGACCGTACGTCCCACAGAAAAACCGCCTCGTCGTAGGAACCACTGGCCAGTATATTACCCTTGGGGGAAAAGGCGATTTGGTAGACATAGTTGTGGTGGCCGATGAAGGGTACGGGATGTGCTTTTCCCTATTCGTAGTCAGACAGAGCAATTGGAAAATCACGAGGGGGAGGGAGGCAAGATGACTTACAGATAACACGTTCCACAGGCGAATAGACTTGTCATCTGAGCCCGAGGCAATTAATGCGCCGTCTGGGTTCCAGGCAATTGTCGAAATACCAGCCAGATGCCCTTCAAAGGTGTGGATAAGCTTGCCCGTCGTCGTGTCCCAGACCTTGACCGCACCGTCCGCACCTACAGGAGATCTCGTGTGAGCAGCTATCTGAATGAAGACGATATAAAAAAAAAAAAAAAAAAAAAAGTCTCTCTCCAAGAATACGTACCACCGCTAGCAATCATTGATCCATCTGGTGAGAACTGCACGGCAGACACCGCACGCAGATGGCCCTTGAGGAGGAACTTCTCTTTGTAATTCACCCACTCCGGCTGAGGCGGGGGAGGCAGCGGCGTCGGAGTGCGAGCGATCGGAGCCGCATCCATGTCGTCTGCGGCGCCGTCGCCGCCTGTAGGCCCCCGGTACGGCTCGCTGGAGTCATAATGCCCTTCGTCCTCGTCGTCGTCGTCGTCGTCGTCGTCACCACCGTCGGGTCGGTGCACGCTCGGGGAGCGGCGGCGGGTGCGGACTCGCGGGGGCTCGCGTGTGCTGCGCCGCCAGTAGACATCTGCGTCTATTGCCAGCTCGTCAGGGCTCTCTGACCCGCTGGGCTGCTGCGGAGGCGCCCGCCGTGCCGGCCGCTTGGGCGTGTACGTCCGCTTCGCCATCGTCCAGCTCGCCCGGCGGTGCTCGTCGTAGTCCGAGGCCGCCGCCAGCTCGTCGGAGGAAGACTCAGTGGGAGACCCGATCGGCGGCCGCGCTCCAGGGCTGTTCTGGTATCCGCGATCCAGCCGGCGGCGCTTGGGCGGAGGATCGGAGCCGTCCATCGTGGGCGAAGAGCGTCGGGATCCGGTTTGTGCTCCGCGATGCCTCTTCGCTTTGTTCGTGCCTGCGTTTTGCGCCCTTTTTTGGAACGCGCTGAGGAGGAGCCCGCGTGGGCCAATCAGGAGGGGCGACGGCGCAGGGCGGTGAGCAGTGCACGTGACGAGCTCCTTTCGGCGCTTGACGTCGTTGACCAGAGCAGGGAAGAGCAGGAGGCGAGCAGCGAAAGAATGGCTTCTCTGGCAACTCTCTAGGCTGACAGTCTGTTTTCTATCTAGATCTGGCGAGATTGCTCAGGCCGGATTGGCTGTGTTGCCCCCTATGGCGTTGCCCACCACCACCACCACCGCCGCTGCCAGCGATACCCCTCCCAATCGGATCCGCATCTTGACGCTCAACTGCTGGGGGCTCAAGTACCTGGCCAAATATCGCCATGAGCGGCTGGCAGAGATCGGCCGCTTGCTGGCGGCCGCAGAGCCGGCGCCCGAGATCGTCGGGCTGCAGGAGTGCTGGACGCAGCAGGACTACGAAAGCATCCGGGAACAGACGCGGCAGGTGCTGCCCTACGGCAAGTTCTACTTTGGCGGGATCTTTGGCGCGGGGCTGGCCATTCTGAGCAAGTGGCCCATCGAGGAGAGCAGTATGTATGCCTACCCGCTGAACGGGCGGCCGACAGCCTTCTTCCGGGGGGACTGGTTCGTCGGGAAAGGGGTTGCCTGTGCACGGGTACGGTTTGGGCCGCGGGTCGAGGACGTGGCCGAGGTGTTTTGCACGCATCTGCATGCGCCGTACGAGCGGGAGCCGAACGACTCGTACATCTGCCATCGGACGGCGCAGGCGTGGGAGATTGCGAAGCTGATGCGCGGAGCGGCAGAGAGAGGCCATCTGGTGATCGGACTAGGCGACTTCAATATGCTACCCTCTTCCTTTGCGCACCAGCTCATCACCGCCCATGCTCCCGTGAGGGATGTGTGGAAGACCCTCCATCCGGACTCGTCGGTTGGCGCGGCGCGAGACCCCGTCGAGAAGAAAAGGAACCGCCCCGTCCCGACGGCGGAGTACAACCTGGTCGAGAACGGGGCGACGTGCGACGGCGTGCTGAACACCTGGCGCTGGACGAAAGAGGACCGCAAGCGTCTCGAGAAGGGAGAGGAAATCCTCGTGGACACAAAGACCCTCGACCCCCGTGCCAAACGGCTCGATTACATCTTCGTCGGCGATGGCGGCTATCCTCCCGCATTCCCGGCGCCCAAATGGAAGGTTGAGTCGGCAAACGTGGCCATGACTTCGCGGCATCCGACATTGAGATGTTCACTGAGTGATCATTTCGCCGTCGAGGCGGTCATCGCCCGTAATGGGGCTAGGACTCAGCCTCCACCCCCGCCTGACAAGGAGAGTTCCCACGCTGATGACGACGAAGAGTACGTTGCCGTCTCTGGACATACAGACTCGCAAGCCCCGAATACCATCCTCACCCCGGAGACCTACGACCACATCCTCGCCATGATTGACAAGTACGTTGCGCGCGAACGATCCCAGCGCCGCTGGCGGCTCGCCCACTGGCTCGCCTCCGTGGCCATCTCGATCGGCTGCTTCGTCGCCGCCTGGTGGACCGGCAGCGTGCCCTATGTCGCCTTTATCCTCACTCTAGTCAGCACGCTGAGTTTCGCGGCCGGCGTTCTCGACGGCTTGATCGGCGGGCTTTTCGTGTCCGGTGAGCTGCGGGCCTTGAAGGAGTTTGAGTGGGAGGTCCGCAATGCACAGAGGATTGCTCAGTCCTTGACTTGATTCACTTAGGGGATGACTTTGCTGGATCGCTGGAATACTCCCAGCCTGTAATTTTAATGACTTGGTATATAATTACTTCAATTGTGTAATATGATCACTACTCATGTGTCTACTTTATAACAACCGAGAAATATAAGGACCAACTACTTGATAGAGACGGTCATGTCGTCTGGATATAACTGTCAGATTGCTTGCACTCCCGGATACTTCGACATTCATGGAGCCACAGCGATATCCACGGCTACTCGCACGCCGTATCCATCTTCGCTTTCGCTGTCGGTGGGTTTGATCCAGTTCTTCTTCTTGCCGACTTTCTCAATCCGCTCTGCGGTATCTTGGAGGGAGTCTTTCAGCACCGTAGTAGAGACAGACTCCTTCAAGATCACTTGCACGCGAAGCACATCACGCCTTTCCTTCTTTTTGGCGATGGTGTCCCATGATGTCTGGAGACGCACTCTCCATTGAGATTCGGGGGGAACTCTTCCAGAGGGGTATACGTCGCCAACCAGGGCCGCAATTCGCCCCAGATACAGACACCACCACGCTTCTTCTACCGAAACCAATTGAAGAAGCCGGTCCTGGAACAGCTGCTCCGTCGGTGCAAAATCTGCACCCCATCGTTCCGGCAGTATGAGTGCGAGGATTGCACGGTCAACATGCGAAAGGCTGTTCACGCAGGAGAGAACGCCGGTCGTGGTGCTATGAAGAGCGGCGGCGGAACGGGATTCTCGAGGAACATTCGCATGTGCGTATAGAAGATCCGCAAGGGCTGTCACCAGGTTGTAGGAAAACGAAGCGGGTGGATGTCTAGACAAGAGAGACGACGGTCTCTCTGGCAGGGCTGACAAAAGTAGATCCCTAATTGCATCTCTGGATGGCGAAGCATACGGGGCTGTTGCAGCCAAAAGAGGATCCTGTAACCTCACTTCCGCAGGCAATCTGTCAAAGAGGAATCCCTCGCGGACACCTCCTTGGCAGAACTGAATACTCTTCACGGCTGGTAAGGCCTCCATCATGACGTTCACCAGGAAAGCCACCGCGGGGATCTGAGATGCACGCCGCTTTGAAACACCGAAGACTTTAGCATCGGGGTTGGAAGCAATATCCTGTAGCGATTCCGTGTCGTGGAAGCTCTCCCTGCTTGCCCGGTATCCATTGATAATCGGAATAGGATATGGACGGACCCTGGCCTGGCTCATGAGCAAGTATCCCCAACCCCTGAAGCCTCCGCCGCAAAGATACAGATCAAATCCTCCGTTGGCATCTGCAGCATTTAGCAATGAGTCCGGCACCTCTAAAGACCGATAAGCCTCTCGAAAATTGCTCATCATCTCTTCCTTCAGTTGCTTCTCGGCCACTTCTCCTTGCTCTCTAGCCTGCTCCAACCGTCTCCCTAGTGCTGCTGCCCCGTAGGGAAAGCTGAATGATCCCTTGGGACTGATTTTAACAACTCCATCTGTCTCAATGACCCAGGTAATTTGCGTACTACCTCCTCCCAAGTCCATGGCCAACCCTGCGATAGAAGTTGAACTACTCGCCACACCCAGAGCGCCAATCCTGCCTTCCTCCTCCTTAGACAGCATACGGACTTCCCACCCCGTGGCATCCTTGATTCTGGTGCGGAACTCAGCTGAGTTCGGCGCCGTCCTCGTCGCCTCGGTAGCAAGAACGTGGATGTTCTCTTCCGAGACGCAGAAGTCATCGCAGGTGATCTTGAAATGAACCAGTCGGGCAACCACCTGATCAATGATCTGATCAGGAATAGGGCCTCGCATGCCATCTGAGTGAGAGAATTGTGCGTCATAGAGTGAGATCCCCGCCCTGTCCTGGAAGACAACAGGCATGATTCGAGCTGTAGGCGGGGCAAGATCAGATATTGAGAACCGGATACCATTACTAGACAACGTTACTCACATCATTCGATGCAGAAAACGATAAAACCATTTATTGTAAACCATATCGCAAGAAAGACGACACCAGTTCGTACCTTCCCATGTCCACCACCGCATGAAGATGCGGCTTTCTCGTCGATTCACCCATTGCGTAGAGATGGGGTGGATTCTTCCCAGGGTTCGACAATCGAGGTAACAAATCGAAGTAGTAGTCACCGAGTACAGGCTGCTTCAAACAGTGAAAGAGTCTCCAAGTGTTGCGGCTTTGGAGGTTGTGACTCCCAAAAAGCCTAGAAACCTCCACCTCCACCGCCCCCGCTCGGGCTCTTTCAACCGACTGGGCAACCTCAACATCCAACCGTTTCTACAAGACAGCTCCTGGCTTGAGATGGTCATTTACGCAGTGGGAGAAGACATGAGCAATTCATTTTATTCATTGGGTCTTAAGAAAGGCATTGCAACAACGCCTGACACATCGCAAACACCGCCCTCGTTGAGATGATCCCTCAAGGCTCAAAGCATGTACCTGAAATTCGCACCATAATTGTCCTCACCTCCCAAGTGAATCGTTTTCTCATCTTGAGCACTACTCTGGGCATCGGGGGCTGCATATTTCTTGTCCAGTCGCCCGTTCTCCCATTTTAAGAGGAACCGCAGACCCAACGCGAGCAGCGTGGTGAAGAACATAAAGGCGGCACAAATGGATTGGCCCTCGATGTAACGAGGCTTGCCTGAGCTGGGAAAAATCTGGGTTCCGAGGAAAGGGCCACATTGCCCAACCAGGTTGAGCAGGATGATGCCCATACCACGTCGGGTGTCAGAGCCTTGGTTGTCTGATGCCGGGGGGGGAGAACGGATGTTAGCTAACACTGGGGCCTTTTTTCTCTCTAGTTAAGGACAGGGGGGGGAACACGTACTCAACACCCAAGGCAGGATGTTTGCAATGGCAGGGAACACGCCGCTTGCTGCGAGAAACACGCCGAAGTAGCGAGCACCAACGTTCTCGCACGTGGCGAGCAGAACATAGCCAATTGCGCCAATTAAAGACAGGAAGGCGACGGCGTAGCCACGCTGTTCCAGCCGGTCGGCAACATACGTTGAGGCGATGGTGACAAGAAAGGAGATAAAGTATGGGGGTGCAGTCAGACCCTGCGCGTGGATATCGGTGAAACCCATGTCGGCGATGATAGTTGGGAGGAAGACCGGAAGGGAGGAGAAGCTAACGTTGCAACTGAAGTACATGAGCTGTATATTTCCATCAGCAAGTGATCAAAATAACCTCGACAGGTGTGTGTTTTCAAACGAGGCATACCGCGGTAAACCACGCTTTGGCGTCCATCAAGGTGAGGCCGATATCCTTCCAGACAATGCCTTTCGCTCTCTCGACCTCTCCCGTCTGTTGGAGGCTCCGGGTGCGGGCAACTTCTTTCTCTTCCTCTGTCAAAAACCGTGCAGAAGTTGGGTCGTCAGGCAGGAAGAACCAGGGTAGAATGGCAGCCACGCAGGACGGGAGGCCTTCGACAAGGAACAGCACGCGCCAGCTGGCAAGACGCGGATGTCCCGAAGTGATTCCATAGGCGAGCGCGCCGGCGAAGGTACTTGCGAGAGGGGCTGCAGATAAAAACAATCCGCAGCGCAGACCGAGTTCGCGGCGACGATAAAAGAAGGAAAGGAGGTACGGCACTCCAGGCCCAAAGCCCGCCTCAAAAATCCCTGAACTTGTGTCAGCAGAAGACCAAAACTCTACCATGACACTTGGTGGGTGAGCATACCCATGAGGAAACGGAGAGCCATCATTCCTTGCCAACTTTTAGTTGCAGCTTGACAGGAAGCGATGACTCCCCTGTGGCTGTCAGCAACCCAACTAAATCCTTTCACTCATGAAGGTACTCACCAGGCGAAGACAACGATGCTGGCCCAGCGGTGCGGCTTTAGGACCTTCCACATCAAGGCTTGGAATTCAAACACACAATAGGAGATATAGAAGATGGTGAGAAGCCACGAGTAGCGGTTCCCAACCAGGTTCAGATCCTCTTCCATGCCTGCAATCTCCGCATTTCTACAGACGGCCTCGTTAGCGTCTCTTGAACGATTGTCTCTTTGTCAACGGGAGGGGTGCAACGGCACGATTGTACGAACCCTATGTTACTCCGATCCAGGTAAGCTAGCAGATCTGCTCGGCTGTTAGTAAAGACATGCTCCTCGTCCAAAACACTAGGAACAGCTAGCAAGTCTTACAAAGGAAAGCAAGCAAGGTCGGGATCCTCTTGTCCAATTTCCGCAACAATCGAGCCTCTACCGCCGGATCGACGGCAGGACTCAATGCATGTTCTGCGGAGGGTGCGGCGACAGCGGCAGCAGCGGAATTCTCGATCTGTGATGGTATCTGCTTCTCAACATCTCTAGCAGGCGCATTCTCTATCTCAGACTCCATGGTTGCCGAACGCTGTGTGTCCTGGAGAGCAGGGGAATTGAGATTAACGGAAAGGATAAGAAGGAAAAAAGTGCGACTCTCCTGGCAAGGTGAGAAAAAAAAAAACCGCGGGGTTTTAGCAATCCTTATACGACAAGGCCTCCCGTCGAACGAGGATATGCGGTCGTGCTTGTGGGCTGGGCTTTCTATTCGGTAATGCTTGCGCAGCGGAATGGGTTGTGTCCAACGCGTGCCAATCAAGCCATGAACACATGCCGATCAGCCATGGGTAATCCTGGCCGCGTGGAGTCAAGTACAAGACAAGAGTCTTTTAGGGAGCACGGTGTGCAACAATGAATCCTACACAACGTGATCTCCGCACTACCTACTACCTAGACAGGGAACATGTACCTTGGTTGCTACACCCTACAGACCAAGGGACAGCTACTCCATACCCTGACTCTCGAAGGATTTCCTTTTCCGACGGAACCCGGAAGGAATAGATTGATTGAAACCAAGCAATCAACGCGATAACATTAGGCATTACGCATTTTTATCCTCTTTGGCACCTCGGGTCAATATTCCCACCTTCTCTCAATTTACCCCTGTATTTAATTCCTCATCAATCCTAAGATATTCGAAATTCCGGGAATGCCGATGATTGTACCCGAGTACCCCATACTCATAGTCATCACCATCACGAGACCCGCGTTCTCCAGATCCGGAGGGCGGGGTAAAACCAAGCCACACGGAAGTTCTGGGGAAACGGACTTCAACAATGAAAAGATCCGACCCCGAGCACGCCGACGAGTTACGAGGGAATAAATTAATTATCCCTCCACGTGGGCAATTTCTGAGCATACCGTCATACACGGTGTATTGCGACAGACCCCCGTGTTTTTAAGCCCTGCAAGCCGCTTCACTGGTAGCCTTACTCCGTCTACGACTATGTTGTAGTATGTGGTACGGAATAGCGCTGTCTTGCTCTGATCATACGGACTTTGAACTCGCTGCGGGAATTTAATACCCATGGGTCTATATTTTCCTTTTTGTTGACACAAAGAACGCTTGTCATGTCTACGTACGAGTATTTGCTTCATCTTTGGTCCAATTTGTCCTATGGTTTTGGTCCAACGACGTCAGTCGTACTCTGTATACATACAGAGTAAGCACTACCTGTTAATCAAATTATATTAATTACCATTATTAAACTAGTTAATCACTATTAGTGGTAACTATCTGGTATTATTTTAACATCTATTGTGACCATATTGATGTTTACCTCCTAGCATATCCTTAAGGTTAATAGGTTGAATAACTAGCGCTCTAGTGTATAATTAGTTATATCACTATCCTATCTTTTTCCATATAACTCTACTATTATTAAGAGATATTATGTATTATTCCTAATGAGCAATAAGAGTATCTATCTTCTCTTATTAAGCTATATATGAGCTACTCTTTATTATTTTATACTATTTAACTATAATATAACATGTAGGTATATTTATAATATAGAACTAGAGTAATCATTATATTTATTAATCATTATTATATTTATCTTTCAATATACACCAAATGAAGGTCTCAATCTATATTTCTGCCTCAGGTGTCGGCTGCACTACTGGTCTCCCCAGCCCCCCGTATCCGAGCTCGTCCGAACCGCCTCAAAATTCCGCGTCGCGTCTCGCACCATCGCCCAGTCCAGTTGCTGCACAGTTGCGCGCCCTCGGGCTGGAATCATTGTTTATCGCTAGAACCCTGATACGCAGAAAGTATTGCGACCGCATTGAAAGACATTTCCCGAGTGCGAGGTTGTCGCGCTATCACCCGTCACGATGGATGACCCTGCGAGTCGGATCCCAGGGCAGCTGGTAAGCCAACTTGCATAGAACGATCGATGAACCGAAAGCTAACAGGGCTCTCTTTGATCCACTAGCTGCCGCACATGCACCTGGTGTCGCGATACAGGTATCCCCTGATGCCTATGCTGCCAACTGAAACCGCCGTCGAGTACCTGCTTTCCGCGCCGAAGATTGTCCGCGAGCTACAGTCCATGCACTGGACCTTCATGGATGGACCGCAAGATGGAACGGTGATGCTGACATGGCAGCCGCTCAATCATCTGGGAACGAATTTTGCCAGTGATGGCTATGTCTGGGCTGATGTGGAGCAGGCTTTCACTTTTGAAGCTCGCGGTTACGTACGGGGGGCTCTTCTAGCTGGTCCAAGAGGATACAAGAGCATGGCTAACTGAGAACCTTCCTTTTCAAACACAGACTGTCGAGATGTGGCTCCACCGCAGTGGCTACCATCCGCCAAACGAGTCCACGGCCATTCACTGTCGCCGACGCTATCGACTTCTGCCCCCGAAAGTCCCCAACCCGGGCCTGCCCCCACCGGACCCTTCCCTTTGGATCGTTCACTATTCGCGAGCGCCCCAGACCGACCATATCCCCGCGAATCGCATCCCCATCCTCCCTCAAGTACAGAGCATGCTCGCCCAACGCCGGTTCCTGCAGAGCCAGGGCCAGCTTGCGCGGAAAGAATTCATGCTCCACGATCGTAACAACTGGCCGACCATCAACTTCCCGCCGCAGATGGCACCCCAGGGCTTTGTCCCCCCAGCAGCTGCATATGCTGGCGCAATCCCCGGTCGCCAGCCGGGTCCGTATTATCCTCAGCAGGTTCCCGGCATGCACGTTCCGCCGGCGGCCGTAGCAGTGGCCGCGGCAGTCCCAACGGCTGCTCCCTCGAAGGTGCCACGGGGCCATCGGCCCTCGGTAGCTGCCATCGGTGCCGCGGCTGCGGATTTCGCTCTCGACGATGAAGACGTCTCGACAGGCGACCTGATGGACTTGTTAACCCCGCGCGAAGTGAGCAAGATGAGATACCAGCAGCACCATGAATGGATGGAAGAAATCTTTGCGTCACCCTACGCCATCAGCCAGATCACCCCGGTCTCGCTGGGCTTGGGGAGAAAGGGAGAGCTGGAGTCTCTCACTGCGGGGTTCTTCGATGCCCCGGCAGCCCCGTCGACGGGCGACTCCAAGGAGGCTACTGACGCGGCACCAGCAACAAAACTAGAACCTCTCAAGGCCGAAGAATTTGCAGATCGCGTCGCCAAGAAGGTTGCGGACATGACTGCCGAGATCGAAAAGCTTAAGAAACGCCACTCCCGTCGCATGGAGAAGTACCACCGCACCTCGCTGCTTAAGGATGCAGAGCTCCGACTGCGCGAAGCAGCCGCCGACCCGCAGGAGACCGGTACGGAGATCTGGCGGCTCGAGGGGCGGATCGAGATCCCCACGGAAGATGGCACGCCGCAGGTCGAGGAACCCCAGCCTCTGGCGAAATACAAGGTCGACGACATCGCCCGTCAGGTGGAAAGCTCTTGGAAGAAGCAGATTGTCTTCGAGCCCAAGATCTCCTGCGTGCAAAAGGGCGGTCTACTGGAGAAGATTGAGCCGGAGAAGGGCGATGCGGCCATCCACGCCGAGGGCGATCTGACGATGGAAAACACAGAAAGTCAATTCCTGGACCAGTTTGGCTCATCCGGCGCAGCAGGGACAGGCCCAGCGGGTGCGCCCGCAGCCCACCCGGCCATCCCAGACCTGGATGTCGACATGGAGATGGGCGGTGGTGACGGGCCCGGGAACACCGCCGCCACGGGCACTGCTTCGGGCGAGACAGGCGACTGGGTCATGGTCAACAACGAACGCAAGGAGGGCGGCGGCGGTGGGGGCAGCGGCGGCGGCGAGAAGCCGACAGAATTGCCCGCGGCAATTGGCACACCTGGCAGCGGCATGCAGGGCTATACCCCGGGCCCTGCCGGCAGCGCCGGGGACAGTGGGCTTGACCCTGGCAGCTTCGACTTCACTAACATCGATTCTGCAGGCGACGCTCTGGCCGCGTACAGCGAGCAGAATGACGAGCTGGACCTGCCGGATCTAGAGAACTCGGCCTTTGGCGACGCGTTCCATGCCTCGGACAACGAACACTCTCACCACCACGACGACGATATGTCTTGAGGGGGTGGGGGAAGGGAAGGGAAAAAATCCTCGTTCTTCGTTTTTTCCTCGGTCCGTTTAATCTTCTGTCTGCTTTGTATGCTCTTTGCTTTGGTTTCGTCAGGATCGGTGTTAGTTAGGTCTGTATTATCTGCCCGGGGGGGGTCAACAACACTACGCTGGATTTTTACTGGGAGCCGGTGTAAACTTAAAGATAGGGAGAGAGGCACATGGCTGGAATCAGATTACACAGGATTTATCTGGTAATATAACTATATGCAGTCTAACGATGATCTATGCAGCTGGTAATGCCTAAATGCGACCTCTTTCTGTCTAGACTCTATAGGCATCTTTTAGGAGAATACCTCACTCATATGATGTGAATGAATCATAAGATAAAAAATACTTGACACGGAGATATAGTTAATTTACTAATTTACTATACTAGTAGACAGTCTCTTGAAGTAGGTCTCTCGAGTCTTCGGGTTGACAGCAGCAGGTGGAAGCTGGTATGCTGTACAACCTATACGATCTCCTTGCCGTAAGATCCTACCCATTCATTCACCCAGATGACGGGCCAGATCTTGAACAGATACAGTCCAGTATTATAAAGTCTCGATCCACTGGATATGGTGATTCCGTCGATCCCGCATGACGTCATGGACGACTGACGCTTATCATGTCGTCAGAGGACGAACGTCCTCCCCCCCCGTCCCAGAACTACTCCCATACCGTGGCGATTGAGGACAAGGACGAAGATCTTCTTTACTTCTGATGACATTGGAATCAAAATCGCCGTAGATCACTTCTTTGACAGTAGTCAGCCGGATCTGATCGACAGAGTCGAGGAAAGCGCAACGGTCAGCCTTGCCTTTTGCCTTTCTGCCCACGAACACCCACCATTTCTCGGATCTGAATTCCTAAGAGTGAGGGCTTTTATACCTCTGGTTGACGGTGTCAGTCAAGAAAGAAGTCCGGGTGTTTAGGACTTAATAGTTCCGTCTTGAAGAAACTCATAAGTATCAAAAAAAAAGAAAAAAAACATACTCAAGAACATTGTATCGCCATGTAAGCAACGGGATTCCTTGGAGAGAGCAGAGAAATGAGATGGCGCACTCACTTCCCGAGCAGGAATCGAAGCCTTTCCTTTCGGTCTAAGAAAGACTCGGCGCCCGGCCGCTACCGGTTCAGCATTGGCACGTTCCGAGGACTGCAGCAGCCCGAGCTGAGTCGCAAGCTCTTCAAACTGATCAAGGCAGAGAACACGGCCATCGGTGCGTACGAGTCTGCGGGCCGGGAGCGTGTCTCGATCGCCTCGCAGCTGTCCGACTGGGGCGAGTCGACGGAAGATGAGGCCGTCTCCGACATTTCCGACAAGCTGGGCGTGTTGTTGGCGGAGATCGGCGAGCAGGAGGATCTCTTCGCGCAGAGCCTCGAGGACTACCGCGGCCTACTGAAGCAGATCCGCAACACCGAGACCTCGGTCCAGCCGACCCGGGACCAGCGTGCAAAAATCACTGACGAGATCCAGAAGCTCAAGTACAAGGAGCCTACAAGCACCAAACTAGTGACGCTCGAGCAGGAACTCGTTAGAGCCGAGGCCCAGAACTTGGTTGCGGAAGCGCAGTTGACTAATGTGGTATGTCTGGTGTTTTTCTTTTTCTTTCTTTCTTTTTCCCTCCCAGTGCCCTCCCTGGAGACAGGCTGCTGGAGCTAACTGGATTCCCATTTAGACAAGATCGAAACTCAAGGAGGCCTTTGACATCCACACCGCTGCTGTCATCGAACGAGCAGAGAAACAGATCATTCTAGCCCGTCATGCTCGTCGCCTGCTAAACTTTCTCGATGACAGCCCGATTGTCCCTGGTGATCCGCGCCTTGCGTACGAACATTCGGCCGAGGCCAAACAGGTGCTCGAAGACGCCGAGATCGATCTCCGTTCGTGGGAAAGAACCGTAGAGCCCATCTCTTCTGGCGCTGCAGCCACCAAAGAAACTCCCGATGGCATCCTCGCTACTGCTGCAGAAGAATCGGACGCTGGAGGGGCAGAGATCGTGGGCGAGGGACCAGGCAGAGAACCCAGAGACATATCCCCAATAGGAGAAGACGCGCCCAGCATCAAACAGGAGAAGGAGGCTATCGCACCTGAAGCTTCCGGTGCCCTGCAGGCTGAAAGCCAGGCGTGATGCTGACATGAGGCATAACTATCCATCGGCTGGGAGTTTTCTAGGTTGGATCAGGGTCCAGGAAAGGAGCGAATAGTTAATGGTTGGGAAATTTGGTTGCGTGTGCCATTCTTCAAGTAGTGCCTTATATTCAGTATCTTATAGTAATTCAAACAAACCAGTGTCAGCATCAAAAGAATAAGTAGTTCAAGAGTTGTCCAGATTATAGAATATCTCTGATGTCGAAATCCTGATCACGTGACAACAGGCGCCAGGTGTGACGCGGACGTCGGAGCTTTGAGCATCACCAGAAGCTCAACCCAGAGCTCCCCCTTGACTTTATCCAGACAGCACCCGTGTACAACTAATTCATAGATTCTTCACCGGTTTCATCTCTCTGATATACATTCCCAACAGGTCGTCATGGATAAATTAGTAGCTCAATACTCGCGTCCGCGTCACCAAGATGAGTTCTACTCGGAGCAAGAGCAGCGCGACCTCACCGAGAGCCACCCTTCAATCAGTCTCAAGTTCGATCTGCCTCCGCTGGAAAATGTGAGTATTGCTGTCTTGATCTTGTCGGTTTGTCAAATAACTCACTCGGTTTCTTCTCTAGCCCTCTGCCTTCCTCCGTGCCATGACAGACGACCACTCCAACCCCAGCTGTCCGATCAAGCTCGCTCACGGAACGACAACGTTAGCTTTCCGGTTCCAGGGGGGGATTGTACGTACCGCTACCGTCTTTTCTTCTTGCGAATGTGAAGGGGAAATAAGAGAAGAGGGGGGGGGGAGGGAAACTTGGCTAACGGAAACTCGGATAGATCGTCGCGACCGATTCCAGAGCAACGGCTGGTAACTGGATTGCCAGTCAGACGGTGAAGAAGGTTATCCCTGTCTCGAGACTGAGTCGGGGCGAAGACACTCAGACAGATGCTCCTGTTCCAGGCTTGCTGGGGACTATGGCTGGAGGTGCCGCAGTAAGTAGACCCCCAAGTGATGAGATTAAGACCGATGCAGACAGTTGAGAGAGGGGGGGGTGGGGTTCTTCGGCTTGTCAACTAACATATTGGATTCTAGGATTGCCAGTACTGGTTGAGATACTTGAGCCAACAGTGCACTCTTCACGGTAAGGCTCCTGCGTCTCGTCTCCTACGAGCAAATGACAAGAGAGATGCTTATTGGTAATAGAAATCCGCCATAAGCGTCGTATCACAGTTGCAGCCGCGTCGAAGATTCTTGCGAACCTGACGTATGCTTATAAGAATATGGGCCTGAGCATGGGCACAATGTTGGCGGGTGTATGTTTTTTTTTCTTTCCCCTCTCTAACCAATCCATGATCTTTCCTGAAACTCGCACTAAATCTGGTTGTAACTGCAGATGACTCCCCAAGAAGGCCCCGCTCTCTACTACATCGACTCGGACGGCACCCGTCTGCCCGGCAACCTGTTCTGTGTCGGCTCCGGCCAGACCTTTGCCTACGGTGTGCTTGACGCCCAGTACCGCTACGACCTAACCGAGGAGGAAGCCCTCGAGCTTGGCCGCAGATCCATCCTGGCAGCCATGCACCGCGATGCCTACTCTGGCGGCTTCATCAACCTGTACCACGTCAAGGAGGAGGGATGGGTCCACCACGGCTTCAGCGACATGAACCCGATCTTCTGGAAGACGAAGCTGGAGAAGGGCGAGTTCTCCAACGTCACTTCTGAACTGTGAGGGTTGGGGGGTATCCTAGAAAATGAACCATCATAACTATCCGGTACCATTGTTTTCTAAGGCATCGAAATGAGAAAAAAGACGCTCTGGATTTTATGTAATGAAAGCAGTAGTTTTGTACTCCATAGAGCGAATAATCCTAACAAGTCCAACATGAAAAGTCGAAAAAAAATAATAAATAAAAAATAAAAATAAACCATGAATCAAGAGGCTCATCTATACATGCACTTTTGCGTCCAAAGGGGGGGGGGAGACGCTTCCTCTCTCCAGATACAACAATATCCAAGAACAGTGGGAAAAATGTTAAAAAAAACACACTTAATTATCCACCCAGAACTTCATACGGATCCCCATAGCAGCCAGCTCGACGTCCAGGTAGCGCAGGACGCCCGGCACAGCGACGACGGTGACGTTATCTCCGCCGACGTAGCGTCTGCCGTCGCCGTCCTCCCAGACATCGGCACGCGAGTCCTCGAAGACGGCCTCGCGCGCGCAGCGGCGGCAGCGGACAATACCCGTGAGACCTCCCAGAGCTGCAGATGCAGAGGAAGACGAGTTCTGCTTTTGTTGCTGGGTCGGCGCCGCGGTGGCGGCGTTAGCGGCAGCGGCGGCGGCGGCGGCGGCGCCAGAGCCCGGTTTGATGGCAGCGCGGGCCTTGCTGGATCCCACGGAGGAGACAGCGACCTGTGTGGAGAGGAAGGAGCCGCAGTCGCGGCAGATCCAGGAGCGCTGGGCATCCGAGCAGTTCATGAGACGGTCCTGGAGCAGGAAAGCCGCTCCGTGGGCAAGCAGCGAGTCACGCTCCATCTCACCGACACGGATACCACCACCCTTTGCACGACCCTTGACAGGCTGGCCGGTGACGCCGTTGACGGGGCCGGTGGTTCGGACCTGGAACTTGTCGTTGACCATGTGACGCAGACGCTGGTAGTAGACTACACCCATGTAGATGTCTGCCGCAAACTCCTTGCCCGTGATTCCACTGTACAGGGGCTCGTTACCGTAGTAGTTATATCCGGCTTTGCGAAGCTGCTGGCCGAAGTAGTCGGTGGCCGTGTTCTCTTCGGAGAACTGGAAGGGCGTGCAGTCCTGTGGGTGACCATGAAGAGCACCGGCTTTACCGGCCATAGACTCAATCATCTGGGCGATTGTCATACCTGGAAGAATTAGACATCATCTCCAACCTGCTTCTATGGGTCATGAAAAGGAGGAGGGGAAAAAAAACTTACGAGAAGGGAAAGCGTGAGGGTTGATGATCAAGTCGGGCTGCATGCCGCTTTCCGAGAAGGGCATGTCAACAGCAGGCCAAAGCTGAGAGCAGACACCCTTCTGACCGTGACGCGACGAGAACTTGTCACCAATAATGGGCTTTCTGGGAATCCGGTACTTGACGCTCAGCGACTGGCAGGGGTCGGTTCCGTTCTCGTGGCCCATGAGTCGAATGCTGTCAATGTAGCCGCCTTCGGCGTCCTTGTATTTGACAAAGTGGGTGACGCCATCAACATTCGTATAGGAGTTGGTGGTAGGATCATAGCGCACAGAGTGCCACGCGGCGACAAGACTTCCTTCGGTCATTCGAGCGCCAACATGGGGGAGACCGTCTTCATCAAGGGTCTTGCGCCATTCAGCCTTGATCATGTCTCCCGGCGCGAAGCCAAAGAGCTTAGTGATCTCGTGCTTTGATTTTCCTCTCCGGGAATCCTTCTCATCGAGGGAGTGGATCTTGGTCTTGTAGATGGTACCGTATCCGAACCCGCGCTCGTGGGCTGATTTGTTGATAATCATGGCGTCGTCCATGTCATAGCCCGTGTACGAAATGATGGCCACGATCGCGTTGGTTCCGTTCGGGAAGTTATCCAGTCCGTAGGCATTGTAGAGCGGTGGTCGAACAATCGGGGTTTGACCAGTTTGTAATCTGTACAACTTGTTGTCTGTACGATAAGCGATGGCAGTCCCGGGAGTACCCATGGTCTGCTTGCTCATCTGGCACTGGTACATGTTACGGGGAGACTGGTTATAATCGGAGAAAGGTGTCATGTTGGCCACAATGGAGAGGATATTAGTCGGGGTAAACTCAATGTGAGTCGACACTCCAGCGACCAGGTCCGACTCGAGGCAAGCAATCTCCATAAAAGGTTGCTCAAACGGTCCGACATAATCAAGTTTCTCCAGAGCCAGATACTTGACCGGTCGGTACATACGGGCAGACTGGGAAAACATGTAGATACCAGGGTACTGTCCACCATTCGAGTTGGGAACATAACCGATCTCCAGTTCCAGAGGGATTTGGTGGGTGCCCTCGACCTTCCAATACCGCAAGGTGTCGGCGACCATGCGAGCTTGTTTCGGCGTGCAGTATCCGATGACTCGGCCGTCCAGCTGAACGGTGACACTTTCATCAAGCGATACCGAAGAGTCAGCTCGAACACCGAGCTGCGCCAGTAGCCGAGGAACATGAGAGACGTCCAGGTCGCTCGTGGAGATCAGGCATTTGTGCGAGAGGTGGTTCAGCAAGCCACAGGGAGATCCATCAGGAGTGTGAACCGGACACAGGAAACCCCAACTCTCTGGGAGCAGCTTTCGAACCGTGGTTGTTTTCAGCTGTGCGAAGAAGCTACCTCTGTGGATCATGCGGAAGTGACTGATGAATCGGTAGAAGTTAATCTTTTCCGCCATGACGGTGTAGCCGGATGCTTGCTGCAGATCCAAACCGGTCGGACTGACAAGATTGCCAGTGGACAGGAAATATTCCAAGGCACCTCCAATATTTTCATTCGAACGTTTGACAACCTTGGCCAAGAATTCCTTTTCGAACGCAGGATCCGTGAACTTGGCACCGCTGCGGTTGCAGTAGTCGCGCGCAATGGGCCCCAGCGATCTCAGCCATTCCTCCAGTCGCTCCTTCAGAAGCATACCGTAGAGGAAGCCTCCGAGGAGAACCTCCTGGTTCGACACGGCATCAGGGTTATCCGGGGCACAGTCACCGGCAACCAAGGCATACAGCTTGCGAATCATGAACATGAGCATCTTGAATTTGTCATAGTCTTGCGACTCCGTCACGTTCTGGTTTCCAAGGTGCGGTAAGACGATCTTGCGCAAGAACTCTGTTCCGGCGTCCTCGTTGGACATATCGGCCGGGACCCCAAGAACGGGCTTGAACTTCTCGCCCAGGTAGGCACGGGAAGATGCGCGGCCGTTGAGATTATATGCCTTGTACGTCCTCAGCAACAGTTCCACGCGGTCGGTAATGAAGGTGTTCTCCACGCCCTTGGACGCAGCACTGCCGACGATGCCCTCAAAGATATCGCGATCATTGGTCTCCACGAGAGCCTTCAAGATCATCACGATAGGGATGAGGTATTCATTTTTTCTCCAAGAAAACCGGAAGGTGACATTTCCGTCGCTGAGGTAGTGGAGAACGTTGGTCTGCGAGGTTTGATCGGGGCGCACAGATCGTATTTGAATACCGAACTTGGTATATGTATGACCACGTTTGACAAAGGAGCCACGGATGATCGCCATAGGGTAGTTCCTCTTGCCGACGATAAGCATACGGATCAACTTCTCGTTGCCGTTGACAACGAAATAACCGCCGAGTTCCTCAGACTCTTCCTTGTGGTCGACGAGCTCATCGGGGGTGGCTTTCTCGAGGTGGCACCTGTTGGTCTGTTCCATCCGGCGTCAGCATCCAAAATATAGTCTCACTAGAAGATTGATTTGCTGAGACTCACCCTCATCATAATGGGCACTTGGCCCAGTTCTCTCACGGACTCCTTCCAATCACCATTGTTGACCTGGTACTCTAGCCGGGCACGAAGCTTCCCACGGTAGGTTGCATGTCGCTCGCGACATTCGGAAGGGTAAATGTTGCGGTTGCGCGTAGCGAACTTGTTCGCCAACGGCAGGGCGGGCTTGTCGAGAAAAACCTCTCTGACCCGGACGTTGAGTTTGTTGCGCTTCGGCGGCAGACGACCCTCCGCGAGGCGGACCTTCTTCTCTTGCGGCGACTCAAGCTCTCCGTCCAGGAAGGTTTTGGTGCCGATGTCCTTCAGACCAGCTTCAATGACCTTGCTGTCTCCGAAAAGTGCATTGAAAGAGTGGATGTGAGGATAGATCGACTCGGCCAACGACGGGAACGCCGTATGGTCCTTCGGCGGGTTCTTAAAGAGGTCATGCCGCCTGAGGGTCTCGAAGTCGACAGACCAATTCGTGTTTGTCGCAGCAGGAGCCATTGCGCCTTCTGTCCGTGTCGCTCTCTTCTGTCTTCTTTTTGCCGTCCGTCTTTTCTCTCTCCTTCTAGCTGTCCGCACCAGCCAGTCTTCTGGAGCAGGCGGTCTTCTCGATTACCTAGCAGGAATTCCAGGCGGCAAACACATCAAATGGCGCCAGCCCAATATACAGCGATCTTGCAGCGAAACCAGAACCGGCAGACCGGGCAATCCTGCGCAGAGAGGCCTGGAGCAGCAGAGGTCGGACCAGGATCTTTCCTTCTCACGCCGCCGACGGGGAAATTTTTCGAGGTGGAACTGGCGGACAGATATCATCACGTGCTGATAATTATGGTGTCTGTCCTGGTGCCTCAGGCCACAAAGGCGCCAAGCCTTTTAGCGACGCGATGATCCGTGACGATGTCAGCCTGAGGCCAGAAAGTCGCGGCTGTCTAGTTATTGGATCCCTAGTAATAATATAGCTAAGGTATACTGGAAGTCTTGGTACAGCACGCAGAGCTGCGTAGAATCGCTGCCGACTCGCTACAATTCAGCCGTCGGTCCAGCTTCCAGCCTTAATACACAATAATACCAAAAAACCAAACCCACCCTTCATCCTGGCGCTAGAGGTTATTACTAGTACTACATATTTAGGCGGCTTTTTGACTTGACAGGGGCCTGGGAACCGCCTAGCGCCAGCCCCGGGAGAGCTAAGCGCTCCCCTCCAGGCGGTGCAGGCAAAGGAACGGTCATGCGTGCCCATAGATCTGAGCATCCTTTATTTCTTTCGGTTTCACCGTCCACGGCGGGCAAAAGAGAAACAGGAACGGTCTGGGAGGTTAAAGGAGAGCTCATAGCTCCATGTCGACTCGCTCTGGTCCTCGTCTGGTCCCCCTCCGTTTGCTGATTATTAGGCTTCCCTGAATCTTGCATCTACGTTCGTCTCTGCCTACAACCCAATCTCCCCCAATCTCCCCCAATCCCAAATCCTCCCATTTGCCTTGCCGCATGTTCCTTTTCTAAAGAGCTGCAGCTTCTTCCGGCAGCCTGCCTCGGACAGTCCCCACTCTTTATTACTCCTACAGATTTGGTTCTGGTTAATTGATCATCGAAGAAAAGGTCATTCCCGCCACTTTCGCTCGGACCTTTTCTCTCTTCCCACAGCTCGCCTGGCGCTTTGGGGGGGGTTCTTTTTTTTTCCTTATCTATCCAGAACTCGCTACGTATCTTGAGGCTGAGCATTGTTCAAGATGGCGGGCATCTTTCGAGCCATCTATGACTGGCTCCTGAGGATGTTCTGGTGAGTGGGCCTCAATTCATAATTCCCTGGTCGTCGTCGGAGATAGTGTCATCGGCCCGTCCCCGCCAGAGAAGGTCCCGATCTGCTAACAGCCACTCAGGGCTACGGAGATGGATGTTACGATGATTGGTCTGCAAAATGCTGGCAAGTCGTCGCTGCTGCGTGTTCTGGCGGTGAGTCTTGTGGTTGGGAGATATCATCTGAGGTTGCCGAGTGTCGCTGACATGGATATCGGTTGGTAGGGCGGAGAGTTCACTGTAGAGTAAGTCGCTCAAGTTAGCTGGAGCAAGCGTGCTCGGTTCGAGTCACCACTGACATTTCTCTGTTTGAAGCTCCATACCGACCATCGGTTTCAACACAAAGAAGGTTCAGAAGGGCCATGTGACGCTAAAATGGTCCGTAGAGCCCTGTCTCTCAAGGGGGGGGGCATCCAGATAGCCAAGCTCTCTGCTAACCTTTTCGAACAGCTGGGATCTCGGTGGGCAACCGCGATTTCGACCGATGTGGGAGCGATATTGCCGAGGCGTCAATGCTATCGTGTACGGTTTTTCTGCCCGGGGTACAAGGGAAACATAGGCTGTGCTAACTCTAGGAACCAGGTATATCGTAGATGCGGCGGACCAGGCTGCTCTGCCGGTTGCCACCGAAGAACTCCACGACCTGATGAGAAAACCCACGCTCGACGGTATCCCGTTGTTAGTCCTTGGGAACAAGTCGGATCTTCCAGACAAGTTATCCGTCGACGATCTGATCGAAACCATGGACCTGAAGTCTATCACCCGCCGTGAAGTCAGCTGCTATGGAATCAGCGCCAAGGAGGAAACCAACCTCGACGCAGTCTTACACTGGCTCATTGCCCGATCCAGCAGATAAATTTCCGGCTCTTTTTCCCCAACCACCCCCCAGACGAGCCCCGGCCCGACCACGTTGACAGCACGGATCTTTTCTTTGTCTCTTTCATCCTCACCGGTAGATTTTCGATGATTTTGGCTCGCTGCCCGGCCTCTTATGATAACGATCTCGTTCAGGGAACATGCAATTGGAGCGATCTTCTTTCTTTTTTGGTTTGGTTTGGTTTGGTCTTTTCTGTGGCTTTCTCCTTTCTCCCAGTGGTTTTGGGGCATAGTTGCTTTTTACCGATTTTTATTGCATCCAACTCACGAATCTTTCCTGTGTATCAGTTTTTGGTTTAGCTTGATATCTCCCCTTTGGATAACCATGTTCGAGTATTTGTGTTTGATAGCAAGTTCTAGCAACGCAGAGTGTGAACTTCTCGATTGAATTCAAGATATCTCGTCTTACGTCTTATCTTGCAGGTTCCGGTTAGACGGGTAGTTGCTAGTCGAGACATACGAGAAAATAATACATTTCTGGGGAAAGTCTCTTCTTATGCTAAGGCCATGGCACACAGACCAACTGATGTGTTGGCATTGCAGATGCAGAGACGGGAACTAATCCTGGGTGCCAACCAGAACATTAATAGTTGTTGCTAACTTGCTACCTTGGGTGTCTATAGATTACACCTAAATCAATAATTGATAGCTACACGGCGGCTATATATATAGTAGGTATACCTTTCGTAGTATATATACTTGAAATATATTTGAATATAGTTACTTAAATATACTTAAAATCTACCATAAACATAATAAAGACGGCATATAATCGGGTAATGCATTATTTGAATCCTGTGAGTATTCTATATAGCCTGAAAATATCCAGGCCTCTCTAATTATTTCTATACTCCCTGTGTCGTAGTGATATCGCTAATATTTACTGCATACTCCAGACAGCTTTAGGCAGAAGAATATTAGACTCCGAAGATCCGATAGTCGCTCCACAACGCTAACCCGAACAAGCGATTGACATCACGAAATATTCACTGACTCGTGGCTATGCTGCGAGCAGCTCTGGTTGGCTTGAGCTATTACTACTATTCCATGTAGATGATACTACATAGTGAGAATGATGATGAATATAACAGTAAAAAGAAACTGCCATAGAGTTATTTATTCAAATAGCCTTATAGATAAATATCAAGTAACTAATGCATAACAGCTGTCAGTGGAACATGAACAGTCGCCACACAGAATACGGAGTTAGTAGAAAGGCCCAGCCTTCGCACCTCCGGTTGCTGAGCCACACATCTTTCCACCCATAACTACCCACTTATTTCCCTCTTTCCCTCACGATACATATTCGGTTTCACTCTGCCCTGTGTTGCTGCTTTTTTGTCTGCAGACAGTGAACAAGCGCATATTCTATATCAAGAACCAGCGTCATTTACTGCGTTACTCCTTGACTAGACTTACACTCCACTACCATACCCCCCCGCGAATTTTCTCCGTCTTCCTTCGTCGACGTCATTTTACCAGCCCGCCTCACGCGAGGGTTTTTTCAGCCACGATGGGCGTTCTCCGAGCGCGAGATTGGTGAGTCTCGTTGGTTTCGTCTTTCGTTCTCTATAAACCAAGGTGGTCGCTGACTATTTGTTCTGATTCTAGTTGGATGGGGGATGGCGGTGAATATTGCTCGTCGTCGCCTTGGGGCAACTGGGGTCGCTGGGTGGCCTTGGCCGTCATTATTGTTGTGGCGTTCCTGCTGGTATTCCTCTTCGCGTACGTCCCATGAGATACAGAAGAGAAGAAAAGAAAGAAAAAAAAAAAAAAAAAACGCCTTACTAACTCAAAAAATAGGTGCATGAATGCCCGCCGTCGTCGCAGATACGGCCAGCGCCCCTTCCGTGGAACACAGTGGATGGCAGGCGGTGCTCCTCCTCCGACCGAACAGCCGTACTACTATCCCAACACCCCTCCTTACCCACCTCCGCCGCAGTACTCGCAGAATCCCAATCCGCAGACGTACGGGTATTTCGGTGGCCAGCAGCCTCAGCAGAACGGGATTGAGCTGCAGTCGCCGCCCCACGCATACTACGGTGGCCAGCGTGCCTATGAACCTCCGCAAGGGCCTCCGCCGAACAAGACTTGAGAGATGAACGAGACAATGAGATGCACCATACATACCCTGCAATGAAATCGACACGGATTGGGAAGGATCAGTCTGGAGTTCTTTTTTTTTTTCTTCTTTATTTCCGTTTTCATTTCGTCTATCCGGTCTTCGCTCTTCTGCTACTTTCACTCTTTTATCCCATCCTTGAAAAAATAACGGCTGCGCATTACATGGTTGTGTCTTAATGGTCAGATGGGGAGGAAGGGTTATTTCGAGGATGATATATGATGGTTTGACTACCACCATCTTATGATCTTTAATCTGCGGGATTTTGATTCTGTTCTGTGGCAACAGATATCGAGGTATGACAATGATCTAATGCTGTCAATAATCCATAATTACCAAGTATTATGATACTCAGACTTCTTGAATGCTCCATAGATAACAAAGTACAATAGTTAACCAATTATTAGTTGGTTATAAGTAATGGTTTGAATAGTCCCCCAGATACTCCCTACTGAGACAGCATCGGAGCAACGGTTGACTCTATCAACCCCAGGAAGCCTAAGAACAACAGCAGGAAATCTCTAGATATAACTTATTCCTTAAAATACAAGCACAAGCCTGTACTAGGGCAGACTGACCCCTTTTTTCCCTGCGGGGGAGCGGATCCGACGCCAGGGACGGATAAGCAAATCGCAATTGGTGACACCGCCGTCCTCTCCACCACAGGAACCCTTGCAATCAAAGCTGCCCTCTGCTATTCTTCTCGCTACCTGGACGGGCAGGGTCATCATTGTACCTTACTACCTTCTCGGCAGCTGGTAACCGTACGGCTTCCCTCTTTGAGGCCGGGAAGCTTCTTGACCTTCCCCTCCAGAGAGAGATTTTCGAACTCCCCAGCTCGGTTCCTTGTTGACGAGGGGTTTCTGTCGCTCGTTCTTCTTCTTCTTCTTCTTCTTCTCCTACCCCTCTCCGACCGTCTTTCGTTCGTTTTCAAACTCGCATCCTGCTCTGTCTCTGTTGACAGTGCTGCGACAATCCGCTCCTTTCGACTCGTCGCGTTCTACGGCACCCTCGGCTGCGCAGATCTGCTTAATCAGACAGAACATTGACGAACATTTATATCTTTTTCGATAGATATTTTCGAGTCAGGGCCTTCTCGACTTCGCTGTCTGTCGCAGACGTCTGGAATTAACAATTCTCGGTTTGCGTCGCCACGTCCGATCGTTTCCCTCGCTATACCCTAGAACCGCGCGCGCATCGCCTTGGAATGTGAAGCTGGAAGATATTTATACCACTGTTTGATTGTATCGGGTGCATCTTTCGAAATGAGTCCGGCGACGAGATTGCCCATCTGGGCAAGAGGTGTTGTGAGCGATATTGAGACTGCGCCAGAGACCTTTTCGAGCTGGGATAAGTGCATGGAAAAGGCATATTGCAAGTACGTCCGCTACGAGACATTGGAGTCATCGCCTATATTTTAACCAGACGATACACTTTAGATGGCCTGTTATTGTCGCTATCGTCATTGGTTCGCTTATTCTCCTGGGAGTCCTCGCCTGCGTGGTCAACTGTTTCTGCTGCGGCTATCAATGTTGCAAAGGGTGCTGTGGCTGCTGTTCCATGTGCTGCCCTTCTGGTAGACGTCGAAGGGACGACCGTACAAAATACATGGATGAACCGACGGGGTACCATCAACCGCCGCCAGCAGCAGCAGCAGCAGCCGCCTCATCGATGCCAACCAGAGACGCATATCAATCACCAGCGGCTCCGCCGGTGTACCGTGGCCCGTCGACGGCTACATTTGATGCTTCAAGACGAGTCAGCGCAAAGACTAACGACGACGTTTTGCCTTCGATGCCGACATGGGAGAATTCAGCCTCTAGACGAGTTGAAGACATCGGTCCTCATCCAGACGAGATGGAAATGAAGCCTCTGAACTCTCCGACCCAGCAGTATGGCGTTACATCCGCTTTCCCCCCCTCGGCTGGCGCTATCGCTGCTGCTGCTCCTGCGGCAAGACAAGCGGTCGGTGGACGAAGAGGGGCTCCTCCGCCCCAGCGGATGCAATCGCCAGCTCAACATTACGACTATCGTGGCGCACATGGCTCGAGTCAGTATAATGTAGCGTCTCCTGGACCGGAGACCCCAGTTGGTCGAGGAGCTTTCAACGCTTCTCCTTACGAGCAGCAGCCATACAATGACTATTCGTATGGTAATGATCAGCATTCATACGGCTATCAGCCACAGCTGCAGCCGCAGCCGCAGGCATACCCTCAGACACAGACACGCCCACAGGCACCAGGTCTTTATATCCCCCAACAACAGCAACATCAACAGTATAACCCAGTGTCTACGATGTCTCCCTCGCACGAGATGCCCGAGCACACGGCTTTCCAGCGCCAACCCTCCTTTGCATCGACGCAACCACCCCCTACTTACGTCTCGGACTACCAGGAGCCACAGTACTCCCAAGCACACCCATTGTACCATGACTACTCGCCCTCGCATGTTTCCTCGCCCCCGCCGCCCTTCTCCCCCACAGCCCCAGAGCCAGCCAACGCCGTCCGTCCGCCGAGTCTGTTGCAGAGTGGTCGGAGGCCTGTCGCGAACTCGTGGAGGAATATCTAATGAGACTGCTGCATTCTTTTCGGCTGTCCTCGGATGTCCCTTTTGGATGTCCCTTTTGGATTACCTTTTTCCATTTCTTCCTGGTTCTTCTTTTTCATCATTGAAAAGAACTCTCTTGGCGTACTGCGTTCTGGTTGCGATTATTGCATTATGGACTACAGCGGATCCTCCATCACTTCTATCTTACTTGATCGGTTGATATACCTGTTTTCTTTTCTTGCCTCCCCGGTTGCTTTCCCTGTTTGCTTGCTAGGCTCCTTGTACTCATTTGATGACCTCGACATGAATGAAATGTACAGATCACAGATCATAACCAAAGTAATTCTTACTAATAACATTTTTGTAGCTCGCAGATTTAGTGGTACAAGGCAAAAGGTTCTAGTTTCCCGGCTACTCCAAAGTAAAGTCAAACTCCTTGAAGGCCTCCTTGAAGGCCTCTGCATCCGCCTCTTCAGCCTCTTGCGTCTGCACGTCGTCGCGCCAGTTCATCCGCCGCTCAAGCTGGAGGAGCTTGGCCATCACGCGCCGGCCGAACTGGAGATCGAAGCGGAAGTCCGTGCTGAGCGGGAGGAGGAGGGTGGTTAAATTCGCCGCCTCGCTATTCTTATCATTGGAAGTAACCTGCTCTCCACCAGCTGGCGGAGAGTCAGGCCGCCAGATCCAGACGCGGAAGAAGTCGCCCGGCTCGGTGGCTTCATCTTGCGACGACGGTTTCTCGAACTTGGGATATCGCAGGTTCTCTGCCTCGACTTTGAATGCGGCCTCGACGAGCCCGCGCGAGACCAGGTCCGCCGGGACGGGGAGAAACTGCCAGTGGACGTGGATGCCGTTGCCACGGCTGACTTCCCACGTGACGGCGCCGAGGGCGTCGGCGGAGCCGCGGCTGCGAAGCATCGAGTGCAGGGCGTCGCGGTAGCGCTGCATCTCGCGGAACGTGCTGGAGCGGGCCTCCGGGTCGGTGATCAGGTTTAAAGTCGGGGAATGGCTGAAGGGCACAATTAGCATGTGGCCGGGGAAGTCGAGCGAGGGGAACGTTTTGGCAGTGGGGAGGGGGCCCTTGGCTGTCGTCAGGTAGCTTTCGTTGCCGATGGAGGTGATGAGGTGCGTGGCGATGTTCGGGTTGGACAGGCAGAAGAAGCATTGCTCTGGCCCGGGCGGGGGTGCTCGTGCGCGCTTGCGCGGTCGATTGCTGTCGTCTTCGACGGCGAAGCGAGAAAATGACTCTTTCTGACTGGCGAGGCCCTTGCGCTTGGGTTGGATGGGCGCAAAGGGTGTCGCTGTCGCGCCGACAGGGACGCTAAGCGGAACGGGGGCCTTGGGGTCCAACGAAAAGGCGTACATCCATTTCTGTTTCGAAGGGTTGTTGTAGGCCGCCAGGCTGATAAACCTGGTCAGCGGTTTGGCGTCGGGGCTTTGGTCTTCGGACGGCAAGTGAAAGAAGGGCTCTCGCTCGAAGAACATGGCCCCTGATGTAGAGAGGTGGTACCGGGGCTTGAGGGTCGAGCAGAGATCTGCAACACACTGTACCTCTTCCGGAGGTGTAGAGCCTTCTGGCAGGCTCACTTTGGAGCCTGTTCGGACCCCCCTGGGCCATTGACTGGTCACTAAGATGTCCGCGTTGTGAGCGCCGTAGAGAGCTTTGGCATCAAACTCGGTGAAACTAGGCAGATATTTTTGCGTCGCCTTGTCTCCGTTCCCAGCAGCGGCGCCATATTGACCTCCCAGAGCCACAATCCGCACGCCTTCTGCCGTCTTCAACGTCCCGCGTTTCCCCAGGAAATAGAGATTGGGACACACTTCGTCATCGGCCTCGATCTTCTCTACTACCCTCGTAGGAAGCGGCCGACTGCCCAAAGTGAAGTAGGTCGGAAGCGGCACGAGAATATTTCCCTGTAACAGCGCAGTTATCTCTTCTAGCTCATGCTCTGTCGAGCAGTCCCCAAAGAGATCTCCAGCGACAATTGCAAACGAGAAGTTCTGCTTCACCTGAAGCTTGGCGAGCTTGGTAAACACATCGCGCAGCTCACAGCCCACATCGCCAATTACGATTCTGAAAAGAAAGTCAGTCGATCGATGGTTCAAATAGAATATGAAGTATTTCTCACATTTTAGACGCCATTTCCAAGTGCCGAAAGACCTGAGACATCAGCAAGACCCAAAGCTCGACAATTCAATCACAGCTAACCTCAGCTCCGGTATCTTTCAACACCAGCACTTCCCACAGATGCCAGATGAGCTATTTCAGCGTCTGCCTGCCATCCTGACCAGCTCTCTTCACTGTTGTCGTCAGGTCGAGCCTCTCCAGACCACTAAGCCGAAAAGAGCTTGGACCAGTCCCGTTCTCACGTGATGATGCGCTAGCCGGATAAAGGCTAGTGCCATTTGACTTATCTCCGCAGCGGAAAATCAACTTTTTTTTTGGCAGCTCCGGGGAGTTTTGGGAAGGCCAGAACAGAAACCTCGACGAGCTGCTTTGAACACGGCCAGCGACCGATCGGGCATCGCAGATTCGACACCATGATGCCGGCAGCGTCCTCGGGCTCGCGGGGCAAGCCCGTGAAGCGCGTCAAGTCAGGAACAGAGACGACAAAATCGCATCGGTTCGAGCCGTTCACTCAACGCATCGCGAAACTGAAGATCGACCCAATCCACCGCGTCCGCCGGCCGAGTTTTGGAGAGGATGCAGACGAGACTTCGTCGCATTTCCGGTCGGCGTACGATCACTGGGTCGAGCTCAATCTGTCGGAGAACTTCGTCGCTTTTGCACGTCGGGTGAACCCGCTGTCGGAGAGTCTCGCGCAGATTCTATACCATGAGGAGAAAATTATGGCGTTGCTGATGGAGTTCATCGAAAAGAGGGATCCCTTGTGTATGGAGCCACTGTTGACGCTTCTGGCGCAATTTGCAAGGGATTTGGGCGTCCGATTCGAGAGGCACTTCGCCGCGGCGGTCACGCTCGTGGCGTCTGTCGCCGCGACTCACAGCGATGTCGAGGTGGTGGAATGGAGTTTCACCTGTCTCGCATGGATCTTCAAGTTTCTTTCACGCCTTCTGGTGCCGGACTTGACACAACTGCTCGGAATCATGACGCCCTATCTGGGTAAGGAGAAGCAAAAAACCTTCGTTGCACGATTTGCCGCCGAGTCGATGTCCTTCCTGATCCGTAAGGCGGCCTTGGTCTACCATAAGAACAAGGTGCCCCTCGAGCGCGCCGTGTCATTCCTCCTGCGTGATTTACGAGAAACAGCAGATGTCAAGGATGTGCATCTATACAAGGCTGGGCTCATGGCTATGTTCTCGGATGCCATGCGTGGTATCAAGGGTGCGTTGCATTCGAATGCTACAGATATTCTCGGTTGCCTCCTGGCGAGTGCTCCTTCGGATGACGGCCAGCAGTTTGATCTGGCAGTGGAGGTTGTTAGTGGCATTATTATCAACACCATTCATAATACACCCGCCACTACCTTCGCTCCTATCCTGGAATCGACTCGACACTACATCGAGTCCCAGACCAAAAAGGCAAAGAAGCAACAGATCGAGCTCGGCTGCCGTCTGATGTTCGTGATTATCGGCACTCGGAAGGGCACAAGAGTCCGGGATTGGAAGACTGTACATGAGACCCTCTTGCTCCTGCTGCGCAAGGCTGCCACTGCCATTGAGGCGTTCGATAGAGCCTTGCCTCAGCTACTGACTACTATTGCATACGCCCTCCAAGTATCTCCAATGGACGAAATGCTGCCATTCATGCGTCCAATCATGGATGCTGTGGCTAATGACAAGTTCTCGTCCCATTTTCTCTCTTTCTGCGCGACCTTCTCAGAATGGGGGTCTGAGAGATTCCATAACGTTGTTCTCCCATATTTCCAAAAGTTTATCAATGCTTCATGGGAACAAAACGAGTATGGGATCTGCCTTACGTTACTGCGCTTGAATCAAGCCGGTTGTATATCTTCTGAGCCGACAAAGCCCGGTTATATTACATGCCCGCCAACATGGAAGTCCCATATCAAAAGTCGGTTGAGTGCAACCCCTGGTTCAGGTCCAGCGGAGATCGCTCTGATCAATGCATACTCGAAGCTTCCCCAAGCTTTGGCCTTGCATACTGACCCTTCTCTTATCCCTGACCTGGTGCGCCATCTGCACGAACAGCTTCTCGTTGCATTTAAGAGCGAGGAAAGTCTATCTGATAGCAGCAAAGTATTCTTCCATGGGCAGGGATTCAAGACCTACGTCGAATTGGCTGTCCAATCCGGGGATCTTGATACGACACTCTGGGGCTCCATTACACTCGCTGCGGCAAATTATTCTCGCCTCCCTCTCTTCCTTGATGGAGTCCTCACATATATCTCTGCGTGTACCGAAGGCATCAATATCCAGGAATCATCCATCGAAGAGTTCGCCAACAGCCTCATCACAAATCTCGCGGGGCCGTCCCATCAATCACGATTGCTATCGCTGAAAATTCTTCGAGAGCTTATTGTTCGGGTACACAAAGAGGACCCTGAGCCTGTTGACCTTGCAATCGAGGTCGAAGAAAGCCCGTTGACCTTGCAATCGCACCGAACACTTGCGATGCATGTTCGCAAACTTGCAATTCTGTACCCTCAAGTCTCCTCTCGCAAATGGATGGCCACACTGATCCCCCATTTCTGTTTCGGATTGTTCTCTAAAAAGATGACACCTCTCTGGGATGATGCCGCTGCTGCTTTGAAGTCGATCAGCGAGCATACCGCTGGGGAGAAGCTCGTCTCGGACATGGCAATCCAATGGCTTCAAGAAACGTCGACTGGTCTTGCAAATGACGAAACAGCCGACAACAACAGCAATAATTATGTATCTGGATATTTTGAGTGTTTCAATCTTGCCAAAGTCGAAGATATCCAGTCCACATTTTTCCAGAGCGGCAATGACCCTGCTACAACCCTGACTCAAGATTTCGAGAAAGAACACACCTTTACACAGATTCTACCTGCATCGCCTCGCACTCAAGCACTGTGCGTCCTCAATGCAGCACCCGCTATAGCTGAGAAGCGCTCTCGGCAGATTGTCCCCCTGTTTCTCTCTTGGGCATTGCGGGAGGATGAGGATGACAGCACCGATCTCAAGGATGGAACCCATGTTACCTGGGGGTTCAGAGATCGCATGGCAATGCTCACGCTGTTTGGTCAATTTATCAATCCCAAAGTTCTTTTCAAAGCGCCCGAGGTGCACGAAGCACTCCTCGGGCTCTTGAGTCACGGAAATTCCGAGATGCAAAAGCATGCTCTGAAAGCCATTTTTACTTGGAAGTCAGCAAGTATTTCTCCCTATCAGGAGAATCTGTTGAACATCCTCGACGAGTCGAGGTTCAGGGATGAACTGGCCGTTTTCGTACATACCGGCAGAGAGGACAGTGTTATTGAGGAGGGTCATAAGGCAGAATTGCTTCCAGTACTTCTTAGGCTTCTTTACGGCCGAATGATCTCCAAGGCAGGCTCCAATGCTGGCCAAGCAGGCCAGACTGGACGGCGGAAAGCCATTCTCAGGACATTGTCTCTCTTGTCTGATGAGGACTTTGAGCTTTTCATGCAGATATCCTTAGGCCCGTTTGCAAACATTCGTTTGGTTCAGGACGCTAAGCTGGTAGAGCAATGTTTCTCGCAGGAAATCGCAAGTCCCAGAAGACAGACTGGTATGTTGAAGTTGATCGAGACTGTTTTTGAGACCCTCAAGACCCGCATGCTTCCATACGCCCAACAGGCAATGGATGCTACAGTTTACTGTCTTGTACGAGCATGCCGCGCCATCGAGAAAGCACAGTCAGCAGAATCATCTGATCATCAAGATGATAAGATGCTGAACATCTTGAAAAGTGTTCGCCAGTCATCCATTCATTGCCTGGATCTGATATTCTCTATTTCACCCGGCCAGGACTGGACGCCGTATCTCCAAACTATTTTCACAGAAGCGATCGATCCGAGAATGGAAAATTTTGCCATTGAAACTGCACAGGGAATCTCGGGTCTTTTACGACTCTTTCATACCTGGGCTTCTGCGCCTAGCTCATCCTTCTACCTTGTTAGATTTAACAAGGCTCTCCTCACCAAGGTTACCGATTGTCTTGGAGTAGAATCTGCTCGAGATGAAGTCAAGATTTTCGTCATGGATGAGATCCTGGTTCCAATTGTCGGGCTCGCTAGCGGGAAGAGGCTACAGGAGCAAGAAGAAATGGCAGACTTCTCTGCTGAGGAGATCCGCACCGAAGTCTTGTCTCCCTATGTCGAGCATATTCTCTTCCACCTAAGTCGCTTGCTCAAGCGTGGCCCTTCGCGACCTCTCCTTGTCTCTGGTGTAGAGACCTTATCTCTCGTGGCTCCTTGTGTGGAATCCTCCCAGGAGACTTTCAGTTTGATCAGCATCACGACATACCTCCTTCGTCAGCCTGCAGATCGAGTTTCGCCCAAGACTAAATCTGGCCTTTTGCGTATTCTGGAACACTTTCTACCTCTGTACGATACTAGCGCCGATGTCTCGCTTACGGAGCAAGTATTCGATGCTGTTTCCTCCATGTTTGATTATTTCAGAGATGAGGTCAATCGCGAGGTTCTTTCCAGGGTGTTCACTGCCTTTGCAAAGCATGATTCTAAACTTGTCGAGCCTGCATCTTTGTGCGAAGACTTGAATTCCAGATCGGTAAAGAAGCTTGGACTGGATTATGAGCGACGCCTCCAGGCTTTCAGAAAGATCAATGAGGGTCTTTGGGAAGGGTTCAGTGCTCAGCAGTGGCGGCCTCTGCTTTACAATATGCTGTATCATGTCAAAGACGAGGAGGAACTTGCCATACGATCTAGCGCCTCGTTTGGGTTGAGACGGTTTATGGAGAGAGCTGTGCTTCCCACAGCTAATGATTCCGAAGACTTTGAGAGTCTTGTCCAGGATGTTCTGTTCCCTGCTCTTCAGCAGGGGATGCGACAAAAGTCAGAGCTCATTCGGGTGGAATTTGTCACTGTCCTCGGATACTTCGTCAAGATTAACCCAACGAGAGTAGCTATACAGGATATGCATGTCCTGTTGGTTGGAGATGACGAAGAAGCGTCGTTCTTCACCAATGTTCTTCATATCCAACAGCACCGCCGGCTGCGGGCGCTGCGCCGCCTAGCTAGCGAGGCATCCCAGGGCAGACTTCAAGCCTCGAACATCAGTAACATCTTCATCCCTCTCATCGAGCACTTTGTATTTGATCAAGAAGCAGACGAGAGCGCCCATAATCTTGTCGCCGAAGCAGTCAATACCATTGGCTCTCTTGGGGAGTGGTTGGACTGGAACCAATTCCGAAACACTTTCCGCAGATATCGTGGTTACATGCAGAGCAAGCCTGATTTGGAGAAGAATGTCATCAGGCTTCTCGGCAAGATGTCGGATGCCCTTTCCAACGCTATGGTCAAGTTCAAAGCATCATCGGGTGCTGATGCTGCTGGTGATGGAGAAGACGCGATGGAGGTCGTGGAAACCGATGCGCCGACAGAATCTACTCTTGCCAAATCGATCCCTTCGACAGAGAAAGTCGTCAAGGAACTCACCTCCCATTTCATCCCATTTTTGACGGAATTCATTCATCACAAGGAGGAATCAGCAATGAGCCTGCGCTTGCCAGCTGCGGTCACTACTGTCAAACTTCTCAAACTTCTTCCCGAGGATGAGATGGGTATTCGGCTGCAGCCGGTCCTACTAGACGTTTGCAGTGTTCTCAAGAGTCGAGTACAAGAAACCCGAGACACAGCGCGAAAGACTCTTAGCGACATCGCCATCATCTTAGGCCCGGGGTATTTCAGCTACATTCTGAAAGAGCTCCGCAATACTTTGGCACGAGGCTACCAGCTCCATGTACTCTCTTTTACCGTCCACTCGATTCTTGTCGCTACCACAGACGACTTCAAACAGGGAGATTTGGATTACTGTTTAGCGGATCTGACCGCCGTTGTCATGGATGATATCTTTGGCGCTACCGGCCAAGAGAAGGATGCCGAGGAATATGTGAGCAAGATGAAGGAAGTGAAGAGCAGCAAGAGTTACGATTCTATGGAGTTGCTGGCAAAGAATGCAACCGTGCGATACTTGTCTCACTTGATCCGCCCATTGCAGGCCCTGCTTCGTGAAAAGCTCACCTCAAATATTATCAAAAAGGCAGATGAACTACTGAGGAGAATTGGAATCGGTCTTTTGAGAAACCCGGGCGCCGAGAGCAGAGATCTGCTTGTGTTCTGCTACGAAGTGATCAAGGAGTCCTATCAGGACCCGAACAATGCGGAGGCGCAAACTAAGTTAACAGCAGCAGAGGAGCGTTTCTTGATAAAACTGAGAGGACCGAAACGAGGCCAAAGTCGAGGCTCGACCACGTCGTATGCTTACAAACTGACACGTTTCTCCCTTGATGTTCTTCGATCGATTTTGAACAAGTTCGACTCTCTTCTTACAGCAAACAATGTGGCCGGTTTCCTTCCCATAATTGGTGATTCCATGGTTCAGGCACTTGAGGAGGTGAAGATCTCTGCTCTCCGATTATTGTCAACTATCATCAAGCTTCCGTTGGCTGAGATTGACAATAATTCTCATGTCTATCTTACGGAGGCTGTTAAGATGATCAAAGAAGCCCCTAGCACGAATACGGAAGGTGCCCAGGCATCGCTGAAGCTGATCGCGGCCATGATTCGCGAAAGGAAGAGTACGCAGCTTAGAGACGGACATCTGGCCTACCTTCTCAAGCGCCTGGCATCGGATATCGAAGAGCCGGACCGACAGGGGGTGACATTCAATTTCATCCGGGCTGTCATGGCTCGGAAGTTTGTCGTTCCGGAAATGTATGAGCTGGCAGACAATATCGCCGCTATGATGGTCACAAACCAAACACGCTCGGCGAGAGACCTAGCGCGTGGTGTATACATTCACTTCTTGATTGAATACCCGCAGGCTAAGAACCGCTGGACTAAACAACTAAGCTTCCTGGCCAAGAACCTGGAGTATAAGCATCCGGAAGGACGCCAGTCTGTGATGGAAGCATTGCACATGCTCCTAGCCAAGACCGGTCCGGAATTGGCGCAAGATATCGTTGGGACATTTTTCTTACCCATTGTTCTTGTCATGGCCAACGATGACGCTCCGGAGTGTAGGGAAATGGCCGGTGCTTTGCTTGGAGAGCTTTACAACAGAGCAGACAAGGAGCAAATGAAGACTGTCCTCCGACCTCTTCATTCGTGGCTGGAACAGACAGATAATATGTTACTGTGCAGGACTGGGTTACAAGCGATGCGAATTTATTTCGAGGCGGAAGGAACAGAGAAGGAGAAAGAGGCCCGCTTCGTGATAGGAGTGCTCCCGCAATTGATGAAGCCTCTGTTGAAAGACCAGGAAAACGAGGATTGGGAGACACTGTACTTTTCCCTCCAGCTCTTTACAAGGCTGTGTCGGAGCATGTCTTCCATCGCGCTGTCCAAGGAGTGCGAGGGCATTTGGGCCGATATCCTCGAATCGCTGTTCTACCCTCATGCCTGGGTCAAGACGTGTGCTGCAAATCTGGTTGGCATGTGGCTTGCGGATTTGGCCAAGTCAAATGCCGCACAAGGCTATGGCTCTCTCCCTCTGGCTGGAGCCGCAGGACTGGAACTTGACAGGGACTCGATGATCCAACTCATCCGCGCCAGTGTGCGCTGCTTGCGTACTCCAGGCGTCAGTGAAGAGCTCGCAGTGCAGACCATCCGTAATATCGTCTTCCTCGGCCGTTGCTGTGCCCAGAACGACCTGCAATTTTCAAAGGCGGGAGCTGATGATACAGCTCAAGATTCTGACCTGGATGAAAGTGACAGCGACGATGAGGATAAGCAAGAGACTGTCAACGAAGAAGCTGACAGCCTCTCAAAGCCTGCTACGCAGTACATCTTTGAACAAATCTCCTCGATCCTTCGCCGGGAGATCATTTCTACTCGTGCGGAGACTCTAATCCCCAAGACCGCATCCATGACTCTGCTCGCAGCTCTGTGTCGCCATCTAGAGACCGATCAGATCCGTCCATCCCTCCCAGTCATTCTTCTTCCCCTACTGCATTTCACCGATGCATCGATCCCCCCGCCGCGATCGTCAGATGAAGCTTTCCAGAACGGGTACAAAGCTCTGGTCAGCAACAGCCATGAGGTGTTAGATCTCATCCAGAAGAAACTCGGCACCACCGAATATGTGACGCAGATGACGCTCGTCAACGACGCGATTAAGGAGCGCCGTGAAGGGAGACGGGTCAAAAGACGCATCGAGGCGGTTGCCGACCCGGAGAGATACGGCCGGGACAAGAAGAGGAGGAATGACAGGAAGCGTGAGAAGAGAAAAGAAAAGGGGATGGAGCATCGTGGCAAGAGACGCGGATGGTAAAGGGACATGCGTCTTACACTTTCGTTTGTTTGGGTACTCAGTACCAGGCGTTTTAAAAAGGGTGGATATCCAAAAAAGCGGCATTTTCTTCAAGAGTATAGTCTTTTATTTTTTGGGACTGATAGATAGTTATTACAGAGGAGAGTACATATGACTATATACATGGTGATGAAATATACTTTCTTTTATTCTGACGCCCCAGAAGTTCCTTGATAAAATTGTATCCCACGCCTGTTTTGAACTCCAGTTGTACACCCAGTAAATTCGACACCGCTCGCTATTCAAGCAACGAAAAACACATGTCCTCCAGAGAAAACGATTACCCTCTCTATTCCGGTTTTGTTTCGTCGGTCTGCTCCGTGATCCTCGTGGTACCGTCATCCCAGAACTCCATATCGCCATTCACGAAGCCCTTCTTCACCACCTGGCCTTTCTGGCTCAGGATATCCTCCAGGGTGCTCTTCTGGTCGAGGAAGATGCCGAGATGGTCGCTGATAACGTGTCGGTTTTGGCAAGACGGGCACTGGATCAGAACTGTGCCGCGGTGGTAGCCATGCTTGGACATCCGATGCGATGACCGATGCCCGCAGGGCTTACACGTAAAGGAGATCTGATATGCCGGTTCCTGTCCGCGGCGCAGGCGATTCTGCTCTGCCTGCTGCTCATCTGTGGCTTGGTCTGCTCTGCGGTCGGTGAGGGGACGAGAGGACGAGGAGTCACTGGAATTGTACCGAACAGAGCCGAATGACAAGAACTGTGGTTTTGAGCGCTGCTGCCGGGTAGACTGTGTTGGGTATGATGAAAAGGACCGGTCAGATTGAAGCCACAGACGTGAGGATGCTGTCGCGGCTGGAGCTGCACGGGAGGCAGCAACAGCGTGGCGAGGGAGCGCACGCAAGCTCCACGATAAAGCTGTAGGCAAGCGCATGGTGTGCTGCAAACTGAGAGGAATCAAATTAAGGGGTTGTTCACTTGCCAAACAAATAACAGTAGGCAGTTAAAACGTCAAAGACAGCGTCAGAATCCGCCGCAAAGAGAAAGATAAAAGAAGATAAGCAGGCCGGACTTTTTATTCTTCCAGCTCTCCTCCGCGGTGGGCAGAGGACCAACTCCCCATCATTCACTAGTGTTCTGACACATGGGCTTCTTGCTCGTAGGATCTAGTCTCTGGGAAGTCTCTGGGGTCGCGAGCTAGCTTCTGATCTGCTGTCGAGCCGGGGTTTCTTGTCGTCTTCTTTCTATCTTCACCTCCGCCGCTCTCGTTGCCCCGCAAGTGCCTCCGCCGCTCAGTCGAGACAATCACGCGAAAATGGCGGCAATGAGGGCGAGGCAGAAGATCCGGGCTCCTAGACGGGTGAGTTGGGGGATATTTTGCTTCCTGTGTCTTTTGGTTGTATATCGGTCTACAATCTGGACCCGATGAGCCATTTAGATTCTATAGAGCTGCTGCTAACACTTATATCTCCTAGGGTCTCGCTGCTAGCAAACCGGATGATTTCGACAGTATATGGGCAACGCTAGCGGCGTCATTGCGTGAAATCCATACGAAGAATGCCTCTACGTTATCCTTCGAGGAGTTATATCGACAAGCGTACCGGATCGTGTTAATATCGCGGGGCGAGGAGTTGTACGAAAACGTCAAGCAGCTCGAAAAAAAATGGCTATGCAGCGAAGTTCAGAAACAGGTTACTGCTGCCATCTCACCGAGCTTGCTGCTGGAGCAGGAGCCGGCTGATGCGCAGGATCAGTCCAACGAGAGGAGAGCTGCGGGGGAGCGGTTCTTGAACGCACTGAAGTCGGCATGGGAAGATCACCAGTTATGCATGGGAATGTTCACGGATGTTCTGATGTACATGGTGAGTGGGAATAGCAGCAAATGTTGTCAAAAATTCGATCATGATCATATTGATTAACGACATTGCTTCTCGAACATAGGATCGTGTTGTTTCTTCGGACCATCGGAATCCTTCTATATACGTGGTATCCATGGCCCTCTTTCGAGACAACGTGCTACGGTCTCCCGTGCGGCCGGATTCGACAACCACAATCGCCGATGTGCTGGAGTCGACGGTGCTCTTTATGATCCAGCTGGAGCGGGCCGGACATCAGATAGAACGGCCATTCATTCGACACTGTATCTACATGCTCGAGGGCCTGTACGAGACGGTCACGGAGGAAGATTCCTCCAAGCTTTACCTGACGACGTTCGAACCTGCGTTCCTCAAGGCAAGTCAGGCCTTTTACCAAGCCGAGGGGCGGCGACTCGTGGAAATGGCCGATGCGGCTACCTTCTGTCGGCACGCTTCTAATCGATTGAAAGAGGAGGAGGAGCGGTGCCGGTATACGCTATGCTCATATACGGAGCCAAAAATCAAAGAGGTTCTAGATGAAGAGCTGATCCGCAAGAACATCGCGGAGGTCATCAATCTGGAAGGAAGCGGCGCCAAAGAGATGCTAGATCATGACCGGCTAGATGTCTTGCGCAATGTCTATGAGCTGAACGCAAGGGTCGACAAGAAGAAAACCGCCTTGACGAATGCCGTGCAAAAGCGAGTCTACGAAATGGGCCGAGAGATCAATGCAGCATCGTTCGCTGTATCACAAAACACGGCACCGAAGCCCGGTGAAAAGGAAGTGGCGGCCGCTGGTGGTGAGAAGAAAGCGGGACGAGACAAGGAGAAAGAAAAGCCGGTCAACCAGCAGACAATCGCTGCCATCCAATGGGTGGATGCTGTCCTGGGGCTAAAGAAGAAATTCGACAACATCTGGGAAAAGTCATTGCTCTCCGATCAGGGGATGCAGACATCGATCACCACGAGCTTTTCGGACTTCATCAATATGAACTCCCGCAGTTCGGAGTATCTCTCTCTGTTCTTCGATGAAAACCTGAAGAAGGGGATCAAGGGCAAGACAGACAGCGAGGTGGACGCTCTATTAGACAACGGCATCACGCTGCTACGGTACATCAAGGATAAAGATCTGTTCGAGACGTACTACAAGAAACATCTCTCACGGCGATTGCTAATGAAACGGTCGGTGAGCATGGACGCGGAGCGGCAGATGATCTCGAAGATGAAGATGGAAGTTGGGAACCAGTTCACGCAGCGGATCGAGCACATGTTCAAAGACATGACCATCTCCGAGGACCTAGCGACCAGCTATAAGGAACACATCGCGCAGTCCGGGGACCCGGACCAGAAGCGCGCGGAGCTGGAGATCCACGTGCTGACGAGCACGATGTGGCCGATGGAGATCATGGCCAGCAGCAGCACGAAAGAGGGAATGGTGCAGTTACCGTGCATCTTCCCGCGCGAAGTAGAGAGCCTGAAGCATAGTTTCGAGCAGTTCTACCTAAGCAAGCACAACGGGCGCAAGCTGTCGTGGCAGCCGAGCATGGGCACGGCGGACCTGCGCGCTACCTTCACACGGGCGAACGGCAAGGTGGCGCGGCACGAGCTCAACGTCTCAACGTATGCGATGATCATCCTGCTACTGTTCAACGAGGTGCCGACGGGCGAGTCCCTGACGTACGAGGAGATCCAAGCCCGCACGCGGATTCCCGACCACGACCTGATCCGTAACCTGCAGTCGCTGGCGGTGGCTAGCAAGACACGCGTGCTCAAGAAAGAGCCCATGAGCAAGGACGTGAAGCCGACGGACCGCTTCTTCTACAACGCCGACTTCACCAGCATGTTCACCAAGGTGCGCATCGGGGTCGTCAGCGGCGGCGGCAACAAGGTCGAGAACAGCGACCAGCGCCGCGAAACGGAGAAGAAGATGGATGAGGAGCGGGGAGGGACTATCGAAGCCGCAATAGTACGAATCATGAAGTGAGTTTCGACTCTTTTTTTCCTTTTTTTCCTTTTTTTCCCTTTTGATGGTAGCTAATATATATAGACAACGCAAACGCCTCGTCCACGCCCAACTCATGACGGAGGTCCTCACGCAGCTCTCGTCTCGCTTCGTGCCAGACGTCAACATGGTCAAGAAACGAATCGAGTCTCTGATCGACCGCGAGTACCTGGAACGCGTGGCAGAGGAGCCTCCTACATATGGATACATTGCGTAGCATAGAACAGGGTACACAAAGGGTACACAAAGGGTACACAAATCCAGAAAACATTTTCATGTAAATAGACAACCATTCATAATCATATCAATCGTGCATTACTGGGGTAAAAAAGGAAAAAAGAAAAAAAAAAAAAAGAATTATAATAATTCCAGTTCCCCTCCTTCCCAGGCCTCTCTAACTCCCTCCCAGCGAACAGCCCACACCTCGCCTTTCCGCATGCTAACACCAATCTCTTCAACGTCAATGCCATCCCCGGGGGGAACCCGGACGACCACCTCGTCGGCCAGACAACGCACGAAGACAGCCTCCCTCCCGTCCGGACCGGTGACCATGCTCGTCCCGCCGGCGTTATCGTCCAGTCTGCGCAGTTGGGCAGGAAACCCGGATAAGAAACTCGCGCCGAAATGGCCGGCAAGTAATTTCTGGTGTGCGTGTAGGAAGCTTGCCTCCTGGTTGGAAAGCGGGGAGGTATTCGACCCGAGAATCCCAGCGGGGAAATCAGGGACGGAATCTTGCGGTTGTTGTTGGTTGTGGTGGTGTTGGGATGGTTGTGAATCGACGGGATTCGCGCCCGCGATTTTCAAAAGGTAGTACATGCTATGTTTTGTTAGTTTGGAGAGACGCTGTCGCAGTAACGAGCGGATCAGGTATTGCGTGCGGGCGAGGTCGGTCTGGAGGATGGAGAGGTGGAGGTTCGTCGTTGGGGAGGATGAGGATGCCAGATCTTCTATTCGGGATATCTAGCATGCCCATCAGTATACTATTATTATTCTCATGAGTCAAGAAGAAGAAAGAAGAACCTGCTGGGATACTCTCTCCATCATCCGTTCCATTAGAAGCGTGGGCCAAGGGAGCACTTCCGAGACGGCGCGCTCGGCCACCCAGAAACGCGTCAGGAGCTGGTGATCCAGCGCAGCCGAGGCCGGGGAGTCATCGTGCCGGTCCACGGACGCGAGGATGTCGTCAATGTCCATTGTGGGCGAGGCATGGCGCAGGTGAGCGAGCGAGCGAGCGAGCGGAGCGGAGATTATTCGACGTTCCGCTGCGGGGCGGACACTCGTACAGAACAAACATACTTACTTATCAAGTAGACTTTACCCTCTACTCTACATTCTACTCTACACTCTACTCTACGATACAACTCATTTACTCAGTTGAGCTTGAATTCATATGTGATTCATAACAAAGGAAACTTGGCACCTATTAATCCCCCTTCTGCACCATTATTAAAGTCGCGGTAGATAGTAGCCTATGTACAGCTGTGCGTTATTAAGAGGCTCTGCTTCCAGATGCCCGATGCCTTGCAGCCAATGGCCGCTGGCAACATATTATCGCTGCGCTTGTATGGGATGTATGGGTTTTGTACAGCGAATTAATGCCGTCGTTCCGCACAAGGGTTTTTTGTACAAAAGGGAACAAGGAATGCGAATTAAAAGCCGGTATTCAAGGGAATGGGGGGAAAGTCAAGAAGAATGAGAATGCCAAGATGGGGGCAAGCCGTTAGGGGAGGGGAGGGGAGGGAGAGAGGAAACGAGAAGGAAAAGGAAAAGGTGGACACGGCATAGGTGACCTGCTAGTCTAGCAGTACCGG